GGCAAATGTGTTGGTTGTTGTTTAGTTGGTGGTTGACTCAACTCGTCAACTCGAACAAAGGCGGAGTCCGCCTGTGCAGTAAAAAGCCCCTCATCTACTTACTTGTACACGATAATCGCCCGCAATTCGTGGCGTTGCTCATATACCAAAAAGATAAGCACAAAAGAGTAAACCCTGTCTTTTACTCCAAAGTCTTTATTTGCGTCGTGCGAGAAAAAAAAAAAAGTGAATCTTGCAAGAGGCGCTCGTATTAAATCGTCTTTTAAACTCGCCATGTGGCTGGTTTCCACCGCTGCACCGCATGTCAAGAGGAGTTTCATACGGACAGCCAGACTCCAAAAAAAAAAAAGTCATGCAACGGTGAATACGAACTCCAATTGTGTCAAGAGAAGGGAGGGTAGCCGAGGTAGCTGTAGCTGTACTCAGCCGCTCCCGGGATGTTGTTCATGCATGATGCAAGATGGCGTTTCGCAAAGATCTCGTATTCTCAAAAAAATCGTCATCATCATCTGCTCGAGGCTCAAGAACGTGCATACAGATTCCCCTAAGGACTTCACCAAAGAGACAATAAGAAAGTAACAGAAACAGAAAATATTGGATACGTTACGTGTGTTTTTATACCGCTAATTCCCATATGCCTAACTCGATGATGTTTGTAGTAGTAGCTTCGTTTCCTTTTTTTGTCGTGCTAAATCACTTCTGTTTTCTCATTTGTTTATAACCATCTGCTCTGTTTATGCTTGTTGCTGCTCAAGCGGCAGCCATGTCATAAAGCTTGCACAACAGCTTCAGGGCTACTTTATCTGCGTCTGGCGATAGCAGAGCGCCGAGAATCGTCTCGCGCTGAGGAGCCGGGTTACACCTTGCTATCCAGCTAGGCATTGGCTTGTCAAGCTCATCATACTCATCTGAATCTTCCTCGTCATCGTCATCGCGAGCACCGTTTCTTGACTGACCATCCTCGGAAGCTGTTCTGGCTTTGCCCGACGCTGGCAACCCAGCCTTCTCAACCAAGCGAGTCAACATACCAAGCCCACGATGTGTTATGAGGCCATAGCTTTGCATGTCTGGATCCATTGGTGGCATGTGCGGATGTCCTGGCTGTGGTCTGTGTGCTTGCGCACTGCGATCGACTGAAAGCACGAAAGCCATGCGCAACAGGCCTCCAGGCCAACGATCATCAGATCCAAGCCAAGCGCGAGCGAGATTCTTCTCGTCAGACTCATCAGACGACTGAGCTGTTGGAACCATCGAGGCTAGGATATCAGCTGCCAGCATGCCCTGTGTCAACAAAGGCTTTCTAGCCTCAACCATCTTGAGTTCAACCGATGTGGAGAAGACTCTTTTTGATCGCTCAGGCAAGACTGAGATGCTCAGAGCAAAAGCGGAGGTAAGTAGATCCTCCGGCGGGACAGAGTCAGAGGAGTTGAGTGTTTGTGACGAAGTGAAGATGCTGCGGTACAGAGATCGATTAGGTTCTTGACGAGCCAAGAGTTTCGCAAGACAGTCAACTGCCAGCGGAAGATGTCGTTGCGCCAAAGGTACGTAAGAGTTGAATTGTAACGGAGAATCGGATGATAGTGTGGGTGCCGGCTGGGGAGCAAATGCGAGGATGAACTGAAGAATGTGAAGAGCGTCATCACGACTTGGCAACTCCAGGACACCAGTGATATTAGAGAGGAAGGTAATGATGTCCTTGTAGAAGTCTGCAACATTCCTCGAGCTGCGGAGGAAGGTGTTCCGAGTGCCCAATAGACGGAGGGCGTTTGAGACAAAATTGACAACAGAATTGGATGACAGAAGGCGGTGGTTTGCTTCGTGAAAGGAAAGGTTGCGCAGAAGTGTTGTGACGGCGATGAGGCGGTCAGCAGCCCGATCCAGCTCGTATTCTTGAGTGCCAACGGCAGGGACGTCTTGCAGCGACTCGTTCTCAATGCGGCATTGCTTGACAAGGTCCTCGTAACATGGCAGGTCGAGACCGTCAGATACTTCGGCAGCACCATCCGCAAGGATGTCGAGCTGAGCTTCTGCACAATCGACGAGCACGTCTGTCAAGTCTTCGCACTTGTCAAGATCTAGGCTGATGCGCGGTTCTATCGAGATCAACGTCAAATGATCCAAGGCATGACGAGTCTCGGCATGAATGCCAGACTGTAGACTCAAGGTGAGAGCTCGGATGTCTATCAGCCCCATCTCATCTACCATGGGGACATCAGGAACTAGACGAGCAAGCTCGCCGCCGAGCTTGGCCAGAGGCAAAATATCGTATCCACCATAGTAATCTAGGCTTCGACGATGCGGCTCATACTCTGTTTCTTGACCGGTGATATGCTTGAGTTCAGCAGTGCTAGCTTCACGCTTGATGCTCGGAGTGCCGCCTGCTTCCGATGGAGCCTTGATCGCCGGCGATGCAGAAACGCGGGCTAGCTCTTGATCTGGTAGTGGTACAGAGTCAAGCTTGCCAACACTTGAAGTACGACGGAACTCGTTCAGAGCCGGGTGCTGCATGGCAGATTGCGGAGTAGCCATTCCATTGGCGACAGGCGTGGGAGTTGGACGCTGCATTGGTGTGGCTTGAGGGTTCATCATGGGCACAGGAGTAGAGTGNTGTTGTTGCTGCTGCTGCTGCTGCTGCTGCTGCTGTTGTTGTTGCATCTGCTGAGCTTGCTGTTGGGCTTGCTGTTGGGCTTGCTGTTGGGCTTGCTGTTGTTGTAGCTGCTGCTGTTGTTGGGCTTGTATCTGCTGTTGTTGAATCTGCAATTGTTGTTGTTGTTGTTGTTGTTGTTGCTGAGTATTCATCATAGGCACAGGAGTAGAATGTTGCTGGACCTGCTGTGCTTGTTGCGACTGCTGTACTTGCTGTTGCTGCTGAGCTTGTTGCTGAACCTGCTGCATTTGCTGCTGCTGTTGTTGCTGAGCCTTTTGTTGCATCTGCATCATCGTCTGCTGCTGAGCGGAGAGCTGATCGTTCTGACGGCCTGGCGAGGCTTGACCAGCGTTCGGGGCGCCTAGACCAGCCAACTGACGGGCTTGAAGTGAAGCTTGCTGTTGACGTTGTTGCATTCTGGCCTGCATGAAGACGCGCTCATATTGTCCCAGGTTGTGCTCGAATAACTGCTGCAATTCTTGTGATGCCGTAGGATATTGTTGGAGATTGAAGCCGACCTTCTGGGCAATCGTGGGCCATCCATTGAACTGTGTAACGCGCGTGGAGCCGCCGTGTTGCAAGACGATGACCCAGATGATGTAAAGAGGTAGAGGTCGCCCGCAGACCGAGGGCTGAGGGTTGAAGGGTCTGTTGTTCTGTTGACAAAACTGCTGCAACGAACGCATCCACGACTCCTGCTTTTGCTGATTTGATTGCGCAGACGACTGTCCAGGAGCTCCCATGCCATTGGCACTTCCAACACTGGCATTGGCCGCGGCAGCCGCAGGATTGAAACCAGCAGCAGTCTGAGCAGCATTGGCGCGCACCTGTGCCATACTGTTGGCCTGGAGTCGCTGCTGCTGTTGTTGCAAGCGCTGCTGGTACAGCTTCTGCTGGTACTGTTGCTGCAGCTGAGGCACGGAAGTGTTGGCTTGAGACATGTTCATGGCTTGTGAAGAGGCCGGGTTGAAGTTTGCGCCGAATTGTTGCTGCTGAGGAGTGAAAGGGCCAGGCTGCATCATGTTATTGGGAGCGGTCGGCGGCGCAGGAGACATGGTCTGTGCGAAAGTAGCAGGTGAAGCTGTCGACATGCGCTGAGGAGGCTGCTGTGGTGGGCGGAACTGCAGAGGCTGCATGGTCGGTGACGGAGTCGCGTTAGACGAGGCCGAGGGGTTCTGCTGCAGGTGTTGATAAGGAGTGGGCGGAGCTTGGTAGGGCTGTTGCTGCTGCTGCTGAGGATTGAATGCGAAAGGCGCGCCAGCCTGCATCGGTGTTTGCGATCGCGACATGTCTAGTGACTGTGACGGGGCATGCGGCGAGTGATGCATCTGGTCTTCCGAGGGACGCGGACGCTTCGAGGGTACGACGGGGTTAACGTTGTAGGTCTGTTGCGGCGCGCCAAAGGCCTGCTGGGGATTGATGCTGCCATTCTGGGCAAAGGAGTTGAGGTCGATGTTCGAGGAATTGGGGTTCGCATAGAGCGACGACATGTTGGGGTTCATGTAGACGCCATTGCTCTGACCGGGCCACGGCGCACTCATGGTCGAAGCTGGTTACAGCATGGGGCACACGCCCTAGATGGGTGGGTTAGCTATGCGTACTGGGATGCCGAGTGTGACGCGTCTCTACGCGACCGAGCATGTATGGGAGATGACGACGATGGGAGCAGGATGGACGGCGACACGATGGTGCTATGGCCAAGACATTGATAGAGATGCCTGGGGACGAAACGAGGATCGCATCCCGATGAGCTCGGTAATGATGTCGGCGCTGCTGGAGATGGGTGTGGGTGTGTGACGGTGGTTGGGCGGGAGATGAGGTGTCTCGCTCTTCAGACCGGGGTGGGCCATGACGGGCATTGGGCCTGGTGCAAATGTCGCGAACAGAGGCAGAATAAACAAACGTACCTAATGCAAAACAAAAAGTCGGTCTGTCGAGTCGTTGGACACGCGCGTATTGATGCCTCGGAGTGCCTTCTGTCTGGAAAGAACCACCCGCGCTCTGGCACGCTTGCCTTCTCCTCATTTTCGGCCTTCGAAGCGCCGTCAGCAGAGGAAAGTTCCGGTCCCGTGACCGACCTCCACAGGGCTGTGCCATTTCCTGTGCAAAGCCCAACTTCAAAAGGCCACACATTCACCTGCTTTTCTCACACCAGATAACATAGTGTTGCAACAGACGAGGGATGGGGAAAACGTAAAAGTACAAGGTCATGGCCAGACCCGTAAAGGGCAAAAACATGACATCTTCGGCAGGAGACACCGTGCCTTCGAGAGGCGCGCGGATCTTGTTCTTGGTTCGCGGACATGCAATCACACTGCACTCCACAACGCACGACTAGTGATACACTACCCCAATCTACAAGTTCGATCTTTAAAAAGGCCTTTTTCCGAAATTCAAATTGTCACGCCAGCTCATCGAAGCTGATTTGTATATCTTGCTTGAAGCCCTTATCCTGCTCCCACCCTTTCCACCCATGCAAAGCCCTGCGTTTTCATCAATCATCCTTCCATCAGCTAAGCAAATAGAGTACCGACGACAATGTACCCCAGCTCTGCTCACGCTCGATGGGCCCTTGGCACGAAATCCAAATCTGCTCGCTTGTCTCACATGCCACGAGCTGCTCTTTCCAAAACACTCAAACATGCTGCTCTGATTATTGTGTGGCATTTTGGGCCTGCATGTTCAAGCTATGTGAGGAAGGAGCGAGGCGTCGGTCTGTGAAAACTAGCTTCGGTTGACATCATCAACCTTCTGACCTTTCAAGAATTTCAATAAAGCGTTTTCTCTCTGATCAGCTCTCTCTTGTACTGGATAGATGGTTGGTGAGGTACACTGTAGTGCACATGTTTTTGTTGTGAGCTAGCCTGCTCAATGGAAGGGCTACTTCTCGATCCCTTGGAGTCAGGACGGATAGTGGCAGCACCGAGCCATTTTTTGCCGGAGAACTCACGCACCCTGCTTTGGAGGCTGAATTGCACGCCAGCACAGCAACGTAGCAGATGGATCGTAGCAAGCATTAACCTTTCTCTAGGGACATCACGTCTCTTATCAAGAATTTGAACAGACGCCCGCGTGAACATTTGCCAAGTTGAGTTGAGGTATCATGCAGTCGATCATGAATTTATGATTCTGTACATTTCCCACCATCGCAATCCCTTGGATCCCCTGAATCAATCATCAACGCCATCGCATCCTAGAAACCGACCCCAAGCGCCTGAGAAAATGCGTAGTCCCCCGAGTACCCAGCAATCCGACTAGACAGCAGCAACAACACCCCCCACAACATCCTCCAACATCCTCATCCCATAGAATCCCCCCACACTTCCAAAAACTCTCAATTGCTTCACAACTTCTTCCCTCTTGCACGTAACAATCCACTCTCCAGCACAACTGCAATGGTCCATAAATTCATTCTGTCGTATCCTTCCACACTTCCCACACTTGAGATCTTGCGTCGTCCATTGCAAGACTAGTTTCTGGACTTCTGCTAACAAACGTTCTTCAATGGCTAGGCGGTCAAAGAGGGCGTCACAGTTGTGGCAGCGGATGGTGAGAATGCGGGGGGCTGTGGTGTCGGTGGAGGCAGAGGGGATTATATCGCTGTCGCGACAGAGGTCGATATCCCGCGGGAGACAGCATTCAGAGCAGCTGAGTTGTTTGATAGCCAAACTGCTGGACGGATTTGCAAAAGCACCTTCAGAGCTAAACTCGCGGATCTCGAAAAGGTGCAGCAATTCTTTGCGCAAGAGTCTTGCTTCGAGGGTGATTGTCTTGTCCAGAGAAAGTACTTGCATGATACTCTTTACTAATTGCAAGACTGGATTTTGGAGTGTGTGAGAAGAGCCGGGGAGGTCGGGGAATGTCCAGTCAGAAGCTAGTTCTTCGTGCATTGCTTCTGTTCTTTGACGCTTGATCAAGGCTTTGATCTGTTTAGCCAGAGGCTTTGAGAAAGTCTTTGCCAGCACATCTCCAGGAGTAGTCTGATCGTCCTTCTCAGAAGCGAAAATGGATGCATGGATGGGAAGTTGTGTAGGTCTAGGTGCGCCATTGGCAATACCAGCCGAAGGTCTCTTGCGGCCGTGCATGAGTTCGATATACTCGACAATCCAGTCATTGAACATGGGCTGCAGAATCTTCGGCAAGAAAGTGCCAATCTGCCACTCCATGATGGTGTTGAGAGTCTGGTTCTCAGCCTCGACGACCTCTGCACATCCTTTACCTCCGTAGTTGAACTCATCGTACCAGATCAGGTAGTCCCAATACTCGGTAATGCTGAGGTCGAGGAAGTTGAATGATGGCTTGGCGTTGACAGTCTTGAGAATATACTGACTGTAGGCATAAGCATTGCCAACTTCAGCCTTTGTGGTCTGCAAGAGCAATCTGTTTGCACTGGCATACACAACGTGCGAACCAACACGTCTGAACTCAGACATGAGTTGCTGCAAGGCCTTTCTCGACATCATCTGCACGTAGTAGTGCAGTGACTTGTCGTACAAGAAAGAGCCAGGATTCTCAATCCAGCGCACCAGGTGTTGGACCATGACATCTGCCATGCCACCACCACGGCAAGCTTCTTCCCACCAAGCTCTGACCATCTCTCGCAGAGCTATGATACCTGCTTGAGCAAAGGTGTTTTCGCCAGAGACAACGTGCGAAATGTCTTCGATACCTTCTTCGTTGGGCGGAGGCACTGACAAGCCCATCGAATCACTGCCTTCAGCATCATTGAGTACTGCAGAACACAAAATCGTGTTGATTGCAAGATTCTTGACGCTGAGATCAATGCACACCGAAGAGTAGGTTCCAGGGTTGTTCACCGAAGGCATGTCCACAGTCTCCATAGCAGCCAGTATATCGTCTTTCTCATAGCCAGCATGGTCCGGGCGAGGATTGGCTGACCACCAAAGCACAACCTTTTCCTTTTGCAGTCTTCTCGCATACGAAATATCGATCAAGAAGCGAGGATCATCTTTCTCGAGGTTGCAGAGAGGTACATTGCCATAACGACTGAGCTCGATCAAGTGTGTTATCCATGATCCGAGGTCGAGGTAATGGCCAACTAGTCTCTTTGCGACGAATGATTGCCATCCGAGAGGAGGCAGTCTCTTGTCATCTTCATCAGACTTCAGAGGTAGCATGGGCAAATCTTGCAGGACAGGAAGGTCATGTCTGAGCAGACGAGGTTGCTGAGACTGGATGACAACCATCAGAGGGCTAGTCTCTTCCTTCTGAATCTTCTTGATAGCATCGCCAACCTCCTGGAGCGCTCTTTTCTTGGTGGTGACATTGACAGTCTTGAAGTGGATGTCTTCTTGGTACTCAAAGACGTCTTGCCATTGCTCGCCCTGATTTTCTTCCAGCTTCTTGGCAAACATGTCTTGGTAGATGCGGTCTACATTGGGCATACCTTGATCAGCACGCGATCTGTTCAAAACAACAACCTGAGCTTCCTTCTTCGATGAGCAGAACAATGCGAAGATCTGACGCTCGCCAGCAATGACGTGGTAGAGATAGAGGTAGCTCATGGGCGAAGACGACAGATAAGGCTGCTTGGGAGCCACATAGTGCAAGGCTGACAGGTCGAAACCATGGGTCATACCTTTGCCTAAAACACCTGCTTGCTTCTCGTCGAAGGTACAGGTGCTACCGAGCTCAAGCACTGCTCTGATGTCAAGAGGGACTTGTGTCTCGTACACTCCCTCGACACTCGAGTGGTTGAAGAGCGCTGCGAGCTTGTCCGCGTCTTTGATGTAGACATGTTCAGGCATACTGAGCTTGAAGAGATGCACTGAGGGATGGCCGTTCGGAAGAGTGTAGTTGACCACCTTCTCAGCTGACACGCCGTCCACAGAGACATCAGGCAGATCATCTCCCTTCAAGTTGAGGAAGACTTGACGCGGCACTACAACCTTGAGCTGATGCACCTTCTGATCAATCAAGACGAAGGCCTTGACTTCACCAGGACTCTCGCCCTCGCAGAGCTGCAGGATCTGCCAGGTCGAGTTGTACATCAATTCGCTCTGGTTGCGGAACATGTTGCCAATCGCATCAGTGTTGTCAACTCGCTTTTCACCAAAGAGCTGGCGTCTTCTCTTGCGAGCTTGCTTCTGAATCTTCCACTTCTTCTTTTGGTATTGCAGCCAACCTTCATAATCCTCAGTGATTGAAGGCATGTTCGGCGGCAGGCTGTCATACGGGTTGACAGGTACGACGGGCTCGACTTCGGCAGCCTTTCGCTTCTGGGAAGAGGCCACTCTTGCAACGATAGCTCTTTTTGGCACAGTCAACGACGATGAACCAAAGTCTTCAAGGTCTCCGATAACTCGACCATTGACGGAATTGATATCAGCAGCCTCCAGGGGCTTCTTTGTAAACATGTCTGTCATCTTCTTCTGTTTGAACACATCATCCTTGATTCTGATCCTGCGCTCGAGCCATTCGGGATGAGCGACACGAGGTACAGGATTGCGAATTTTCTGCAAAGCTGCAGGAATAGTGATGAGCTTCTGAATGACCGAACCAAGACGTTCAAGGTAATAGTTCCAGTCAATAACAGTGCGAGGATCCATGTCTCCCGGGTCGTCCTTCATCCACTTCCTAAGGTAATGCTTCTTGACTGACTCTTCAGCCGAGAAGATGGCGACCGGGATGGCACGTTCAGTGACGGGAGCGTTTCTAGGTCTTGACGAGATAATGTACTTGCAGTTCAAGCCTTTATCTTTGACCATCTGCTCTCCCAAGAACTCGGCAAGACGCTTCGCAGTGGTGATGGCTGTCGACTTCTGCGCACCATACTCCTCAAGTGTCTTAGCCATACTCTTGTTCTCGCAAATCAAATCAATAAGCTCTTCATCAGCAAGGGTAGAACCACGAGAGTCTAGAACGTCCAGCCATCTGTTTGCGACCGTAGCGACCGCTCCGTACGTTTCTTCAAGCGTGGTGCCCTCGAGGAAGAACTTGAAAATTTGTGTTTGGAAGATCTTGATCAGCTTCAGCTCACCACGACGCTTGACTTCGAAACCTTTCAGTTCAGCAAGAGTACCATCATGGTTGAAGACAGCATAACGCTTCTTCAAGTTCTTGTCTTCTTCTTTGGATGTGGGGAGAATCATGGCTCTGTACGGACCGTCGACCTCGAAGAAGATAGTGTTGTCGCTATGTGTCTCGTAGCGAAATGTCTGAGGATCTACCAGCTCCTGATATTGGTGGTTGGTAAAGCCGTCGTGCACACGATGATTCAACATGACACAAGGGTATGAGATGGCGACCTTCTTGCCATTCTTCATCTTGAAGGCGAAGTTTTCGGGAAAGGTCGCAGGAAGAATACACCAAATACCGTCAGTGTCGAGTTCGAGTGGTCGTCCGATGCGCTCTACTAGCTGACGCGCCATCTGAATGATACGAGCGCCAGTCAGACAGGTCACACCGGCCATCTCCATGGAATACCAGCGAGAACCTTTTCTCATGACATAACCGTAGAAACTGTTCAGAATGACCTTGTGGGCAAGTTGGAGCGAGTCGAACAAGATGATCATCTTCTTAGCATCATCGACTTCAGCCGCCGAAGCACCAGCCTTCTTCAGGTCTTCAGTCTTGCCTTTCCAGACTTTTTGCTTTCCCTTGAAATCATATCTTCTGTCACGGAAATCTTTGACCGTATCGACGTAGAATGGATTCTCTCGTTGACAGATGATGGCTTCCTTCTCAATGGTCTTGGCTTCGTGGATCTTGTGGTAAATCTTCTTGCTGTAATCTTGTAGTCGCTTCTTGACCAGCACTGATTGCTCGTCGAGAGATAGATCTGAAAAGCCTCGAGATAAGCTGTTTGCGTATTTTCCCGGGAACTTCTCGCTCTCCAAGGCATGCCGGATCATGTTGTACTCGTCGCGTTTCGCAGGCAGATATTCTCCTCTCCAGGACCAGGGCAGTCTTCGATCACAAGTCTTGCCAGGTCTGTTGAAATCGCAAGCAGCGCAATCTGCTTCCTCGATCATAGAATCAGGTTGCAGACGGTTTGTTGTCATGATATTGGGGTACATGGAAGCGACGTCCAAATGGTAGATCAAAGGCTTCTCCTTGCGATTTGGCGTCTCCTTGAGCTGGATCAATTTCTCCAAGATCTGAGCCTTGACCTCTTCGTAGTTCTCGATGTCATCCAGTGACTTCTTTTCTTCTACTACGATGCTGAATTTAAGGGCGTTGTCGAGCTCTTTAATTAGTTCATCGATGGCAGCCGGATCGACAGCGAAGTTGCATGGAATGTCGGCACGGAAGACACCAGCTTCAATACTCTCGACGTGACCACCAACGTAAGTTTCTGATTCGAGCAAATGCCCCTCCCAGAAAGCTTCTCGCGGTGCTTGATGCTTGTTGGGTAGGACGATCTCTTTCTGGTAGGCCTGAACCATGAGCAACATTTCGCAAAGTGTACCTGTACCCTTTCGTAGCACATCATCAGGTCCGAGCGGAATGATGGTACAAAGTGAGAAGATGAAGGGATGAACGTATTTCATGTAGAGGTAGTATGTCGCCACGGCGTCTGAGACGGAGTACTCTGCTAGCGTCTGTGGTCGCTCTTGTGCATACGGCGTCATCAACTCCGGATCCAGTTCGTCGGGGTCGTAGCCAAGTTTGGCAACTGTGACAGCCTTGAGACCTCTACTTCCTTGAGGCAAGTAACTGTCACGATTAACCCAGGCGAAAGCATCCATATGCGCACAGTAATTTGACTGGTAGATATCCTCGCTGTTCTTGCGGAAACCAATTTCTTGGTACATGTCAATGCCTTGGATACTAGCCCTGGCTTCGACATATGGCCAATCGAAAAAGTCACCGTTGTATGTGACGATGATCGTAGGGCGGGCTTCCTTGATACACTCGAAGAATCGTTCGAGAAGCGCTCTCTCATCCGGCTCGTTGAAGATTAGAAAAGGGCCCTCGTACTCTGGCTTAGGCGTGTATTCGAAGTCGGCAATGTCCTCGGATACGATTTCTCGATTAGTGATGAGAAAACCTTGGCCGTCAATCATGTACGAAATCATCATGATCTGGTCCACAGCAGCATCAGGGAACTTGAGCGGCGCTTTGCAAGTCTCGATATCGAAGGCGAGAATGACGGGGTCAGCACGTTGTAGCCTCTCTTCGATGCAGGTCAAAGTGATGTGGCCGTGTTTCGCGTCGACGGTGTACCATTTTCCTATCCGAATGTCCTGGTCGATGGCCACTCGTACGTGGTAGGGTACATCGTACTCTCTGATGTCAACGATGAAGTCGCTGGCGTCGAAGATGCTGGCCTTGTTTGCTTGCTCGAAGTCGTCGTCAAACATGTCAATTCCAGCATTCGCAGTCGCGACCTCGGCATATGTGTCCATGGCATTCATCTTGCTCTTGTTCTTCTCGGCGACGGGTGAGATGCCCCTTCTGACTTGTAGTAGGTGATCGACGTTGGCGAAAGTGAGTTTGAGGAAGTTTCGTCGATGTCCGAGCAAATGGTTCGGCTGTGAGACGAGTTAGCAGAGTGTTTCAAATGTGTGTGAAGCCTTTTGCCTACCATTGACAGGTCCTCCTTGTCTATCCTTTGCACAGTCTTCACCATGCCTTCAAAAGACCTCTTACACCACTCTTCGACTTCTGGCTCCTTCCCTCTCTTGACTGCAATAAGAAAATAAGGGTCGTACTCGAGGGTGGCCTTGAAGGTGTTTCCGTCGTCTTGCAAAAAGTAAAAGTCAACGCCCGCGCGACCTCCTTGGTTCTTGCTGTCTTCAATGGTGGTACTGTGCATATTGACGAGCCATCCTTCTCTTTTCCTTCCAGCCTCGAAACGCTCGAAGCCCATGGCCTCGTCGATCTTGTGAGCCAGCCGTGTGGCCTCGAGCTTCTCATTCTGTGACGTTGCTTCTGATCCTCGTAGCGTTGATATGTCGGCAGTCTTCATTTTCCGTGATCCATAAGAGGTGTTGCCGCCTCTGCCCATGCGGCGGAAGTTTTGGCCGTTCTGTCTCGCCATGATGGCTGTGTGTAAGTTGTGATTCTCCGATTAGTGTCGATGTAATGTAAAGAATGTCGAGTCAAGTCCTTTCAGAATGAAAAATCATAAGTCGTAAAGCAGTGCAGCAGTAATGGTATACGAGAATTGAGCATGTACGAATCAACGACATGCAAAACAAAGACAAGCGGCGGTAAACGACACGCTCGACACGCGAAAGCTCGCGACGCGGACGTGAACAGATCTAAAGGAGATCGATTAGGGCTGAGCTGCATCTCGGCCTGCTCGGCTCGCGTGGTGGTCAGGGTCCGCGATTGCCTTTGCCGCAATGAGTTCATCGACTTTTGACATTCAAGAAGACTCGCGACCTCGTCTGAGAAACATTTCACAACCCATACACAACCATGTCAGACGATACGACACGGCAACCCGCAGCCACAGAAAAGGCTTTCACATCAGAGCAATGGAAGGATGCCGAAGCGACACACGCAAAGGCACCTGAGAATGCAAATGTCTACGCCGCTGCAGCATCACAGCACACCGCTGGTGGCTCGGCCGCAGATGTCACCCTTACAGACGCTGCAAAGACCATCAAGATTGACGACTTTGCCGATCTACCCAAGAAGCCATGTGTCAGAGACTCTCTTCTTACTGGAATGACTGCCGGATTTGTAGTAGGCAGTTCGAGAGCCATCTGGAGGGGTACGTCGCTCTCGCCTCTTGCACACCTCAATCGCATCTGCTAACAATGACCTCCAGCACCGATTCAGTCCGCCACGAACTGGGCTGTTGGAACCTTCGTCATTGGATCCGCCGCAATGTACCAATACTGCCAGCACAAGCGTCTGGCCGAGAAGGAGGGCATGACGCGTGCCATGGAAATCATCGACCGCAAGCAAGTCGAGCGCAAGCAGAAAGAAGCCCGTCTGGAGAGGGCAAGGGAGTTGCGCCGTCAGAAGAAGGAGCAGGAGGATAATCAGAAGTTCGCCGACTTGAACTCGGGAAATGTCACACCAGGCGAGCCCAAGCCTTCTTCGTGGAAGCTGTGGTAGACTGAGCATCAAGGACACCGAAACATACTCAAGAGGTCATCTTCTGGACACGAGCATACGACCTGTATTATTAGCCATGTATCATACCATGTACAATTCTCATTTAGGCAAGAGCATTTCTGGTCGCAAAGCATGCAGCATGTCATGGTGTCTTTCTCTACTATATCCTACACTTCATCCGCCAAAGATCTCCCTTTTCTGTTGTTATACGAGATCCTCTCACTTTCTAACAGGAGACTGACCAGGAATGATGACCTCCTTGAAGGGGTACTTGAGCTCGTCATCCTTTCTCATGAAATGCTTTCTTCTCTTCTTTGTGACGACGTGCTCGACGATAATCTCCTTGCCCATCTCCTTCATGTATTTTCTGATAAATCGCGGGTCCCAGAGCTCAGACGCAATGCCCAGGTCCTTGCAGCAGCGCATGAGAGCGTTGGACTTGCAGCCTTCGGTCGCCGTAGGGATGCCATTAGGGTCAAAGTATTGTTGTTCGCCGCGGGCTATCGAAACGAGTCTGAAGAAAGGTGTTAGCACATGCGACAGTCGATCGGGAATGTCGCGCAAAACTCACTGTCCACCACAAACCAGAGCGTACTCTCTGGTAACAAGCTTGTCCGTCACGATAGTCTCTCCACGAGGCACGAGACCCCATCCTCCGGGGCCGAAAGCCTTGTTTAGGATTCTTCTGTACTTGATCTCGGGCAGGTAGATGATGCCGTCGGGCTTGATTTCAATGTCGTCGAAAGGAACCTCTTGCATCAAGATGGCGCCAGCCTCTGCGCTGAAAGGTGTTGAAGAGATTCCGTGGAAAGAGCGGCTCCAGTCGACTTGCTTCTCACCCTCTTCCAGCGTCGGAGGAGGATCACTTAGACCCTCGGTGAGCGATCGCATAGGCTCGCTTGGTGCGGCGGCGGCTGGAGCAGCAGGCTTAGGTGTGTATGATGGCTGAGCTGTGGGAGCACGAGGAGGAGCCGGCTTGGGCGCGGTGGGAGCAGCTCCATCATAGCGGCGAGTTTGTGAGTTGAAGCTCCTGTAGGTTGATGGCGCAAGGTGAGATGAGCGGGTGCGGATGATACTACGCTGCGATGAGCTGACGGCTGACTCGAGGGCAGTGGCGACCTCTCGAAGGAATGTGGTGCGCATTTTGCTATGTATTTGGTTTTGTTGCGCGAGGAAGATTTCAGGCAGGAAATGGTTTATTGTAAGCAAATGGCGTGGCGACGCAGAGACATGGAAGCTGCCTCGTCAAAACACAACCACTATGGTACTTACCGCCTACATGATGCAGCTCTGTCTGATACCTGATCACATCTGGCACGCGTAGTTCATAGGACACGGAATGATAGAGACAGTATATTGTACAATTGCTCAGAGTTGAGAGTGTTTCTCTGATTGGCGACCATTGCGGTTGCATTTCATCATCCTCCGTTGGACCAGCAAGCTCTCATGCTGTGCAATCATGAAGCTCACCTGCTGCTCAACTGGCCTTCATTTCAGACGTTCTTTTGATCGGTCCTGCGATCATTGCCCTGCTTCTTCCAGCATTGCTTGAACTCTTCCATCTGTATCAGAATAATCAATATTTGTCTTGTCAATAGTCATTCCGGAGCACCGAAGCCAAAGTCCGAGACTTTTCAGACCGAGGCCGCTGCTTGCTCAACTCACCTCCGACTTGCACTGTCTCCAATCCTTCTTTTCGAAAAAGCAATCGTTCAGGCGTGTGTTTTCGACTGTTTTCCACTTCAGTGTCTTTGTCTTTCCATCTGGAGAGACACTCAGCCACTTACCTGAGCACCCAGTGCTGAAGATACGCTTGTCCCTGCAGTCTGTCTGAGCATTTCCGAGTCATACCAGAGTCCTTGAAAGAGATTGCAACTTACCAATCATCTGGCTCATCATCGTCTTCGACTGCACTTGCAGCATTTTGCTTGGGATCTCTTTCTGCCGCCATTTTCAAATTTCCTGTCGAGTGTTGAAAGAAACAAGAAGTGCTGGTCATCGAAGAAGCAGCGAGGATTCTCGGCCATTTACCAATCAAGTAATTGCCACAATTTCATAATCATGGCCGACAAAAGAGTTAATGTGCTTGTCTACTCGGGTATGTGTCTTTGATGAAGTCTACATTATAGCTACTGATAGTTCCGTCCAGGCAATGGTTCTACTGTCGAATCTGTCCGTCACTGTCTCTGGTCCTTGCGCCGGCTTCTCGGACCAAACTATGCTGTCATTCCCATCACTGGAGAGTCTGTCCTCAAGGAACCATGGACCGCATCTTGTGCTCTGTTCGTCATGCCTGGTGGTGCAGACGTAGGATACTGCCGCACTCTGAATGGTGAGGGCAACCGCAAGATCTCTGCCTACGTCAACAAAGGTGGTGCTTACCTTGGTCTCTGTGCTGGTGGCTACTACGCATGTAAGCGCTGCGAGTTCGAAGCTGGAAAGAAGGGTATGGAAGTCTGTGGTGATCGAGAGCTTGGCTTCTATCCTGGTATTTGCAGAGGTCTTGCTTTCCCTGGCTTCGTCTATCACAGCGAAGCTGGTGCTAGAGCTGCAGAGCTGAGCGTCAATAAGGAAGCTCTTAGCACCGTCGGTGGTGCTGTGCCCGAGACCTTCCGTTCCTACTACAATGGTGGCGGTGTCTTTGTCGATGCCGAGAAATACAAGGATCAAGGCGTGCAGGTTCTGGCAAGCTATACCGAACGTCTCCACGTCAACTCTGGTGAGGGTACTGCAGCAGTAGTCTACCGCAAGGTCGGAGAAGGTTCTGTCGTCCTGACCGGCCCGCATCCCGAGTAAGTTGTGTTCTACGATTGTGGAACTACGAGCTGACCGCATCAGATTCGCCGCAGTCAACCTCACCAAGGGTGCTGACAATCCGGCGTACCCGAGAATTGTCGAGGCTCTTGCTGCAGACGACAAACAGCGTAGTGACTTCATGAAGGCATGTCTTGCCAAGCTAGGATTGAAGCCTAGTCAAGACGACCAAGGTGTGCCGTCTCTATCTCGCCTTCATCTTTCTGCTACGGAAGCATCAGACATCTCAGAGATTGTCTCTTCCTGGACTGAAGTCGTCGAGGAAGTCGATGGCGAACATGTCATCAAAGGTGAGAATGACACTTTCCGTCTGGAGAAGCAAAGTGGACCATGGAAGAGCGATAGCTCCAGCACTCTCAGTCTTCAGAAGATCGCCGATGCTCTACCTGCTGTGGTGAAAGACGCCCTCCCTACCGCACTGACTGGCTCTACCTCGAACACTGCCGAGAAAGAGGGCACCAAACAGGACACCGGTATTGTCGACTACGACAAAGTGATCAAAAATCTCCTCATCCACGACACCTCCCTCCCCGACACAAAACAAACCCCCTATTTCAACCACCACGCCTACTTCTCAAACCTCGCCCACTACAAAAGCCGCCACCACCACAACACCTCCGAATCATTCGGCAACACGCTCCTCTACGGCGAAGTCGTGACCTCCACAAACACACTACTCGAAAAGAACCCCACCCTCCTCGCAAAGCTTCCCATCGGCACAACAGCAACAGCAACCACCCAAGTCGCCGGCCGAGGACGAGGAAACAACGTCTGGGTATCCCCACCCGGAAGCCTCATGTTCAGCACAATCCTCCACCACCCAATCTCCCTCTCCTCCACCGCCCCAGTAGTGTTTATCCAATACCTCTGCGCCCTCGCCATCGTCTCCGGCATCCAATCCTACGATAGAAATTACACCAAACTCCCCATAAAACTAAAATGGCCCAACGACATTTACGCCCTCGACCCTTCAAAAGGCCCTCACGCAAACCCCTCGGATCCAGCCTCTTATGCGAAAATCGGTGGTATACTTATCAACAGCAGTTATTCAGGTGGTGATTACACGCTTATCTGTGGAATCGGTATAAACGTCACCAATACCGCCCCAACAACCTCCCTAAACGCCCTCTGTCACGCCGCAAACCTAGCCCCCATACAGCTTGAAAAACTCCTCGCGTCAATCCTCGTAAACTTTGAATCTCTATATCTTCGTTTCTGCCATGGAGGTTTTTCACCGTTGTTGGATCAGTATTATGGGAATTGGTTGCATTCGGGACAAATCGTCACGCTGGAACAGGAAGGTGGTGTTAGAGCGAGGATTGCGGGCATCACGGGGGATTGGGGTCTTTTGGTGGCCGAGGAGTTGGGTTGGGAGGATAGACCTACGGGCAGGAAGTGGGAGTTGCAGAGTGATAGTAATAGTTTTGATTTCTTCAAGGGTTTGTTGAAGAAAAAGACTTGAAAGAAAAAAAAGAGGAGGAAGAGAAAAGGAAGTGTGGGAAGAAAAAAAAGAGAAAAGAGTGAGTTTGTTGGATACTTTGCAAATGTCATGTTGAATCAAAGCTCTCTTGATTATATGTGATCTTTTCCATCTTCTACTCGTGCGACTGCTTCTTCGTCCGGACTTGCTCTACTCTAGCATGGATGGCTCGACAGTGTCATGTATAGTAGATTCAGCACGCAAGAAATGAGAACTTTGTATCAAAGAGTAAAACGGTCGTGTGAAATATTCTTTTTCGAAAAGGGTCTATATATGCATTTCCGTCTATCAATGCAGTGCAAACGACTCGAATGCTGACGTTTCAGTGTCCCGTTCCAGTACAGTTCAACAATGAAGAAAAACGCCATTCTCATCATCAAATCGTAACACCATGCACACCATTCCCAAGACGCCGAAAGATGTTAATCAGACATTTGCAGCGATAGCAAGAGACAAGACTGGTTGCAGTCATCTAGCCTAGACCAGCCTTGCCCGACTTTACAGTAGCTTGTACAGGGACCAAAAGACCACCAGAGCCTTCCTTTCCAAGTGACATGCCAGCTGCCCAGCCCATCTTCTCCATGAGCTTTCTGCCGAAGTTGCTGGCTGGGATTTCTGATGCATTGTGACCGACGACATCGCCGTTACGGTATGCTGCTGCACCGCCGCCGCCACCACCCATCTGCCGGGTTCTTCTAATGTCGCCGGCGAGTGTGCTCTTGGGCTTGTGAGAAGAGTTCTTCATGTATCCTCTGCTGACAAAGTTTGAGACGCGGCCGAAGTGCTCTTCGCTCCACTCGACAGTTCTCTTCGTCTTGATAAGAACGGGGGCTCTGTTTTTGCCGCTGCCGACTGACTTGGACTTGAGATTGAAGTGGTTGGCGATCTCGTGGAGGACCTTACGGTCGTTCTTCTGCATGGGCGGGAAGGCCTTGGTGGTGAAGTCTTCCTGCTCCAAGAAGTCCTGGAGCTCGAATCGGACCTGGCCCATGGTGATGCCCTCGGTGTAGCGCTGGTTCATGTCCGGCTTGAACTTGTTCTTCTTGCCGAGCATGCCCAGTTGGCGCAGCTCCTCGCGCTCGGCCTTCTTGCTGGCCTTCTTTGAGCGGTCATTGGCCCATTGGTTTTGCAACTCCTCGACAAGATCAGAGTCGGACAAGCCCAACTCTTCAGGAAGTGGACCGTTCTTACGGCCCTTGTTCTTCTTCCTCAAGCTAGGACGGTCGTAGTCCATAACATCAAAGCCGCCGTATGCGTCCTGCTCCAGAACATCTGCCATGAGAGTGGCGTCGGGGAAGACGTCGCTCTTTCTGCCACTCTTCTTCTTCTTGCCTTTGGGTGTCTTGACAGCGTAGTTGGCAAGACCTGCGCGGGCGTCACCAACGTCTCCGAAGCGATCATCGTAAAGCATGATGTCGTCACCTCCGATACCTAGCTCTTCTTGCTTCATGAAAAGGAGAGCCAGCTCCTCGTCAGTCATGGCCTGGGCGCGTCGTTCTCTGATGTCGGCATCATCTTCCCATGCCTCTCGTTCCTCGCGCAATAGGCGTTCTTCGAGTTCCGAGCTGTCTTCGCTTCCAGAATCATCGTCATCGTCGTCCTCGTCGTCATCTTCCTCCTCTTCCGAGCCAGACTCATCTTCCCATTCGTCCTCCAAGCCAGTGACGTCGACGTCATCAGGATCCTTCTCTTCCTCGTTTAGGAGGCCATCGAAGAACTCGTCCGTATCGTCGCCAGAATCGCCACCGAGGCCACGGGTAGGCATATCCTCTGCGGCAATGTTGTCAATGTAGTCGCGCAACAGTTCATCCTCGAGATCCTGCTCAAGTCTGAAGATGCGGTTCTGCTTCTTTCTGGCATTCTTTGATTTGCGCGAAGCACGAACTCCACTAAGATCTTGGTCGAGACGATCGGCGAAACCGTTGGCCTCTTCCATCGAAGGCCAGTGTTCAGCAGGAGTGTGTGATGCGGACTTTTTGGACTTTGATTTCTCAACCATCTCTTTTGCCCACTCCGGTGGGTCGTCTAACGATCTCAGGAACTTCTCCATCTGAGGGTTGACTTGAGCCTCGGGCTGAGCGGCGGACTTGGACGATGGCTTGGCTGATGGCTTCGATGCAGGCTTCGGCGCGGACTTCTGAGCGACGGCAGGAGGATCGTCTCTGATTGTGACACCATTGCGACCACGGAAGACGACCTCGTCGCTTGATGTCGACCTTGCTACCGAAGGAGCGCGAGCGCGAGGGGCGGGGACAGATTTGGGACCTTTAAAGGCGAGCGACTCATCTCCGGCGGTATCGATGAAGAACATGGGAGCGTCCTCGGTAGGAGGCGACGGAGCGGAGAGCTGCTGTGGCGGGGGCTGTTCGATGGGGATTGTGACTTCGGCATGGATGTGCACGGTTTCGTCAATGTCCATGTCGATCTCATTCGCGCCGTCTAACGAAGGAATGGCGACGGGTGGTTGAGCGTTAATGTCCATCTGAGCCATTGCATCTTCCGAGTTGCGCAAATCAATGTCTTGAGGGGCAAAGTTCAAGGACTTCTTTACAGCAGGCTTGTCGACCTTGGGCTCATCGAGCGGGGCCATTGAGCCAGCACTGACAAAGGAAATCTTCTGATCCCGTAGTCGTGACTCTTTCGACCACTCATGCTTCGCTGTGCTCTGGAGTTCATCTCTTAATGAAAAGTGCGGCTTCGGAGTGTTTGCGCCTGGGGAGAAGAAGTTCAGCTGACAGAGGTAGCTGGCGAGAGAGCGATAGACTGACCGGTGTGGTTGCTGGAGTCGTCGTCGCGAAAAGCAAAGGCGTTCTTGTTGCGTGGCGGGGTGTACTTTGCAGCCTTCTTTCGGAGATTCTTACCCATCTTGTGAAGGAAGTCGGGTGTGCGAAAACGAACTTGAAAGAATACAGATACTTGACACAGAGGACGAGCGAATGCAGAAACAGCGAAAGGTGTGCTGAATAGAGATGAGGCTGTTCCTGAAAGGCAGGAGCGTTTGGAGGCGAAAGTGAAGCGTGGGAGGGCCAAAGGCTCAGCGAAGCGGCGTCATTCAACCCACTCGGTTCAGGGACCCACGTTGACGCTTTTAAGGCGCTAACTCCGAAACCCCAGGCATCACGCAGCCATCACGGTCTTGAGGCTCAGAGGAACGATAACAACGACTAGACTTGTTTGCTGCTGTGGCCATCTCATGCAGATACTGCCATGAACAGTGACAACCTCGTCCGCTTCGCCGGGCACCTCTATAGATCTTTCTGGGACCCCATGCCAACCAACAAGCACAACGACGCCATCTGGTGTCTGGGCCAGAGATACGACTCACACCCTGAGCTCTTGCCAGTCGAGGCCACCCAGCCCCAGTCACCTCCTGCTCCTCCTACTTCATCCACTACTCCATCCACTACTCCATCCACAAGCGATACGGCTCGACCAGCCCCAACGACAGTGCCGCAGCAAGAAGACGAGTTCGAAACCATCCAAGCCAAAGAAGCCATCAACGACAACGGCTGGCCACCTGCCTTTCTCGACGACTTGGAGTCTCGCATCTGGTTGACATATCGCTCCGAATTTCCTCAGATCGCAAAGTCCACCAACCCCGATGCTGCCTCTGGTCTATCGTTCAGAACTCGTCTGTTACAGCTGGGCAACTCAGGAGGCTTCACGAGCGACTCGGGCTGGGGTTGCATGATTAGGACTGGTCAGAGTCTGTTGGCAAACACTCTGCAGATACTCGAACTGGGAAGAGGTACGGATACTCCTGCTTGTCTTAGACTCTTTGCGACTTTCGGCTGATGATGAACTTAGATTGGCGCAAGGGAGAGCAGACGGACACCGAGCGTGGGCTATTGTCTCTGTTCGCAGATGACCCTTCCGCTCCCTTTTCCATCCATCGCTTCGTCGAACACGGTGCCAAAGCCTGTGGCAAGCATCCGGGACAGTGGTTTGGCCCTTCGGCTGCTGCTCGTTGCATTCAGTATGCCTCTCCGATCACTTCTCCATACCATGTTCGCTAACACTCTACAGAGCCTTGGTAGATTCGCATCCTCCTTCTGGTCTTCGAGTATATATTCGTCCTGATGACTCGAACGTCTATCAGGACAGCTTCATGGGCGTTGCTCGTGACAAACATGGCTCTTTCCAGCCGACCCTGATCCTGCTAGGAACCATGTTGGGTATCAGTGGTGTTACTCCCTCTTACAGAGAAGGCATCAAAGCTGCTCTTCGTCTTCCACAGAGCGTCGGTATCGCTGGGTATCGTCCATTTCTCCACTGCACAACTACAACCCTTAGCTGACTCTTTCTCGTAGCGGCCGCCCTGCTTCCTCACACTACTTCATCGGCACTCAAGCCGACCATCTCTTCTACCTCGACCCACACACTACGCGACCTCTCCTCCCTTCATCACCCTCCGAAGCCGACATCGCTACCTGCCACACACGCCGTCTCCATCTGATACCCCTCGAAGGCATGGATCCCTCCATGCTTCTCGGCTTCCTCATCCGCGACGAAGTAGACTGGAATAATTGGAAAGCCGCCATCCAATCACCTCCTCCCACAGGCACAAAGAGCATCGTACACATCTACGACACTGAGCCCTCGCTTGGAGGCGGCGCGACAGATGCTGACTACGAACGCGCTATTGCGGAGGTACAGAGTTGTGATGAGGACGAGGAGGAAGAAGCGATTATCTGACGAACCCGCATGACAATCTTATGCTACGACGAATTCTGACGGCGTTTTTCTTCTTTTCTGGCATATCTCTGCGGATTTTCCGTTTTTGGATCACTGGGGGTGGGTGTTTTCTTTTCGCGACACGGAGGTTTCTTTTTACACGCGCACACCGTGCATCCTATAGGCATTTTCTCGCGCTCTTGTCCTGCTTTGACGGGCGCGTTGTGGTGTTTCGGGTTTGATGGACCTTTTTTCTATGACGAGCAGGTATACCAATTTGACACTTTTCTTTTTCTCATTCTTACGCGACGTGATCTGGTGGTTGGTGATCTTGAGGTGGCTGGGTATTTCGCTTCGGCTTTTGCTTCGGATATCGGCGGCTCTGATTTGATGGTCAGGGTTGTACCCCAAGCAAGCTGTTTTCGGGTCGACGACGATGTTGTGACTGCACCATTAAGTCTTTCTCCTTGTGTACTCTTCCAGTATACTTCCACATGTCTTTAAGGTGAGGAAGATAAGTCTAGTGTCTGTAGGTAGCTTCTTCGTCTTGCTACATTTGAATCTCACTTTTCAGATATGCTTGACCGAGAACATGTCCTCAGCTCATTGTAAAACAAATGAGATGGCAAAGATGAAAGAGTATGAGGACCATCGACAACAATACTGTATAGAAAGAGTACAAAAGCTCATATCCACATATCTGCACCACATAAAAGTAAGCCCAATGAATACCAACACCCTCACACCCTCACCGTCGTCAAAACCCAAGCATTTATACCCCAAAGCAGGGTGCCACCCCATACATACCCTCCTTGGCCAAAACGCAGCATCAAATACCCTCGAAACACTCAAAGACTCCCTGTTTCCCCCTCCTGGGTGTTACGACAAACACATAGCCTACACACACACATCCATATATATCCCCCTCCTCTCCCCAATCATCATCCCTCCATCACGCAGCTCTAACATCTCATTATCGATACAACTCTCCTTGATACCCGTTGCCATGCCAGAAAGTAAAGTAAGCTTGGACTTGCATTGCTTGCACTGCTTGCAGAGCTCTGTCTCCAAGCATGGCAACGGACCACCGTGACAGTTTCGCGTTTCCAATGCAATGCCTTTGATGTTGGATTGGCATTGGATCTATATGTGATTTTTGGCAAGATTCGAGTATCCGCCTTTTTGGGAGGGGGGGGGGGGGGGGATCGGTTTGTGGTTCTCGAGGGTTTGATTATGGGCCCATTTTTTTGACGTCTTGTTCTCGAGTTTTACGGATTGCTATTTGGAGCTCAAGTTGCTCTTCTTATTCGACTTCCGAGGGCTGCGAATTCGGGTGAAGGAGCAAACTGGAAGGAATGATTTGGGAGTCGAGAAAGCAGATAAGCAAATGTGCGAAAAGAGTAGTAAAGGTTTGGAAAATCGATTTGGTTTCATCCTCCATAGTTCTCGGCTCTGATGTACAGCTCTGTATCGAACCTGTTCTGCGCCTCTCTTCTTGAATTGTCGTAAACCCCCGATGTCTGAAAATGAAAATAGAAAAAACACACTGCGCAATAAACTTATACCCCATTCCCATGACCGCATTATCAGAAAGAAGAAGTAAGAACCCCGCTAAACACCGTCCCAATTGGAAACCACCCCGTTGCCCAAAGCCCAGTCTTCAAAGCAAATCATATGCTGGAAAACTTGAGGTGGTGGTATCACAGAGAAAAGGAAGCCATCATGTCAAAAGCAACTCTCTACTTGGTGGAAGAGGAGTACTTGGTGACGGCCTTGGTGCCTTCTGAGACGGCGTGCTTGGCAAGTTCACCGGGGAGAATGAGACGGACACTGAAGATTGAAAGTCAGAAAACGAAAAGCGAAAAAAGAGGTAGTATGCGAATCATGACTTACGAGGTCTGGATCTCACGCGAAGAGATGGTGGACTTCTTGTTGTAGGCAGCAAGCTTGGAAGCCTCGGTAGCGACACGCTCGAAGATGTCGTTGACGAAGGAGTTCAGGATGGACATGGCACGGTTGGAGATACCAGTGTCGGGGTGGACCTGCTTGAGGACTGTGGAAGAAACGCGTCAGTAAATGATGGAAAAACGCGACTTGTTGATGCGAAAAGAGTCGAATCGATGAAACAAGGTGATGCGATCAAGGAAGAGACGCGATTCGGATCAAGAGGGAAGGAGTGGCGTACCCTTGTAGATGTAGGAGGAGTAGGTCTCCTTTCTGGTCTTGGTGCGCTTCTTCTTGTCACCGGAGGGGGCGGCGGTCTTCTTGCCAGCCTCCTTCTTCTCAGCGGGAGCCTTGCCAGCGGCAGGGGCCTTGCCGCCAGTGGTGGGAGTCTTCTGAGCTGCCTTGGGTGCCATTTCGAGTGATGTGGATTTGAAAAGTCGATTGACTTGAGTGGTGGAGTTGAGTGAGTTGTTTGGGGTGGTGGACACGTAAAATGCGCGGAGTGTTGATGATGGATGAAGAAAGAGGAGGGAGGGTGCTGTCGATGGGGAACAGCTTGAATATATACGGAAGCGCGGGCGTCGCGAATCAATCGCAGCTTGCTTCACTCAGATGTGACGCCCCGGCCGAGCTCTGACCACCGCGCCGACTGGGTCGCTCCTTCCCTCAGATTCGTATTAGCGGCGCGCCAAGCCCCGATTGAATTGGTCGACAAGCGAAGCAAGTGACGGCCGGCCTGTGCTTTCCCTCCAGCGAGTTGGTGATGCGGGCGAGCTGTGATCTTTCCGCATCAACGTCAAGCAGCGTCGCGACTACTTAACTAGAAAGCTCCCCCCAACAGCCTGTCGCCTTCTTCCTTCATCTCTCATCAACGCTTCTCAACTCACGCCCGACGTATTCATCTACCGCTTTTTAGCACCACTTTCAACGCACCTTTTCAACCACCCCAACCAAATCAATCAAAATGACTGGAGGCAAGTCTGGCGGCAAGGCCACTGGCACCAAGAGCTCCGCTCAGAGGTAAGCGCAATTCCCACCTTCATTCACTTGTCGCTTTTGCGCTCCATTCGACGCGCTTTTTTCAACCAAAACAACGCGTTTTCACATTTAAATCACTCGAATCTCATATACTGACTTCCATCTCAGCCGTTCTTCCAAGGCCGGTCTCGCTTTCCCCGTCGGTCGTGTCCACCGTCTCCTCCGCAAGGGCAACTACGCCCAGCGTGTCGGTGCTGGTGAGTCAACTCGCATCTTTCAATCCAATCACATCTAACGCGTCCATCAGGTGCCCCCGTCTACCTCGCCGCCGTTCTCGAGTACCTGGCTGCTGAGATCCTCGAGTTGGCTGGTAACGCCGCTCGTGACAACAAGAAGACCCGTATCATTCCCCGTCACTTGCAGCTCGCCATCCGCAACGACGAGGAGTTGAACAAGCTTCTCGGACACGTCACCATTGCCCAGGGTGGTGTTCTCCCCAACATCCACCAGAGTACGTCTCATCCCACTTCCACAATCAGACTGTCACATTCTAACATATCTTCCAGACCTTCTCCCCAAGAAGACCGCTGCCCCCAAGGCTACCGGTGGTCCCAGCCAGGAGCTGTAAGCAAATCGCTTCTGCTTCTTTGCTTTTGGGTTTTACGGCGCGCGTGGGGTGCTGCTTTTCTTCAGCTACGATAATGGGGTTTTAACGGACTGGGCACACAAGTGATTTTATTAACGGGAAGAGCATTTTCTTTTTTTCAATTCCGAACGCAACTTCTTTGATTCACAAGTTGCGAGACAGAAGAACAGGGCTGTACATTACCAACCATGGCCATGGATGGGCGAATGACAACGGGGGAATAGCTGAATGACACGAGCTTTTGATACCATTACCATCAACCAATTCAGCTTCTTTTCAAACTTCATACACCTTGCCTCTTTCCTCTCCTTTCCTCAGCATCCGGCTCTCACATCATCCTCCTCTAGCTTCTTACCTCTCATTCCACAACCTCCACACTCTGGCGAAACTGACTTGCAGGAAACGCGCTCACATCAGCATACCGACACCGTCCGCCAAAACGGACAAGCAGGCGACATGGCAGCAGGAGATGAACATGGCGAAGCGCGCCATCAACAATACCACCAAATCGACCCAGGATCTGTGACAGCAACGAGACTTGGAGAAATGGCCAACATGACGCAGAAAACAGGATACAAGAACAGCCCAACCGGAAGATTACCGAGTAAACGACAAGATAGGTCGAATAAGAAGAAAGCAGCAGAGGAGACGAGAAACCAGAAGCATGAACTTGGAAGCAGCACAATCGACCAAGAACATGGACAAGGCAGCAAGAACAAGATGACAAAGGCAATAGCACATCCTGGACCAGAGTCAAGTGGTAGAAACAATCTCGAAGCGATCGTGAAACAACTGTGGCTGAAGTTGAAGAAAAACAGGTTATTTGATATCTACTCAAGAAGGAAAAGAAAGGTCGAGCTAGCCAAAGCAAAGAAGAGGAAAAGCGTATAAAGAGGGAAATAGTCAGGTCTCGTGAACAAATGTGAATTAAGCAAGACTCTCTGGCTCTGCTGTACCTTGCTTTCTTTCGCCATTTCCTCCTCAAAGGCTACAAGCTTAGATCAGTGAGGTGGTCCTGATGCACAAAACCCACTCCAAGTAGCGCTCTGTCCAAGGGAGAGGAATCGTTGTGCTCAAACCCTCGTAGATGAATGAAATTCCCCAGACTTATTTGTGGGTTCCTTCAGAAGAGTTGTCTTTATCTCGTAAGATGACACTTGAGCCGTGACTGAAAAAGCGACACAAGCAGTCAAGACAGAGAACAACGCATTCAAGAAAGACGGACATGGAGAGGGTATCATAGCAGCGGCAAGCTTGACGAAAGCAGAGGGTTCAAAAAGCGTAAACTCTTGTTTGAGCGATCAGAGTGGGAATATAGTCGTGAATCACCGTTGCGTGGGAGAAGAAAGTTGGATCAAACCACTACTCCTACCTTTTACTTCTTACTCTAGCGGATGGGAAAAGTGCTCTGTAGCTTCAAGTTGTACAAGACTATTCTGCTCTAATGTGTAGGTAATAGCGAAGGAAGACTTGAAGGGAGCAATTGTTTCATGAACGGAAAAGAAAAGGTATCGATTTAAGGCTTGTGGTATCTACATTTAGCAGCCTGGCGGAGGAGCTGTGGGATGATGTGTCAGCGAGACAAGCGCAAGGGAGGATAGGAGGTGCTGCATACGCTCAAGGATGGGGCAAGGCAAGTTACGCTCGAACTTGCTGCCACCAGGAGCAGTGGGAGGACGGTATGGGTCGGGGTGCTTCCACTGCTTGAGAAGTTCTTCGGTCTGGTCGAAGAGGATCTGATGAGAAGAGAAGAAAGGACACGTTAGCGGGCCGTGTTCCAGAAGAGAAGCGGATGTTGTAGCGACAGCATCGGAGTCTGCCAGATAGGACGAAGCGCGTGGATTGGTGAAAGGTGCAGGCTCACTCTCTGTTGTCTCGGCTCGCGGACGTTGCTGTTTGCTTCGAAGAGGGAGCGGATGTACAAGGCCTGACCGCGCCAGAGGTGACGGTGGACGGACCAGTCAAGGGCCAGCTTGAGTGACCGGCGGTACAGACGGCTGCGACCAGAGGGTCAGTATGCGCGCGCAAGACATGGACGTCGGGTCGAGAGGGCAGTTACATGGCGGGGATGTTGGCCATTGTGAGAGGTGGTCCGGATGGTCAGCCGGGGTGTGAGAGGTGAATTGCTGTCAACAGGTCGCTCTACAGATCCTAAATGTTCTGCTGCGACTTCCTACACCAGGCTGGGCGTGACTTCCTACTCAGGACGCGGTCGCAGTTGCTGACCTCTTGGCTGGCTTCGTAGGGCTGACTTGGCTGAGTCGGGCCCGGCTGTGAGGTCGGAGCATCACGGGCTGACGTACCGACCGCTTGCTTGCGGCTGATCAAGACGGCCTGGGACATCATTTTCTCTCCCCATCTCCCCTCTTGCTGCAAAGCATCAACTGCTACTATCCCTAGCACCCGTATACCGCAACTACTCTCCCAACACCGGACCGCCTCTTCACCGCGATCCCTTGTTGCGCTCGACTTTCGCTCTCGCCTCTTTTCTCCATTGCTGGCTTCCCGTTTTTCTGCATACACCATGTCCAGCCGTCAATGTCTCCGTCTGGCCGCAGGTAGCTCCATGCGCCCTGTTGTCCGCGCCGCTCCCAGATACGCCTCTCGCTCTGCCGCTGCTCTGAGATGCCTCTCCACCTCCTCCGTCTCGCGCTCCTCTGTCCTCCTGTCACAACAACCGAGGTAAACATGGCTGCAAACAACACAAAAGACGTCCTCCTGATCACATAACCAGGACACCTGCACACCTCATCCGCTCCTCTCCCATTGCCCAGGTCCAAACTCGCGGCTATGGTGCGTCAACTTGCCTGGAATCATACACGCTCGCATACTAACAGCTATCTTACAGCTGAGAAGATCGTCCAGGTCCCTACCATGGCCGAGTCTATCACAGAGGGTACCCTTAAGCAGTTCTCAAAACGTGAGTCGACGCTTCGGAATAATCACAAAGCCTTCATCTAACCATGGCGCAGAGATCGGTGACTACGTCGAGCAAGATGAGGAGATCGCTACCATTGAGACCGACAAGGTACACAACAATCAACATGCGCGATTTTCCTCTGCTCCATACTAACCACTCTCGACTCACAGATCGACGTTGCCGTCAACGCTCCCGAGGCTGGTACCATCAAGGAGTTCTTGGTCAACGAGGAGGATACCGTCACCGTCGGTCAGGATCTGTTGAAGATGGAGCTTGGCGGTGCTCCCTCTGGTGGTAAGGCTGAGCAGGCCAACGAGGAGCCCAAGGCACCTGCCTCAGACAAGAAGGAGACCTCATCTCAGCCCGATGGTGGAAAGGAGAAGGAGGCACCCAAGGAGGAGAAGAAGCCCGAGCCCAAGAAGGAAGAGCCCAAGAAGGCCGACAAGCCCGCACCCGCCCCCAAGAAGGAGGAGAAGAAGACTGAGCCCAAGAAGGACTCCAAGCCTCAGGAAGAATCTGCCTACGGCAGCCGTGAGGAGCGTCGCGTAAGACAAAACACGATTCCTGAGAAGCTGTGAGCTAGTACTGACAAAGTGATTACAGGTCAAGATGAACCGCATGCGTCTGCGTATCGCCGAGCGCCTGAAGCAGTCGCAGAACACCGCCGCTTCCCTCACCACCTTCAACGAGGTTGACATGTCCGCCCTCATGGACATGCGCAAGCAGTACAAGGAGGAGATTCTCAAGAAGACCGGTGTCAAGCTCGGCTTCATGTCCGCTTTCTCCCGCGCATCCGTTCTGGCCATGAAGGACCTCCCCTCGGTCAACGCCGCCATCGAGGGCCCCAACGGTGGTGACACCGTCGTCTACCGCGACTATGTCGACATCTCCGTCGCCGTTGCCACCGAGAAGGGTCTCGTCACCCCCGTCGTCCGCAACGCCGAGTCCATGGACATGGTTGGCATTGAGAAGGCCATCGCCGAGCTCGGCAAGAAGGCCCGCGACAACAAGCTCACCATCGAGGACATGGCTGGCGGTACCTTCACCATCTCCAACGGCGGTGTCTTTGGCTCGCTCTACGGCACTCCCATCATCAACCTGCCCCAGGCCGCCGTCTTGGGTCTCCACGCCATCAAGGAGCGTCCCGTCGCCGTCAACGGCAAGGTCGAGATCCGCCCCATGATGTACCTCGCCCTCACCTACGACCACCGTCTCCTCGACGGCAGGGAAGCCGTCACCTTCCTCGTCAAGGTCAAGGAGTACATCGAGGACCCCCGCAAGATGCTCTTCGGCATCTAGGTTTCTCATTTTGACTTTTTCTAATTACACCCCCTTAGTCATTGCGTCTCATCATGAAAGAGCATCCTGATCCTCTGAATAAGAGGATTTTGTACGTGCTTGTAGGAAACTGGAGAGGAGACTCTCTTGTGTGTATATCTAAATCTTCTTTGTTTACCCTCATGATCGAGTCCCGTCTACTCCTCTTCTCAACCAACCTTGTCGTGACTTGACTCCCAATCGGTCTCGGTTTCGTCGTGAAACTTGCCTCGAAGCGTCGGGTTTTGTGATTGCTGTTCTTCCAGCCGTGTCTTTTTGAGTTTTATACTACCACTGGAGCTACACTTGCGATGAAACAATGGACCAATTTCTGTTCGAATAGGCTTCAGAATAAGGCTGGATGATGGAGACTACGATTGAGAACCAGTTCGTGGGTTTATCGCATCTTGGTGCTCTTTTAGACGGTATGTCGCTATTGCACTCTGTATATTGAGAGTCGAGTGTTTGCCGAGTTGGAGTTGGAGTCTTTGTGCTAAGAGGAAGCGGAGCCTCCACTTTCCGAGTGGAGCCGGTGATTGCCGCTTGACAGGGTTGTCCTGTAAGCATGCTGTGTTTTCGATGTCGACGATGTAGCAGTCCACCATGACATTTAATACTTGGTTGGACTATCTGATATATACCTTTATTGTCTTTTCTAGGACGCGCCGAGTTCTTGGATCAGCACGTTTGATGATAGAAGAGATATCGTTGTTTTATTATTTTCAAATGTGGTATCTTGGAATATGTCGGCCAGCTGCTGCCACTGAGAGCAGTATTTTCAAAATGAGTGTCAAAAATATGTTTCATACTGATATGTGTTGCAATACTGCAGAAATCTCGTCTGCATTCGGTTTTGTCCTAGACTATGGGCAGGTCAATCACCTGGAGCAGTACTGAAGAAAAAAGATGTATGTGTAACTTGCTGTGTTCCTTTCGAGTGTTTCGACCATGGTTTATGGAGTCACCCTGTCACAAGACGCCTGCCCGATACTTGTTCGCAACGCTGGCTGCATACGTACACATCATCGCAAGCCACACAGACTGTTCGCTTCAGTTTTTCGTCGAAATTGTCGGCTTATAACGCCAGACCGCTGCAAAGCAAACGATGATTAATAAGCTTCCAGCCACCTTGCTCAATAACCTGGATTTTGATTATAGCGTCTTCCACAGATCCAGTACATTCGCATCGGTTGGCTTCACATGGAGAGATCTCAGCCCAAAAGGCCCCACAAAGTCGAAGCCATCAAGAGAAAAGCCGAACCACAACTCTGTCGAGTCAGCGCACAGAAACTACTCTTTCATCGAGGAACCTTCGACACAACGCCGAAAGAGATACCCTGTGCTCCACTGATTTTGGTTGGCTGCTTACTGAATGGCGAGCGACGCCGTCAATAGGCGCCCTCTTCTGCTCTCGACTCATGACTTGCGTTTGAAGTTCGAATAGGGATGGCGCAACGGAACCCCATGCTCTGACAAGTACCATACTTCTCAAGTTTCCCTTTCCGTATTACACGTGGGCGTTCTTCGGTAGCATGTTTACAAGGTTCGGACGGGTGCGGACCAGCCTTTGATGGTCTACACTTATCTCAGCACAGTCTATTCTTCTCAATAGCAGGTACTCGGACGTAAGAAACATGCACGATTCGAGACACGAAGTTGGCCTTGGCACGACCTGTTGCACTCAAGCTCATCTTACTCGAGTATCTATGTCACGCCTCTTTGAGATTGGCAATAGAGTTGAGTGAACACCAGAGTACTTCTCTGCCGTTTGCCTCTCAGATCCACCGACCACCTGCCGACATCGTAACACGTCTTGGCGCCTTGTTCTTCTCGCTTTCGGGAGTTTTGAAGCCGCTGCATTCTGAAACTCCATCACGGTACACTAACATAACAATTGTCAGAGATCGTCAAAAAGAGGCAACACTCGACTTTCTCACCCATCTGGTCGAAGCTCTTTGACTCAGATTGATGTCCCTTCTCCAGTCCCTTCTGCCGGGTATGGTCAATCTTTATTTCTGCCGGCTCACGTGCTATGCGATTACGCTTTCCAGACACTGGTCGTTTGGTACACACGCTACGAACACCAACAGGGTCCTCAAGATACTGCATAGAGTTTCAGTATCGACAGGACTACCTTACATGGCCGCATGACCTCATGACTACAGCCACTCAGGTAATCGGCGAAGGAGAACTCTCGCACATTACATTCGTGCTGCAATTGCCGTCGACAGGTCACACTGTGCACAGGCTTCCTCTTCTCCACACGCTTTGACCTCTCCTTACACTTCCAGGCTGAGATATGTCGTGGATCTTCGCACACGGATCACACCCGGTGAATCAATTTGCTGGGTCATCCAGTCCCCAGTGATGCTTCAAACGCTAAGTGTTATGGTTCAAGGCTAAGATCGGCTCCTAATTCGAGAAGCCGCCCTGTAACTGGCTACATTCGGAGTGACAATTCAGGATTGGTTCAGTTCCATGACTCCTGGGCCGTCGATTATGATAATGCACTCACCCAGTTTCGAAAATCTGTACAGCCGTGTGGCGTCCTTTATAGCTTTATCTCAGCATGGTCCCCTTACCCTCCCTCGGCGGAATTCAGACCGTTTATTGCTGATTGTTTACTCGCGACGACATCTCACCCGTCACTAATTGAAGAGAGCCTCAGCTGGTCTGAATTTTTGCTCAAATACAGTGTTAGTACTCACGACTTTGAACATGAAGTCCTTCGTGGCGCTGTTGATCTTCGTCTTTGCTTGTTGCTCTCAAGCACTTCAAGCAAAACAAGCACAAGAGCCGAGTGGTGCAGACCTTCTAGCGCTTGCAGTAGAGAAGTTACCATCGTGCGCGGTATGTTGAAGCGATCGGAGTGTGGTAGTGATGCTGAGACTGATATTATATAGCTCACATGCACAATAACAACGCTCGGTGCCTCAGAATGCGAGCTTACAAATGTCGCTTGCATCAAAGCCAACAAACCACTTCAAGATGAGTTGAGCAAGTGCGTCAGAGCAAGCTGTACCATCAAGGAGTCACTCAGTATGTTGGAACAAGCCATCTGTGATGGGATATCTGCTGATTACTGTAGCTGCAAAGGCTTTCCTCCAAGACTTGTTGGGTGTGAAGCGTCGCAACAAGGAGGCTCTAGGAACCTATACTACCTTGATCGTCGGAGGTCTGGCTATTCTGGCATGGGTTCTGCGAGTGATTGCCCGTATGCCGGGTCTAAACTCGAAATGGGGTCTTGATGACTGGGCTTTGAGTCTCTCGATGGTAACACATAGCTGTTCTTCATGAGAAACAAGACTAATGCATTGTAGCTCTTCATTATCCCGCTGACAATTTGCGCATATGCTCGTAAGTTCTCGTCACAATGTAGTCCTGATTATGTCTAACAGTCCACAGTCAACCAGATTGGTATGGGAAAAGACATGTGGTTCGTGTCTTTTGGTCATATCACAAAGATTTTAGAGGTACGACTCAAACATCTTAATCAGGAGATTGTAACTCACAAGTCCATGATCAGATCTTCTACTTTACCGAACTGCTCTATCTGGCAGCTATCGGTCTGACAAAGGTTTCGATCTTGCTATTCTACCTTCGCATCTTCCCAGACTGGAAGCTCCGACGCGCCATCTATGCCATGATTGGACTTTGTGTGGCCTATATCGTCGTATTCGTCACCGTCACTGCCTTACAGTGTATTCCTGTCAGTATGGCTTGGGAGAAATGGGATGGTGAGCATAAGGGAAAATGCTTGAACCTGAATGCCGATGGTTGGGCGTCTGCATCTCTCAACATCATTCTCGATTTGGTTGTCATCGTCTTACCCATGAAGCAACTTACAGTGCTCAATATGGACTGGCAACGCAAGTTGGGTGTCATTGTCATGTTCCTCGGTGGTGGCTTGTAAGTTTGGCTCCTCTCGAAACATCTCCAAAACACATGCTAAATTTTTACAGCGTCACCATTGTCAGTATCCTACGCCTCAAGTATCTCATTCAATTCGCCCACACGGACAATGTAACCTGGGACTACCTACCCGTAGGATACTGGTCAGCAGTAGAGACTCACGTCGGCGTAATGGTCGCCTGCGCCCCAGCAATCCGCTCCCTCCAACGCCAAATCCGCGATAAAATCTGGCCCAAGCCCGCATCCAACCCAAGTTACTACACCAGCGACACAAAAGCCAGCAGCAGCAAACAAAAGAGCAAAAACGACTCTGCAAGCCGCACCTGGGGCTCCAAAGTGGATAGATCTCGAATGAGCACTTTGAGCAGTCGCAAAGACGATTTTGTTCAGATTGACGAGTATGAGATGAATGTTGGGAGCAACTTTGACAAGGATGATAGGACGATTGGGGAGGAGTCGTCGGAGGGGTCTATTAATCGGTCGTATACGCCGCATGATGATGTTGCTCCTTTAGCTGCTACGGCGGCACCGATTGGACTTGGTGTGAATGGCATTATGGTACACACAGACTGGAGTGTTGGAAGAGAGAGCAGAGACACGAGGCGACCCAGCAAAGGTCTGTAACACACCTAAGAGTTTTATTTGTTGTTACATCCATATAGTAATTGCGACCATAAGTATAAAAAAGCTCATATGGCCAGTCAGTCAGCCTTACTTGATCTTTATCCATGCCATGAGCCACGACTTTTGGCCACATTGCGCGCCAAACTTGGCAAAGTGTCGATCATGACGGTCAGCCAAGCACAAGTGAGCACAAGTGCTCCCAAAATAGCCAGTCCTTTCGACCTTTCGAACCACTGCTTTTCCATACTGCCACAACTTTGCATGACCGCAGTAACTTAAAAGCTTGCCCGGACATAGGCTGTAGCATCTATTGTACATATTATTGGCAGGTAGGACGACGTCCATTTAGCTATCTATACCAAGCAAACTGTCACGACCACGAAGGAACTTGCTATACTTGAAGATCTCCAAGCCCTTGCAGACCTTGGCTGAAGATCTCCTGGCAGTAACTCCTCCGCCATGCATTTTTTCCTGCAAGGGAGTTAGCTACACAGATCACGAGACGGGCGAGTCACCGTGCTACTTTTGAATCCTTCGAGGAAGGCGGTGCAATTCCAGCCGCAAGTAAAAAAAAGAAGGACTTCATGTATAAGGACACCTGCAACTACAAGAACCTGTGAACACTTTTCACACAAACACACCTTGCGCAAAGTTCGTCAATATGAATATCCGCAAATACGAAAGTCGGAAAACACACCAAGTTTGGGGCTCCGGTCACGGCAGCCCAAGTCTTATGATCCTAGCCTCTCTCATCGTAAACACCATTGCTCTCCTCGTCGTCATAATTGTAAATACAACTGTTGTAGATGACGGCTCCAATGACTATGGACAAGGGTATACTCCCCCCCCCCCCCCCCCCCTCTGCCCTTCCAATCACGTGGTATCTTCGAGAAGAGATAGTATACTGATATCCCGACAGTTTTGGCTGGACAATCATGACGCCAGCACCTGCTGCTGGGATCCTCTGGGCTCTGCTTGATGTAGTGGTTGTCAGAATTTCAGTCTTGCATCCGATTTATTACCTCACAGAGGCGAGTATTTTGATGGTGTTTAATCTTGTCATGGGAGCCATGAGTATTAGCTTTTATAGGTGAGTTTCAGACATGGATGGTGAGTGTGAGAGGGAAACAAACTGATTGAATGAACAGTTGGGATTCTGATGGTTCTTGGGTACCTGGCATCTTTGTTTTGATTTCTGGGGTTGTGTAAGTGGCTGTTTGTTGGAGTATGAAGGAAGAGTTGAGTTGCTGACTGTGACAGGTATTTGGCTATTATGGTAATTTCGGCCGTGTTGGTGCATAAACGCAAGACTCGTCCTCAGCAGATTTATACTGCATAAGACTCTGGTGGTGCCTAGCACGACTATAGCACAAGTTATGATGACGAAATCTGGGAAAATCATACATCTGTGGTAGATCCTAGGAGTCTGCGATGAGCATTGATACGGGAGAAGTACTAGTAATGTGTAAACAAACGAAAGTGTCAATTGAGCATAATGGAACAGAACACTTAGAAAGTCGATTGTGCCGTCTGCCACTGCTTTGCCCGTAACTCCAAATAAGCTCTTCCCTTCGATCTCGCCTTCATCGGTGTCTGGCGTGCAGCAGAACTCTCCACAGAACGTGTGTACTCGGACAACCACATCCTTTCGCTAATTCGAGGCGGATGAATTTCATGTTCGGGAGCCAAGTTTTTAGCTTCCTTTGAACACAAGATGCCCATTACAGCACTCAAACTCTGGTGTACCAAAGAAAGTCTCGCAAGACTATTCGCAACCTTTGGCGAATCTCTGAATACAAAAAGTCCTTTATTTACAAAGTCTACATGTCCATCTTTGATCTGCATGTCTACTCTTGCTGGCTCCACCAAGGCAGCCACGGTCTCCAAGCAGCGCTTTGTATCCGCAAGAACACTGTCTATGTATTTTCGTTCCTCTGAGCCGAGAAATGCCGATTTTTGGAGGAGTAGAGTTTGAGCGCTTTCGAGGGTTGCGGAGACGTGGTTTGTGGAGGAGAGGAGGTCTTTGGTTTGTTGGCCCACGGCTTTGAATTCGTAAATTACTTGGAAGAGGCGGATGGATATGTTGACGGCACTTCCTATGGCACTTGCTGCTCCAGCTCCTCCGTCCACGACCATTGTGACAGTCGGTTGTGGTGAAGGTTGAGTTGACCGAGAAAAGATGTGACGGCTTGGAAAGCTGTAAAGTCAACACAGGCTAGATTTAAAGAAGAGAAACAGGATGACTGAGCATCAATTGGACCCAGTACAAGTCGGGGAGAAGCATAAGAGATGTGTGCGCCGTACTTATCCAGCAGAGAGATGAGCCCTTTCGGCACGAGACACGTTATCTGCACTTACACGCGCGCGTGGTCAGACACTCGATGCATGCACTAACAGACTTGGCCGCTCAGATCATCGATGCGAGCCGGCAGTGTGGCCAGAGATAGGTTATGATACTCATCCATCCGCTGCCTCAGGCAATAGTAGCCCGATCGACAAGTCTTTGATGCAAGTCCAGTTAGAGCTCACAGACATGGCGCTTTGAAGCGGTGTATGCGTTGTACCGCTGCAGGCATAGGCGCATACTTGATCGACGACACATGAAGCGTCAACGCGTGACCTTAATCAGTACGATGTAACGGTTTTGCAGGCTAAGACCAAAGCAAGATCCCTGTCTATGAAGGAGTTACAGCCGAAAAGCCGAAGATAATGGCCTTCCGAATAGATGTGCTTCTGTGTTGATACGAGTTTAAGACTGATCGAGTCAGGCTCTCCGAAGAGGAAGTGAAAGTTCTTGTGAGTTTCGGCAGTCCAAAGAGTCTCCATGGTGTCACGTTCTGGCGCGGAGGGATCGGTCACGTCTCTAAGCGCCGCATTTCCAACTTCCGTTTCAGTGTATTTCGGAACGCTGGTGAACATATTAGAAGCATTTTCTTGCAGCAGAGGGTTGGCAGGTCTAAAGCAGCGATGGAGCCCTGCAGATAGCCAATGATTGTCTTGAGCACGTTGACCTCTCCGCGCGAGGTGTCTGTGAAGTCGATCTTTAGCAGAGCTTCGACATTGTCAAAGAGATCTTTGAGATCTGCTGCTCAAATCGTGTTAAGAGTGTCAACCAGAGCAGCGGACCGTCCTTCAAAAGTGTCTTCGGATGACCCAGAGACAGTAGAGGTCGTTAGAGAGCCAGGCATGTTCTGTTCCTTAATCCGACAACCATTATGTTTGCAGTACTCACTTGATATCCCCTCGACGTTCATCTCGTGTTGCCGCCTCTCTGAACGACTCACGAGGGAATGAGTGCTGAACTCCAGAAGGGTTGTTTTGCTTTTGATCTTGATTAGGTGTGCATATGAAATATATGATTTAGCGAAGAGGCAGATCCTCTCAGCAAAATATCTCATCACCGACATATCGCTCAAGCGTAGATGATGAAGACAAATCTTTCACCCAATATGACAGAGTAAAACTCAGTGCGACAGCAGCGAAAAAGAACGGAGGTGCGATATGAAAATTAAGCCATCAGTCGTAGAAGAGGCACCAAGGACAATGATGGCATCAACAACTTCATCCTGAAAAATGTTGACATCGAATGGAACGGCTGGCTTACCCTGCTTCAAGCAGTTCATGAGGCACGGAATCGCAATATGAACATCGGTCAAGAGCCACTTAGCTGCGCACCCTTTCGTACAGTGATTTGGAAAGCGCGCCAAGCAGTGGTTGAACAGACATGTTGACGCGTGCATATAGTCGTTAGCCGCTCGTAAAATAGAATCAATGGAGCAGTGCGGCGCGAAAAGCGTGGCGCATCTGAGTGCCGGCGGCTGCAGCTAGCAATAGCAATTCAGGCAAAGTCCAAGAACTTTTTACAAAACAAAACTGTAGGGTTTAAGGCAAAACAAAACGCAAAACATACAGCAGCAGGGATTCCCACGTGGTCACCCACCGTAGTACTAATCTGCCGTTCAGCTGCTTATGTATGGCAGAGCGGACGGGATGCCCAGTTTTCAGCTGACTATGGCCGTATGTGCATAACGCATCAAATTTACGATATATGTATACACTATGTTGGCGTCGTTTGGCTCTCGATAGACAGTGGCATGTCCCTGTTCACTGCTCGTGCCCTTCCTACTCGCACTGGAGGCTGGCGATAGATTTGTGGTACGAACATGGCGCGCTTCGAGCGACTCTCAATCACAGAACGAATACCCTGGTCGAGGCCACCTGTACACGTATCAGCGCTTCAGCATTGACATGAGCACGGGATTGAGAATGGCATAGGTGAAGCATGTGATTGTTTGAGATATCTGCTGTACCAGAAAAAGAGACGAAGCCGAAGATGATCCGCCCCGCATTTGGTCGTCATCGGGCGTTTGTTCTGCGGGAAAGTCGAGTTATCGCGTCACCAGCAAGAAGGCGAGCGACCATCAAAGTATCATACGGTCGTCCTCGATTTATTCAATGACACCGCCATCCACCCTCACAGAGCTACCGCATACAGCTCATCAATATGGCTCCCACCGTATTACTTGATCTACCGGACGAACTCCTTCACAACATCTTCCTCCACCTAGACGCATCATCGGCCGCCAACTTCGGACAAGGCTCGAAACGTCTATACAAAATCTCAGATACCGTCTCACTATGGCGACGCTGGTGCCGCGACGGCTGGCGCTACTGGGAAGAGCGCGAAGAGAGACCACACCCTGACCACAGTCTCCAACCGGCTACGCAATGGAAGCAAGCATACGCCGACAAGATCACCCAAGACAAGAGTGTCTTGGGTATCTTCAATGATCTTCTCAGCACTCAGCAAAATCGGATGGCACGCATGCACGATATTGTCGAGAACTTCTCGTACGATGCCAAAGACGTGCTAGTACGCCAGCTACACACGTCCGACGACGCCGACGACGTTCTTGCGCGCCGCTATTGGAGCGGTGTTGTTCTCGGTTTACTACATCGCTACAAGGCGGTACAGATCTGGGATAAAATGCAGTGGCAGGACTATCCGCCACTTGAAGACGCTTTGGGCGCATTCGATCTCTTCATCCAAGGCAGTAGCAGCGACTTCGAGCTATCCGTATTGAAGAAAGAGCTCGACGATCTAGCGCATGACATCGAAGCTTCAGATTCTGAGTGGCGTGACAAAGACCACCTCGCAAAAGCAGTCGCAATCTCGAGACATATGAGAGAGCATAATCTCTTGGGCTGCTCAGCCGAGACCTTCAGCCTTATGCGTTACCGGTTCATTACCCATGTCTTGACACATCCCGATGATAAGTCATCTATCCCTATGCAATCTGTCGTCATCTTTTGCTGTGTGGCCCAACGACTCGGTGTGAAAGCTTGGCCTTGCAACTTCCCAGGCAAGATACATGCTGTCATTGAACCGCCATACGGCCCTTCAATCAAAGATACACGCGCTTCATACACCACTCCCGAAGATGTTGTTTGGATGAATCCTTTCGATCATGATGATATCCTCTCAGGACAAGCAATGCGAGACATGCTACACCAAATGCCGCACTACAGTACGCCGGAGAGTCAATATTCCTGCTTGACGCGAGCATATACCCGGGCGCTGGTGTTGAGAACTGGTGTTAACATCATTACAACCATGCAGTTCCATCGACCTTCGCCAGGCTGGGAGACACCAAACATTGCATTCTGCGCTTTGTGGAGTCTCATCTCCATGAGTCAGAGCGACGCGACAAAGAATCGAGAGTATTTGGCGCGCCATCAGCATTGGCTCAGTCAGATAGTGAACTGGTTCGAAGGCTATGTCCAGGACGGACTGTGGCTGGACGACGCGCTGCTCTTCGAGAAATACATTCTACCGCTTCTGAACGGTGTAGAGGAAAAGGCTAGGCTGGCACAGATCTTGCAGCAAATTCGAATTGCAGACTCTAACGCCAACCCCATCACGCCGCGGGATGAGCGCACAAACTTGGTCAAGTACAAGGTTGGCCAGATCTTCCGACATGTACGTTATGGCTATGTGGGTGCAATCATTGGATGGGATCCTAGCTGTCAAGCAGGAGAATTTTGGATCCAGAGCATGCGAGTGGAAGACCTTCCTCGAGGTCGTGAACAAAGCTTCTACCACATAATGTGAGTTTCTTTCGTTTGTTAAGACAATCAAAGAGGCAATACTAATTCGATTACAGATGCGAGGACGAATCTCTACGCTACGTAGCTGAGGAAAACATCATGGTTTTGGAAGAAGAGCCGTCTGCCAATTTGCTTGCGCTTGCTGGTCGTTACTTCAAGCGCTGGGACCAAGAAAACAAGGTCTTTGTCAGCAACATCCAGGACGAGTATCCTGACGATTGAGACAGAAGGTCATAGATGGACAGCAAGAGTTGATGATTATGGATTACGCAATGATGATTACAATAATAAATGGCAACTTGGACTTATTCGGGACACTCAGACCAGTCTCTGCGCTCTACGGGTTTCGTAACAACCTTGCTATCTCTGGAAAGGGTTCCCCTGAAAGCGATTAACATCTCTATCAGCTTCGATATTCGACCCCTGGGTGTTGATCATTCGAAAATATAGCTCATAGGCCATGCAAGCTCGTGTTTGCTTATTTGGAAGCATTTCGAATCACATCTCGAGGCTGTACGAAACACCCTAGTTTTACGTCTACATATTAGACCGGATCTTGATGGACCTGAAAGGCTGCTTCGAGAAACTGCTCCGACCCGAGCAGAGATCGACCTATATGATCAACTAGCTTGACGCGTATCTTCGGGCTGTGGAACCATTACTCACACGAGACACCCAATGGACCACACTTACCACACTCAGTGAAAATGACTTTGACAGACACGGAAATTCTAGCAAAGCTCTGGAAGATATCTTCTACGTAAACCGCGCGATACACGTACAGTTGCTCAGAGTCAGATCAATCACTCACTGTTCAATATGTCAAGCAAGATGCTCAGAAGCTCATGCGAACCTTGGACGTATGAAGATATGAAATGAACTAAGTACGTAGTTCTTACCTCCATTATTTGCTTGCAGATCACCTCCTCCATTCCCATAGTCAGCACGCTCATCAAGTCAAGCTTGAACTTCCACGCATCTCTAGTGTTCATGGGCACCTATTGGGCTTTGGTCGTTTTCCAAGATTTTATCCAAAGTTTTCTCTTTCGGTGTGACCAGAGTTCGTTATACCCTAGCTTCTCATCAGATCACTGAACAATCCTATGCTCTTTCCAAGTCAAACAAGTGCATTCATGAAATGTACATGCCCGTGACTGTCACTTCTTCACATGGTTGAAACAACCGCTGCAAGAAACGATATGCTTGTCAAGCTTTTTAGACTAGGCTTGGAAGTCGTGATACCTTTACGATACATGCTGTTGTCTTCTTCCTGCCCCTAAGCATGCTGAGCAAGAGGGATGATTCCATGATTCCAATGATCTGATATGGTGCGTATAATGACATTTTGAAAAATATAATCGGATGATGGTAGCAGAATGCCCTGTGATGATTTTGATTTTTTACTCATTCTGGCGTGCAGAGCTGTCAACGAACGGAACAATCAATCGACTTGGATTTGCACAATAAGGTGACCGAAACTCTCAAACATGGCATTTCTACATTGGAGCGCCGACCACTTTTATGCTTCTTTTGATAGTCCCTATATTCTCCAACTTGATTCTGCGCCTCATTTCTATCATCTTACTAGCAGCTTGTATACAACTACTCTCAGTTCATTGGCTACCGACTGATGATGTTCTGCGATACACCTGTATTGTTTAGACGACACCTCCTTCTCAACAAGGAAAGTGCAAATGGCTCAATCTCTTCGCTCGATCTTTCCTTGTTCTTGATTCCGTATGAACAGTCGAACCATAATGTGCATGTGATCATCTCGAGCTCTTTCTCAATTTTTAGACTCTCAAAGTCCCAGCAACCCCCATCGACCGCCAAAGCGCATCAGAATCTATCAACAATCGCCTTGATCGCAGTCGCATAGTCCGATTGAGCCGATGTTTGTCGCTGATAATGAGTCCTCAGAGGTGACGAACGCGGTCATTGAGATGGAAGACGACTCGTCTTTATCCGCGAATCGACCGCAAAGATTGATGGAAAGCTCTGGGAAGCTCTTGCCAACAATAGTCTGGATGTTCCGGAAGCTTCTGCACCCTCTCCTTGATGGCAGATCGGATACAAGAGGGCCAAGATATCGCATCAGATAAATCTGCTAACCTTTCCAACTCTGATTACTTGACTACTAATTCATAGCTGTAACCCAATCTTGGCAAGTCAGGATGGCCAAACGCGCTTTGCAGTCACCTCGTAAATCTCCACACGGTATCAGGAAGCGCAGACGTACTAATAGATTGAGCTCGTCTGTCATTGGTACTTCTCCTAGCAGTGCTGTAGACTCACCTCAAGAAGATGAAGTTAAAAATGGACAAGACACGTCCTATATCTCAGCCGGCAGCAGGGAACATACTGGAAGCGAAAGTCTACCTCTCAACGGTGAAAATGATGCCGATGAAGCGCAATTTGAAGTCGATGAAAGCGCTAAGGAAGAATTGCCATCAGCCGACAACAATGAAGATGCTAAAAGTCGACTCTCATCTGTCTACACAGAGGCAAAAGTTGGAGAACTCCCAGCTGTGGACAATCAGAACGCTATGGAGGCAATTATTTCATCAACCGACCATTCAGATAGTGACTTCGAGTGTCAATCAAGTCTTTGCGATGACGAGAGCGACTACCAAGATGGAAGTGATCAGCTATATCAAGACTCCGACCTTGAGTCCAATTTCAATGACTCCAGAGATCTACCTCCAGTCAAGCATAGGAAGAAGACAGAGCAACGTGAGACATCAGTACAGAAGTCCGCCACTTTTACCAGAAGAGAGATCATGGAAAAGGTGCACATTGATTGGCCTTCGCGAATGCAGAACGGAGTGGTGAACGGTGTTTGAGACCTACAGACTATGAAGCAATTCATGATATTGGATCAGATCAATGATGATCACAAGGCCATGTGGATCTCGTTGATACAAACAATCGTCCATCACCCAGATCAGAAGTCCATCATCGAGGTTCTCAAAGATCTGCTATTGGGCGATCTCACCCTTGCAAAGGAGATTCATCTTGCGACTACGCCGCCCAGTGATCAAGCGGGCATTGTCTTGTAGATGACTCGCAAACGACTTTTTTTTTTTTTATGGAAACAAAAAGACTGCTGAAGATAAGTGGCGCAGATGACAGCTTTCTTGGCCACGTGAGAAAGTGTACTCGTGGGAGAGAGTTTGAGGTGCTTCGGCCTCGTCGCCCGAACCTCGACACTGACGATACAGGCTCGTATACGGTGATGTTTTTCATCGCGGGTGCTGTCCCTGTCGAAATGAATAGTCGCTATAAATGATAAGCATGTCTTCCTCTGATCGTGCCTCTGGTCATAGGAGATGTATCATCTGTGCCGGTGACGTGAACACCTATGACTCCCAGCTTCAATGTTTGGATAGCCAAAGCACATTGGAGTTAGTTTCCCTTGAAACTTCTGCTGGGAATATGACTGTTGCGCTGATATCTATGCTGCAATTTTTCGTTTTGGCCTTTGCTCTTCTTTCTTTCCTTTACACTTCTTCAACTCAAGCGAAATCATATACGTCAAAACTTACCAGTCACGACACACGACTCACGCTTCAAGTTTATCGGTCTCCTCACAAGATCTTCTTGCCTTACCTTTTTACACCTCTCTTCTTACATCCCATCAAGCAATCATGGTTTCTCAAACCCAAGACATGCAAGCTCTTGCCCAAGCAGCCAGAGAACAATTCGCCAAGGCACAAGAGATCGATGAGAGATGTCGTCAACGGTTCATCTATGAATACGATCAAGCACAGGCAGCAGCCAAAGGCGACGTCGACACTTATGTCGCAACTCGACAAGATGTCGGTAGATCAACAGTGTACGACGATGAGGATGACCAGACTGCTGTAGCTTCCGATGACGCCGATGATGAGCGTGATGGAGACGAGTCGACCGATGGTTACGATGAAGAAGCCGAAGCAGACAGCGAGGGCGACGCTGAATACGACGAGAATGAAGCAGATGACGACCAACTCCAACACGAAGTCGAAGGCGAAGACGACGATCTGGAACAAATCATCGCGTCCTACGCTGACGGTGACAATCAGAGTATTTCATCTGAGCACAGCTCTCAAAACTCGGATACCTGGTCTGTAATCAGCGACTCAACCGCCCACAGCACAACCGTCCGTGTTGTGCCACGCCTTCTCAGCACTCCAGAACTTGACGCACAGCCTCTTCTCGCCGACCCATGCGATACATGTGACGAAGAGTCTGGAGAGGAGTCCGAAAACGAGTCTTACCAAGACAGCGACGACTACAACGAAGAAAGCTATTGCGAATGTACCGAAGAAGGTGTCCGTGCCGACCAAGCTGAGGAAGACCTCGCCATCTGCATCGAGGAATGTGCCGAGGAAGCTTCTCGCGCTGATTTTGCCGAAAAACAACTCGCAATCTGTATCGAAGAAGCTCGTGTGGCAGACAACATCGCCAAACAGACCCAAAAGGATCTCGCCGACACCAACGAATCCTTGAGAACTCAACATAAGCAATTCGGCGTTGCAGTGGGTGATGTGGTCAAGGATTTTATCACCAAACACAAGGAATGTATGCGCCTTAAGGATGCCGCCGAGAAACAGTATGTCGAGGCTGTGAAGAAGCATAATGATTCGGAAGCCAGATACGCTCGACTGGAAGCTCAATACAATGATTGCATGCTCGCCAGGACCGCTGCTGAAGAAGCTGTCGAAGAAAGGAACCGCGACGTCGAAGTCTGGCAGCAGGCCCACGCTCTAGAGCACGAAAAGGTCAACCTCGCAAACAACAAGCTGAAATGGGTGAATGAACAACTCGAGGAATGTCTGACCGACAGAATCACCCTCGTGGACGAAAAGGAGACTTCCATCAGCGAAAAAGAAATCTTGCTCCAGACAGTCGACAAGCTCGAACACCAAAAGAACGAAGCCGCTGCCAAATGGTCCGAGGAGAACGAGGCTCTCAAATACTCGAGTGCGTGTAGCAATAACCACTATCAACGTCAAATAGAAGACCTTAAGGAGTCGCATGATCATCAAATTGCACTCGTCCAAGACACCATTGAGGCGCTGACGTCCGAACACGAAGACGAGTTCAACCGTATCGAGCGCGAATACACCGTAGAGAACGAGGACCTCAAAGAGTGCTACGAAGTCCATGTCAACAGGATTGCTGGCCTGGAGAAGCAAAACAAAGCTTTCCGCACGGAAGCCGATCATCTCCGCGGCCAAACACAAGACACCGCTACTCTGCAGGCCGAGCTCAAGGCGAGCAAAATCGACATCGACAAACTCAAAGTCCAACTCGTCGGCCACGAGGAGCGCAAGCAGCTTCTCGAACAGGTTACACAACACAGGATTTCTTGCGTTGAGCGAATCGAAAGACTCGAAGCCGAACTTCTCAGCCGCGAGACGGAGAGAAAAGGGTACGAAACCATGGTTCAAATGGTCAAGAACGCCAGACTCGATAAGTCAAAAACCGAAGATTGGTGCACCGAGCTTAAAGCCCAGTTGGAAACTGTCATACAAGATCGCACTGACCTCCAGCAGAGGCTCAAGAACGATCGCGGTGACCTCCAACAGGAATTCACGGATCAAATGAGAACCCTGAACGCTGAATTCCAAGCGCTGCGTATTCAACATGACAACCTCCGCCAAGATGAAGACGCCATCAGCATCAAGCTGGATAAGATGACATCTCACAACAAGCAGCTGCAAAAGATCTCGAACGCGGCTCAGTTCGATTGTGACAATGCTCTGAAAAGCGTGGAGAGACTCGAAGCCGAACAAAGCATCCTCGTCGGCGGTTTGAAGTGCACCAGGAACGACTTGGCGACCACGATGACTGCGTTGAGAAAGGCCGAGGAGGAACGCAGCAATGCTCTGAGAAAGTTGAGCGTCTTCAAGGAAGAACAACTCCGTCTCAATGAGAACTTCCAAGTGACTAACGACGCATTGTCAACCGCCATTGAGAGTGAGAAGAAGGCCAATGATCAACGCGACAGCGCTCTCAACAACCTGAATCAACAGACGAATGACAACACCTACTTGATGGTGCAGTCCAGAGAGCTCAAACACGAGTTGCAAACCGCAATGAACGCATCCAAAGAATATCGCGACCAGTACGAAAAGCTACAAGTCGCTCGTACCGAAGATCAGAAGAAGCTGCAAACCCTCACAGAAGAGCGCGAGAAGCTTCTCGAGAGGAACGACGAGATTCGCAAGGAGTTCAAGGAAGCCATGGACGCAGGCGAGGCCCTCGAGGACGAGATTGAAGCGTACAAGGAAATGGAAGCGCAAGAAAGCGATGACCAGAAGAAGATGGCCGTTTTCAACCACATCTTCCCGACAATCAGAGATATCTCTGGCGCCCAATTCCAGCAGGACTTGATGGAATTGCAGAATTCGGGGGCTATCGACATCGAAACACTCAAGACGTACTTGTGCAGCTTGATATCGCAAGCCGAAGAGGAGCTTTAGAAGCAAAGTAAGCCGCCTAACTACTAGATCAGAGTCGAGTCAATCGAGTCGTGTCTCATATCTACTGTGTGATCGGTACGATCGTGAAGCAGTGACGAGCAATGTTGGCTTTTGGCTGGTGGAATATTCGACGAGTGGCTAGGTGGCTTGTAAGACGCGCCACTCGATGTGGCTCATTGCTTGAAGGCATGATTGTAGTTGTAGCGCCGCGTGTGTAGTTGAGGAGAAAGCTGAGGTAGCTGGAAGTCGGAGAAGAAGTTGGTCCCTGTAGATCGGCGAGGCAGAGAAGGTGGAGGTTCGCAAATCCGAATTCGGCAAGTGCACGCGTCGCGAAGGAAAAAGCAGGCGCAAACAGAAGAGCCAGAAAAGCGGCCATGAAAGTATAGACATCTCGAAGTAACATGGTCCAATCTGAACTATGAATACAAATTCACCTAATAATATTCTATAATTCCCTAAAGTATCACGGTGAGCATCACCAAGACAATTGAGTGGTGACAGCAAGCAAAAGCATCGGCAAGGTTTCAAGCTAGCCCCCAGGCTTCTTGATTGACGGACGTTTCATCCAAGTTGATGCTTCATCCATGGGCAAGTCTGAGTTATTTGCGATCTGGCGGCAGCGACGCCTTCCTCTCTTTCGCCAACCGGATTGATTAGGAGATGAGTTCGCCGGCGCCTCTGGCCATGCGCGCCGCCAACAGAGCAGACACTTCCGACTTCTCCAGCGACGACCGTCGCCATCAACAAACAAGTAAACAATCCACATATCAAGAACAGACTTCTCACGGCGAAGACATTCTACACTCGGACGACGACTACGAGCAAGACGATGATGATGCCCTTCCCCAACACGACGACTTGTATGACCAAGAAGACTCGGACCTCCCACCGCTACCCATGTCAAGCGACAGCCTGCTCCACGTTACCAACGCCCATACCGATGCTCTCGACGAGCGTGAGATGAGGAGGAAACTCATGGATGTCGAGTCCAGCTTCATGCCCGACCTACTGTCCACACGCGTGCCGCATGAAAGAACTGGTGCCGACGATACCTACCTCAACATCAAACATCAACAAGACAGCGACATTCCGCCCATCCATGAGCAAACCGAAAATAGCATTGACGACGAAGACGATGAGCAAGAGATGGAAGAAGAAGAAGAAGTCGCGTCGGTGGCTTCTGTTCCTGCCATACACCCTTCCTCTCCAGCCGCTGCAGCCGCCGAACGCTCCTCGATGCGTGCCGAACCTGTGCGACGCCAGTCTGAGAACGACCACGACCTGTCGACCGCCTTCACGAGACTCACTCTACGTTCAAATGCATCCAAAGATGCCGACCAAAGATCTTCGTCCTGGGACATCATACAACCTTCAACCTCCGAAGGTCGCATCTTTTCCTTGTCCTCGAGAGAGACTGGCCCAGCGCAATCGTCAAGAGAAGCCCCGCAAGAAACCACGTCACAAGAGCCAGAACATTCCTTCCTCTCCACAACCTCAGCCTCGACTAAGCCGGAGGATGTTCCCTTGCCAATCTCAGACAAGAGCTTGCTAGACATGAGCAGCCTTCACTCTGCCTCGTCGCATTTACAGAAGAGACCAAGCTACATGTCACAGAGAAACCCCAGTCATCTTTCTGCAATCTCAAACGCCGATACCGAATACTCCACCGGTGACTACGCTCTGCAGACAGGCGGTGCCATTCCAGAAGATCACTCCTTCAGCCACGGTCGTCCACTGTCCAGGCTCCCCAGTCTGGGCAGTGTCGTATCAGCAATGTCGAGGGATAGTGAACCCAATCCACCTCCGCTAAATCGTGGCAATTCTGTACTGGCGAGCATCCGCGCAGAACGAGCTCTAGGAAGCTTGGAAGAGGAGGACAAGGTATCCATCGCCTCGGACCCTGTTACACCACGTCCACCGGACATGTTCGAATTCCACGCTCCTACAGACACAATCATTACTAGACATGTGCAGAACATCCAAGTGCCTGATACTATTGCAAAAGAGTACCGACAGCAGTATCGTCCCATCTCACCTGACAAGCGCCCCGCCTCTTCTTCCAATGCTCTTACCTTTAGCAATCGCCCAGGTGGCAATTTGACCCTCAAGGAGCAGAACAGCAAGATCGACAAGCTTACCAAGGAGAACTTTGATCTGAAACTCAAGATTCACTTCCTTGACCAAGCCCTGCAAAACCGTTCCGAGGAAGGTGTAAAGGACATGATCAACAAGAATGTGCAATTTCAGACAGACCTCGCCAACGAGCGCAAGGAGAACCAATCTCTCCGTCGCAAGATACGTGATCTTGAAAAGCGACTCAAACAGTCTGAGCTGGACCTAGCTGAAGCTCAAAAAGCTGCCCAAGAAGCGGCTGGTAACGGCCACGAAGAGCTTGAATATGAGATTCTACAACTTAGCGAAGAACTGGATAGGAAGACAATCCAGATTGCCCACTTGTCTGCTGAGAACATGGCCAAAGAAGTGGAGAAGCGCAAGATGAAAGAGTACATGACAGCCATGAATGAGAGACGTGGGTCCGAGCATAATATTGTGGAAGAGGAATCTGTGAGCACGCTGTCTCAGAAACGTGAAACAACTTCGCTAAAATGTGTCTAGGAGATGTGGAAAGACCTACTTACGACAGAGACCGCTCGTAGGGAACAAGCCGAAGAAGATATCCGCAAACTTCGTGAAGAGGTCATCATGCTTAGAAGCGAGAAGGCGTCCGAAGCAAGTAGAGGACTCAACCCACACAGGATGAGCAAGCTCCGTGCCCAGTCTACCGAGTCAGAGTACGCCGACAGTCGCAGCGGTGCCGCCTCAGCCGCCAGTTCCACTTTGGTCGACCAGCTCCAACACGAAAATGCCGAATTACGCCGCGACTTAGGCGCGCAGACATCCATGCTGACGTCTCGCAACCGTGAGAGAGAGCGCCTACAGCAGGAGATTGAGGATCTGAAGCTCCTTCAGCGCAGACTAGACGGCGGTCGCTCAATGACAGGCGACAGCATCTTGGACCGTTCCATATCTCGACAAAACCATTACCAGCGATCCACTTCGCGTACCAGCGGACAGACCCAGGCTACCATGAGCGATGCTGAAAGAGATGGCTATGAACAACGAGAAGGCATGCTGCGCGATCAGAATGCTGCCCTTAGACTGGACTTCCAGGACATGCAACGACAATTTAACGACCAGACCGAGCTCATAGCAGAGCTTGAAGAAGCTGTTCAGATCTCCGAGAATGAGCTGGATGCTGCTGTCGAAGATTTGAGGACAGTCCAAAACCAGCGTAACGAAGCGATACAACAACTCGAAGCGACTGAGGTAGAGCTGGAGCTCGTCAAGGCCGAACATGAGAAACTCAGGATCGAAGCTGTTAGTGCCATCGAAGATCTGGAAGACAGTCTCGACAAGACCGAGCAAGGACGTGAGCGTATCGCCTCTGACCTCAAAGATCGCGAAGACGATTTCAAGGCTCTCCAGCATGAACTGCACAATCTCAACGACAGTCTCGTACAACTCGAAGACGATAGAATGGCCGCTATGAAGCGTATAGAGATGCTTGAACAGGAGCTGGAAGACGCAAACTCTGACTTGGACGAAATGGAGAAGAACCTGCGCGAGACTGCACTGAAGAACAGCCGGCTTGATGTTCAGGCAGAATCTCTGCATAACGAAATCTCTTTCCTCCGGGAAGAGCAAGAAGGCGACAAGATCAAGATTGGCGATCTGGAAAACAACCTCAACGCCGCTCAGCAGACGGTCCAAGATGAGAAGGAAAAGATGCAAGAACTCGAGGAGAGTCTTGTTGAGGAGCGTCGTCAACGTGAGATCGTCGACAATCAATCGAAGCAAGAGGTTCAGAGGATGATTGACGACCTAAATGACGAGAACGCAAAGTCGAAGGACGAAGTCAGAAGCGTCAAGCAGACTCTACGTCAAGCTGAGAGCGAAACCGCAAAGTACAAGACCAGATTGGAAGAGCTTGAGACCAGCCTCAGACGCGTGCTTGGTGATAGACGTTCTGGTTGGCTCCAAGAAATCCAGAAAATGCAGGACGATCTGGAGAATACCATGCACGACCTCAACGAGGCCAAGTCACAACTGGCCGAGAAGGATCGCTTACTACGTAATAGAGATCAACTTCTCGAAAGCAGCGGTCTTGAAAGTCGCAGACTGTCCGAAATGCTGGACAAGGAGCGGTCCCTCCGCCGAAAGGACCTCCATCAATTCGAGCAGTCACAACGCGGCAATTCGACCAATGCACGCATGATGGCGCAACACGAATCACGCGCTTTAGATCTAGAAACAGCACGTAGCCAAGATCGTCGCAAGATGATGCAGCTGGAGCAGCAATACCGTGATCAACTCGTCGAGCGCAATTCCCTGCTCTTCACCCTGTGGACCAAGCTGTCGAACATATGTGGAGGAGAGTGGGCATCTCACCACACAAACACTAATGGCGAGCCACACTCTACGGAAACCATCTCCCGCAACCTCTCACCCTTTACCCGCAATATTCTCGACGCGATCAAGAAAATCGAATCCCTCATGTCTGACTCAACCTCTCAAATCCGCACCGTTGATAAGAGTCTCGCCAAAGCCTACGCCATCCTCGAGCAAAACCTTTCCATCTACGTAAAGCGAATCGAATATCTCGAACGCATGCACAAAGAAGTACAAGTGGCTAAAGAACAACAAACACAAGAACTAGCCCACCTCCGCTCGCAGGAAAAAATGAACAAGACATCCTCCCGCAGTACAGAAGAGCTCGCGAAATTAAAGCAAGAGGTTAAGGTCCTTCGAGCTGAATTGCGCTTCTCGAAATCTGCTGCTGAGAAAAGCGATGGAGAGAAAAAAGGAGGAGATGGCCAAGCGACGCCCAGAGCTAGTCTTGCAAATTCTTTGCTGAGACACCATTCGTCTTCTGCTATTGAGACGCTGGCTCCACCTGCACTCGCCACTGCCGGTACACGCAATCCATCCATAGTTCTCGCTTCTGCACCCCTTGCACCAAGCGAACAACGCTGGATCCACCGTCTCAAAGAACTGGAACGACGATTGAAGGCGGAGAGGGAAGGCAGATTACTCGATCGCAAGGGAGCGCGACAGAGGTTAGAAGAACGAGATCTACAATTAGAAGATCTGAGAGGGTTGCTGGAAAGGGAAAGGGATAGGAGGGGCAGTTTTGAAAGTGGGAGTGTAGAGGATGAGGGGCAAGATGGGAGGGAGAGTAGGATGAGTAGAGCTAGTAGGCAGAGTCGAGCCAGTAGACCGGGTAGGGAGAGAGATGGTAGTGTTGATTGAGCCTACTGGAGTGGGGGTTGTAATTCTAGACAAGGGGGTTTTGGTTTCTTCATTTCTTGCCCCCTTTCTCGTTCCGTCGAGAGGGGACTCTTCTTTTTGTTGGCCATATTGGGCTTTATACCAGTCTTTTTGTATGCTTCGACAGAGACCTGCAAGGGTTCTATCATCAGACTATTTTACACCTTTCTTACACATTTCCCCCAATCACGCTTTCTCTTAATTGTGATTGTCAAGTACCTTCAACACTGAAAGAGAAGATCGCAGACGAAAGATGACAAGAGTAAAAAGTTCCAATGGGATGGTGTGTCAAAAGATGCGGGTTCTCTTCTGACAGCCTCGGACACAGATTAACAGTATGGTGTGGAAAGAATAGTATCTCAAAGACTCAAGAATCACAAGGCAGTCAAAATGTCGTATGCAATAAAAGATATGCTCAATATCAAAGCACGAAGAACAGACATGCTAGAAATATAATTCACACATCACAAATCACGAGTTAAACACATGACGAGATTAATCACGGATTAGTGACAAATAATTCGAGGAAGTGAAAAAAAAAACAAGATTCATTAATAACAGTTCTGTTACAAGATGACTGGAAGAAAAAGTACAAACGACCTACCCAGAGATGAAGGATTGGGAAATCACCCCTTGATATACCACTTACCTATTCAAAAGCGTCTGGGCGAATAAAAGTCAGAAATGTCAAAAACATCATCATCACTAGACTCAGAGTCAGGAGATTCAGGACGAGAAACTTCAACATCATCATCCTCAGACTCTGATGTTTCAGGTCGTGTATCAGAAAAGCCACCAGTAGGTGGAGGAACAGCGAAAGTTCTATCTTGGGGATTAGTGTTGCGGGAAGGGAATTCCTCAGAGGAAGCATTCGATGCATTGTCAGAGTGGATATTGTCTGCGGTGTTGTTAGCAGCAGTAGCACCGACGGGGGAAGCCCATGAGGGGCCAAGACTGCTCATGGAAACATCGCCACTGGAGGCTGGAGCAGTTCCGTTGTTGATGCGCTGTTGGAGCAAGTCAGCAAGATCGCCAATGTTGGGTTGAGGGTACCTTGATGCGCGAGTAGGGGTAGGAGGGAGAGAGGAGATGGAAGAAGGAGAGCCAAGAACAGGCGTATTTTGAGCAGCCGTGGGGCGATTGAAGAGGTTCGAGCGAGCACGAGGACTGTCATCGTGGTTAAAGAGGTCGACTATTTCAGCTGGAGGAAGACTAGAGGCGGAGCCGGAGGGTGGAGGCCAGGAAGGCGAGATCGCATTCCAGGAAGGCATCAAGCGTGGGCGAGCGCTTGCAGCAAAGACAGTTGTAACGTTGGCGATAATATTGTCGGTCCAAGCTTCGTAGTCACAAGTATCCATGTTCATGATGGGACTGTTCGGGTGTGCCTGCACCTCGACGGGCAGTCTTTGGAAGATGGAGTTAGAAAGCTGACCGTAGTAACCAGCCTCAAGCTTGTGAGAAACCTTAGAGCGGACAGCTTGACTGCGGTAATCGTGAAGGCGGTTGGACTCAATAGCGTGAATGAAGGACTTGAAGGTGTTGGAGTCGAGATTAGAGGTCAGATGATCAAAGCGGCGTTGAGCCCAATCGGCAGTCAGACGATCAGCGTAGAAGTCGATTGTGAATTGCAAAGCACCGACTTGTTTAGCGAGGTCAAGTATACTGCTTTCAGGGTTAGCCCAGAGGGACTCGATAATGGAGCGGTGAATAAGGTTGGGGTCGGAAAGCCAAAGCATGAGCTTACCCATCAAATCGTACCAAGCGCTGATTTCGGAAAGGTCAAGAGAGCCAGGTGCAGCTCTTATCTCGACCGTGTCCTTATTGCCATAGCCAATCTCGAGATTCGTTAGATTCACTGCAAGACTACGGTGGGAGAGCCAAGTGCCAGCGGTTTGGTTGGATGGCCAAGTGTCTCGGAAGAGCTTGACTGTGTCGAAGGTAGAGATATAGGCGAGCCAAGCTGGAACATTGCAGCTCTTCAATTGATCAATGATAGTGGAGCGGGCGGACTCGGGACCTTTCTCGAAGGCCTTCTTGACATCCCTTCGAAGCATCTCAAGGAAGACTCTAGAACAAGAGCCAACCCAGTCGCTCGATAGGGCGTCGTCGTATTTGTAGACGGCATGAGGTCTGTCGATACCGGGCAGAGGACCAGCGACTTTTTCCATACCGATTCTAGAGACTGGGAGAACTTCATCAAAGATGCGTTCCAAGGCGGTCCAGAGGCTGAACATGCCGAGGGAAGACTTGACCGGCATGATGTCCTTGAAGTTGCCAAGGTGGATATGAAGACCTGTGAGTCCATTGGTAGCAACACAGTAACCAGGACCCGAGAAAGCTTCGTGGATTCTTTGAACGAAAGCACTGATCTCGGTGTTGGCATCCCAAAGGAAAGGCTCACCGGTACAGGGGTAAGTCTGACCAAGAGGACAAGTAGTCGGTCTGGCGAAGTTGATAATTCTGCTCTTGAGCTCCATGTTGTACCATGCCGAGTCCTTGGGAACGTATGGCTCCTCGGTCTTGCGACATGGCACAACTGACATGTCACTGGTGAGGCTCCAGAGACAGAACGGGGAAACATCACCTTGATGGTCCAGTTTTCCCGCGAACGGCAAATCCCAGGAGTGCGAAGCGGCGCATTTGGAGCACTTCAAAGTGACAGGTGCGCGCAAAGCCTTCAAGAGATAAGCCTTCGGCTTGACATTCTTTGGGGTATAGGCGAGGAACTCAAGCTCAATACCAGTCGTCATGTTAATGAGAATCGAGGGCTGACCAGCAGCATCGACGGAAGCAGGAGAAGACATGGTATTGAGTTTGAATGGGTTGTTGGGGGAATGAGGTTGGTGGGTGGTGAGAGAGGAGAGTGGTGGACAGAACAGGACAGAAGGGCAGCATTATGTAGCAAAGATCGTGTCCACAATTGCAGGCTGTCGAAGCTAGCAAGGTGTTGGGAATGAAGAGCATCGACAAAGCCATCCGAGCAATGACAAAGGTTGAAAAAGGGCAATGGAAGAAATGCTCGAAGACGTGAAAGGACTTGGATTTTCGAGCAAAGGAACAAAGTGCAATGAACAATGGGTTCCTATTCGGGTTGACAATGTGAAAGAACAGGTGTCATGGAAGGAGCGAACAACGCGGGAGGGCTCATCTGTCTGCCGGGTCCAAAGAGCAAAGGACGATCGATGGCGGACGTGTTGGAGGACAAAATTAACGGTGTAGCTTTCAAGTGCTCAGAGCAATTTCGACTCGAGTTTGACAGGAGATGTAGATCTGTTATGTATTGCGTGACGTGATCGAGTAATAGCGGTCATGTTGAATGACGTCTAGTATATATATACGTTCAATGACCAAGGGCAAAAAGCGCGATCGAAGAATTTGTGAGAGACTCTCGGCTCTCATGTAACAAAAGACATGAGGTTCGTAGTCAGCACCACGGACAGGTGGTCTCTCGATGGCTAACCGAAAAAGAAAGAGAAAAGAGGTTGAAGCACCATCCTCACCTGAGTAATCGGAATCGAATTATAACTTCTGTTAAGGAAGAAATGCTGCGTATTGCACTCAAGTATCGCAAGTCATAGACTCGCACACAATCTTCGCACCGGCTCCCATAGAACGCGATCTCTTCCCCTTGACCGCCGAAGCGGATAGAGGTCAAGACATTCTGAGTTTCTGATGCCAGGTGCAGACGTGTCACGTCAGGCCCTCGCAGGCAGTGACCCAGAGCTTACTGCACTCCGAAGAGATTGGCAAGGTGGGTGTAAATGGTGAAGATTACTCCGAATTTCTCATTTGCAAGTGTGGTGGACAAAGGCGAGCGTTTAAACAAGGCCTTTGTCAGTGTGGAAGCAAAGAAACGCAGCTTTGGTGAGGATGGTACTTGAGCAAAGGAAGGTGAGCGCGAAGCGAAAAAGAAGTTTTGGGCAGTCGCTCAAGGTTCGCGCCTTGCCAAGACTTTCGCGTCATCCGCAGCCGAGTGACGATGAATTTATAGATGGATGCTTCTTCACAATTCAACTTTCACAAACACTTCACAATGGGTTCAGAAGATGGAGACCACAGGAGGCGTCGCGATAGCAGAGAAAGACGCTCCGATAGACCACGCGATCACAGGAGGAGGTCGGTGAGCAGGGAGAAGGATGAGCGAAGAGAAAGAGACAGACGAAGCCGACGATACGATGATGATGGCAAGGACAGGAGGTGGAGACATCACAGCCGCTCAAGAAGTCCACGACGAAGAGAGGATAAGGAACGAAGGTCACGAAAGGAAGACGCATCACCATCACCACCACCGAAACGCAGAAGACGCTCGTATTCGCACTCCAAATCACCCCCACCACGTCGCGCTCGCGGACCACTCCCTTCACAACAAGATCAGTTCAAACAAGGGGACGATGCTGCACCAGCAGAGCCTGTGGTAGAAAAGCAGAAGCCCAACTTCAATGCGACGGGACTGTTGGCCAAGGAAGCCAACACAATTGCCGGCACGAATACAGTGCTCAAATACCACGAGCCACCAGAGGCGCGCAAGCCATCGAGCAAAGAGCAGTGGCGCATGTTTGTCTTCAAGGGCAAGGACATGGTTGACACGATCCACCTCTACTCGCGCAGCTGCTGGCTCATGGGTCGCGACCAAGCTGTTGTTGACTTCCACGTCGAGCACCCAAGCACAAGCAAGCAGCACGCAGTCATCCAATTCAGACATCAAACAACGACGAATGAGTACGGAGACAAGCTGAGCAAAGTCAAGCCATATCTCATCGACCTAGACAGCGCCAATGGAACGCGGCTGAATGGAGACAAGATTGGAGGAAGTCGATACATTGAGCTACGCGATGGCGACGTCGTGGGCTTTGGCGACAGCGAGAGGGAGTATGTCATGATGCTGCCCAAGTAAACCATCCCCATAACTTCGATTACATTGCATAAACGACCGAAGAATACAAGTCAAGAAACCAAGTATCCCATAATTCATCATTTGTTTCGATAGTGACGTAGTTCATTGCGCCTAAATGTTGTCGACGCGGCGGTTGCGGGAGGCTCACCATAAGCCAGTCAAGCTCCATCTTCTCTTGACCTTCAACCAGCAATTGACCAAACAACCAATGCAATGACAAGCTCAATCCAAGCCCCTCGAAGGGCCACCACCTTGATCTTCTCACTCCACCAACAGTCCTTCCGCCCCCTCTCCCAGCGACACCAAATTCTACGTGCCAGCACCTTCAGATCCTACTCAACTCAACCACCCTCCGAGAATGTCGACGAAAAGACAAAAGAGCTTCCTCCCAAGGAACCCTCCCAACCAGACGAAGATGGTATCAATGGTCCCATCTCCACTCTACCTCCTCCCTTGAACCTCCCCGAGAAGGGCAACCGCTCTACACCCGGCCACCTCTTCCAAATCGGTCGCGCATACGGCAAATTCTACTGGACGGGCGTAAAAGCAACATGGGCGAATCACAAGCGCGCAAAAGCACTGAAGACACGAATCATCGCCACAAACCGTGCTTGTGGTCTGCCAAATATGCCTAGACCATTACTCGCTCACTTGGAGTTCTACTATGAGAATGACGGCAAGGGAAAATTGACACGGACGGACTTCCAACTGCTCATGAGAGAGCAATACGATTTCAGAAAGTTGCCGCCATTTGCATTGATGGTTGCACTGTTTGGAGAGTGGTTACCGCTGATTGTGCCGTTTGTGCCTTCTGCCGTTCCACGCACCTGTCGCATTCCAAAGCAAATCGAGGACATGAGAAAAGGTGTCGAAGAGAGGAGAAAGAAATCTTTCCGCGAGGGCTTGTCGACACCAAAGCCTGCAGAGAGCAGTGATGATGCTATGCCTACCAGTGCTGCTGGAGGCAAGAAGGCTCTCCCAAGACTCTATGTTTCTATGCGCACCGCACAGCATATCGTCAAGATGGGTAAACCACAAATGATGCATGTCTCGAGAGCTCTGGGCATAGGAGGAAGACTTTTCGACAGCTTGGGCGTTTCACATCCTCTTTTTCCCGTCAAGTTGATGAGGCATTTGGGTTATTTGCACATTGACGATGAGTTGCTGTTGAAGGATTGGGTCTTGAGCCATCTCACGCTGAGCGAGGAGGAAACTCGCATAGCCTGTGAGGACCGTGGTATTGATGTTGTAGGCAGAGGACAGAGTGAGATGAAGGAAGATCTGGGCAAGTGGCTTGAAGGCAGAAAGAGAGACACTGGCGACTACGCAGAGATCCTGAAGATGCTGTTCACGAGGTAAGTCTGTTCTTTTCCTGCTCAGACTGAGTTGTGCTAACTGAACATTACAGACCTAATGTTTGGGGTCAAGCTCGCATCGAAGCACCAGAGTCGACTAATTGAGCTGACCATTCGAATCGCCCAACATGAATGTTCATAATGACTGTACAGTAACAAAAATGCTCAGCGTAGACGAATACACCGCATCCAATCCAGACCATTCAATCGTGCTTCCCCCCTGATCTATATCACGTTCTCTGATCCTTTGTCATTAGCAAGCACGATAAGATTCTCCACATATCCAAAAAGGCGTCGTCTCTCAGTATTTGGCATCCCCCCAAACTCAGCATACCCTCGGCCACGCAGCTTGCGCGTTATGGAAAGCCTGTTTCCGCACCGCGTGCGAAGAGCCAAAAAAGACTGATATATAACGGTGTGTATCTTGCAAAAGTCTCCCTCATGACAGAAAAGTGTCATGACGGGGTTTAATAAGGGCTTGGAAGTGATTGAAAGTGCTTCTTTATCCTTTCAAACACTTTTACTCTGTTCATCACGGCCGTAGCAGTGTTGCCCATATCCGGCGTGGTATTCTTGGCTTTGATGCCAAGGATGGAGGGCTTTGTGATTTGTGACGTTTGATGGGCCTGGAACTTTTGGGAGTTGATTAAACATTTACGGGCAGCGGGTGGCGCCGTGTGGTCTTGGCTGTGATGAGCATCGACTCTGATCTTCATATTCACCTGTTTTTCCTTCCAACCTTGCGCTTTCACAAGTATCTGTCAGGCACTACTTTGGTTGAGACGGGCTTTGCGTATGATCGTCCGTAATGTTGCGGCCGTATAGTCAATGACACTGCCTCCTCGTTCTCATGATTAGGTCGCCGTGTGGTGCAGCTGGGAAAAGAGTTTCTTGGCTGCTCTTGCACGTTCTTGGGTTTTGACCTCAACCATACAGCGGATGTCATCATCGGCTTTGGTGCGTTATCAGTTTGATCTTCTCAAGCCCTGAGCCGATGGAGGCTCGGAGAGACACTTCGAGGACAAATTCGTCACTGGAAGCTCTTTTGTTTCCTCCACTGACGCTACGCAAAAGCCACACTTGTGATTCAAGCAAGCCAAGGTGAGTCAAGGTAAAGTAAGTTGCTTGTTCTGGAGGACGCGCAATGCACACATCCAACGCTATATCCACAATATCTCGTACAAGTCTTCGTATCACAATCACTATCACCGTGGAAGAAAGATTAGAGTGTGGATCTTGACCCCTTCACATGATGGCATCTGCTCCCCTCTCGGCCGAACGACCGCTTCTGTTCTGGGCACTCTCCATGTCCCCACTGCTCCGGGGCATGTCGTTGTGCTTTGGCATCATTTCAGATAGAGAATCGGTCGTCTAAGCGCAGAGTCTACGCACAAGAGGCTCCACCTCCGGGACACCCAGTCCCGGGCCTTGGCTGGGAGATGATAACGTTCAACAGCAGTAGGTTATGACTGGTGAAACGGGGGACAGTGTGATAAGCATACAGAGATAAGCGAGCAAGAGATGACGGAGAAAGAACATATAGCTGCCTCGATGGACCCTTGAAGGATTTCTCTTGGATCTATACACACTTGTTTGCTATTCACTTATACTAGCTATCCTGCAATCTATCATGGCAGACTCAAGGAGAGACTCGGAATGGTCACCCTCAGACCTCACAGCAGTACCTACACCGACCCTCTCACGCTCTCCGACCCTCGCCCTCGACATCGACATCAACAACCCAGCAGACCTAGAAGCCCAACTCCTCCGCCTCAAAGAAAGAAGAGACAGCGCCAACACCACTTCCTCAACCTCGTCTTCCTCCTCCGACACTCCTTCAAAACCAAAGCCAAAAACCTTGTCAACATACCTCACCACCACTCTCTCCCCATCCTCAAAATACCTCCAAACCCAATTCCTCTTCCTCTCTTTCGCCACAGGGATAATCGACGCCTGCACGTTTTCCCTCTACTCAGTCTTTGTGACAAAGCAAACCGGAAACACCATTTTCCTCGCCCTCTCCGCCCTAAAACACACTTCAGTCTCTCAAAACGAAGCCAATGTCGCAATCTCGATATCCACCTTCTTCATCTCCGCAGTGCTATTCGGACACCTAGGCGCTGCAGTAGGCAAACAAACAAGACTCTGGATGTTTACGAGTAACTGCATCTCCACAGCCTTGGTATTTGCAGCCACAGCATCAAGATATTGGTGCAAGCAAGAGGCAACGGGATCCATTGCTTTGATCATCATTGCATTACTTTCCATCGCCATGGGTGCACAGGTTACACTTGCTTTTGCCATCAAGGTGCCTGATATCAATACCACAATGGTGACGGGAGCGATTATTCAAATCGCAACCGATGCCAATATTTTCAACAGAGATAATTCTGCGAGGAGTAGAAGAAGTGTTTTCTTTTTGGCAATGTTGGGGGGTGCATTTGTGGGTGCTGGGTGTGCTAGTAGAGGGGATGCTGTGGTGGGATTATTGGTTGCTGCATGCTTGAAATTGGTAGTCACGCTTATGGGTGTGGTTTAATGGGAGGAGGAGGAGGAGGAGGAGGAATGGGCTGGGTTGGTATGAGACTTTATGATTGTATGATTCAACGAGGCAATGGCTTTTGATGGATGGGTAAATGAGCTAGTTCTATTAGATGTATTGGAATGATGATATGATTGTGTAGACTACACTTTTGGTATCCTTCTTTCTGGAGACCCTTGGGCAGAGCGCTCTAGGTACGCGACGTAGTCAAGTAAAAAAGTGGTTCGTAATTCTCAATCTCATTCACAAGTCGTCTATATAACTCTGCCATCTCTTTGTCTCTGTCTTCAATGTACAGTCCATCTTCTTCGTCATACCAAACGCCCACATTCATTCAATCTGTTCAGAAGAGAAAGTAGAAAAACAAAAACATCCAAAAGGACAACATCCTCAGAAAAGGTCCCAAAATGCTCCGTAGATGCAAATTACAAGGAAGGCCTCGCACAATGTTGATAATGGGAAAGAAATGCTTGCGCGCTGGCAATGCAAGAAAGAAAGAACAAAAGCAGTTCGCCAGAACTGACGAGGGGACGAGAAAAGAGCAGCGCGCGTGGGTGGAAGAGGTGATGGTGTACTGCTGTATCCGGCAGTATATGTCGTGATCATGATGCATATGTCGAGAAGCCTCCAAGGTCTCATGTCATGCTTTTGTGTGTTTGTAAAGCTCTGTCATATCGTCGCAAACATCGTGGCATACTCAGAATCATTCATCCGTGAGTCTATCAAGCAGATGAATACTCAAGATCATGACCAGCAGACCAATGGTAACGATGAGTAGTAATGCGAAGCTGAACCAGCCCAACACCATGGCGGAGGTTCCGACTCCTGATTTTATGCTGCCGTTGCCCATGTCTTGGGCTACTTGTGCTGCTGCCACTGAGGCTGTGTGTTGCCATAGTACGGACACCAGGACGAAGACTGAGGCGACGAAGACGAGAGCAAGTGCTGATTGGGACACGGGTCGTGATGGGAAGGGTTTGACATCGACCTCTGAGCCAGTGGCGCGATCACGCTCTTCGTGCCAGCCGGGAAAGGAGGCAAGCAGCAGGAAGCAGAGGAAGGCGAAGATGATGGCGATGATACTATGTAGCGGGTCAGCAGTGGTCTCCTCCATGATGAAAGTATCAACTTACATCAGCCAGGGAAAGACGACCGAGTTCTTGAAGGTATTCGCAATCCAGATCAAGTTCATCGGATCAGAATCAATGCTGATCTGCTCGGCAAGCAAGGTTGCATTGTTGGAACACAAGTAATTGCCAGCATCGCTAGCAACGCAAAGCCCAAAGTATCCAACTCTTACTTCCAGCTGGGTCTGGCCAACGATATTGGCAATTGCGGCAGTGACTCCGGGATCCACTTGCGCCGGATCATAGTTCGGCGTGTATGTTTGATAGTAAAAGTCGATGAGGAAGATGCCAGGTATCAACGGTGAACTTGACGAGCAACCCGCTAGTAGTAGTGCTGAGGGCAAGGCATGTTAGTAGGTGGTCTGACTGTGAGATGGTATTTAGCAGACTCACAAAGAAGAATGATGGCAATGGCAATCAGGATCATGAGAATGTGATGATAGCCGATGAACGGTATCAGACGTTGGATTCCAACCGCGAACCCGATACCAGGAGCCATGGCGTCCTGTGAAATGTACTGTTCTGTTCAAAGGATGCCCTGCAGCCTGCCGGTGGCCGACGACGAGATAGAAGGAATGTCGACTATGTCTATACACAATAGTCTCTCGAGTTTGTAGCCTTTCGCGTGTCTTGACTCGTGGAATGTGGAGGTTTAGGTCGCCTGAACGTGGAGTTCCGTATGACCGTTGCAAATAAGAAAAAGCCGATGGTAAAATACTGTTTCCCACTGTTTGTCGCACAAAACGTATGTAACGTAGGAGAAAATCAGAGTGAGAAGAGGGTGAAAAAGAGAGAGGCGCGTCTATCCCTGCTCTCTTTTGCTGCACGACTAGAACTCGCGAGGTTGGTTAAAGTGGTTGCTAAATGAATTTCCTGCCACACACCCCAGCCTCCCTCGATCAAAAGACCGTGATGATCGTTTGTAAATACTCGGTTGCGTGGGGAACGACGCCCGAAGCGCGCTAAAATCAGGGAAGGTGCGGGATGGCTTCCCGTCCTGCGCACAAGCCAATCGGGGCGTTTTCACTCGAGTTGTGCATTCACCTTGTCGATAACTTCGTCGAGCACACTTCTTGCAAGCACAATATAGTGATACAGGCAGCGGTGGAATATAAGATGGACGATCACATGAGAGGACGATCAGTGTAAACTATGGTTCAGATCTGTTATAGATTGTCATGTCGCTTTTTTTCTAGCACTGGAAACTTTAGTTTCCTGGTATCATAGCAAGAGACAGGTTGAAGCTGCCTCTGCTGTTCATAACCTAACACCGCCTCCCTCCATTTAATAACCCATGTTGAATATCGTGTCATCCCAAGACGCCATTAAATGCAATCAAAACTTTATCATGCAAGCTTGAGCTGCTTAGATAGGCAGGGGGAAGGTGGTGGCCCATGAGGCGATCTCAGACTTGAGCTTCTTGATCTCCTCAACCTCGCCAGAGGCAACCTTGGCCTTGAAGTCCTTGAGCTTGTTGTTCTCCTTGGGGAGATCGGCCTGGACAGACTTGCAGAGCTTGACAGCCTGGTCAATGTAACCGGCAATGCGCTCGAAGTCGGCCTCACCCATACCGCGAGAGGTCATAGCGGGGGCACCGATTCTGATACCGCAAGGGCTCAAGGCAGACTTGTCACCGGGAGTGGTGTTCTTGTTGCAGGCAATGTTGATCTGCTCAAGGACAGCCTCAACACGGGCACCATCAAGAGCCTGGGGCTTCAGGTCGATGAGAACCATGTGGTTGTCGGTACCGCCAGTAACGAGGGTGTAACCGAGCTTCTTGAACTCGTGCTCAAGAGCCTTGGCGTTGTTGATGACCTGCTGCTGGTACTGTCTGAACTCGTCGGTCTGGGCCTGCTTGAGGGCAACGGCGAGAGCAGTGATGGTGTGGTTGTGAGGACCACCCTGGTGACCAGGGAAGACGGAGAAGTTGATGGGGCCCTCAAGGTCGTAGAGGGTCTGGATCTCCTTACCGGCCTTCATCTCAGTCTTGCGGACACCCTTGCGGAAGAAGATCATGGCACCACGGGGACCACGGAGCGACTTGTGGGTAGTGGTGGTGACGATGTCGGCGTAAGGGAAGGGAGAGTCGTTGACGCGACCAGCGATCAGACCGGAAATGTGGGCCATATCGACCATGAGGTAGCAGCCGACCTTGTCGCAGATCTCGCGGAAGCGCTTGTAGTCGATGGTACGGCAGTAGGCAGAGGTACCGGCAACGATGACCTTGGGTCTGTACATGAGAGCGTTCTGCTCGAGCTGGTCGTAGTCGATGATGCCAGTCTCGAGGTTGACACGGTAAGGGAAGGTCTCGAAGTAGGTGGAGACAGCAGAGATCCTGGACGAAGGTCAGAGGCTTCTCATGAGTGTGTGGAGGTAGATGTTGTAGCTTACTTTCTCTGGGGAGTCTGGTAACCGTGGGACAAGTGACCACCGTGGGGCAGATCGAGACCCATCAGACGGTCGTGAGGGCGCATGATAGCCTGGTAGACCTGGAGGTTGGCAGGGGAGCCGGACAAGCACTGGACGTTGACGCCCCAGTTCTCAGCATCAAGGCCGAAGGTCTGGAGAGCGCGAGCCTGGCAAGTGAGCTCGATGGCGTCAATGTGCTCGTTACCGCCGTAGTAGCGGGCACCGGGGTAACCCTCGGAGTACTTGTTGCTCATAGGCGAACCCAGAGCATCGAAGACAGCGCGCGAGGTGACGTTCTCCGAGGCAATCAGAAGGATGGACTCGCGCTGGCGCTGAATCTCCTTCTTCATGATCTCGGCGATCTCAGGGTCAGTCTCGACGAGAGACTTCTCCATGAGCTACTCATAGTCAGTTATGCAGCTCAATTGCACTTGTCGCATTGCGTTCTTACATCGCGGTGGCTTTCGGGAAGAGCGTAAGTGGCCATTATGTGTGTATGGATGTGTGTGTGTAACAACAGAAAGAAGTTGAGAGAACAAACGTGGGAGGCGGCCAGCTACATACAATATGAGCAATCTGGTGGGGAAGGATTTTTTACCTATGCGGGTGTCTTTGACTTTCCACATGCTCCGCACCGGAGACCCAGTCTGTTTCTGGAAAGACAACCCTACTTGGCGACCACCAACATGGCCACATTGTCCTTCCTTTCCCATCTGCTGGCTCATGCATCGGTCAGGGAGGAGTCCTCATTGTGTGTATAGTAATTCACGGCAGTTCATCTTGCCGGACCTTTGCTTCCCATTGGGCAAGAGCTTGCATGTCCGTCGTGGTATGAAGCTGCTTCTCGTTCTCCGCAATCGGTCCGCCACGAGAAGCATTGACACCAAGGCTGACTCTCGTTCTCTCAACCAACACCATTCGACTCGAGCGACTTCAGGGTCGTCAGGGTCGAAGTCGGCCACTCCACTTAGCGGGATGCAAGAGGTCATACATAAGTGGCTCTCAGCGGCCAATTACCCTAATCCTTCGACAATACCATCGATTTGCACAAGAGGACACGTACTTGTGTTGCCCAGCTGATCGAAGGCGATGAGTACTCGTGGATGTGGGGTCTTCGTCTCGTTCTTTCGCCACCACTCCTGAACTCCCGGTGTGAGGGTTGAATGGAGGCTGTGAATAATCCGAAGATCATCGCATCATGTGTGGACACCGTCCTACATAAAGATGGTTGGTTCTTGAGCTGCGGCAGGCAAGAGTACTTCGTAACCGTACAACGGTATCCGATTGCCTGACGACCACCTGGTATCGGCTTTACTCCACTCTGCAAAGATTGGTTCAGGTAGCGGTTTTAGTTTTATCGCTTTAGAAGTGCTGCATCTATCACAGCCCTTCGAGTTTCTAGATTGACTGCTTGCAAGATCTACAGGACAGACTCCAGAAGGCCGACATATAGACGACATGCCTCCACTTCAAGACACACCTACCTACCCATTCGTTCTTCTTGCTAGTACAGCATCCTCCGATCAAGACCATACCACAAACCAAGACTATGTCGACAAAGGGGTTCAGTCATGTATCGTCTGACCATCGTGCATGTTCGGCTTTACAAAAAGAACATCATATACCTCTGATATCGATCACACAAGGTAACAAAACGTCAATGCCGCTTCTGTGGATCGAACACAGTGCCTCCAGAATACTCTCGCGTTTGCGAGATGGACATGAAGTGGACTTCAGTCTGGCGCTCTCCCAGATGAGCTAAAGCGGCGTATTGCTGGTAACGCGGGAATCTGGTGGGTTTACGAAAATCTTAGAGCGAGCTCTAGCGAGCTTCGTAGAGGTCAATGCTGTGAAGACGTGCGTTCTGCATGCCAGACATGCTCCAGCTTGTGAGAGAAGAGACAGAGCATTGGGCGAATTCTAGAGCGGTGAGTAGAATTCAAGAAGAGGAGAGCATACGAGGGATGTGGTCGAACGAATCTAGAACCGAAAGGTGTTTGTTGCCGAGAGGAAACGATGCGTCACCCAATCTCGGCCTAATTGGGACTAGTAATTTCTGTCGCGTCCAAGTCGCGCGCTTTCCACACTTTCAAACAAAGTGAGGGAGCCAAACACTCGTTGCTTTCTTGCGCATCTCTTTCCCACGACCACATCTACATCAGCGACATCCTTCTAGCATTACATCTCTTCAACCCTCATCTCATCACATCACACCAAATCACATCATATCCATCACAATGGCCGCCGTGTCACTGCTCAACGTTGCTGTGCGCAACAATCCAGCCGCCTTCACCTCCCCCTACGAGTTCGAGATCACCTTTGAATGTCTCGAGAAGCTCGACAAGGATCTTGAGTGGAAGCTGACTTATGTCGGTTCTGCTACTTCGTAAGACTTTCTGTCGCCTGCATTTCTCCATCTTTCCGCTGATATACTTCTCTAGCTCCGAGTATGACCAGGAGCTCGATTCACTTCTTGTCGGCCCCATCCCTGTTGGTGTCAACAAGTTCGTCTTCGAGGCTGACCCTCCGGATCTCAACCGCATCCCCAACAGCGACATTCTCGGAGTCACTGTCATCCTCTTGACCTGCAGCTACGACGGCCGCGAGTTCGTTCGTGTCGGCTACTACGTTAACAACGAGTACACCGACGAGGCCCTCATCGCCGAGCCTCCTGCCAAGGCCGTCGTCGAGAAGGTCCGTCGCAGTATCCTCGCTGAAAAGCCCCGTGTCACCCGCTTCGCCATCAAGTGGGACAGCGAAGCCAGCGCTCCCGCCGAGTTCCCTCCCGAGCAGCCTGAAGCCGACAACCAGGAGGATGACGAGGCCGCATACGGTGCCGAAGAGGTTGAGGAAGATGAAGTCGACGTTGAGGGCGAACCTGAAGTCAAGGAGGGAGAGGACGCCGAGATGGCCGAGGCCAACCCTGTCGAGGCACCCAAGGAGGAAGACGAAGTCTCAGATGCTGGCAGCGAGGACATCGAAGCCGAGAGCAGCGCCAGCGAAGACGAGGACGAAGAGGAGGAGGAAGGTGAGGGTGAAGCCGAGGGAGAGGCTGCCGACGAAATGGACACCGACGCCAACGCATCTGCTGCACCCACCGGCGCCGCTGACAAGCCTCAGCCTGCTCAGCAACAGGGCGATGTCATGGTCCACTAGAAGATGCGCCGACTTCTCATCATCTAAATGATTCATGCAAGGCGTTGTTGGGATAGGGGTTTAAAAGCTTCATGATAATGGTCTGGGGGCGTAGGCATTTTGGGGTGTTTTCTGTTTACCCAACGAGAGGGTGTACCTTTCGACTTGATACCACTTTAAGAATACATTGACACTGTTTACATTGCGCTATCTCTCTCTTTCTTATCACGAGAACACTAAAGATAACGTCAGATGTAATGTTTCTTGTATCGGTGAGCTCTTGTCCATGGTCTCTGTTACACGGCAGCCATCGCGGTGAGTGAAGTCGCACACGACGGAAGTGCTCAGAACTCTGGCCAAATGACGTACGGTACTCTCACCAGTGTAGATAGAGATTTCACCCATCAGTCTTCCTAGTGACAGCTAGCTGACCACCTACCTTTACTACAATCAGAATGTTCTGACGCGTCATGCTGCCCTGCAAGAAAGGGAGATCACAAACTGGAAACGAGTCGATGCCCAAGCTTCCATCCGACTTGGCGACAACGCATGTCTAGGCAGACCACTTCTCTTAAGAACATCGAAGTAACCCCTAACTAATTCTATCTTCTGGATCTAAAGAGAACACAATGGCTGGCTTCATCCGTAGCAAGCAAGCCGGCATCCAAAACGACCTCTCCGCCGGGCTCACACCCGAGCATGTCGCGATCGATGACATCGAGCGTTATGGTATCAACAGCCAGATAGGTGCCATCGCCTATGATCCTGTGCAATCACTGCTGGCAGTGGGCACAAAGGACAGCAAATTTGGACCTGGACAAATCTATATCTTCGGCAGAGGCAGAGTCGCCGTCACATTCGACTTACCTCAACGAGCATCAGTCAAGCAGATACAGTTCTGCGCCGACAAGCTTGTCTGCCTTGACTCTAAAAATGATCTCTCATTCTATTCGCTAGAGTCGAAGAAACTTATCGGATCACACTCACCGCCAGGTGTCGCAACGACTATCGCGACAGATCCCGCCTTGGATTACGCTTTGATTGGTATGCAGTCCGGAGATGTTCTCGCTTACGATATGGACCGAGAGGGAGCCGCACCTTTCCGCATCCCAAACCTATGGGCCGAGCGAGATCCAAGAGTTCGAGTGTCACCAGTCGTCAGCATTCAATTCCATCCTAGAGATATCGGAAAGCTCCTGATCGGCTACGTTCACGGTGCAGTTACCTTCTCATTTAAGCTAAACCAAGCTCAAAGATTCTTCCAGTATGAAGTCCCTGCTGGAGCTCCTGGTGGTCATGCAGATCCAGATACATCAAGGACGCCTCGTTGGCCGAAACTTACACAAGCAGTATGGCATCCTACTGGCACTTTCATCTTGACCGGACACGAAGACAGCTCGATGGTATTCTGGGATCCCAAGGATGGGAGAATCATCTTGGCTCGAACAACTAGTGAGACACACATCAACATTCCTGGAAAGGGTGCTACAACTCTTGGGCCAACAGTGTCAGTGAAGGAGCCTATCTTTAAAGTCGCCTGGTGCGCGAACAAAGATCCCGATGACACTGCACTCCTTATTGCTGGTGGTGCAGACACAACTATGCCTACCAAAGGCATGACGTTCTTCGAAATGGGCCGAACTCCAAACTATGCAACTTCAAGTTGGGATGTTCTCGCTGATCACCTGGAGTCACCACGCCGACAAAGAGTACTGCCAACACCACCAAATGCCGAAGTTGTCGATTTCTGTCTGATTCCGAAAGAGTCGCCCCACTTTGCCGGTGCTCAAGATCCCATTGCCATCCTCGCGCTTCTGTCTTCGGGAGAAGTCATCTCGCTCAGCTTCCCAAGCGGTATACCTATCACACCCACCAACCAACTACACGTTTCAATGACCTTTGTCCACCCATTCATCAGACGTGCCAATATCACCACAGTCGACAGAGTGAGATGGCTTGGCATGACCGAGAATCGCAATCAAGGTCCTCGTATCTTGAAGGGTGGTGTGGAGCAGACACATCCTCTCAAACGCTATGAAAATCGAAATATCATTCAGACAATGCATGCGGATGGTACAGTCAGACTCTGGGACGCCGGTCATGGCGATGAGCTAGAAAACGACAAAGTCCTTGAAGCAGGTGTAGGTCGAGCCGTGGGACGTATCGAAGGTGTAGACATTACCACCACTTCTTTAGCAAGTGCGAGTGGTGAGTTTGCAGCAGGTACCAGGAGTGGCGAAGTTGCAATCTTCCGCTGGGGCAACAATAGGAACTTTGGTCGCGATGTACCGCCTTCTGCTGGTGGCAACCGTCCGAATGCTCTCACCAACATTATCGACAGAGCCGATCCGAACCTCAAGGAAGGTTTGTGTCCATTCACCTTGCTCGACTTGCAAAGTGGTCCTATCACTTCAGTCAAGGTCAGCGAGGTCGGCTTCGTCGCTACTGCTTCGGAAGGGGGTAAACTGGCCGTTATTGACATGCGTGGCCCTGCCATCATCCACCTCGGCACTACTCAAGAATTTGGTAAGGGCGAGAAGCTCGGTACGCTACGTCGCAAGAGCTCTCACGCACCAGACAAGCCTGAATGGGTGACAAAGTTGGAGTTCAGTGTAAGTTTTGCTGGCAACAATAACTTCTGTAATACTGACATATTGCTAGGTTATGACCCTCGAAGATGAAAATTACTCTAGCGTGAACCTGCACGCTGGTACTAATCTAGGGCGACTAGCAACTTTCAAGCTCGTCCCGGACAGTTCTGGGCGCTATGTTGTCGAGTTCAAAGGCGTAACCACTTTTGACGGTCGTATCATCCATATATCGCCCGTCGACACCCACACAGGCAGACCGGCATCCGCAAATCAAAACGCCGTCGCCAATCTTCGCAACGGCGCAAAGACTGATGGTGTCCTCGTCGCCGTAACCACAAGTGAAGCCCGTATCTTCCGTCCAGCCACTGCAAAGGGAGCCCACAAGACTTTCGACAGCCACTCCTGCGAGTCAGCGGCTGTAGTGAGATTCCAGGATCAAGGCTATGTGCTTGCCGGATTGTTTGGTGATGGTACTGTGCGTGCTTACACATTACCTGCTCTCAAAGAGCTAAACTCGATCAACATCTCGCATATCCTGGACACGAGACGCTTTGCAGATTCGATCATCGTACCCAACGGTGACATATTTGGCTGGACCGGTCCCTCTGAGATGGCACTGATCAACATGTGGGGAACAGGTCAACTCTTGTAAGTTTAACACTCTCCTTCCAGAGAGATACAAATGCTGATAAACCTCAAAGGCCAAAATCTTTAGACAAACTGTTCAACCCTGAAGCTCTCATCCCACCTCGACCCACAATCTCAAACTTCCAATGGGTAGCAGGAACCCAATACGTCACCCCCTCCGACATGGATCTCCTCAGTAAGTTCTGCCCTGTCCCTCCTGTCCCTGCTGCCTCAGCTCAACATCTTCCCAGTCGGCGGTCCCTCCCGCCCCCCCTCAAAACGCATGCTCGCCCAATCCCGCGCCGACGAAGCCGCTCTCCGCGCTTCCTCTCGCAACCCCACCACTTCGGCGTCTTCAGCAGCACAGCAAAGCACAGAAAGCTGGGGCGCATACATGCAAAGACAAGTTCAAGAACGCACACAAAACCTATCCATCATGGGTGATTCGATGGAGAATCTAGAGCAGAATAGTCAAGGCTGGGCTGATGATGTGGGCAAATTTGTAAACAAGCAGAAAAGGGGTGTGGTTACTGGGTTGATCAAACATAAATTTGGGTTCTGAGGATAAAGGATAGGTAAGGGAGGGAGAAGGAGCGAGAGAAAGTCGGTATATGAGAGTTGGTTTTCTGGAATTATTAAATATCAGAAGACTCTCCCCCAAAACGGAAAAAGAAGAAAGTGCAGAATCGATTATTCATCTTTTTAACTCCAGACTCTTTTTGCTAGGAAAGTGGTCAGGGAGACCTTTCGAGAGTGGGGAATCTCCAGATCTAAGTAAAAGGCAGGTGCGTGAAAACGGCTGGGCATGTTTGCAAGAAAGTCGACGCAGGAGCGCTCGAGCAGACATGAGACACAAAGGAGTATCGAGCAGGTCTTGGAGTAAATGTGCCTTTGTTCTACGAGGAAGCAGAAACGGGCCTCGACACCGGCAGGGAAACACTCACACGTATCTACTCGATTAGTGCTCAGTCTCGGCTTCCTTTGACTAGCTCGATCTCGCACTTGTTGCTCAAGGTGTTCCCAGCTTCGATGTTTCCTTATTCTCTGTCAGGGCCTAGAAGCACGCGTCTTCATATACCAGCATCCATCATCAGGTCGTAAATTCGTTGGGTGTTTATCCATTATTCGTTATGCGTTCGATCAGGACATGCTCATTTCGCATGATCGACAATCTGCTGGTAGAGGTCTTCGGGCAGTTTTCGTACAAAGCTGATAGCCATGGGCTTAATCTTGGAGGCCTGGAGAGGCGGGAAGGACCTGAGAATTTGGTTCGGGCTGCGGTTGTTGGTGTCAGGTCGAGTACATACAAGGAAGGCGATGGGAGACATACCTCGAACTGGATAGGAGTTGATCTCTTATCAGGACTAGCTGAGCAACAATGCAAAGCAAATTCAGATGCGGGCCGTAAGCGAAGCAGAAGTCCCATAGTTGGAGAACCTCGGGCAGAGGCGGAGTGCAAGCGCACATGGTGAGAACGCTGGCGAAGGCATAGATCCTGGCCTCCATGCCCTTGCTTGCCAAGTAGGCGGACAACTTTGGATCCACGATAGCAAGGATCTTGTCGACCAGAGCCAGTCCTCTGTGAACGCCGTCCATCGAGCCTCTTACATAGCCGGGACATTCGACGGTAATGAAGCGATCAAAGGCAGCGAAGGCCTCTGCCTCGCTACGGGCGGCATACAGGAAGGGAGCAGCCATGACATTCATGCCCTGAACATAGCCAACGTGAGAAGCACCATCACCAGCCTCGGAGCCTTCAGTCCCGGTTATAGAGGCGCGATGCCTTGAGGTAGGCGATGTGACTTGATCCGACTGGCCGTCAATGCTTCTGGGTACAGACAAGGTAGGAGGTGACATCCACCCATTGATGCGAGCTTCATGAGCATCGTGCAGTTTCCAGGCGATGGCATTCAGAACACGGGTGAGGCTATTTTCCGTAACGCGACGGCGGAACAGAGGATCCGTCGTCAAGGTACGGAAGGTATCGTTGCGGATCTTGGTATAGGCCGGCGAGGCACCCTGTCGCACAAGATCGAGGTAGGCATCGGTGCGGAGCGGTGGCACATTGAGCAGGATGAGCCAGATGTACATGCGCAACTCGGACTAGAATTGCAGCTTGTTAGATGTTGCTATACGCCTTTGTTTACACCGGACCTCCTCACCATGCCATCGCTGTTGCTGCTAATTCCATCCGACAAGATGGTGTAGCGCAACTGTTCCAGTCCTGCCTCCACATCACCTGCAGGTCCCTTGGAAACCAGTGTTTCGAGACTCGTCATGATGTTACGAATGTCGAATCGTTGTTGTCGTCGTCCTCAGGCACACGCGAATGTTGCTGCGCCCTGTACCGCGCATCGCGTTTAAGCTTTCCCATGCGGCTGCTCCCGCTGCTAGCATTGGAACACAAACACGTGATTTCCACCCAGATCTCGCCGCTGAAAGTGCCGGGAAGGCGGCGGAAGAAAGCGTGGCGGCTCTGTCTGCTTCTAACGAACTCTTTTCGACATCGTCATCACCTGTCTCCGCGGTGTGCTCAAGCCTCAACCTGTGGGGACATGGAGTAAGAGAGCCCACTTCTTGACATAACACATCGTTGTGTCACCAGCTTGCTACTCATGCGAAACGTCGCAAATTGCTGTCCTTCAGGGTTAGCATTTCTCCATCTCACCGTGTCACGCGTTGCCAATCTCAGGAGCACAAGAGCTACCGCCATGGGTTGTTTGCCCCTTACGAACCCATGATCGATACCATGTCGCGACTGTTCCTCGGTCGTCACGCAAATCGCTGTCCAGATGCGGCTCTCGAGCTCCACCGAGGTTGTCAAGCATGGAAACAATGCTTTGTCAACTGCTTCTGCACCTCTACGCCGTTTCTCAGCCCTGGATTTCCCAAGTGCATGGCTTCTAGATTGTGCTTGTCTGAGCCTCTCGCAGCAGCATGTGCGAGTACCTGAGAGCTTTTCGCAAGGCTTGCTTGTCTTCGCGGTGCTTGAGCGTGAAAAGATATCGATTTTGTGGAATGTCGTCAACCCTCAACAAAGCACGCCATGACAGGCGTTTGTGATTGGGTCCAAATTCAGCGGGGATCGGAACCAAAGCAAAACAACTAACCCCAACTTGGTATCACGTCAATCACATCATACCAATGCTTTGCTGGGCGGCCCACTACGTCCATACGACGACGAAAGCTCGACGTCGGTTCAAAGCTTGCTGGCTGCCGGTTGAGATCTGGATCTGTATGACCTTGACTTGTCTACCGCATTTCTCTCCCATATTTGCCTTTTTCAATCACGTCTCTGCACCTTCTTTCTTTCGTGTGCAGCACGCCTTGTTCGAGTCCTTTTGCCATCTCTGTGATTCGCTAAACCGTTCGGCTTACAACCGTTCGTCCTAAATTCTGGCCCGAGTGCTCACCAATCCTCGTTGAGTTCTTACCTTCTGGCTTGCAGCCCTTGCCTCAGCCAAATACGCCTCCCACACTTTCTTGAGAGGATCATTTCCAATCCCCGGATTGCTCATCCAAGCCCTCAATTGGATAATAAAACGTCGGTACCGAAGCAAGCGAGTCGCCTGGTCTATAAACCCTCGCACTGTCTCTTCCCAAACACCCTTCACTACTCTTGTTTCTATACCACCTATCCGGATTCTGGTGTGTTATTTGACGCTACATCCACACTCCTTCAATATGCCTTCTAGAAGGGCACAAGTTGGCCATGGGCTAGCTAAAGTCCTAGGCATCAAACTCGACTACCGACAGGAGATGCACGCTGAGAAGATCACTAGAGGTGAATCTGTCTTCTCCGTCTCCAGCGCTGACACCTTCGTTGAGGCTGAGCCCACTGTTTGGGAATGGTTCCGCGATGTTACTCCGACTGGTGGTCAGATGAAAACCTATGGTCGGAATCTCTTTCCCTTCACCCGCTGGATTGGTCGTTACAACCTTCAATGGCTCTACGGAGACTTGGTCGCTGGTATCACCATCGGTGCCGTCGTAGTACCTCAGGGTATGGCTTATGCCAAACTTGCTCAGCTTGATCCCGAATATGGTCTATACTCGTCCTTCATGGGTGTCTTGATCTATTGGTTCTTCGCTACCTCGAAGGATATCACTATTGGTGTAAGTGATTTACTCCTCTTCCTCTTGAGACAATCTGCTTACGTTACACACAGCCCGTCGCCGTCATGTCTACCATCGTCGGAAACGTTGTGCTCAAGGCCAAAGACAGCCATCCTGAGTACCAAGGTCACGTCATCGCATCTGCACTTTCTGTCATCGTTGGCGCTATCGTTTGCTTCCTCGGTCTTGCCAGACTCGGCTGGCTCGTCGACTTCATTTCTCTCACCTCCATCTCGGCATTCATGACTGGTTCCGCTATCAACATCTGTGTCGGTCAGATCCCAACCCTGATGGGTATTACCGGCTTCTCCACCCGTGACTCGACATATCTTGTTGTCATCCATATCCTGGAGCATCTTGGACGATCAAAACTGGATGCAGCAATGGGTCTGACTGCCCTTCTCTTCCTCTATCTCTTGCGTTTCGGCTTCCAATACCTGGGAAACAAGATTCCCAAGCACCGCAAGCTCCTTTTCTTCTGCTCCACATTGCGCACTGTCTTCATCATCCTTCTATACACCCTGATCAGTTGGTTGGTCAACCGCAATATTCCCGGCATTCACAACAAGAAGAAGACCGCCACTCTCTCCAAGTTCAAGCTGTTGGGAACTGTTCCTCGTGGCTTCAAGCACGCTGCTGTGCCAACAGTCACCGCTGATATCATCAAGGTGTTTGCCAGTGAGCTTCCGGTTTCAGTCATCGTCCTGCTTATTGAGCACATCTCCATCGCCAAGTCCTTTGGTAGAGTCAACAACTACTCGATCGATCCCTCTCAGGAACTTGTCGCTATTGGTGTTTCGAACCTCCTCGGTCCTTTCCTTGGTGCTTATCCTGTCACTGGTTCTTTCTCACGTACTGCTATCAAGTCCAAGGCTGGTGTTCGTACACCTTTCGCTGGTGTCATTACTGCTGTCATCGTTCTCCTGGCTATCTATGCCTTGCCAGCAGTCTTCTTCTACATTCCCAACTCGGTCCTCTCTGCCGTCATCATCCATGCCGTTGGTGATCTTATCACTCCTCCCAACACTGTTTACCAGTTCTGGAAGATCTCACCTATCGAGGTTCCTATCTTCTTTGCCGGTGTCTTGGTCACTGTCTTCTCTTCGATTGAGAACGGTATCTACACTACCATCTGCGTGTCGCTTGCTCTTCTCCTCTTCCGCGTCTTTAAGGCTCGTGGACGCTTCCTCGGAAAGGTCCAGGTCCACTCTGTTATTGGAGACCATCTTCTCGAAGATAAGGATAAGCCTCAAAACCACCCCTACGACCATGAGAAGGCTGACCGCAGCATCTTCCTGCCTATCGAGCACGATGATGGTTCCAACCCCATGATCGAGACTGAATCTCCCCACCCTGGAGTCTTCATCTACAGATTCTCGGAGGGCTACAACTACCCCAACGCTAACCACTACCTCGACTACATGGTTTCTTCGATCTTCAAGCAAACTCGTCGCACTGACCCTGACGCATATGGCAGACCTGGTGACCGTCCTTGGAACGACCCTGGCCCGCGCCGTGGCAAGGCTGCGATAGTCGAGGACCAAAAGCCCACTCTTAAGGCTGTCATCTTGGATTTCTCTTCTGTCAACAACGTTGATATTACCTCTGTGCAACATCTTATCGACGTCCGCAACCAGCTCGATCGTTACACCACTCCTGAGAAGGTTCAGTGGCACTTTGCTCACATCAACAACCGCTGGACCCGTCGCGCTCTCGCATCCGCTGGCTTCGGTTACCCCACCGAGGAGGGCGAAGAGTTCCAGCGCTGGAAGCCAATCTTCAGCGTTGCTGAGCTTGGTGGTTCTTCAAGTGCCGCTGCTGATGCCGAGTACGCCCTCAACCACGCTGAGTACAAGAAGCACCGCGATATTGAGCTTGGACGCGCTCAGAGCAGAGAGATTCACGGCGAAAGCAGTGAAACTTCCAGCGACATCAACCAGACTATCCAGAACAGCAAGGCATATGATTCGCAGGTCAACCAGAAGAAGGTTGTTGTGCATGGCCTCAACAGACCTTTCTTCCACATCGATTTGACAAGTGCTCTGCAAAGCGCTGTCGCCAACATCTCAAATCCTTCAGCTACCGCCGATGTTGTCCAGGACAAGCTCAGCTGAGGAATGATGTTTGTTTAATGTCTTTATACATGTTTTGTGTTTTTTCTTTTTTGATATCATGACTAGCGAATCGTTTCCGGAGAGGTTCAAAAGCAAGCAAGCAATCTTTTGTAGATATGTGCTAGATGTTGCACTTTACATGGCTTGTAGGATACATGTTGTTGGCATGTAGAGTAGCATTAGACGCGTTTTGGGTTTCTTGTACATACTGCACTCATTACCAGCATTTTTCAACCCATCACGACTACACTTTCCCATCTGACCTGACCCGTGTCGCGTCTGCTATCAAACCACTGTCGCCAGACATTGCCATCGGTGTCGCAGACCGTGGTACCCTCTGGGGCCCCAGGTTACCTTATCTGATGGCTATATCGCAAAGCTTCCCTGCATCTAGAGCATATGTACCTGACCATCTTTGACGCGTCTAGAACACGATCTAAAAGCCAACATGAGCCTCATCTTTGTCGAATTTGATCAAAATTGAGCCCGTCTTACAAGCAGTCACAACTCCATCACGACCATACTAATCCTGTTGTCATTGCACGCATTTTACAGCCGCGACAAAGCGCTCGCTCCAACGATCATTTAACAGAAAAAAAAATGACTTCATCCGCGCCAGCCCCCCCGTTCATGCATGATTCAATCCATCGAGATCCGTCATGCGGTTTTTAAAGGCTCTTCTCCTCAACGCAACAAAGACGTGCCGAGTGAGCGCCGTAAAAAACCGGCATCTCTTTGGAAAAGTGACAAAGCAGAATCCTCCCTTTCGCTTGCAATGCGGGGGGGGGAGAGCATCCTTGGAAGTTGGGCCATCATGCGGTCATCACGGGATTTATTGACGAGGCATGGAAGAGGCGAAGAAAAAGAAATGTCAATTTTTTGCCGTGGAGGAGGGCGGAGCGGGAGACCGGCTGGGAAAGTGTTCAGCGAGTGGGAAAGATGACCCCGAGACATGGCCGTGGAAGGGAGCGGGAGGCGGAAGTTTCGGATGGTGCGGCTTCCGATAGCGGTGTGGATGTTTGAAGAGATTGGTATGGGGGCGGGTATTGGATTTGAAGAAGTAGTTATTGACTAGATGTAGAGATCGCGAGTGCAGATAGGATGTATCATATTAGTATAGACGCTTTGGTCTTGTGCTTGTATCAGCGAGGAAAAGAAGTGGAATAGATGCGTGCAAGATGACGATGGTCTGAGCTCGTCAATTCATGCCATCAGAATTCGCAGCATCTGGTCACTGCTATGAGTGCTTTTCACAAATCCATCTAACCAACATTAAATCCCCATCCTCTGATTGCACATACATCAAGATCTGGACATATATTCACAACTTACATCTCCCCTCCATCACCTACACAGGGGAACAAGACAAAGGCCGAGCATCTTCACGGTCAAAATGCCAGTGCCAAACATCACCCAAGTAGTCCCTGGCGCAGCCGTCTCCATCGTCCTCAAAGAAGACCAACCCACAGGTCGTCAAGTCCAAGGCCACGTCCAAAATGTCCTGACCAGTGGGAACCACCCTCGAGGCATAAAAGTGCGTCTTTCCGATGGCAGAGTAGGCCGCGTTCAAAAAATGCACACTGGAGAAATGCCTACTACAGAAACTTCTTCAACACAAAGCTCGGCACCGAGTTATACATCCAGAGCACCTAGGGAGAGGGATAATCGTCGCTCGAAGTTTCAATCTAGGGATGTCAGGTTGGATGAGGATGGGGAGGCGCCGAAGGAGGAGATTGATCTTTTTGCGTATGTGAAGCCTGCTAAGCAGAAGAAGGGACGAGGAGGGAAGGTCCAGGAGCCTGTGCGGGAAGAGGAGCCAGTTGTGGAAGCTACGAAGACTGCTTCTTGCCCTGTGTGTGGGGACTTCGAGGGCGATGAGACAGCAGTGGCGCATCATGTCGAGTCGCATTTTACTTGATTTGCAAACACCTGGAAGCGAGCTCACCTGGGTTCTGTCGATATTGCTCTTCGACTACAACTAGAGTGTTTGGGGCGACCTCTTTCGGACTCTGGGTATCTTGCACATGGAGACCCTGCCATGATTGGCTCTTCTCTTCTCCCTTCCTCATTCGCTGCCACGTCAGTCGAATCGCGAATCTTTCTCATATGGGCAACCTCACGCATACAACGACCTTTGTGCCCTCAGAACGATCAGGCGCAATCCAAGATCGAGGATACAGTCTACATGTGCTACACATAGCTCGCTTCATCCTAGCTTTCTGGACGGTGGATATACTAGTCAGCTTGACCTCCTCTATGTCCCTCATGCAGGTCTGGTTACAAGAGACATGGCTTTTCTTGCAGTGTGCCGTGGATTTATGCCTTGACTATCCGTATACACTTGACCTTTGGAGGGATCTCTGCAGACGCCTAAATGGGTTGTCACGACGCTTCTTCGACGCACATGTTGAGCAGTGATCTGGTCATCAGGTTCAGGATGATGAGGTTCAAGATTCCGAGCATCGGCTTGGAGTTATGGTTATGGCAATCATGGCCCAAGACGGCTGCTCATTTTGACTTCTCGTCTTCCTGGGGGGCGGTATGCATGATTTGTCCTGTTGATGCTCCTGGGACCTGGTGGAAAGGAGTTCAAAATATAGTCATTAAAAGTCATATCAGATCCTCACCATCATGTTTATTGTGAGAGTAAACTCTGGTCGGTTTCATTGCCGCATATTGGGCTTCTCTCATTGCAAATGAGTGTGTTCAAGTTTGGGTTATGATCAATCGTTTACTGTCTGGGCCGACAACGAAGTTGTGACATGGTAAATCACAAATGGCCCTATCTCTATCTCGACCATGACCCGTATCTACCCACCGGCCCTCACAAAGCCGTCTAATATACATCAAACACTGACATCCGTATATGCGACTCTACCAGAAGAGTCATTGATGAAGAGAGGTAGCAGATAAACATCCGACAGGGTCACACGAGCAGAATTCGTGACATGCTGAATTCGACATTTTGATCTCGTACAACGCAAGCCCATGGTCTTTGATATGTTTTTACCTGTAACCCATATAAAGCATGAAAAAATAACGCTGTGAAAGAAGAAAGACCCAGTCGATGGATCCAGCCTCTGTCGAATGAACATAAGGGCACTTCGATTTCTGAAACAATAGGAGCAATCGCGAAATGTGCTATGATTTTACATGACTGTGTTGAGGGGATACCGAGTTATGACCGTCTTGTGGTTTTTTGCTTAACACGCATCCGAAGAGCACGAAATAATAGACAATGCGAGGATGATTTAATGATGTCTATAGTGTTTCCTTGAGATAGGCCAGCACCAGGTTGATGTTGGAGACGAAAGAGGCAAGGCAAGAGTCGTGGAAGGGACACTCAGTGACGTGTGCGGGGGTGGGGCTCTCTTCTCGAACGTCAACGAACTTTTCATGTCCCAGCCAAACACAGCTTCTTGTATCAACAACCGCATAAACATCATGTCCGCCAGCAAAGTCGTCATCCTCACCGGAGCATCGCGAGGTGAGCAAAAAAACGGGCATTGCATGATAGAGAAGAGGTATATTGATGGGGGGAAATTCTAGGCATTGGGCTTGCTATTGCGCACTATCTACTCAAGCAGTCATGCCGTGTTGTGACGGTCGCCAGAAGCCGCGAGCCCATGGAGAAGCTGAGTGAGCAATACCCTGGACAGGTCGAGGTGCTTGCCGGTGATCTCTCAGATCTGTCGTTGGGACAGAGAGCAGCAGATCTGGCAAAGTCAAAGTGGCAGCGTCTGGACAGCGTGATTGTCAACCACGGTATCCTCGACCCTGTCAAGAGAGTCGCCAACGTCGAGGCAGAGGAATGGAGATCCTTGTTCGACGTCAATGTCTTCTCGGCCATTGCACTGGTTGGTCGACCACTCCACTGTTGAAGTAGAATAGCACGACTAACATTTGCGGATAGGTCAAGGCATCTCTGCCAGCACTCCGTGAGTCCAAAGGTAGTATTATTCTTTGCTCTTCTGGTGCTGCTGCCGGCGCATACTCCACCTGGGGAGCATATGGCGCATCCAAGGCTGTGTTGAACCACCTCGCCATGACTCTTGCTGTTGAAGAGCCTGATGTCACCACCCTCTCAATCCGCCCAGGCGTCGTGGACACGGATATGCAAGTATCAATCCGCGACGTGCACAACAACAGCATGGACGCAAAAGACGCCGCCAAGTTCAAGGAGTTGAAGGAGACGGGAGGACTACTCAAGCCCGAGCAGCCAGGTCATGTAATGGCAAAGTTGGCATTAGATGCACCCAAGGACTTGAACGGCAAGTTCTTGAGTTGGAACGACGAGAAGCTTGCGGCTTTCCAAGAGGGATGAACTATAGATAGACTTTCGACGTGTTAGTCGAATGTACTTTCAACAGTGATGCAGTAGTGAAGGTGGATTGAAGAAGTGCAGTCAGTTGAAAGATGAAAAGCAATACATTTTGATCACCATAAGGGTTTTAGCCTTCAGGTTTAGCATGGAATGATTTTGTTCATCACGCGAGGAATGGAGATGTGAAAAGAGTGGTGTACTGACCTTACGATATGCGAGACTCGAGGGAATCAGAGTTCATGGGTTGTTCTAAATGTACCTAAACATGAGTTGGTAAACATGAAACTGACCAGTATTGTTGAAAAATTGAAGATTGAAAGAAGTTTTTTCAGGTAATCGAACCATTATTTTATTCCTCAAGGATAATAGGTGGTGTTGTATATAACATAATTTTCTCATCATGTAAAGAAAAGGAAGAGATGATGCTTGATCATTACTAACCTTGTGTATTCCTGCCGAGTGTCGCTCTTTGCGTACACTCAGCGCGCGCGTCCGACTTGTTCCATCTTAACCAATGCTTTGGCAAGTCGCATCATGTATGCAGAGCTTGAGCGAAGCAAAGAGAGGTGTGAGGAGATCTGTCTGAATTGCAATGTTAGCTGATATTCACCAAAGACCAATTTTGAGAAATGAGCGAGTTGTGCAAGATAATTTTCAGAGAGTCCGTTTGGTTGAGACAGGTAAATCACCACGTAAAGGTAAGATAGGGGCGACACGAATGTTCATCCTTAAAAGTACTGGAGGAGAGGGAGAGAAGGGGGAATAAACACATACCTTTTGCGCTGTTGTTTGTTGAAAGGAGAAGGCAGAAGGAAAAAAGTCGCGTCGAAAGAAATAGCAGGTGAAGCTCGGACGCGTCGGTGACGGAAGCCGCAGGGCGGGATTAGCCGGAGTTGATGGTCCCAGTCAGACTTAAAGCTGCAGCATTCCCCCAAAGTTGCGCGCGCGCTGCCTGTAGTAGCATGTTGACATCGACACTTCTTTGGCCGAACCGTTGAATTCACTGCTAGTCCGAACCATACAAGCCATACGAATATGTCGGACAAAGACTTTGCTGGTATGTAATACTGAGTTCCAAGAAACACGTTTGCGACGGAAGAAGCATGCTAACAATTTACAGGCAGTGACGAGCTCACTCTGCCGAGAGGTATGCGTCCTTTCGATATGTGAATTAACCGACCCACGCGACTAACCAGGACACTCCAGCCACCGTCCAAAAGATCATTACCGAAGTACTGGCCAATGACCAGGGAATGTCGTTTGCCAAGGAGACGCGCGACCTGCTCATAGAATGTTGCGTCGAGTTCATCACCATGGTGTCGTCCGAAGCCAACGAGATTGCCGAGAAAGACGCAAAGAAGACGATTGCATGCGAACACATTACAAAGGCATTGGACGAGCTAGGCTTCAATGAATACGTGCCGGATCTGCTCGAGGTCGCACAACAGTTCAAGTCGCAGCAAGCGGTGAGTTGGATACGACGAAGACAATGCAGAGGATAATGCTGATGTGGTGTGAACAGAGTCGCGAGAAGAAGCAGAGCAAGATCGAGCAGTCTGGTATGACCGAAGAGGAACTGCTGAGACAGCAAGAAGAGTTGTTCAGATCAGCGAACGAGAAGTTCAATGCTGGACCCGCCGAGCCCGCCGAACCTACAGCATAAGCGACAGAAAGAGCAAGGGAAGAACAAGAGGCACAGCGAGTGGGAGCAGAGGCGTCTTTGGCGTTTGGGATGATACGATTCTTCTTTAGATACCCCATCTCTACGGTTATGTTAGATCACGGCGCAACATGGCATGGAAGGAGCGAAATGCATTACCTTAGTTTCACTTCGTCTTGCAGCTCACAGCGGAATATAGTGAACGCTTGAAAAGACATGGTTTGCAGGGTTGTTGATTCTTCCGAAAGGTGTAAAATGCAGGACGCATGTGACAGTGACGAAAGAGGGCGATCCGGCCAAGACCCCACACTCTGGACCGCCTCGGCCGCAGCCCGTCATCGTCAGTCCATCAAGCAACACGCATACCAAACACATCTTTTTACGACGTCCACACCTATATGCCACATCAGTCCCACGACTAACCCACCGTCACCATGTCAGGCCTCGAAAAGGCTCTCTTCAACCTCAAGGTACTGTTGCCCTCTTCCACCCTTCACATCCGTCCTCACGCCCAACCACCCCCCACTAACATGCCCAACCCACCCACAGTTCACAGCCAAACAACTCAACCGCCAATCCGCAAAAGCCGGCAAAGACGAGAATGCCGAAAAGGCAAAACTGAAAAAGGCCATTCAACAAAACCACGGCGACATTGCCAAAATCTACGCCCAGAACGCCATTCGCAAGCAGAATGAGAAGCTCAACTTGTTGCGTCTGGCCTCGAGAATCGATGCTGTGGCCAGCAGAGTCCAGACGGCTGTGACGATGCGTCAAGTCACTGGTAGCATGGCGAATGTGGTAAAAGGCATGGATGGAGCCATGAAGGCCATGGACTTGGAAAAGGTGTGTTGTGCTGTTGCCTTGTTCTTGCAAGAGCTGTTGACTGACTGAACATTCACAGATCTCGGCCGTCATGGACAAATTCGAGACGCAATTCGAGGACCTGGATGTCGCGACTGGATACTACGAGAACGCCACTTCCAGTGCTACTGCTGTAGGAACACCTCAAGAGGACGTCGACAGATTGATGTCACAAGTCGCCGATGAAGCTGGTGTTGAATTGAATCAAGAGATGGCCGGAGCTACACCCGCACAAGGCATCAAAGCCCCTGCCAACCCCACCGAAGTCGAGGAAGACAACTTGGGCGAAAGACTGAGAGCTCTGAGAAGCTAGTTGGAAAGAGCAAGTGTGGATACTAGAAAGATATCGAGATACCTCACTCGAACTGGGGATTGGAGTTTGGGCGTCTCTGAGATGCTTATGGGATAAGCGTGCTTTCGATCGACAGATGCATAACCTACTGACTGCTGTGTATATCAACTTCGTTATTCAACCAAAATCTCTTGAGTCTTTGTCTGCACTGAACCAAGATGGGGGTCCGCCTCTAATCACTTGCCTCTCTGAGAGTGCTGTAGACCAGTGTTCGAGGCGATTCAGCATTGCTTCCACCTTTTCCCGTGCAAAGAAAAGGTAGACCATCGGGTTTGCGATCCACACGAGCAAGTGCTTCTCTCCAGGACCACAACGACTAAACTGGCAAATTCTTGACCAAGATCAAAGTCTAGCCTTCACTCGTGTCAAAACCCCAAAGAGAGTCACGGGGCTTCAAGATTGCCTAGTAGACAAGCAAGCAGTCAAATATCAAGTATAGATTTACAAAACTAGGTATCAAGAAAGAAGGAAAAATCGAATATCCAAGACACACACGCTATGCAAAAAAGGAATCCACATCTTCCACTCAAAAGCCTCCCAAAAAGCCAACATCACATGACAATACATTCCTGCTCCTGTTTATGTTTCGGCACTCCCATCTCCTCAAAGGTCTTTGGCCCCGTCTTTGCCGGTTTACTAGGTGTTGCAGGTTTCGGCATGGCCCCTGCACCGATCCCCGGCGGCGGTGTCCCCACAGCCCCGGTACTCCCCACAGAAGGCCCAGGACTCGGTCGTGGCGTTGCAGAATCCACTCTTGTGGGTGTGCGGCCGAGAGAACTACTGGACGCTGATGTTGCAGGCCTTGAGCTGCTTGACGTGGGTGGGCGGGAGGAGTGGCGGACGGGGTTTTGGGGTGCTGTGTAGACGACACTTGGGGGTGGGCGTGTGTCGGGGGGAGCGGTGTAGCCGATGTCGAGGCGGGAGTTTACGGGTGGGAGTTGTGAGGTTGGGTTCATGCGGGGAGAAGTCCCTGGTTGAGGGCGAGGGCCGGGGACTGGACCGGATGCTGTGCGATGACCCGGTGGTCTTGCACCGCCGGGCATTGGACGCTGGCCTTGGAGTGTGGAGGCAGCGGAATCTGGACGGGCGAGTGTTGTGTTTGCTCGTATTCGGCCAGTTGGCGTCGTGGTTGCTGGACGAGTGTCTAGGAAACCGCCTGTTGGTCCTGGAGTTGGTGTGGGTCGAGGTGTCAGGTCCTCCAGCGGGTAGGGAGCCGTGGAAGTAGATCTGGGTGGAGGTACAGTTGGTGGTCGGTCATCTAGAGGATAAGGTGTCGGAGTGCTCGAAGGCGGCGGACCCAGAGAAGAATTACGTCTTGGGTGAGGAGAAACAGAACCTTCGGAGATGGACTCAATGCGCGGAATTTGAGCCTGGAATCTCGGAGGTCGTTGACCACGCATGGAACCATGTTGAGATTTTATGCGACTCAAAGCAACGTTCTCGTGATCGTTCTTAGACAAGATGTGGCGGCGAGCGATACTATCGATACGACCTTGAGCATCCTTGTTTCCGTTCGCAGCAGCTTTGTTATACCATTGTAAGGCGAGGTCAATGTTTCTTGGTACATGAATGCCAAGCTCGTTGAAGTATCCCACAGCAAACTCAGCAGTCGACAAACCAGCATGGGCAGCTCTGTTGGCGTAGATGTAGGACAACTCCTCGTGTTTGGGGAAAAGACCTTCGTGACCAACGAGAAACCATTTGCTGATAGCCATGTCGGCTTCTGGCTCGCCCTGCCTTGCGGCTAGACGGTTGTAATGCAGAGACAGAGCAGGATCGAATTCACAACCAAGAGAAGCCAGTTCGTAAGCAGATGCCATCTTGAGTTGAGCTTTTGAAAATCTGCAGAAAGCCGAGTTCTCGATATAGCGCCTGGCTTCTTGCTCGTCGTACGGGAGGACGCCTTCCGGAAGCTTGATCTGCGGCAATTGGCGAGCTAGCAGCATACCATAGACATACGCACCCTGTGGAGCGTTCTCGTCTATCGAGTCGGCAGAACGTCTGATCAGGTCAAGACCTGTCGCAAAGTCCTTGGGCTGGCCGTATTGACCTCGCAGGGTAATCATACCCAGACGGTACAACGACGCGCTATCTTGAGCACCAACGCCACGTCTGTAATTGTCCAAAGCTCTTTCTTCATCATTCGCATTCTCATACAGCATGCCGAGACGATAGCAGGCGCGGGCGTAACCTCGATCGGCGGCTCTGGCATAACAGCGGAAGGCCTCGCGCTTATCGTGAGCACAGCCAAAGCGACCAAACTCGTTCCACATGCCGCGCATAAACTCAGCCTTGGGGTGGTGTTGATCCGCAAGAAAGGTCACTATGTTGATGGCATCTACCATGATCTGGTGCTCGACTTGTGGTTGCTGTGGTCGCGGTGGTTGTGTCTGTTGTAGTCGGTCCTCGCTCTCCAAGCAGATGGTGACATATTGCAGAGCATCCTGAGCCCATGCCAGTTGCATGTCCGGATCGTTCGAGTTCAATACAGTGACCCTGGCAGCTTCCAGGACAGATTCGAACTCGCCGTCGGTTTGGGGGATATGGCGACCGCGGTATGGGACTTGCGGGAAGGCAGCAGCTTCATGTTGTGCAGTGACGGATAACTGCATACTCGCAATTCCTTCTTGGATCTGGTCGCTCATCTCGGGCATGTGTCTGTATCGTCTCATTAGTTGGGGATCGACATCGATATGGCGGACGTCATACCGTTGAGGGGCAGGTGCGACCAGAGCAGGACTGGTAGGCATATAGTAGTCATCCATGCCGCCTGGCACAAACGTAGCGCTGGTGTGCTGCGAATGGTATGCCATGTTGGAGCGCTCAAAGTCGGCGTAATCTTGTCGCGAGTAGTGGTGTGAATGAGGGTGGTGGGAGTAGTGACCCAAATGTTGATCTGTGTGAAAGTCGCAAGTCTCAGCCTTGGTCTACTTGTCTTTGCTGTCGCACTAGCAGCAACAAGGAGCGTCCAGAATGCATCATGAGAGAGAAGAGAAACAGGCAGAAAATAGGCTGACTGGTGCTGTGCTTCGGCGTACCATACAAAGTCCCCCACGCTTGTTGTCCATGGGCCAAAAGCATCCTCCCCGCCAACTGATGAGAAACGGCCAATTTCCTGCTTCCTTTGTTGTTTTGTTAATGCCGACAACCGCTTTCTGCTTCTACGATAATAACTGCGATTCTTCTCGACCTTCTCCTCCTGTGAGATACTGTCTCCTTATTACATCTCCGACAACTCTCCAAGCCGCACTTCCGTCCGACGCGTGTCTCAATCTCATCCAATGCCAAACTTTGCCTGCTGTTCAGGGGAAATAACAAATCTTGGCACCATCATCTCGACTAGTCTCTTTGCATTGCCACAAGACTCAGCCTTGTCTTTGATTCAACTTCTTTGTTCACAAAAACACAAGGCCGAACTTCGCGTTCTTCCAAGCTGCCTGGATTGCGCTGTGCTTCTTCTTCTCAAACACTAGTGTGCAACATTTGACAGGAATCTGTACTGTCATTTTGATTTCGCCCCGCCATTGAGACTCGGCATCTGTATGAACTGGTATTGAGATAGTCGTTGAATTCGATCTTGGCTGCTCCACCGTCTTGGCCGTATCGCGTATCGCTATACGCTTACTCCTCTGGTCGCACCAATCCTATTCTGGGCGCCATTGTAGCCCGCAAAGTCTCTCCTATGTCTATAGGACTCTTTCTCAGAACCAGTGTCATGTTTGAGAAGGCAAGACAGACACACATGTTGTCTGAGCAGCTGTGTACTTCCTAGATATGTGTCTCGAAGCTGAAGTCTTGAAGGTGAAGCTGATGCTGCAAAAACGCCGCGATCTAGTTCGATGTAGGTCTTACTCTAGTTTCGCTTGCATCCTGTGAAGACATCGTATCGGTCAGAAAAGACAGTACGACAGATCATGCCGTGTCGTGCATCTTCTCTGTGCAGCATTCTGTCAGCTATACAAGTACTTGAGCGACCCTCGCCTCTGTTGTTCTCAGAACATCAACCAACGCAAACGCCAAAGACATACCTCAAGCAGATCCGCTACGATGAATACGAGGACCCTCCGCAGCCCAAGTTCCCCAACGATCTGTCGAGCAACCACGACTATGCTTTGCAAGCTCGAGAGTTTGACCATGTCCCTCACCCCCATGATCCTATGCGACCCAACTTCATCCAAACTGGCATGTACGACCGGAACATCGGTCGTTACTACCCTAGCGGTACTTCAGCTCCTATCTACACCCGCGGTGACATCAGGAAACTCGAGACACTGGGTCCTCTGAAGAGACAGACGACTGTAGGCAGATGGAAGGCTGTATGCGATGGCAAAAAGTGTCTGGAGGATTGTGCTGAAGGCTACTGGGAGAAGATATGTCAGATTGACATGCAAACTCAACGAATCGTCACAGAGGTCCGTTTCATGGGACGGTGCAACCAATGCGGACGCAACTTCCATGAGAATATTCCCGGGATTTGAGCCAGGGTCTTCCGAAGTAGGTTTCGTGATGCGGCTACTCACTTGATCCGGAGCTAACGAATTTCTATCAGATACGCTGCAAGTCCATACCCTCGATGTGGTCGCTCTGCCGAGTCTGCAGAGCATGTACTGCCGCTCGTCATACCCCGACAACACGACATCAGTCATGGCGGGTTTATGGATTCCTTTGTGCTTAGCGCTTTGGTCGATGAATGACATTGTTCATCTTCGAGTCCTCTTTGACGAACGTCGAGTTCTTTCATCAGCTTTTTGATCTACTTAGCATTCTTTCATCAGTTTTTGCCCACTCTTTGTTTTCCTTGTCCGCTTTCTCTTTCTCCTCTGTCTACCACCCATAGCGCTAGCAATACTTAAGAATCCTTCTGTCCGTTGTCTTTCGAGTTTTTTCTTCCCTCGTCACTCCTAGATCAACGCGACTGGAGCCGAATACCAAACATCAAATTTATACGATACTCCGTACGGCACTCTTTCGACCTTCATCAACAATCATGTGGGTCCACACTAATTGTTCATGCCGTACTTGCGCTGGTCGCAACACTCCTTCTGGTCGCTTCGTCAGTCCTCTAACACTTTCTTTCGACCGCCCCTTCGGCGTTGACTCTCCACCTAGTCCGGTTTCCCCTGCTTTGTCTATCTCCTCCGATTTCGACCTCCGCAGTCCTGAATCTCCTTACCTCATCCCTCAAGATGCCCCTCTGAGTCCTGTGTCCCCAATCTCGCCTCCGTCTTCTGGTCGCTCTCTCGGTCCTTCAACGCTTTCTCTCGACCGCCCCTTCGGTGTTGACTCCCCACCCAGCCCTCTATCCCCTACTTACTCTATCTCCTCCGACTTCGACTTCCCTAGTCCTGAGTCTCCCTACTTCATCCCTCAGGATGTCCCTCTGAGTCCTGTATCTTCCATCTCGCCATTACCTCCTTTCAGTCCTGCGAGCGAGTACAGCACTGCTCCACCTTCACCTGTCCTCTCAATCAGTGAGCTTACACCTGGTGATTTTCCTTCTCCTGCCACTCCTATCACTGACGGCCATGTCTGGGAACTTTGCGTCATCCCATCTGTTCGCGCCAATCCCTCTGTCTTTACTCCTTATTGGCGCACTGATGCCTCGAAGCCTTTTTCTTTTACCAGTCAAGTTATCAAGGAAGAGGAAATTGGTCCTCTGACTTCTCCTGATGCTCCTGTACTTCCCCCTTGTCCTAAGAGAACGCCTCCAAAGAGACCTGAAAGATCTCCTGGTATGAAAAAGGCTTTCTCTTGGAACACTGCTAAATCTGCAATTGCAAAGGCTGGTCCTTGCTCTGGTGCTACTGATGCTGTAGCTGGAGCTGAGAAGAAGCCATCTTTAATCTTCACAAACACTCCTTGGTGTGACAACATCCCTCCTGTCTCGCCCCCTGACTCTCCAGCTGTCACTATGGTATCCTTCAGCGGCTTCTCCGGTAACCATCGGCTTCCTGACCTAGGATCTCCACCAAACTCTTCATCATCTCCCTCTTTCTCGTACCGCCAGACCCCTTTTTGCTTTTACAGAAAGTCCCGCTACATCACACCTCCTACCAAACCAGCGGGAAGTTTTCGCAACATCTACTGGACATCAGACACCCCCAAAAATGCAGCAGAATACGCGGCTCTTTTCGGACAAAGCGTGCAAGAAGATGAGTTTGCATGGATAAGATATCCAGTATCTGGACCTCATCATCTGTGCCGCCTTGATGATGAAGACAGTGTTTATGATGAGGATGAAAGTTTTTGGTCTCATGATGATGACGATGATGATGATGATGACGATGATGATGATGAGAGTGCACATTACACAAACTGGCATGAGAATCCTACGGCTCTTGATCTTAGTGATCCTTTTGCTGAAGTTGATGCTGGGTATTCTGCTTCTGTCCTCCCAGACGATAGCAGTATCCGCAGTTCTTCTTATTCTGGCACTGCACAGAGGGAAGGACTTGCAATGACTGCAGAGGTCATGAGAGCGAGTTATGTATCTAGTTATTTGACTAGAAGTGCGATTGCCGGGATCAAAGAGGTTTGTATTGAGGATCCTAGGATGATGTCTGTCGATGCCGTTATCCAGGGCTTTGCTTGAACGGTAAGAAGGTAAGTTTTTCATTTGTAACAAGGGTAGGTGGTCTGACGTGATGTTCGTGAGAGATATGCAGTGCTGGTTCACTGCTTATTTCCCTGTTTCCTGTTGACTTTGTCTCTACTGACTGTTTCATTTGTTGATAGGTACACATCTTTCCTAAGACTGACATAACTCCAAAACCATCACATTTTAATCCTCATCCCCGACTCTCCCACAACTGTGAATATAAGTATAATTACACCCTCGAGATTCCGTAACATCCCTGAGATAAGCACGAACATCGTGACTCCCCCTCCCTATCGTACTTTTACTATATGAATCGATCACTCTTCCGGGCTTCCATTCCTTTTTCGCAATCTACGTATTGGTCATATTTTTAACATTTTGACATCATTCTCTAGCATCCCAACGAGACAATATAATGCATAGGGGTAGGGCTGTAATGTGGGAGCGCAGAGAAAGGATAGAAAAGCAGACATGTGTGTTTGTACAAGTTTACATTAGTCTATAGTAAGAAAGAATCATGATCTAGAAATATGCCAACATGTTAAACAAAAGCGACATGAGCAACCTCACACTCGGGATAAAGCTTCGTATCAAAAGCGAAAAAGGGTCCGCTGCCATAGATGCCAATATGAGCCGTCGCCTGTATATCAGGACAAATCTGCAGAACAGTGCGAAGATCGCCCACGCCCGTCCCACGGATCGAAAGCTGGCCATTGGCAGTGACACTAACAGCGGGGATCGGGTAGTTGGCGGGATAATACCCAACAGGTGCGAGGGCTGGAATACTATAAACTAGTCCCAATCCCTGGTATTCGACGGGATTAGACCCCAGTTCACGGTCTGCGTATAGGAGATGTTGGTCTGAGCTGATTGAGAAGTTGGCGGCTTGAGTGATGTCGCTTGTCAATTCTATAGGTGTGCCAACGCTGATCGTGGGGATGACAAAACGTGCGTATAGCCCGTTGTAAGGGCTGCCTGGACTCTGCACTTGAATGAGACCGGCTGATGCGGCAGCGGTAGCGGCGGCGGCGACGATGGTTGTAGATGTGGAAGTGGTCGTCTGCTGCGGGGCCATGACAGTAACGGTAGCCGCGATGACGGTCGAAACATCCGCCGGCTTTGTGGCAATCAAACTGCAAGCACCTGACTGTACAGCGACAGCATACTTCTTCAGCACAGCCGGAGTCGTTGTGGCACGCTTTTCGAGATTGGCAGCAGACGCTAAGGCAACGAACCAGGGCAACAGGATGGAAGTAGGGGCTTGTTCAACGCCATCACGTCTGAGCTTTTTAGCCCCAGCTATTTGAGTGACTGTAGCAATTACAGTAGCGACTGGGGTGATTGTAGTCGTCGGGGTAACAGTCACGACTGCAGCGGAGTATCCGAGTAGGCTCGAGCAATAGGGCCCATAAGTCGAGGTCAATTGTGAAGGGTAATACGTCATATCTTGACGAGCCTGGAAGATGGCGCCCGTGACATCGCCTTTGGCTGGTGCAGGAGCAACACTCGTCGAGTTCTTGAAGGTAAAAGAGTACGACATAAAGTAATGATCGGAGCCTCGGTATTGGCCCTTGTTGGTCGCATAAGATGCGTCCCAGACTTCAGTATACAGGGTACAGTACTGGCCCTGAGGAGTGCTTGCGTTGTTGAGGTACAACATATACGTGTTAAAGGAGGCACAAATCTTAGGCGGACTGCCATCGCTTGCAGGGTGCTTCACATTGTAAGCGGTCTGAGCAGAGCAATAATCCGCGCAAGCCTGGATATTAAAGGTGCCTTTTGTGAAGATCGTAGAGCCCATGAAGGTATTGTATCCTTGGCCATCGTAGGGAGCGGTGAGAGCGGCATCTCCTAGTGCATCGTTCAAGCTGAAGCCAGCGGGTATGACCAGCGAATTGTTCTGGTAAGCGTTTGACCCAGCAATCACAACTTCGAACTGTGCACGCATCGTGCCAGAGTTGGTGGCGCTATCAGAGGACAAAGGAGATCCCCAAAGTGCACACTTTGCGTAGATGACGCTCGAGGGACTGGGACATGCGACGGCAGGCTCCAGACTGGCATCCCTTTGGACGTAGACGTTGAAGGCCATGCAACCAAGGGTATTCGTACAGAAGTTGGCGCATGCTTTCGCGTCGTAGCTATCCAAATTGTGATACCCCAGGTAGCCATACGCGCTGTTGGCAGCATTTGCATTCGTCTGTGTCTGCACGAAGCCGGTAGGGACAGGGACGTTACTCGCCATGGATGCCCAGCGTGGGTCTGCTCTAAACGCAGAAGCAGAGTCAGTCTGGTAAGAGTAGACGCCCGCAACTTGAGATTCACAGGCGTTTCTCTTGACATTGGCAACCGAAGTAGCCGTGGCAACGTTTGTGACCGCAATAGATAGCGAAGAAGCTGCGGCAGTAGCCTCAGCCAGGATGGATGAAGTATCGTAGGTCACGATCTGAACGCTGGCGCCTGGGATCTCCGTGTATGTCGGGTCGGGAGCAGCGATGACCAAGTCAAGGTCAATATCCTGGGGCCGAGGCAGGGCGGCGGCCAAGTTGGCCACAATGGCAGGTAATGCGAGAGCTGCGTAACGCATTGCAATGAGGAACTAGGATGAGAACGAGTTGTTTTTTCTGGCATCTATCGAGCGACACCTACCTGACTTATATACGACTCCCGGCCGAGTCCAGATGCTCTGAACAGAAGAAGAGTCTCGGTCATGCCCGGTATTGCTAATCTTGCTTAGAGCGCCACGAAGCGCAAGTGAGGAAGTCCGAGTTACCAAGCGCTTTCAATAGTAAAGCGGACGCGAGCAATTTTCTAGATTGGCTCGGTGGCCAGGCCGTATATATGTAGAGCACGGAGGATTTTACTTCAGCTGAGGAGAAATTGTTTAGAGAGAAAGTCCGAGCTTCCGGGTCGCGTCGCGCAGGTGCAAGCGAGGACCAAAGGTATTTCTGAAGAAGGCTAGAGAAGAAGCTTGATGCTCTTCAAGCAACCTCCTTCCGCAAGTTGTACCCCTCGGCCTTGCGAATTGCTTGCAGATGGACACAATAACGGCCGTAGCACCTCTTGTCGAATAGGTCTCAAGCATTTTACTTGGGCATCGGGGTTGGTCTGTTAAGCACAAACCAGAAAAAAAAACGATTCTCATCAAACCAAAATCTGTCTGTTGTGCAACGTTCATCGTGTTCGCGCTCCTAGATCAGACAAGCTCAGACCGATGTTTACATCGTATTGATGTGTCATGCCTAGACTGAGAATACAACGAGGGTATAGGGGTTTTCTCAGACTACCGTCGGCTGTTTTCTACTCATACCCTCACTTGATGAAGTCTTTGAATCTCAAGGCAGAGACTGGACGCGGCACACAACGGTCAACATACTTCCGAGTACTACAATATTTGTTCTGTTCTCACCAGGGAACTTCGAGACAAAAGTAGCTGCGCTAGATGCGTAGGAATTCGGATGTTGATTCATGGAGCTGATCAATGCCAGTCTACAATCGAGTCAACCATGACGCGGAACTCAAGGATGAAGTCAGAACAGGATGACGTGAAGTAAAGCTGCAAATCTTGGCATGGCATCTAATCAATCAGATAAGGTGGAAGTCTCTACATCACCGGTCAATGGGTCAAGATGTTTTCGTACAAAGGCATGATAAAATCCAAGACTCCCACAATGGTGATTTCGAGTTGTATCAGTGATTCAGGACATTACTACCTGACTTCCGGGAAAAGTCATCTTAATCATTTGTAAAGGCGTCTCACAGTGAGCTACAAGAAAGCAGAAGCTCTTTTGGTCAGACAACGACGATCGGTTGAATCATTTCAGGGATCCATGAGAGAAAGCATTGGACTTTGAGAAAAGTAAGGGCTTTTCAGATTGAATATCATTTTGTCTGTCACCAAGACTTGTTCAAATAGTGCCAATTGTGATTTGTTTTCTCTCGATGCCGTCATTCAGGGCTTTGCTTAGACGGTTAGAAGGTGAGTATCATCTGTAAGAAGGGTAGATGGTCTGATGTGATGTTTGTAAGCGGGTTACGGTGCTGATACACTGCTTGTTCTTAATCCTGGTATGACCATGGTCCAGACTCAAGAGCGACGCCTTCGAAGTCAGCGGGATTGAACTTGCGCAAGCTGTACACATATACGTTGACCAGATCGTAAAGCCAATTGATGGTGAACATGCGACGCCAAGTGACCCTGTCTGTCTTGCAAGCTTGCGAGAGATCAAGGTCTGGGTCCCACTTCGACAGAAATATTTGCATGCTTTTTGTGGGCTTACCACTGCGGTTCTTCTGGTAGTCGACAACGAAGTCATGCAAATCGCGGTAGACATGCATAGACAGAGCTTCGTTCATGTCGACAAACTTGTCAGACGCATTGGAACACGGATTTGCGCTGTAAACCCTATTGAAGTCACCTCTGGTGAAGGTTTGCATGACAGCCTGATACGTGTTTTTCTCAGAAGGGAAGTCGACGAATATCGCTGATACTGTCCTCCTCATCATACTGACGGCCAGACGAGAGACGGTTCCAGCGACGGCACTGTTTAGGCCACTGTGACTCACGTGGAACCAGTGCTTGTGAACAAATTGGCGGAGGTTGTAGCACTCGTCAACGATTGACGTGACAGCGATATAGTAGTCGGTGACCAGGTCGTCAGGACCATCGATGATGCGGTAGCTCTCAAGTGGGACATCTTCCACGATAGGCTCCGAACTTGCCTTGGCTTTTTTCTTCTTCTGGCGTATCTTGTCCTTACGATGCTTCTTCGTGCGACGCTGCGAGATCGATGTATGCTGGGCGTGGGAGTCTTCTTGTTCGCTTGTATCTTGCGCCGAATTGTCCAGTGTTAGTGGCAAGAAAGGATTGCAAAAGATGACACGTTCCACCTCTACCAGGTCTTCGGCCTTCTCGTTTTCTGCTTGCTGTCTGACTAACCATTCTCTGCCTCCAAGAATCTCAAAAGCCTCCTCCAATTTGTCGATAAAGTGTTTGTGGGTGACATTGCTCGCTTCCATCTCGGCATCGGAGTGAGCAGCCGCTAATTCTTGGAACATCACGTAAGAATGCGATCGAGCTTTGATCACCGACCGAAAGAGTCGATAAATCGTGGTAGGCACTTCTTGAAGGTTGGCGGCAATTCGCCTGGCCATCGAGACCAGTTCCGCGACCGTGACTTGAACAGTGGTGTTTTCCGTGGCATTACGGACACCCCTCTGCTCGCTGGACTGCATGAATAACAGAATTGGAGGCATGGCAGAGCCAATAGATGAGATACGCAGTCGATCTTTTGTAGTCAAGGTAGGAGTTGCTGGACAACATGATCCAGATTCACTCCAGATAGCTACTCTGTGAAGTCTCGTGGGTGGCGCCGGGTTGCAGAAAAACCTTGTGCAATTTGACCGTGCAAATATAGCGCTTGGTAGAGTGCGGGAAAGTTGACCGTGTTGAAGTAAATGTTGATTCCGTTGGCGAGTTTGCAACTTGAAGACGTAGCTATGGTGTTTTGCGTAGCAATCGATGCAAGGCGGGAGGTTATAAAACTCCCGTAAGAGTTCGAGTCTGTTGGGATCGAGCTTGCGAACCTGATGTTGGTGACTGTGCAAATCTGAGGGCACCAGTGAACACGCAGTGAACACGAGTGTAGACAAAAAGTTGTTGTCCGCAAAACTATGCTTTCGGAAACATGAACGTTCCGTTTGTTGTGGGTAACAAATCCTTAGTTTCCACCCTGGCATGCTCGTCTTCCGTTTGCATCTTGCCCTGTCCGCGACCAACGATACAACAGACATTTATGACTGCTGTCACGACCAACCAGAAGGGTCTATCGCGCTTGTACAAGAGTTTTGCCAACATCTGCCATGGCAAGAGCATATGATTCGGTCCGTTTGCTGGGCTTCCAGTGTCTTGACCCCTATCTTCGAACTCTCCTCTGTCATGAAATCGACCGTGCCAATATACAGCCATGAACGTTGAAGATAGCAGTGCTTGGAGTTTGTTGACTTTTCGTGTTGGAGGCCGAATAGATGGACCGGACAAGCGACCTGGTACGCGAGCCACGAGTGCTTCCATACCATCAAGACTCTAGTCTTCCATGCCGACGACACTTCAATCATCAACCTGGGAGCTGGAAGGGCCATCGAGTCCTTGGGGCTTAGATGAACGGTGCTGTAGTCTTGACCGGTGATGAATTCTCTTCATCCCATCTGGAAGCGGTTTGGACATCAGACCTTGTGCATCGAGCTCTTTGACTCGATCGTACAATTCAGCCACCGTGTTCACGTCCCCACAGCCTTTAGGCAACGCCTGTCGCGGATTCTCGCCTACGAAGCACGTAAAACAATCGAACAGCGATGGGTCGTACTTGCGCTGAAACCACAGTTTGGCACCGCGTTCATATCCACACCTGATACATGACCTAACGACTTTCTGATCTGTCGAGATGGGTACATGTGACTTCCAGTCAAGTTCACGGATCCAATCACGGTAAGAGCACCACCAGCGAATATATTTCGTGATGTAATAATTAGGATCTGTATTGGCGCGCCTTTCTTCGTATTTTTGTTGGTAGGAAAGCACTCGCTCGCGGAATTCATGATTCTCATGATACTTGTGCTGTTGCCGTTCAGTCCTTGGGCGACAGTGGAGTCTGCGATAGTCTGGATCCGTTTGGACTTTGATCTTTATGGTTTCTTGAGGAGTTTCGCCTACTAGAGGGCCCCACGCGAATCTCGCGTGGCTGGTTGAGAAAAACTGTAGGGTGGTCAGACTCCGTGGCAGGGACCTACACGCACCAAGACCACGGCGGACGATTGATGTTATCATAGTGCGTTGTGTTGTAAGCTTTGTGCGACGACTTGTCCAGTGTCTTTGAGCGAGAGATTGATGGTCAAAAGTAGGACAAGATGGAGGAGGTTGACAATTAATTGACCGAATTGTGGCACAGCGTCCGTGCGTCTGGTCGCCCCTGCCTCTCTATGAGTACCTTAGCATGACAAGACAGATCCAGGTTGACTCGGGATTTGTGCATAATGGCAATCGCGATACAAGGTTGCTATGAGAGAAATGTTGTGTTTATCGAAAGAATTTCTGTATACGCTCGAATTCTTCTTCCAATGGTATTCATCCCTCTTGGATTCTCTGAATTAACAGGGGACCACCCTTCTCTGAACAAAGCAAGTCTCCAAAAGGGACTCCCAAACATGAATACACTCGCACCAATACGAAAAGGTAATTTTATTTAGACCTGATACCCTTTCTGCAAGACTATTGCGGGGCGGGGACACCGTGAGTTTGGCCTTGAGGAGCGGTGCCGGCTGTGAGTCCAGCGGGAGAATCGCCAGGAAGACCGTGGCTGATGGAGGCACCAGAGTTCTCGATGATGCTGCCACCGGCCTTCTTTTCCCAAGCAGCGGGCTTGACCCACTGGGCGTCTTGCCATGGGCCAGCATCGGACAGTTCGCAGCCACCTGAGCACTGGCAGGAACCACCGAATTGCTTGGGCAGATTCTCCTTGGGGATCTGAGCGAGCAGCTCCTTCTCGTAGCCAGAGCCAAGGACGTGGATCTTTGCAACCGTAATAGGGTCGAGGAACTTCTTGACCATGCTGAAGATGGATGAGAAACCCCAGGGTGCGTTGATCAGGTAGAGCTTACCCATGCGCTCGGGGTAGTGGTTTTGCGAGATAGCCGAAGCCTTTTGTACGTAGCCGTAAACGCTGCTGAAGTTGGTGAGGCCGACACCCTTGAGATCCATGATTGTGCAGGAGGTTTCGAGGAGGTGACCGGACTTGCGCGAACAGGCGGGCAGACGAGGGTCAGCAACCTTTTCGTACTCGACAACCAGGTTCTGCAACATGCGCTCTTCCGAAGTGATCTTGTACATGGCGGTGAGGTTGATCTTGCCGAGCTGCTCGATGTAAAGAGGACGGCCGTCCTGCAATGTTGTCAGTGTGATGTTTCTAAGTCTTGTCGCTATTGCGTGCGCATACCTTGTCGGTCTTGTGGTAGTATTGAGGGTAGTACTTGAAGACCTCCTCCTTCTCCTTGTACTCGAAAGTCTGCAGCAGGTTGTCAACACCGCCGCCGAACTCCTTTCTCCACTTCTCGCAGTCAATGAACCTGTAGCGTCTGGGTCAGTTGTGCATTTTCAGTGTCATGACCGGTTGGACATACATAGCCTTGGCCATGTCGACGTTGAACTTTCTGGCGCGGAGGAAACGGAGCATGGTCAAGGTGTCGAGGCGCTCATGGTAGCCGGCCTGCTCGAGAGTGGCGCGGAGCTGGTGGACTTGGGCATCTTGCTCCGGTGTGGTATGGCCGGGGTGTCCGCTCTGGTTGGTGTTGGAAACGGTGGGGAAGTCGTAGTGGTCGTACTTGGGGTCCTGGTTGATCGAGGCCATTGTGAAGTGCCGGCAAGCTGTCGCTGTTGTCGGCTATGTATTAGGGGAGATGGGTGGTGACTATTGTCGTCGAAGTGCGGAATCAACAAAAGGAGTGTCTAGAATTACGGTGTAGTGCTTCGAGTCAAGATTGGGGATGACAAAAGGGCGGGGAGGGGGAGAAGAAGGTTGGGCGAGTTGGGTTGGGTGGATTATTTTGTTTGTAGGGGTTTGGCTCGAAGTGTCCTCAAAAGACGCCCCTCATCGAAGCCGCCGAAATGACGATTTAGCGTGCATCATAGCTCATCGAAGCCGCCCTTTAATCACAAAACACCACCGCGACTCCTATATCTCTCACATCCACACAAATTCATACATAGACACGCAAGCGACAAATTCCAAAGAGGCACATGCTTTTCTTCCAAGATTTACTATGACCAATGTTACTTGCTACCAATCGGACTACTTGCCAGCCTGCCCTTGCCCTTGTCATGCTCCAACAACAGCGCCTCGTTCTGTGCACTCTCAGCTCCAGCCATGGTGTCAAAATCATCATCAGTAAAGCCGCTGTATCCCGAAAGCATCGAGCTACTGCGTCCCCTGACTTGATTCGCACCACCGTTGCTCAAACCTCCAAAACCTTGACCAAAGCTGCCACCAAACATACTAAAGTCGAATGTGGTGGGTTGACGGTTGGGAGGTCCATTGGTGCCTGGTAGGTTTCCTTCAGGAGTCGGGGGTCCGGAAAGAGCCTGTTGCTGTTGCGCGATGAGATTGCTGATGAACTCCATTTGTTGGAATGCCTCATTGGCCTGGCGAGTGTTTTCCTCGCACTCCTGATTGTTCTGCTGAGTCCAATACTCGAGTTGGTTTTCCTGGCGCTTGTACTCGGCGATCCTGTTTTGTCGCTCCTGGTCATGCCTTTGTCTGGCGCTCATATCGGCATTCTTCTGGCTGGTCAAGCGGTCGAGTTGCTCCGTCAGCTTGCCCTTGCGAGTGCTGAGTCGTTCGCGCTTTTGAGCAGCTGATGTCAACTCTGTCGCGACTTGCGAGGTCTCACGCTGAGCTTGGGCCTTTGCAGCTTCGAGATCAGCCATGGCAGCAGACTTCTTGTCACAAGCAGCCTGCCATGCACGCTTCTTCTCGTTGTACTCGCGAAGCTCGGCTTGAGGGATCTCGCCGAGAGCGTCAGTTTCATCTTTAAGAGCAATTGTCGCTTCATTTGCTTGACGCAGATGCTGAGTCAATTGCAGGATTCTCTGTCGTTGGCGTTCATCTTGTCCTCCACTGGAAGCAACCTTGGCATTGAGTTGATCGATCTCTTTGCGAACGGCAGAAGCTGCGTTCTTGTGGTCACGGCGAGCACGCTTGAGCTTGTTACGGGCGTCTTCGCGCTTCATCTCGGCGGCGGCAATGGATTGCTTCAGAGTTGAAATTGGCGAAAGCGGACGAAGGGACTGTGGCTGAGGAGGGGCGGTGACAATCGAGGTCTGGTCGGTGCTAGGAGCAGGAAGGGTGACAAGGCTGGTAGTACATAAGACGCTGTGATCAGACATGCTGACAAGCTCGCAGCTGTAGTTAGTCAAAGGGGTCAAGCCGAGAATCTCACCATGCCACACAGTATCGGCTCCTTCTCCTGCTTCGCTGATCTTGGTCGATCCCCAGTCTGCGCCATTCATACGGACAAAGAAAGGCTTCGACTTGTCGATGCCCGCACTAACAGGATGACTTGGGTCCGGCTTTGGCCTGGACGAGGAGAAGGATGGAAGCTGAGCACGGAACAAGATGTCGGCCGGATGTATGTCGACTATAGAAATGCGGTCTTCGATTGCAATGCGTGGGATGAGTTGGTTATCGTTTGTCGGATCGTGAGCAGTGGCCTCTGCTTGGTCTTCGGAAGCTTGTTTCTGATGCATCTCTTTCAAAAATGTTACTTTTGTGTGGGCTATGGCTGCCCACAGTGGTTGTCGACTGCGCACTTGAGTCAAGTATTTCTTTTTCTTTCTGTTTGCTGCACCGCGTTGGCTACCGTCACGCAACGCCGAGGACGGTCCAGAAGGTCGACCGTCAGAACCCAAACCACTGGCAGGATCCTGACTTGAATCGCCAGGACTTGTCAACGATTTGGATCCGTCTCCATACGATGCTGCTTCGGGGTCCTGCTTCTTGTTTGCGCTACCGGACTGGTTAGAATAGCCTGACAAGGAGCGACGACCAAGAGTGAGAATTCCCTGCGCTAGAATGTGACAACCGAGCAGAGCACGGTACCAGCCGTAGGCAGTATAAGGTGAAGATGAAAAGTCGGACGACGGGATGGGGTTCCAGTGTTGGCCAAATCCAAGATTCTGTAACAGCGAGCGCAGATATTCGAATCCCGTGAGATGGATCTTGTTGTGCCGGAGAAAATGAGATACACAGACAAGCACGCTGCAAGCAGCTACACTCTGGCCTGAGCGGTCTGGAGCTGCAGTAGCACCACTGAGGGTGATGGCTATGACAGCTTGGCCCAAGTCCAAGTATATATTTTGCAAGAAGAGACCGCTGCACAGATAGAGGACTGTCATGACAGCATCCGAGAAGAGTATAGTAAAGAGTGAGGGACCACCGGTAGAAGAAGCGTGGAACCAGTCTCCAAGAGCCGGCATTCCGTTCAGCGAGCTTAACGAGACACCAGCACTGGAGGGGACAAAGGTAAGAGAGGCGAAGAGACTGTGAATGAGCATAATGAGCGCCGGAGGGAGCGACATCAGCAGAATCAGAATGGCAATGGCATCCGACAGCGGACAAGCACTGAGGATGGTCATTGCCAAGGAGAAGCTGCTGGAGACCGAACGACCCGCGAGCTTGGAGGTATTGACGGCGGAGCTGTAGGCGGGCGAGTCGGACACGCGACGAGAGGAATCGGAGGCGGCGACGGTGACGGGCGGGGTGCTGGACACGGTGCAAGCTGCAGCCATGTCGTCGTCGGGCAGCGAGACGGGCGAGTCGTCGGCGATGTCGTGGTCATTTAGGCCGTCGGCGGAGGCAGCAGGGAGCGAGTGATTCGCCTGACCATTGATGGTCGGCAGGTTGTTGTTGGATCGCTGCTTGGTGATGCGCTTGCCAGGGGCAGGTTTGGCCAAACCGCTCTCATGACGGTGCTGATTTGCGGTGTTCTTTTGCTTGGCCTTTGGCGGCATCAGCGCGCCGCCAGCGTGTGTTTTCCTCGTGCAACGGAGCCCGGCGATGCGGTCGCGGGGCTGCAGGGACGAGAGAGCTGGACGGGACGAAGGTCGGTATAGGGTGAGTGGTGGCGGAGAGAAAATGCTATGCAAATGTCAAAAGATGACAAGCCGGCGGCTTCTAGGGGAACAAACGGGTTCGCAATGCGTAAGAGCCAGAGCCACCGAGCCGCTAAAGTGCCAGAGCCAGTGCCAGTAATGAAAAGCCCGCTATGCTACCGACAAGACTCAACTTGTCATGTGACGTCTTCGTTTTGCGAAACCGCTTTCTGTCTCTGATTCTTGGTCACCGCCGCTTTTCTCTGACAAACTAGGTTGCCTTTAGACCCAAAGCTAAGCTTGTAAGGAGCTTGTTGGCTTTGTTGCGCCGTGAGCTTGTTCGACCAGACACGCTTCAACATCCTCATGCAACTTTGTACCATTTCTCTTGCTTCTTTCCCCTCATTCTCGCGTGCTCACCGTATCGCCATCTGCATGTTTTGACACCTCTTCAACCAGCTCGTGTGACCGGAGAAGGCACGAGCGACAGGCGAGCAGCAGGAAACATGCAGAACTGCTGCACGTACATCCCAGCATGTCTGCAAGAATGCTGATTCAAGTCCAGGACTGGCGCTGTCGATCCCTCATGCCGTTCACGTTGCTCTCCGGCGCCAATCGGCGTGCTCTTTCTCCTTCAGCAAAACTTACCAGACTTTGTTCCTCGTACTTTATCCCCTTGATCATGCGAGTCCAGTGCTGTAGATCGTGTATCTGATTTATCGTTCGTCTGGATTATCTACAACTTGCCAACAACTATCTTGACCTACCAAGACTGCGGGGCATGTGCAATATGGCCAGCTCACGGTCTTCTATCCACCTCCGCAATCTGTGGCGGCATCTGGCCTGTGGATCTCGTCTATATATCCCGGTTTTCAACCTCTAGTCTTGTTGCCTGCATCTATACACGTCCAATCATTGAGTCTCCTTGGACGTTGTCATTCATCCATCACTTCAAACCCAGGCATAGCGGAACATGCTATTGCTGCCACGCAACACCCGTGTTTCCTACGGCAGAGAAGGATGTGATCACTGCCCGGCAACACCCATGTCTTCTACGGCATCCGGTCTATCCCAAGTCTCTTTCTCGAGTGCTCTGACCTCATCTAGCAAACCCCTTACCTTCTCGCTATTCACTTTCTTTGCTTCCTCTTGCAGTTTCCACGTCTGCTTGAATGCGTCTACCATAAACGGTAGCAGAGGTGCTTTCTTTCCTGCCCGATAGTCGTACACAACGATGTCTTCCCAGCACCGCGCTGCTGGACGTTGCTGCAGCTCAGATATAATAACGACGTCTAGGACGAATGAGTCCGTCTCCGCTGTTGGTTCAGAAGCCAGTTTATGGTATACAGATATGTGGTCCGGCCACTTCATAGGCTGTCATATTGTGTCAGCACGATTCAACGCACGCGAACCTCATGCTCCTTTGACACCGTGCTTCTCTCATCCACATGCCGTGGCAATTGACAAATAGTTGTACACTTACAAATTTATAGTCCGTTCGAATACTCCTAAGGATCAATCCCAGACTCTTTGGTGTCATTAATTCAGTCCATTGCTTCGCATGCTTGGGATCGATATCCGTAGCAAAGTTCCTCGTCCAGTTGACACGGGCAGATTCCGCATAGCGATTATACATGACATTATTGACGTGACCCTGTTTATAAAAATCAGCACTTGTCACTCTTTCTCTGAGTCTGCCTTTATGCTGCCCCTCTGCTCAACACCTTTTGTTGTCACGCTCCTCATAACTTCCTCCTCTTCCTCGTAGCAATCCGCTATACCATAATCTGCCTTCGCCTACCCCTCTCATCCTGTGTATCGTAAAAGCAAAAGGCACTCACCATACTATCCATCTCCCCCCAAACAACCTCATGCCTAAAGAAACCCCTCCTCCCCTCCTGCGTCAAAAATCCTTCACTCCCAGCAACCAAATCCCTCCAATCCCTCGCTATAACCTCTAGCACTTTACCCGCTCTTGTAACTTGTTCTTCTTTCATGCCAAAAGTCATACATTTCCCTAGTCGTGCTTTTATATCTCCTAGCCAGCGAGGGGAGAGGGCTTTTGTTGCTGGGTTGGTTGTAGATAGGGCGCGGTTGAAGGGTGGGAGGGAGCGGAGGGGTCGGAGGTGGGGTCGCATTTTGTCGAGATAGATGGGAGTGGTGGTGGTGGTGGTGTATATGTGTTTGGTGAGCTTGGTGGGAGTAAACACTCAAGAAGCCAGGAACCGAAACACCTTCAAAGGTCTCGGGAAGGATTGCCGAGGCTTTTTGCATGGAGGTGCGGTAGCATCTCTCCTCCCCGCAAAAGGGAAGCATCAAAAGCAGCGTCATTGGTTTTGTCGCCCGCAGTCCCTGTATACCACTACATCATCCAAGCAAGGCTTCTTTTCGACCGCATACGACTCTTGTTTAACTTCTCTCCCTACATCAAATCCTTCCTTCCCTTTCGGTCTAGTCTATCTCACCCCCCCCCCCCCCCCAACATCCCCAGATTATGTCCACACACCTCCGTTACAGAGTAATCTCCATCTACAAACAACTCCTCTACCTAGGACGAGAATATCCCCTCGGATACGATTACTTTCGTCCTCGCCTACACAAAGCTTTTGCCTCAAAAGCCCATCTCACAGATGAAGCCGAAATCGAAAAGGGGATTCAAAGTGCAGAATATGTGAAGAAGGAAATTGAAGCACTGTAAGTTTTTTGTTGGTCTTTCTTCGAAACCCCAAAGCCAGTTGGGGGTTTTTGCGATTTATTGTACAAAAAAAAGAGACAAAAAGCTATGGGACATGGTATAGAAGAGAATCAAGAGAGCAAAGAGAACGTGCTGTTGATTCCGTCTTCTTTTGCTCTCTCTCTCTCTCTCTCTCTCTCTCTCCCAACTCAGCCAAAAATTTACAAAAGGAAAGAACTGACAGAAAGACCTGCCAGATATTACTTAAAACGCTACCGAGCCCTCAGGCAACGATACTCCCTACCCCCAAAATGAAAAGAAAGTGCAATCGCAATCTTCTTTCTCAAGTGGTTTCCTCACACTTGGTAGCCCACCAAGCCCCAATCTCCAAAACCTCACTCCCACCTCCACTATTCTCTTGATCCAGCAAACTCGCCATCATACCCGCCCACCACCTCGTCCACTCCTCCGAATTCTTGCCACTAGCTTCTTTAAGCAGTGGTTCCAGACTCTCGATTTTTTGAATCACTGTGAGCAGTGCTGTGGAGCGAATGGCTGCTTGGTCATCAGTGAGCATGGGCTCTGTGCTTGTCTTTGCTGCTTTGCCCGGTTTTGGCGATACAGTGCCAAACAGGTTTCCACTACTGCCTGAGCGGATGAGTTTACCCTCCGAGTCTTTTTCCCAGCGCATCTGCCCAAGAGGGACAGCGATGCGGCGGGATGTGACGTCTACGAGTGTGGTTTCTTGGTAGAGGATTTCTGCCATGCGGGTACATGGCGATGAGGGCAGATTAAGCTTGTCCAGCGCAGCGTGGATCCATGTGTTGGAGTCGGATATGTACCTGTTTTGCGCTGGTGCAAAAGGTGTGGTGGGCGAAATGAGATAGGTTTTTGTGTCTCGGGCTGTCTTGTCCTCTTCTGCTGTCATTCCTCGTGGTGGTGGCGGTTGTGGTAACAAGCAGCGTAATACATGATCTGATTCCCAAATCTCGAGTGTGCCTTTTGGTGCAAGGATACGTAATGTTTCGTCCATGAATCGCTGAGTCTCGACTCCCATGGCTACTGTCAGAGATAGATCTTTCAGCATGATGTAGTCGAATTGGTTGTCTTCAAACGGCCAAGGAAAGCGTCTGAAGTCGTGCTGTATGAATTTCCAATTCACGCCTTGTCGTCGCAAGTCCGGTGCTAGTGGTGCAAAGTCGAGTCCCGTAAACTCGACATTCGGGTAGCCAAGGCTGGCAAACCACTCGTGGCAACTGCCTGTCCAGAAGGCACTCCCGCATCCTAATTCCAAGACTCTTTTTGGTACATCCTTTGCGACGTTGGGGACGCATGACGGCTTGTCGAGAATAGTGACACCGAGCAGTGTCCGTAGCGATTGGCGCTGGATTTCTGAAAGATCACAAGGAAGAGGATATGGGACATCGCGTAGGTAGCGGCGGCCGTAGCGTAGTTCGAAGGGATTGGCGAGCAAGTTGTGTGACGAATTGCTAGCAGCGGACGAAATGCTGCCACTCGTACCTTGCCGTTGTTCTCGAATCGTTGCCGTCTCCATGTTACCAGGTTTCGTAGTCAAGTCTGATGAGGCAGAATCCTTTCTGTACAGACTGAAGAGAGGGTCCGAGGATATTGTCGTAGCCGAATATCCTCTACGGCGTGTTTTGCGAAAAGGTGAATTGGAGCGGGATTGCGAGAGCGGCGACGTTGGAGGCGATGATGGGAGCGAGGCTGCGGGCGAGGAAGGCGAGGTGTTCACATGGCCAGAAGAAGTACGCAGTGACCGTCGATAGGCAGTGCTATTATGTCTGGGCGCATGGTAATGAAAATAGGCGAAGCCGTCCATGGCGAGACTCAGATTGGGGACCCACAACGACTCGCGCAACTCGAACGCTCGAGCGCTGTGCACGGACAAAGTGTGGAGGGTGTGGGTGACTGGCCAAAGAGGAGAGTCAAGAGACACCGTTCCGATAAGATAGAGGGCCGTTGGGGTGAAGCAATACTGTGGTCGGCCGCCGGAGGGCCTACCGAAGGTTTCCTGTATCGATGTAGCTACAGTTCTGAGACTGATAGCAAGCAGAGTCGTCAGCAAGGCACAAGCAATCAAGGCCTTGTGAGACGCCGATGGCTGGTGGACGCGTCGAATCAAGGAGATGCAGGTACAACAGACGCACTGCTCCGGAACAGACAGAGACACAACCACATGGCTATATAGGCAGTCGTAATGCTGGAAGGCAATAAAGGTTCGTCGTCGCTTAGGGTATACTCGCACATCGCATGACCCCTCTCTACACGGCTTGTTCAGCCCCGCGTTTGGAAGAGATGCGATGATTAAATCAAGGGGCCTGGGGCCTTTGCTCCGTCCAGCTTCTCATCCTTCAGGCTTTAGACAGTCGTCTCATCAGAGTTGTGGCTGACTGTCGAGAGATTGAGATCTGGCCCTTGCAGGAACGGGAGGTTGCGCATCCGCTGTCTCGTTCTCCATTGCGACGGGCCGAGGTGGGTGGCTGTGAGATCCGACACGAAAGTGCTTCACGGAGAGAGAGCTTCAGGTCAGGTCACGTTAGTGTTTGTCTTGAGTTTATGGCGACACAAGGTTGAAACAAGCAGGTGCGCAGAACGGATGCTGGACGGGCTTCGGAAGGTTGAACATGTGCAACTCGGAGTGTTTTTCTGTGCATCTCTACTTGGGATAAGAGGACAGCAAGCAAGTGGACGAGAGCAGTCTTTGAAGCTTGACCTTGTTGGCGCAAATTGACTGGCTAAGAGCATCGATAACCAACATCGATGCACTTGAGTTCACGTAGGTAGTTATCAGACGTCGGACACTTATATGTAGTTCATTTACAATACAAGATATCATCGCATTGAAGAGTATTTGGAAGGGCGTCCTGTGGCCAGCATGCTGGATGTCTCGAACAGGCTTGGCATCTTCCAACGTAGGTCTGCAATACGAAGCCGTCGTACTCCCCATCATCGCGACGTCCATCCAGCGACGACGTGTAGTATTCTTCCCGACGAGCATTGAGTGGTAGCAGTGAGTCCCTCTCCTCGTCCTGTACCTTGGCAAGCTTTCAGTCAGCGACAGCCGGCGTCGTACGAGACAGCAGCAGAAGGTGTGACTAAGATCTCGACTGACATCGTGCCCTCCGCCAGCAAAGCGCATACTTGGCCCTCGATCGACCATCACCGCCATCACTCGCTACCCACTCACGACGACTGTCGCTTACACCGACATCACCTTCCTCTGCTATCCACAGGAGCTGCCAGCGCCGACTTGTGTGATCCAACCCTTCTCCTCGCCTTCGACTGCCCGCCTTGAACACGTCGCGAAGCTCTGCCGATAGCGCGTTTCTCTGCCCATCTCTTCGCCGCCGCTCCCGCCCAGCCAATCCAGCAGCGGCTGGCCATTTTGTCCCGTCGGATTGGTTCAATGTTGAAGAAAAGAAGAAGCCGTCGCCCGTCTCTCGTCACCGCCTCCCTCCATTCCTAGATGGCCGATGGTGCCTTTCGGTTCCAAGGAGCCGGCCAGTATTTCTACCAACCACAGTCGCAGCGCCAGCTTCAGACTCGTCACGGCTCGCCCATCACCACCTCGCAACGAATCCCCTTCCACACCCAAGACACTCCCTCGCCCAATCGCTCCCCCGGCGCCAACTCGCCTGCGTTTACCATGTTTAATCAACATGGCATCCTCAACGGCAACAGTCACCAGCGCTTCCAGATGCACATGAACATGTCCAAGCAGTTCGGCCAGCAACAACAGTCTCAGCAAAATCTGCAGACTCACCATCAAAACCAAGGCCATTCTCAGCAGCAGCAACAACCCCACCACTCTCAACACCAGCAACACCACCACGATGCCTTTGCAAACCACTCGCACAACCTCTCGAGCTCGACTCCGCACTTTACCCCCAGCCACATGCAAAGCCAGACCCCGCTTAGCACGCATAGTCAGCTTAGCAAGCCTACCAGCGAGCATTGGCAGGAGCAGCTACGTCTGGCTCAAGCTTCGCGCGACGCAACACAGCCTCACTACTACGCTAGAAACGCCCATGTTGCTAGTCGACAAGCCATTGCCCAGTTGGGGCCCGGTGCTAGAAAGACCGAGGAGAACAAGGAAGAGCGTGGGAGGAGGATGCCCTATCATGACGAGAAGCACCCTTTCACCGCCATCGACTTTGGTGGCCAGGGTCTGCGTGCGCTTGCAGAGAACCTCTTCAAATACTATTTCCTCGAGAAGCTCTACGTCAATCAGAACAAGCTCAACTGGTTAGTGCCCGAGATTGGCATGCTACGCCGCCTCACTTTCCTCGACCTCTCTCAGAACGATCTTGCCATCATCCCAGCAGAGATCGGTATGCTCACAAATCTTCGAACCCTCCTCCTCATCGACAACAACCTTGTCGACTTGCCCAGCGAATTGGGCTATCTCTATCAACTGGAGACGCTCGGCCTCGAGGGCAACCCTCTGAATGATAACATCAAGGACCTCATTGCCGAGTCGGGCACTGGAGAACTGATCCGCACTCTACGTGAGCACGCCCAGGGTCCTGCACGGCCTGAGGAACGTGACTGGATCGTCCTCGACGAGGCTCCAGCTGGAGAGCAGGAGCGCTTTAGAGTCTACAGTCACAACATCCTCTGCGACAAATACACGACCGAAGCTCAATACGGTTACGCCCCTTCGCATGCCTTGCTGTGGGAGAACCGCAGAGAGGATCTTCTGAAACTTATCAGAGACAGTCGGGCTGACATTATCTGTCTGCAAGAGATTGACGCCGAGAGTTTCAATGAGTACTTCCGCCCGCAGCTCGCCCATAACGATTACAGGGGAATGTTCTGGCAAAAGTCTCGCGCCCACACCATGTCGGAGAAGAATGCCAAATTGGTCGATGGTTGCGCCACTTTCTACAACAATACCAAATACATCTTGCTTGACAAGCAGGTCGTTGAATTTGGACGTACTGCCATTAACCGCCCGGACATGAAGGGAGAACACGACATCTTCAACCGTGTCATGACTCGTGACGATATTGCTACCGTGGCGTTCCTCGAGAGCCGTCAGTCAGGCGCTCGTCAAATGGTAGTCAACCTCCACTTGTTCTGGGACCCGCAGTTCAAGGATGTCAAGGTTGTCCAAGTTGCCATTCTATTGGAGCAGCTCAATCGTCTGAGCAGAGAGTACGCCAAATGGCCTGCACTCAAAGACAAAGAATTGTTCCGCTATGCCAATGGTGACGAAGTCGATGAGGAACCTGTCGAGAAAGCACCGCCTGCACCCTCGCAAGAATATGCGTCCAATACTGACATTCCGCTCATTATCTGTGGCGATTTCAACAGTACTTCCGAAAGTGGTGTCTACGACTTGCTGGAACACGGCTCGCTCTCATCCTCACACGACGACCTGGCCGGCCGCAAGTATGGTAATTTCACGAAGGAGGGTATGGCCCATCCTTTCAGCTTGAAGTCGTCCTACTCGCACATTGGCGAACTAGATTTCACCAATTACACGCCTACCTTCGTCGGATGCATCGACTACATTTGGTACTCGACGAATGCCTTGAATGTCACTGGCCTGCTCGGAGAAATCGACAAGCAATACCTCAGCCGAGTACCTGGGTTCCCTCACATCCATCAACCCTCTGATCACATCAACCTTCTGGCCGAGTTTGCAGTCAAAGTCAGGAAAGAGTCAAAGAGATCGGAGGCAGACTTCGGGCATAGCTCGCATGATCACAGGCATCGATAAGTCGACTCGATGCCTCAAACAATGACTATAACAACAACGCAAAAAACTCATATATTCTCACGCATTGAAGGGACCGGAATGGGAGGATGGAGGAGCTTGTAAGGAGTCTTACGTCTAGTTGTTTTTCTCTCTGCTCTTGGAAATGAGGCGCTTTATCGATCAGGACCCGGGGAAGCTAGCTTGCTGCTTTCGAGGGAAACATGGGAGTGGGAAGCAGATCTTCTTCCCGGACGTGCCGACAAGGGGGAAACAGGTCTGCTTTTGGTACAAGGGAGGAAGATGGATCAAGGGGCAATCTTTGACAACGTTTTTTGTGGTTTTTACTTTTCTTTTTTCGGGTGTTTTCTCTCTTTTCCCAAGCTACACTTTTTTCCCTCTTCTTGGACCTTCTTTTTATTCGCCCGCTGCATGTCTGAATTGATGCAAATGTTTGTGTGTGGTGAGGCAGTGTTGCACTTGGGCATGTAAAGAGTGAATGACTCTTGATTGCAATTCTTCCGTCTCGTCTTGATGTGTATTGAGTGTTTCTAAGAAATAACGTAATGTGTATCTGGTATAGATGGTTGTTTATGATGAGAGGATGTATCAAATACTACGATGGTCGAAGTTAACACGTATGACACCGGCCTCGTCACTCCATTCGTTTCCGCTTGCATGTTTGGTGCTATTAGTCGTTCTCACGAGATCACATCCTCGCTGTGCTCTTTGCCGTGTGTTGGTGGTGGTGTTCGTGGTGAACCTGGAGCTGTGAGCAAAGACAAGATTATCGAGATCGTGTAGCAGGCTCATTTCACTCCAGACATCTACTAGATAGCCCAGAGATGTTGCTAAATACCTATGTCCATGGATGATTTGTTAGGATTGAAGTTTTCATGACTGTGTCGTGAGCATATCGCCGTTGCAGGATTAGATCGATCCATGACCAGGGTGGTCCCCTCAGCCATGTCCACACGCATAAAGTTATGTAGGTCTTGGCGCTATGTACAGGATTGTGCTCCAGGACTCCTTTAGCAGCGCTTAGATAGTCCTTGATCCCCGCTTGCATCATGGATAGGGCTGTGGCGCCTCCAGCTGAGCCCAAGTAAGCAGGTGTCTGAACAGGCCTCACCGACGCCTTCTCTTGTCTATAATCCCTTCCAGCGAGTCAAGCTTGTGGTACTCAGTCCGAACAGACGCCAGTTCGAAAACAGCAGTAAGCTACTGCAGCACTAAGGCATAGTACTCAGGGCCCAGTGTCGGTCTCTGACTTGTGCTATCTGGTACTTCATCACGTCGTCCTTTGGTTTCGTCACTTCACGTTGCTTCCACCTTGACACCTACTGTCTCGGCCCATCTGCTTTTGTGACCTTTGTTGACCTCTTTGCTTGACTTTTCGTTCGTCCGTCTATCTTGAGCTCTTTCGCTTCTCCCATCTGCAGTCACCACGCCATCAACTCGATCAGCTCATCACTCCACACATCCGGGTCAAGTACAATCATGGCTACCAAAGCTCACTGTGCCTACTGCTTTGAGGTGCTCGTCGCCAGCTTCGAAAGTCGCCAACCCCTGTCTCTGTCACAAGTCGAAGATCTCTGGACCGCTCAGAATGGACATGAAGAGGAGGAAGACACACCCGATACGAATGATGAAGACAACGAGCTAGAGTCGAGCACGAGCCGTGTTCCTGCCATCTCACGCCTTCTCGACTCCGACACACCCGCCTCCAACTCTTCCTCATCGAGCTTGACATCGTCCACACAACCCTCGACCTCCTCAAGCAGCACATCTCTATCCTCCCGCTCCGCCATAAGCCCCTCAGACTCGTACCCTCTCTTTGTGACCTGGAACACAATCTCCCCACGCAACACCCACCAGAAGACCCTCCGCGGTTGCATCGGCACCTTCAAGCCTCTGCCCCTCGAACATGGACTTGCCGATTATGCTTTGACCTCTGCCTTTGAAGATACTCGCTTCCCGCCCATTCCTGCTTCACAGCTTTCACAGCTGCAGTGTTGTGTCACGCTACTCACTAATTTCAGCAACCCGACTAAAGATGTCATGGCGTGGGAGGTGGGGAAACATGGTATAAAAATTAGTTTCAAATTCCAGGGAAGGAATCTGGGAGCTACGTATTTGCCTGACGTCGCGAAAGAGCAGGGGTGGACTAGAGAGGAGGCGTTGATCAGTTTGATGAGGAAGGCTGGGTGGAGTGGAAGGAAGGATGAGTGGAGGAAGGTTGCTGCTGCTATGGAGTTGATTACTTACGAGGGCAAGAAGGTGGATTTGGGGTATGCTGAGTTCAAGGAGTGGAGGGACAGGGTTGGAAAGTAGGTGTGGTTTCAACTTCACTGGCGCTCTCAGCTTTCTCTTATGGCTCTTACGACACGGCGTTGGCACCTCATGGAACATGCGAACTTTTGGTCCTCACCACCCTTTCTTTTAATACACAGAGCTGGCTTTCCTCGTCTCTTTGCTCCCCTTTCATCTCTTTTCTTCTTATCGCCGATTCTGAAAGTTTTGGTGTTGCGCGTTGAATCGTCCTCGCCGCTTACCCTTTCCCATAGCGATCACGACCGTCTTGTCTTTCCCATAGCGATTTCTTGTTACCAATCTTGCCCACACAACAATCGAACATTTTTCAACGAAAAAATCAAAGCAAAACAATATGCCGATATCGTCTCTCACAGATAGGCCAAAAGTCCGTTTGTCAAGGGTACAAAAAGAGTAGAAATCCCCACGTGTTGTTGATTTTCCTCTTCTCCACTTACTGTTTTGCCTTGTTGGTTTTGGCATACCAAGTCGAATTTGCCTCACCCTGTCATTCGCCTATTACCATCACTACCAATTATTGAAAGACACTTGAGAAGAAAGACAAAGGGATAAGATAAAAAATGTCAGAAACAACAAACGATCAAACGAGATATAAATTCATCTACTTTGTTCCTCCATCTTCTCTTACCGCAACAAAAGAAGCAATCTTCTCCACCTCTTTGGCTGGAAGATTTCCTGCTTCTGAGCCTTTGTATACTGATGTTGTAAGTTTTCTACTCTGCCCTTTTTGCAATCTCCTTGCATTTTCACCCCTAGTCATTTTGCATCTCCCTCGCTCGCCCCTCTCATTCTCATCTACCATCTACCATAACCAAACATATACAAGACCCTAGTACTAACAACTCTATGACAACAACCAGTGTTTCCACACTTCAGGAACAGGAAATTTCACCCCCTCAACAACATCATCTCCTCACATAGGAACCCCAGGTCACCAAGAAATTCTCGAGGAATTAAAAGTAGAGTTGCAAATCACAGGTGCGGAAAATGTAAAGACTGTGGTGAAGGTCTTGAAAGAGTGAGTTTTTTCCCCCTCCAATTTCCTCACCCCCTTTGAAAGAAAGAAGAAAAAAAAAAGTCCTTGTTGTTGCTCTTCTCTCTGTGATAGAGGCAAAGGGAAAGGAAGAAAAAAAAGAGGCCAAGGCAAGAGGCTGACAGGAGTCATACAGAGCTCATCCTTATGAAATTTGCGTATACGAGGTTTATAAGATGGAGGACTTTTAGATTGGTTCACAAGGTTTTGCAAAAGGCGCAAAAAGGAAAGGAGAGGACGAGGAAACGGAGCAAAGAGAAAGAGCCGGACCATTGGTACGGCATTTCAGACGACGGAAAGACGAGAACAAACTGGCCTACATGAGTCTTAGGATGACAGGAGGCATGACCGGGTCTATAACAGGAAACGATCTTTGCACAAAGGAAGAACACGGCAGCAAGAGTTAGACCGTAGAACCCGTTAATTGGCACGAGCAAACCATCTCAAGTGCAGTATCATAATGTCCCAAGCCAAACAAAAGAAAAATGGAAAAGTCATTGCAGGATGATGAAACCTCAGTAGCAGTTACCGCCCAATCACTCGCTCTTTGAAACCTCCTCCGTGTTGAATTGATGCATACAGATGAAGCTGGTTGCAATGTTGTCAAATGTGACATTGGCGAGGTCGAAGATTCCAGGGTACTTGATGTTGCCACGGTAGAACATGGTGTCGTTGCAGTGTCCTTGCATCAACATACAGTCGGCGCCTGGGTCAGGTCCGAAGGACGAGACTTGCTTGCTCAGCTCTGTTGGGAAGTCGACGCAGCTGTTGAAGGGTTGGCGGAACCAAGCGCAGACGTCGGTGAAATTGGCACCTGTACATGCGTAGACCTGTGTGGCGTTAATTGGAAGCACTGTAGATAATTGATGTGAAGTAGTTCGATGTGATTCGATGCAGAGTGTTGAATGGCATTGGGTTGAAGTTGAAGAAGATTGTGAGGGAAGAAGTATCAACTTACGTCGCCGGAATCACGAGGCTGCAGAGGTTGAGTGAGGTAGCCAGGCTTGGTGGGAAAGGCGGTGACAGCTGCTACGAAGAGCGAAACGAAGGCCGTGATGAACTGCATAATGGACAGTTGTGCCGGCGATAATGAGAAGATGGTTGTTCTTGATGTTACTTGACTGAGGATATGCTTATAAGTCGTTGATTGATGATATAAGGCCTGCGAAGCAAAGAAGAACTGGAATGCTCTGATGCTGACTGAATGCAGAAAGATGTTTTGTTTATTGCTGAAACTTGATGAAAGCGGACGCTCGTCTGGGTTTTGTTGGAAAGCCCGATGGTCGTGCAAAGCAGGAAGTCGCAAGCAGCGTCATATTGTTAGCGGTAGCCCCTTCCCACGTTGATGGACGTGGGCGATCAACATCATGAGTGCCTGCATGTTATATGCTGACGTCTAGGCAGGAAGCCGTCTCTGCTCATCACGACCTCTTCAAGCCGGTGATCTGCGGTCATGGTACCTGCCTCGTTGTTTCAGAACCCAACTGCCAAGCTATAGTATATCGTTCATCAGACTACCTTTATGATGAGAATGTTCTCGTAACTCCTGTATTGGGATCAATGCGTCACGAGTAAATGCAGAGACAAGTTAAATGAGATGGAGGCAAGAGCGAGAAGAATCCGACTTGGCGAAACGCGTCGACGTGTGACGGTCTTGCGGAGAAGCTTGTTCATCATGATTCCCAGCCACCACGCGAGTCACCACCGGAACACTAATCTTCTTGTGGTAGCTCAAATGTCTGCTCATGACGATGCTGCACTTTTATGTGACATCGTCAACGTGTTTGAAGGGTCACAAGGACTACAGCTCGGCCGAAAGGATAAACACGACACCTAGGTATTTGTTGATATGCAAGAGTCACCTTCTGTCGAGACACTTCCGTCCGGGAGGCCAGGAGACAATTGATATTCAATGTGTATTTGCGACACATCAAATACCGACTGCTTTCAGAATCTCCTCGACACCACTCTTAGGACTGCCTGGCACTACCTCTTTCCAGACCTCATCCCTGATACGCTTATCGTTATCGAGTACGCTCCAGTTCGGACTGTGCTCTGCCTTGAGCCACTTGAAGTCATCGACCTGGTCATACAGATTTGCGACTTCTTTGTCCTTTTCTGTAACCTTGTGTCAATTGTTAGCGTAAGAATCTCAACTTCTTCGATGTTAAAGAGGAGATGTGGACTTACATAACACTCTGGTAATTCTGCAAACTCGATACCCTCACAATCCTCAATGATAGGCCTGCTCTTGCAAAGCATGTAGACTTTGATATTTTTGCTCTCATGCATACGGAATTGTCTCGTAGCCACCACCAAGACGGTATTGCTGACATTTGTGATGTGAATTGCACCGTCAACATGTCCACACACAATCAGTGACTTTTTGATGTTCTTCAGTGTAAGAGTTGCAAATGCAGAAGTAGAAGCAATGCTCATATCAATTACGCTATCACGGACGTTGGTGACAGTACCGGACGTGCCATTCGTCGCGTGAGTGGCTGAAGAAGGTAGCATGACATGTATGTTGTTGTGATTGGAGATGTGAATTTTGTCGGCTCTGGAGAAGGAGAGTTTGCGAATGCCATCGGTGGTCGTATTGGTATCATCAGGCTTAGAGTCATCGATGACAGGCCCGTTAGCAGGTGTATGTGGCATAGTCAATGGCGTCGTTGCAAAAGAGAAGACTCCGGATGAGAAGTTGCTGTTAGACTGAAGGAGGCGCTTCCTCGCTGCTAATTCCGCTGCATCGTTGATAGAGATTGCAGAGGCATTCTTCTTCTTGAACGCAAACTTGGGCTTCGGTGCTGCTTGAGCTCGTGTCTTCTGGAGTTTCTCGGACAGTGCTTTAATGGCCTACAAAAGGTCAACATCAACTTCCAAGGACTGTTGGCTATAATGGGTAGTGGTATTGACCTCGCTGTATGTTCGTTGATCATGCGCTGGAAGAGATCCAGAAATGTCTTTCACGTCGTTGGAAAGTCTCGATATGCCAGCTAGGCAGTGGTCGATGGCATCCGCTCGTTCGCCACCAGATGTGCCATGATCCTGGATGATCTGCATCTGCTCCTGCAATGCTGGAGTATAGTATGTCAGAAAATATGTCCTGTCTCGATCTTCTGACGATATGGTGCAGCGCACATACCAGCGACTTCGGTCTGGAAGTACCGGAAGAACCGTTCTTGCTCACTCATCTCGAGTCTTGGTGATGGATTCACGGCAATGGTAGTCATGGAGAGAGAAGATGGCTTAAGAGTGTCTGCTTAGAAAAGTGGGCTGTGTCAGAGATGGATGATAGACAAAAGCGAAGTGGGAGAGTAGCGCATATAGAAGTCTTGTCTCGCAGCACGGCACATGAGCACAGCAGCTCGATCCTGATGTCACCAGTACTGATATGTAGAGTTGTATCAGAGGTCTTGGACGAGCGAACAAAATCCCGCGGTGAAAATGATCGGCGGGTATTCAGACGTTCTTCCAAGGAGCCTCAACAGGGCGGTGTAGCATGCAGGTGCTTTGTGGGAAGTACCTATCGACCTTACCTGTTGGTTGTGTCAAGACCAGCACACTTCATCTAGGTTGTGCTGCCCTTGTCGTTGTTCTGTTTGTGCCTCTTTGGATGACGATCTTTTCGTCCCCCACTTCGATCATGATGCGGGGCTGAAGGAGTGGAAGCGGGTGTTCCTGCCTCCGGGGAACAACCGTGTTACAGAATTGACATGTCACTTGCACAATCCTCATCATAACGAGGTTGGCAGATATTCAGGATGGAAGTTGTATGCTATAGGTGAGAGATCAGACAGACGGGGGATCAGATACTGGTTCATCTTCTCATATACCACTTGCAATCATATGTCGAAGCATGAACGGCAGACTATGAAAGTCTATTCTAGTTCGCGTAACGCGCACTCAGTGGACTCTTCACTATACTTGCCATTCAGGCACAAATCATGGCATATGTGGTGTCAATGAAAAGCAAAGACGATCCCGCTCCGAGCGACCGTCCTGCGCATGTGGTTCCGGCCAATATGTAAGACGATCGTGTCATGCTTCACGCGAAGCCGCCCAGGATTATATGAGTATCTCGAAGGTATGATCTTGGACAGAGGAAATAACGGCGTAAAAGGTATCTACAAATATTGAGAGTCTATGAAGAAGCAGCGGTTGGCACTTGGATGCCGTAGTTTTGCTGGAGTCTCTCTGCTCTTCTCTCGGGGTATCCAGGTCCGTAGATTCCTGTCATCATTAGCGTGTGTGCCTCTATCAGAGGAGTCGGATCATCATACCGCGTCCCTCGCCGACCTGCTGAAGAGTCTCCTCCATTGGTCTCCTTCTGTTCTTGCGCAAGTATTCTTTTCGGGCAACCTCGTCCACTGTGTCATCAACTTGGTAGCCGGTGATCTTGCCACCAGCAAAGTGCCAGGTACCGAGGATCACAGCCAGAGCAGTTCCGTAACCAGCGACGGCGGGAGCGGTGCGGACTGTGAGGAGCTTAGCAATTGCATTGGTGGACTCATTGGAGTCGTTGTAGCGTACGTCTGAGACCGAGCATTGCACCACCGGCGAGACCACCCCAGGCGGAGTTCCAGGCGTCGTCTCTTTGTCTAAGGTTGGCTGATGCGCACCTGGTGAATTCGTAGGCGGCTCCCATGGCGCCTGGCGGGGTTGTTAGATAGCTTCTTCCGGCCAATGGTGCTTCAATCGCATACCGTAGACAGCGGTAGTTCCACCGAACTTTGTGAAGGCGCCCATAGCACCATGGTTCTGCTTGGTGAGGGTGTTTTGGACGGTCGAGACGAAGAGACCAGCACCAGTGGTGACCATGGCGGCCTTGATCGCGGAGCCCAGAGAGTCCTTGGCGCGGTAGGGTTGCTCCTCTTGTGAAGCCATGTTGATGTTGATCGAGTACGTCGTTGGCGGGAGGACTGTCAAGCTCGATTCCAGATGATGGTGTCGCTGCTGCCGGCTCGTGAGGTGTCGCGCTTTCCGCTCTTGGCACTCGCTGCTGACCTTTGACGCGCTAAGGGCTTCGGAAGGCGGCGCGGGATTGTGGCTCGTGCATGCACCTTCCATGGCTGGCGTCTCTGACGTAAATGCTTTCCATGTGAATGTGAGCAGCGACTGGCCCAAATCTTGTGATTGCCTAACGCGACAGTTCGAAGGAAACATTCCCTACGACCACGAGTCGATCCCCACTTGTTGTCTGTTGAGACTTCTCCGGCCAACCACTCCCTCTCTCCTAGACTTCCCACGACAGAGTTACGGCCATGTCTCTCCGGGCTTCGCAACCTGGTAACTTACTAGCCGCCTTCACAACATCTACTTCAAGATGGACTCGCTAACCACGTCCTCGTGATAGGTAAGACTGCGCCCAAGTTCTTGCATGATCTCCTCCGGCTCGATCCCCAATCCGTACACTCGAACCGCAACATCCTCGTCGACAATCCTCCACAGTTCGATGGCGATGCTCGTACTGGTCCGCCTTTGGTCTTGGACAGAGGCAGCTGCAAGCACGAATACTACTCTCACTTAGAAAGATGTAACTTGCCGCGTATCGATGAGGCAGCCCAGCAGGATACCCGCTGGACAGTCGCTGCTTCCTGCAGGAAATGCCGCCTTTACCTCACCCTCACTCTCGACTACCCAGACACTGGCTGCAGACAACCATGTCCCAATAGCGTTTACCCGCTGCATCATCTTCGCCACCAGTCGACCGACTCCTCACAAGTCAGCTACCACTTTGAGTGCTCCAACATTGCATGTCAAGCACACGTTCACGTTGCATACGAGCAACCTGTCCTGTCCAAAGCAGACATCCTACTTCTCACCGATGCACAAGCCTTGAGTAGACGCCATGAGAGTATCCTAGAAAGTACCCCGGATCGCGCCGGTGTAAAATTGGCAACTCCCTTGGACGTCTTCACTCGCCTCAAGAGATACGTCTCGGATTCCCTGATCACAAGCAATGCTAGACGCAGCTTTCCCGCTAGGAACAAGAAATTCATGGAAGCCTTCGGAACAGACTGTGATGCGATACTCTACCGTTTGGGTTTCACGAGGGGCGAAGACACTGAAGGCGAGGACCAATGGAAGCTGCCTTCGCCAATGTCATTTGACGACCCGGATCTGTTGCGTCATACTCTTGAGAAACTGATCGTGGAGGTGCAATACTTGATTGACGACTATTGTGCTAGCCATGCAACGCCCAATCCCTCTCGACCGACTTATCAGGATGCAAAGTTAGATATGGCACGCACGTTGAGTGCCCAAGCCTGTACGACAAGTCAACAATTCTGTACGATGTATACGCTAACTGTTGTGCAGATGATAAAGTTCCTGGACGCAACTTGGCTTCAGGAGAAGAGGACCATCCGTGAGTTCAATCCAATTAGACAAAACGAGAGTTAGGGCTGACCCTCGAGTTAGGTATTATGCTAGTCTTGGTGCTCTCGGTGACTTCTCGGATCGTCTCATCGCCTTCTGCTATGACCGCCAGGCTGCAAGCGACCCTTCAGAAGGGCCGTACTATTTCGATTGTCTTCACGATCTCGCGACCAACAGAGGGAGCGAGCTACTGATCATGAAGTCATCTACGCTCGCATCTCAGGACGTCTTGAGCAAGAAGGTATGGCCGACTCGCTGATTGTGCCATGTCTGGGGCTAATGAAATACGCAGGATATCAATCAAGCATACAAGGCTCTTGGTGTTGATCAAGACTCACAGCACACGATCAGCGACGAACATGTCATCGGTATTTACAGATCACGCTGGTCGGACACTGGGCCTCAAGGACAGGCCGATCTGAAGTTAGCCCTGAAGACATTGGGTCATGCCAGGAAGAGTCGATCACTAATTGATGCTGCCGCGGATAGTGAGTTCAGATCTACGATAAATCCTATGATTCCCCAAGCTAACTTTGGCAGCTGTTGAAACAAACGAACAGGCACTTTCATGGCTTGGCGCTGATGCCACCCAGCCTGACGATATGATAGTCGCACTTTATGGTGTCAAAGTGAGTAATTTTCTGCTGTGCACCTTTTTCCGTCTCCAATTTCACGTTCGCGCTTTTTAAGCCTGGAAAGATTCACGAAACCACTAGCTTCGCCCCCCCAAACGCAACGTCTGTTTGCTCGTTCGCTGTTTGCACAGTCGCACAAGTAAACACTATACCACCCGCCTGGGCAGCAGGTCCTATCTGCCTTCTCTATCGCTTGCTCAAAAGCTCGGCATTGTTCCCGTTACTGACAAAAGTCCTTCAGGTCAACGATGATCCATCAACCAAGGATCTTGCGCGTCAAGCCATTGAATTGATTACCGCACACCGCAAAAGCGAAATGTTACAAAGTTGGCTTGCCACTGGCGAGATGACACCCGCAGCAATGTCTCTTGAAGATGCTCTCAAACATTTCGAGATCGAAAATCTCGACGGCGTAGACCCTGAGGTGCTGGAAGTGGTGTTTGGTATGGCTCCAGATGGTCCTGTCAAGGACAGAGCAGTATCGACCATTCGAAAAGCTATGGAAGATCGTAAGCCTTCGACAGAAACCTGGCCAGTCGGATTGATCAGCCACGGCAATACTTGCTACCTCAACAGTCTTCTCCAGTACTACTTCACCATCAAGCCTCTCCGAGAACTGGTCCTCGACTTCGATAAGTACAAGTACGATCTTACAACTCAAGGCGCTAAAGAAGAGCGGGTTGGCAACCTCCATCGCCCGGTGTATGAGATCGAGTCTTTCCAGAGCCTCACCAACGATCTTCGCCACCTGTTCGAGCGAATGATCAAGGACCGCGGACCGGCTGTCAGACCTGAGGCGGATCTGGTCTGCCGTGCTTTCTTGAAGCCCTCTAATCCAGAAGCAGATACCACTGGTTCTCAGAAGGACGAGGCAGTGGACGTCAACATGACCACAACCGAGAGCGAGAGCCACCCTGCCGATGTGGCGACTTCTGGTAGCGTGGAGGAGCTGACAACAGTCTCCCAAGCCAGTTCAACGACATTACAAGACGATGCTGTGCTTACCCCGCCAGCTACGCCGAAGGCAGAGAAGGAAGGCGAACTCCTTGCCCCGCCATTACCGCCTAGAAGGCCCGAAACACCCTCGCAGCAAACCAGGACGAACCTCGAGAAAGCAGAGGAGGCTGCCAGACAACAACAAGATGTCGCGGAAGTCATGGAGGAGCTATTGACAAGACTGAGAGCTTCCATCAAGCCGCTTGGTCAAGACGCTCAGGGAGAGCAGCTGGACCAACTTCGGGAGTAAGTACTTTTTCACTTGCACAAGCCAATATACTGACTGCTTGGTTTCAGTATCTTCAACATGCGGATTATGGACACAATTATTCCCGAAGACGAGCAAGCTTCGACGAAGGAAGACGACTTCACCAACTTGATGCTGTTGCCTCCATACGAGCCTACCGACATCTACTCTGCTCTTGATAGAGTCCTTGACCTTCATCTGGAACCAGAAGCCAGCAAGCCAGTCAACGTGTACAAGACCTTGAAGTCCTTCCCACCTATTCTCCAGATCAGCATCAATCGGATTCGTCTGGGTCGCGACGGCAAGCCAGTCAAGAGCGTTGATCGCATCAGACTCGAAGAGACTCTGTACATGGATCGCTACTCAGAGGATGACGCCATCCTCGCTCGACGCAAGCAATGCTGGGAGTGGCGAAGACGTCTACGTGGTCTCCAGGCCGAGAAAGAAATCATACAGAAGACCGAGGTCGGTATTGATGGACCGTCAGCACTCGATGGTGTAGGTGAATGGTTAGCGACTCTTCATGAAGTGGATGCACTACTTGCAGAAGTAGGCGTCGACGCTCTCAACGTTCCCGAGTCACTCGCCTTAGATCTCCAACAAGAGAGCATCCTCCAGCGTGCCCGTCTGACCGTCATAGACAAGGAAGTACGAGAGCTGGAAGGGAGCATCGCCAAACAGTTCTCAGGACCTGACTTTGAGAGGCTGAAGTACCGTCTTCATGCCGTGTTCTTCCATCGTGGTAGCACGGGACATGGTCACTACTGGACCTACATCTACGACATCCAAAACAACATGTGGCGGTTGTACAACGACGAGAAGGTCGAGCAGTTTGACAAGCTCAACGATATTCTCAACGCAGATAGCTGGATGCAGGGTACGCCCACATACGCCGTGTATGTCCGAGACGATACCAAGGAACAGTTCGTTCAGCCGTTGTGCCGCGATGTGGAAGAAGTTGCCGACGAACCAATGCCCGACGCGCCGATGCTGTCAGAGCCGATCCCGTCCGAGCCCAATTACACTGCCTTGCCTGAGGCCGACAGGATCCAAGAGGTGGGTGATTGGAACAAGGTAGAGGCCCCACAGAACACGGTGAATTGGTAGGCGTGGTGAAGAGATCCAGAGCAGTATACTCACTGCTTTCTTCGTAGACCACAACCCCTTCACCCACCGGCGGTCGATTGAGTCAAAAAGGTGCAGTCACCAAGCCCGAGCCGAGACCCAAGCCAAAGTTCATAACGTATGGACGAACACACCAGTAGTACAAAAGGCTGAAGGAGAAGATAAAAGCTCGAAAAGAGTGGCTTTTGGGACACAAGGAACATCTGTTGCATTCTTCATGGCGCAGTGAGAGCTTTAGCATGCATGGCGAGGAAAGCAGAGATGGTCGCTCGGTAGCATCGTTATGGTAGAGTTGCTTTGTTGTTGTGACGACTTTCTTCGAATTGCGGATGCTTAGCATGGGCATACAGATTAGTGTCTACCGCATTCCGATATTGCAGTCAGCCGGTTGAAACTGCTTCCCAGATCTTCGCACTCACAGCTACTTCCCGTTCTAATGTTTCATCGTGAGCAACTGATCGATTATTTCAGCACACGCGTACCTGTTGAGTCTTCTAAGCTATCTCCAGTTTTTGGCTTGAGGTATAAAGGCTTCATAGATCTAAAAAGCACCCTAAATCTACATCCCTGAAAGACGGCCAAACGTATCTGGTCGGCAGATTTTTGGTTGCTACATCATCATTGTCTAATTCAAACTCGTCTATGGTGTCTTCGAAAATTCACATCGAAAAAGCGGTATAAGTAGAGCAAAAAGACCAACTCTAGAAAGATAGGAGTCAATTATGAAGGCCCACGATTTGCCAAGGGCTTTGTGCTCTGCCACATCCGGTTCCTCAATTTTGCTCCAACTTTACGTCTCAGTAGACGGATCCCGTATTGTCGTTACACGATATCACCTTAACATATCTCCGAAGTGTCACTGGTGGGGAAACAATCTGCATAATGCACAGCTCGCGGACCCAACCTCAGCCTTACTCCGCCACCAGGAAAACGCATGCTGCACTCATGCGACGATCATATAGGCCATGATTAAGGTGAATCCAGGCTAGCTTACCGCGATCTAGGTCGTGAAGTAAAGTACTTCCCTTCCCTCAGCATCTGCCTGGTTCTCTAGGGCTATGTTGTTGCTGCGTGTAGTCCCTTATACTGGCCGACAGCACCGACTGCATCTTGCGACCACTACGAAGTCGGATTCACGCGCCGCCAAGTCAGTATGTACCCAGGAAGTATGTATGCAGCCGGATCAATAGCTCATAATAACACCGCGATGTTGGACTTGTATCGAATTGGCTTTACTTATCTGGTGTTGTTCGCTACTAACCACAACGCTCTGGACAGAGCCCTCATGTTTTTGTAATATGGACACTTCGTCCAGACATCGTTGCTCGGACTGAAGATACACTCAATATGTCGCCTGATTCGCACGTTATGAGTCATGCGACATCATCCACATCACCAAGGCATATGTCGGGACTTTCGGACACTGCATCTGCGATACCTTCGGAGTCACTACAACGGGATCACTCTTTTCGAAGTGTTCGCTCAAGAGACCATTCGACCCGGGAAGGCACAGACAACGACCGTCAAGATGGAGATGACCATTCGCATACAGGTGTGGCCACTCGACTTCTGTGCTCAGACCAAGAGGCGACACTGAAGGCTCCGCCGAAGAAGCCCCCTGTCTCTGTTGTCGAAAGACCTCCGAATCTACCATATTGGAAATCGTTCTGGCTGTGGAAGTCGACTATTGTGGCGTTCGCTTGTATGAGCCTCAGTTGCATGGTCACAGTAGTGGCTCTACTTCGTGTCCGAATCCAAAGATGGGCTAAGTCACCAAGGTAGTAACAATCACTACGCATGGCGATATGGTCCGATTGCTAGTAAGTGACGATGCTCATGGCTCTCAACAATGCTGACGATATAGTTATCACCGTTTTCGTGATACTATGGTCCCAACTGGATCGTTGCTGCAGAATGCTCGCACCTTGGTACTCAATGACACGCCATCCCCAGCCAGCATCTCGTACTGTTTGTCTTGATTATATTTTTGCCTTTCAACCTATCACTCTCTATAAGGCAGCAAGGTATTGTGACTGGGCTGTTCTGTGCACAGGACTTGGCTCTCTATTGTTCAAGATATCTGTAGGTCAATACTGCCTCACACGAAATCCGGCCGACCTTCGATAGATCATTGTGTCGACTGGTCTACTATTCACACGACCTATGATTGTCTCAAAACACTCTGTGTCTGTCCTTTTGATCAACGAATTCCAGGTCGACGGAATCAGGAATATTGGAGTGAGCGCAAATGCAAGCGAGATATTGACAGGCATCTACACCAATCAGCAGCCATATCCAAACGGAACCACCAACACCATGGTCACTCAATCATTCGCGATCCCAGAAGATGGCATGGAATTGCCTCCAGATTAAATGCTGACCACATCTCTGGACACGTTTGTCGTCGACCTGGCGTGTGAGATTGCCGTAATTACAATCACTCCATTCTCTAGACCCAGCTACCTCAACTACACATTCAATGCTACTATAGTGTCAAAGTCTTGTGGCTTGTCTGTCTTGGATCAACAGCGAATGGATGCAACACAGCGCTTCAAGCTTCTGCCTAATCTACCACCAGAGAATTTCGTCCCGCATAGCTTTCTTGCAAGCTGCTAGAATGCCACGGAAGATGATCAGCGTCTTGTGATGCTCCTTACTCTTTCCAATGAGAACTTAGATATTGTGAAGTCAAGTGCCATCATATGTCGACCTAGCTATACTTTTGGACAATACAGTATAGCGTACAACAACGACCCAGAACTCCGCACAGGCCCTCTGACCATGACTGGAGGTAACGCAAACTCGTCCTATTTATTCGATGTCCAACATCGAAGCAGACTCACTGGTGCAATTTACAACTCCACTGCCACGTTCTTGACGCTTTACAACTCTGACGATATCACGGAAGCTCAAGCTAGTGACGCCAGAATGTTCAATCTCATGACTGTAATCCAAGGTCGCGATAATTCAGACGCAATGCTTCGGCCATTCTTGAACGCAGAGGTCATGATGGAAAGAGCTGCACAAGTGTTTAATGCTATTGGTGCGCAGACTGTAGCCGAAGGGTTACTAGTACCCAGTGATCGCCGGATCATGGGCACAGCTACATTTCACCAAGAAAGACTCGTTGTCAATCGCGTCTCGGTCATCCTGATGAGCGTCGCCTTTGCCATCATTCGCTGTCTTTGCGCAGTGTTGATCTTTGTACGGTCCTGGGACGTTGTCCCACGCCGACCAGCCAGTGCCGTTGACACGATCAGCATATGTCTGACAAGTGTGCCATTCAAGGAGTCATTACGAGACTCCGCCCACTTGTCTGATGACAGAATCGAGCAGAAGTTAGCAAATTACAACTTCTCTCTAGTCAACGGTCACGAGGGTGGTCGAACCATTTTCGCTTTGGGAGTCGAAAAGCAAGCCCACGTCTTAGAGGCCAGTCGGACAACACAACACGCTTCTCACTGTATACTGTGGTGGCACCCCTGGGGAAGTAGATTTGCGACCAAGTTGGCAATAGTCTTACTACCATTGGCGTGTATAGCTGTCCTGGAGGTCTTACAGGCCAAGTCCAACGATCATCGTGGTTTCGCTAAACTGACAGATTCGGAAGGGCAAAGTTTCGAGATTGCAAATTATGCCACTCAGTACTTGCCAGCTGCGATCGTGATATCCATCAAACTGTTGTTTGGCGGACTAGAGGATGTGGTTAATGTTTTTGCACCCTTTCTCCCCCTTCGAAAAGCTCACGATCAGAGCTTAAAAGCCGTCAAGAAGATATCATGGCTACCATCGTGGTTGCAAAAGAGCGATAAAGGCTCCTACGACGCATTACAGAATACGCAAGGTTGCACTATCAAAGTCCTGGACTACCAAACCTACGGTCGAGTGTCTGTGCTCGCGTTGATTTCTGCAGCCAAACACAAGTATTGGCCTGTCGTATTCGTAAGTTTGGCAGCGCTGTTGAGTCCATTCCTCACCATCATCGTATCAGGACTATATTCTCTGGATCAGGTGCCAGTTCTGTATCCGGTATCTGCCAATAGAACATCGGCGTTCAACCTGACATGGGCCCAGAGCACGCGACATGACAGCGGAGCGGGACCAAGAACGATACAGATTTGGGATCACAACGCTACGTATCCACTCTGGACATACAAGGACCTTGCGCTATCCACGATTCAGATAGGTCCAGAGAGCCTTCCCTTCGCAAACACCTCTGCTGCTGAAGGCGCGCAGATCAACGCGATTGTTCCTGGTGTCAGAGCAAGACTTGATTGCATTCCTACCTCGAATCGCACAGTGTACCACAACATGGACTTCGGCCGAGATAAACACTCCAAGTCCGTGATCACGCGCGTACCAGTGAATGTCCTGAATACTTGCGTTGGGCACCCGATGCCCTCCATGCTCGGCACGAACATCACGTTTAGTGTTTATCCCGAGGAGACGTATTTTTCGCAGATTACGAACCTGCACATCATTCAAGCATCGGGCGGCTCGAGTCCTGTGAGCGTTTTTCCGGACCCCGATGTTGGCACCTTCACATTTCCAGACAACGACGCCGACTGCCCCTCATTGGTATTCTATATTGCAAAGTGGTCACCACTTCCAAATAGCAAGGATTACATGCTTGACTTCAATGCTTTGTCTTGCAAGCAAGTAGTCGACGAAGTTCAAGTCAATGCCACGCTATTATATCCCTCCATGGAGCTTGACCCGCCGATTACACCCAAGGTCTTGGAGGGAGTCACTACCAATGTGGTAGACACTGAACGCAATGGCTCTGTCGAAACCTGGCAAGTCGGCTATCAATTCGACAAGTGGGACACCAGCCAGATAATAGTTACAGGAGGGACATCCCGCGCATGGAACCCGTACGTCAGCCGGTACTACCAGATGGTTGTCAATGGCACTCGGGAAGTGAGACCCGTATTTCTTGACGACATGATCGGGGAAGCAAACATCGACAATTTCTCAATAGCCACTCAAGGTTTGTATGGCATATACATGGCAGAGCTTCTGTCAACGAAGAAACAAGACCTTTTCACACCGACCAGTGTTCAAGCATCCATTGAGGCTATGACGGAGTGGCGAGTCAAACAACATGAGCCCTCGAAGATTGTGTTGCAAGTCATTCTAGGCATCATGGCGGTCTGCGGTCTTCTTACATGGCTGTGCATGGAAACGAAAGAAGTGCTGCCACACAACCCATGCACTATAGCCGGTATGATCAGTTTTTTCGCTGACAGCTCTTTGTGGAGCGATGCCTTAGCGAAGTAAACTTGGTCTCAATCCCATGATAGCGCGAACTTGTTCGAAGATTCAGAAGTGAGCATGGGTTGGCATGAGAGACACAATGATGATGAGAGCTCTGGTGACGTTTCGCGTCGACACTTTGGCATTGACAGGAGTCGTCGCCAGTAAAATTGATTTGTTTGCCGTCTGCTTCACCATGATTGAACGAAGATTCGGATTTTTTTTCTACCTGGTCTGGCATGAACGTGATACCGAGCCCTCTCCTTAACTGAGCAGCTTTACGAAACTGCATCTGTTCAATGCTCCGCCACAATCAATGCTTGTGCATCCGTGTACCTTGAGCGACTCCGGGCACGCAGCTATACAGCGCCTCCAGCGGCCTTCTTAATTTCTGCTTCATCAAGTCTTTTCCAGCTTCCGAAACAGCCCACAAGTGTAGCAATGCCAAAAGCAGCAATCGTGATGGCGAAAACAGCTTTGAGTCCAACCATATACGCGTCGAGGACAATGGATATCTGCGAGGCCGTGAACTGTTCACGAATTTGTGTTGCGCCCGTGCCAAGTACTATAGCAGGGTCGAGATCAGGTAGCTTCTTCACGACTTCCTTGATCACTTGATTGTTGAAAGCGCATTGGACAGCGGCGATGAAGAATGATCCACCAATAACGAGGAAAACTGCAACAAGTGTCAGTCAATGATCCAAGCTAATCGTTGAGTATAAATAAGACTTACAGTTGATGATCGCACTGACTTGAGACAAATCCTCAGGTTTGGTGTGGATCTGCGCGTTCGCGATTGCAACTTGGAAAGTCCAACCAGTTGTAGATCCGGCTAAGATCTGGTAGCCGATCCACTTAGCGGATGAAGTGTTGGCGTCCATCGTGTAGAAAAGGCCAGCGGCGATTGTTCCCAGTGCACCACCACCGATCCAGAACAGAGGCACGATACCAATCTTTTGTAAAGCGAACCCTTGAACAATGGCAGCAATTGTCAACGGAATGATCAGAGCCAGCATCCTGACACCAGATCCAATCGGAGAGGCGTTGTGAATGCTCTGAAAGTACACTGGCAGGTAGTATAAAAGGATAAAGTATGCGCCACCGAAGAAGAACATGAAGACCGAGCCCACCCAGACGTGGCGTTGCAGCATCTGAAAATTCATCAGCTCACTAGTTGACAAGGCGCGAGCCAAGGAAAAACTTACCAGTCGTGGGACGACCATAGCACGTTCTTTCTGATAGAACTGCCAGCACACGAAGACTGAAGCGATAGCGACAGAACCTACCAGTAATCCGATGACCTGGCTGCTGTCCCATGGGTGTGTCTGTCCGGCGTATTGTAGGGCTAGGATGTACGAAACTATCAGACCCATTATGAGAGCTGCTCCAAGAAGGTCCAACTGCAAAATCTTTTCCTTCAATGATGCCTGCACAGGCTTGACGTTGTGTGGAACTTTGAAGAAGAAGAAGACGACGATGGCCGCTAGCCCTCCTATCGGCAGGTTGATGTAAAAGCACTATGACACTGTTAGTATCTCGTCACAAATGAGGACGATCATGTCTTACCCAACGCCATGACACTTTGTCAGTGAAAGCACCGCCGACGAGAGGACCAAGAACTGCAGCGATGCCATATGTCGCTCCAACAAAGCCTAGAAGCTGCGGACGTCTCTCAGGAGAGGCAGCGAAGCCGATCATGGTATAGACGCCGACGGCAACACCAGAGCCACCAACGCCTGCGATCGCTCGGCCAACGATCAGAGTAGTCGGATCTTTGGCCACTCCGCAAACCAGACTTCCGATCTCGAAGATCAGCATGGCAATCAGGTACCAAAGCTTTAGCGAAAAATACTTGTAGAGCTTGCCCCATGTTGATTGGAACCCTGCTATGGTTAGCAGAGAGGTCCAGCCGGTGGCGCAAAACTTGAAACTAGGCGCGACTTTATAGGGCTGTGCTCTACGCGAGTTGTCAGCAGTGTGACTATACACCGGTCAAGGCAAGACTGACCACCTCCGAAGGTCATGAAGTATGCCGAACCATACCATGATACCTTATTGAGATCGTGGAACTCGTCTGTGATTTTGGGGATGGCAGTGCCGAGAATGGTCTGGCGAAAACTCGTTAGCTTTCCGTGTTGTTGTAAAGCAGCAGTCAGACGAACATTGTCGAGCGCGACCAAGAACATTCCGAGCATGAGTGACACAACGAGAGCAGTCAGCCGGCTACCATGTAGGTAGTCATCCGCGGTCGATGCATCATCTACAGCTTTAACGACGTCAACAGCATCTTCTTTCGTTTCGGATATTTCTGCCATGGTTTGTGAATCGTGAGAAGACGTTATCATTTAGCTGCGTCTGTCAAGAGGTCTTGACTTGTGTTTGTTGATGGTGAGCTGCAATAGGCAAGTGTCACCGAACAGGAACACGCAGCACTTATACTGGCAGGTGCAACTGTGGACGAGTTGGACACCGGCCGGGGCAATTGAGTCCACGTCTTGGTTGCTCGTCTCAAGATACTCAACATTACAAAGCATCGGCTCGTTAGAGATGCCGCACATAGTTTTGGTGCTTGGTCCGTCCGAGATAGCATTCCTTCGCCCGAGCCTCCCTCAAGCAACTCTTTGTAAGTTCGAAAAAGATACTTTGGCGGCATCTCAAGGCTCTGATTGGTCCAGCACTCTGGTAGACGATGCACACTCTTGTCATCTGCTTACAGTAACCCGCCCGGTTTTGCTTGTTGTATGTCAACGGGTAGTAGAATTGGTTAGAGCTCTGTCAGGAGATGATCATGCCAAGCATGTCGGCTGAAGGTGATCATTAATAAGCACAATCTAGGCAGCATCGGTCTCGTCCAGCGTGGTTTCCCCTTGATTGTGTGTCCAGTGGAATTAAATCGGGCTAAAGTCGACCCTTCTCCGACTCGGTGAGCTGCAGGTAAGCAAAACGGTTGTCATGAAGGGTCCAGCCCGACAGGAACTCATGACAGTGACATCTGATGGCCTTGATGAGGCAAGGTCAGGAAGGGACTCTAGAACAGGAAATTGAATGTGAGATGTGTTGTCGCGTCACACACGGATGTGTAGAGAACTGCGTTGGCAGAAACGAAGGAGAGACACTCCGGAGGGATCAGCAACGCGCCTTTGACTAAGCATTGCTGTTGACCGCGGCCTCGAGTATTCTAATCACTTCGCTCCGCCGACAGTCATTATAATGCTGACAAGGTCGCGCGGTAGTATGCAAGACCTATGAGCTGCGTTCGCGACGCGATGCACGACGCGCCCGCCACACGTTCAATACCACGTCGCCTTGCGTTGGTTACAGTCTCCAAGCTCGTTTAAGCTCGGCTACGACCACGGACACTGCACTCCGTTCATCTCGACCATACGAATATACACGTTAACATTTACAACGTTAGAAGGACTGGAAGAATGCGCAGAAGAGGCCGCCTGGTCCGAAAAACTCACACGACAACGATGGCCAAGACCTTGTTGGATCTGCCAATCTCGGAAAGTGCCAATGCGACCGAGCAACAACATGCACGAATTGCCAACGCCGAGGGGAGGAACACCTCTGCGCTCCGGAAGTTGATAGCGTAAGGGAACCTCCTGCTGCGCGGAAACGGGAAAGACAGGAACCCAAGGACTTTGGTGATCGAAGAGTATACGCCTATTGTTGATCCGCCAAGTCAACCACCTGCATCTATATCACGGACTGAGGTAGAACGACCACAAAAGGATCTCGAACGTCTTGAACAAATCTGTGTGAGACGCAGCTTTATTCTGTCTCGATGAAGCAGAGTATATGCGAAAACCCACCATACGCACAGTACAAACCATCGCGATCCTTAGCATCTGCTTCGAAAATCTTGGTGATCACGATCTTCGGCAGACAATGTGGGCCTGTGCCATTACGAGCAGCAGTAATTCACCACAACTTCTACAACTCTTTGCACAAAGACCTCATGACAAAAAGCAAAGTCATTCGTCAAGCAGATGATCGATTTGTTCAGCTTATTTCAGGCCTGCAAGAACATCTCAAACCATCAGTCGGGAACACCACTATCACATCACTGGAAATGGAACACCCTTAGGTACGTTGGCAGCGTGTCAAAGTAGCACCGGCGTACTTTCCTCAACGTGTCCTCATGTATTCCGTAATTGAATAGAATTGGCGAGAGCAACTCATCGAATTCAGCTGCGAGTATAGCAGCAAAAACGATACGACAATCACTCATTTCAGTACTAGAAGAACAATAGAAGACATATGAACTGGTCTCGTTTCAGCGACCTCCAAAAGCTACACTGACGGAACTTCTTTGTCCTCGCTTCTCATCTCTCTCGATCCCTGTTCTGCTTCTACCGTGAATGGGCAGACTGGCGGCACTATGTCTAGTACCTCTCGACGGCTTGGTGGTGGAATCACGCCCAGACTCTGACTGTCTGCTTGATCGTCTCGAGCCTTCACCGCGTAGTGATCTATGTCTATGCCTCTTACTTTGGTCAGTTTCCCGGGACTCACGGTCATGACTATGCTCCCGATGACGAGAAGGACTTCGCTCGTGACGAGTATGGCGGGATGCAACGCAAGAGATACTGTCCTCTGGAGCCACTGTCTCGAGATCATCGATGCGAGGTATAGGATCCTTGCAGAGAAGACTGCCCACCAGACTAGTCTTGCGCGACTCTGGCAATGGTATATCAGCCGCCGATCGCTCTTCTGATGTATGTCCTGAGACTCGACGACCCAGGATGCCGCTGATGATGCTACCTGTTCGAGAGTCGGGCAGAGGAATTTGATGGGCCGATGTTGTCGAGGCAGCTCTAGATGAAGGAAGAGATCTCTCCATGGCTGAGACCAGTGAAGGCCTTCTAGATGCCCGGGGCGGCATATCCGCACCTAAGGCAATGAAAGTGCTTCGGGATTCCAGCAAAGCGTACTCTGCGGCAGAAACCACAGATGTCTTCCTCGAGACTGGCAGAGGCAGATCTGCTGCAGAGTGACGGTGCGATCTATTGACTTGGCTTGCTTTGATGGTGCTCGCATCAGACCCATCGTAAGGTGATCGATCCCTGTGGGCGCTGGATCCATGTCTAGAAGACCTCTTAGACACAGCTGAATGATGACTCGATGGATTGCGGTGTCTGTTCAACCGATCTGGTGAGCCTGTCCTGTGTTCACTCCGTCGGCTCACGACTGAATAGTCTTGATGCTTGTTAGATCGGTGAGAGTGTCTACTGGCTCGATCGGGAGACATATCCTGGCGCTCACCGTGGTGAGTTCTAGGGGATTCTCTTTGAGACGACTGACCATGTCTGCTCTTATTCGAGTGTGTTGAGTGCATGCTCATTGCGCTATCCCGACGTACGACTACAAGATCCTGCGACGGGTTCTCCTGAGCTTGTGCCGGAGAATATCCAATCTGGCGATTTGTATGGCATATGGAAGCAGGAGATGTGACTGCGCGACGAGAAAAGATAGTAGGCCGTTGAACAACCAAAGATGCTGGTACGTATTCAATCTGTCTTCCTGGCGATATCACCGATGGGACACCATGGCGTATTTTGGGAGGAGTCTGGATCAGAGCTTGGGAAGCTGGAACGTAGACTGCCTCGGACTTCTTCTCGTCTCTCAAAGTGGGTGATAAAGAGAGGTAGGAATCTTTGTGATGAGTCCTTGAGTCTATCGATCGTGGCTTCATAGCAGCGTCTATGGCTCGCAATGAGCGAGGCTTTTGTGGTCGGAGAGGAATTTCGGCGTCATTGTCGCCGAACTCTTCCATGACTCTAGAAGCAACGATCGACTCCGTGGTGCTATAGTTGCGGTGTACCTTGGTTCTTGGTCGAGCCTGTACATCCTCAGTCGCATCATTGGGCAGTCTGTCTACTGGTGCATTCTTGTTCATTGTCGATGAGCTTGATACGGTCTTCGCCTTGTTTGTCTGAGAAGCTTGACCAGGGTAGACAATACAGGGTAGCTTACTCGCTACTCTTCTTGATGAAGACTTCCGAGCCATCTTATCAGCGAACTCTGCTTCTTGTTGCGCACTGTCCTGCTCGCTCTTGACCATGGCATAAGCAACTGCTGCACCGGCTGCCGCTCCGAGTATGGTGCCGATGATCGCTTTACCAGTGATGTGGATACCAGAGTTGGAGCTCGAGCTTGATGATGCCGCTGGAACTGCAGGCATCGAGGTACTTTTGGCGATGCTCGGTGAGAACTTATCCTCGGTCTCATATTGGCTTCTTGCGGAGACGAAGGTCGTTCTGTCTTCGTCTTCCAAATCATTTACAATCCGTTCCCTCCAATCCAGAACACGGCTACCTCCAGTGATCGTAGTGTATGCATCTTCGTCGTCGAATTGATGATAGATGACCTCGATACTATTGCCATCGAGATCCAAAACAGCAGCATTGAAGATACAGTCATTACAGCCTCTGAAAGCAGGAGCACCATTCGGTCGACCGCCAGCGGTGAGAGCAGCTGCGTAAAAATCCCTCACCGCCGCTTTGCTGGTCGCGGAAAATGCCACATGTGAATTGCTACGGTTGACACTGTGGTGATTCTATTTTAGCTGAATTACTTGATTGTACTTGCCAAGTTCAGAATCTTACCCTGGTGCCTCAGGACTTAGGAAAAAATCAGCGTCGTCGGTGCCGAAACCGATGGAGTCGCCTTGGTTGCCGATGTATTTGTATCCTAGAGGTTGGAGTGCTGAGAGGAAAAAGGAGCACGCAGAGGGGATGTGAGAAACAGTCAACCCTACGTGTGATACTGGCATGACAGGCTTGTGCAATTAAAGAAAGGAACAGAGTCAACGGCAGGGAAACAATGGTAGGAGATACACCACCTATACTATATCAATCACCAAAGCACTTACATGACTAGCCAGCCGAACAACCATATCGACTCGATCATGGACACGTTAAATCCGCGTCCAGACTACTGCACGCTCCATATATTTCGCGGCTGACGGGGAAAAGTGTTCCTGCGGCCGGAAGATGCGCTTCGGTAGGTGTGGACAACAAATAAGTGTATAAAGTAGGCTAGGCGGGACGCACCGGGAGAAGATCCTCAGCGCCAATGGAGACCCTAGTCACCGATCGCCTATATAATAGACCGTCCGTGCGGCGGCAGATCAGGAGCGGTATGCGTATGGCGAAAGTGCCACGTAGAAAGTGTGCGCTTCATGCAAGCTAAATACGACGACAGGTCATGGATGGGAAAAATGCCCTACTTAGTGCACTTTTACCGACCAGCGGACATCATCCTGCGATACCCGTCCAACGAGAGACGGTCAAGTGTTGGGAGGCGTAGATACATAGTCGAGCGTAGGTTTCACTGGCAGATGTAACTTTCCGGAACGTAAATGATTCAGAATGAGGTGATGGTCGAATGATATTTTATTTGTTCGGGACCCTGATCCGAACGGAACGCGTGCAGGTTTGTAAGAAGCCAACCAAATTCCATGCAACTATCCTGAGGGAAGACCTTGCGCTGAAGTGCTCTTATTCTCACCGGGCTTTAGAGAGACTGATAGCGGGCGATGAGGCTCGAGTGGAACGATGGATCTGGTATATAACGATGCGAGCGGTAACCGCTCTAGTTACGGCGCAGCCCGTATACGAAGGACTGTATTTCCTGATGCCTAAACAACGAGTGGGCGGTCCCCTCCGGATGTCCTTTTGTGGGTAGATTCTGTAGTATCGCAAAGATGCTCAAAGATTGTGAATCTAGATGACGTCCCAGACTTCCTCGGCAGCGTGACAGAATCTGCTGCAAGCGACACTGGCACTCAAACTGAAGTTGCTGATGGAGATTGAATCGTCCTTGAACTCGTCTGCGAAAGTATCGTTACCCTTGGCCATGGCACCGACAAAGACGCAAATGCTCTCCTTGGGAGCCAGGTCGGCAATGTAGTCGCTCACGCGAACAACGGAGGCGTCGAAACTGAGGGTGACCTTGCGGCAGTTGGGAGGGAGGTGGTCGGTGATGGGGTTCTTAATAACCTTCAACAGCTTCTCTTGCGACGTCGTTGAACGGATGGAGAGTCTGTGGAGGAGTTGAACCATCAAACCAGCGAAGCGCTTGAAGGTACGAGGAATGCGGACGGTGGGGCTGACTTCGATCAAGACACCCTTTGCTGTATGGATATAGATTTGGAGCTTGCCGGCCTTGTTGAGAGGCGAGTCGAGAAGAGTGAGGAGACACTGCGCATTGATTAGGAGGGACAGGAGGGGAGCGAATAAAGAAGCAACCAACCTGGTGGGTAATGTCGGGACGAGCATCCGAAATGTCGCGGTTCATCTTGCGCATGACACCAATGTGCTCGTCGCTGTTGAGCAACGAGTACTTGTCGTCCTTGGCACCACCACGGCCACCTGAGGAAGCCTTGTATGTCTCGAGACTGGCATTGGACAGCACGACGATCAGGCGCTGTGAGTCCTTGTCGCTCGAGGGAATGGGAACATGTTGTTCGGCCACAAGCTGAGGCAGTGACGGAGGGGGGAGACTTTGAGTGCCTTGAGGTTCAGATTTAATGTCAGCCATGACGAGGTTCTTGTTGGAAGAACTTCTTGAAGAAACGCTGTGTGACGGTTGAGCAGCAACAGGTGTGCGGATTAAAAGGAAATGGTGAGAGGTGATGAGGCTGGTGGTGGTATGGTAGAGTCGCGCGTGGACACTTTGTGCATGTGGAAAGCGGATGTTGCTGCGATGGGAGAAAATTGCTGTGACTGACGCTGTCTCTTTGTTTCACGGCCCTCGAATGAAGAGCGTCTGCGCACTGCCGAACTGCTCTCTTCGGTGCCCTCGGCCTGCTCTTGCCCGGGGATCTGCTTTTCTTCGATGTCGCTCATTTTGTCTTGTCTAGGAAATGCTTTACGGCTTCTCTGAATCCTGGTCGTTTGTTTCTAAAAAGCTTCAATGTCTTTGGCAAAACTGGCTCCAGGATGACCTGGAAAATATTTTCTCGACTATCGCAAGTAGCTCTGATCACGTGGGCACAGCGAAGGGCTCGAACCGCTTCCTTGCGTTGGCATCCGCCGACTTTATCCAACTGCATTTAGTACGAGAATCTGTTCCACCAACCAGCGCCCTAACGTGCTATGCCGTCGCTATGATTCAACCGGCCTTATTACTACTCTAGGGCGCATCGCCGAGTATCACCTTGCTCACGTCAGCCATCTGATCACTCAGTGGACCGGTGAATATAGAGGAGGCCAAGAATTGGCGTATGTTGCACAAAATGCGCCCGTCCCTGAATTTGCACAAAGAACGGGCATAAGTTTTCTTGACTGTCTATGATGGCGTGAATGATATGTCACGACTCACAAGAGCACCGGTGCCACCCCAGGTGTAGTAGCGCCGGCTAAGAGTCATCAGATGAAGATCTTATTGTCCGCTTTCTTCCTCTAAAGGAATCAGACGAACTGGATTTCCAAGCAGCCGTCGACCATCTCGTTCACGAAGCGTTTTTGAAATTAGATCCGGCCCAAAGACAATTTTTTCTTTGGCTTTGCTACCTTTTCCTTTTGCCTGCGGCACAACGCAAGTAGAAAAAAGTCAATTGCCTTGACGAAACTCTCGTCTATAAATCAACATGGACGACAACGCCCAAACAAGAGAACGCAAAACTATCTCCGCTGGCACATCAACCCAGAAACTTGAAATCGATCCTGCGCGAGAAAAGCAACTAGTCCGCAAACTCGATCTTTCAATCATCCCACCAGTCACATTACTATACCTTTTCAGTTTTCTGGATCGCGTCAACATAGGCAATGCTCGTCTCTATGGACTGGAAGAAGATTTGAACCTCTCGTCTGACCAATACCAAACAGCAGTGTCTTTACTGTTTGTGACGTATTTGCTTTTCGAGGTACCATCAAACATTATTCTGAACCATTATTGCCGACCGTCAAGATGGATCGCGTTCATCTCTGTATGTTGGGGGATTATTGCGACTTTGACTGGTATTGTGCAATCTTTTGGCGGTCTGGTCGCTTGTCGTTTGCTTCTTGGTCTGTTTGAATCAGGCCTCTTTCCTGGACTGGCGGTTTACCTCTCATTCTTCTACACGAAACGAGAGATCGGATTACGAATTGGCTATCTCTTTGTTAGTGCAGCGCTTGCTGGCGCGTTCGGAGGTCTATTGGCCTATGGTATCGGGCACATGGACGGCGTCTCTGGACAATCAGGCTGGCGCTGGATCCTCATCATAGAGGGCATCCCAACGTTCGTCCTGGGCATCGCGTGTTGGTGGTGGCTCGCTGATGGCCCAGAGACCGCCTGGTTCCTCACCGAAGAAGAAAAAAAACTCATGGAAATCCGTCGTCTGCAACAAATCGGTGTGACCGATGAATTTGCCTGGCAAGATGTCCGTGCAGGCCTCAAGGACTGGAAGATGTGGGCATTCTGCTGCGCTCTGTTCGGTGCAGATACCATGCTCTACGGCTACTCTACCTTCCTGCCCACTATCATCAAAAACATCGACCCCACTTACTCGAGCGCTCTAGTCCAAGTCCTCACAATCCCATGCTATGCCATTGGCGCCATAAGCTATCTCATCATGGCACGCATATCAGACTGGTCCCAGAAGCGCGGCGTCTACACTGTCATCTTCGGTCTCATCTCCATAATCGGCTACGCGCTATTAATCTCCGACGGCGGTTCTGGCGTCCACTACGCCGGCTGTTTCCTAGTAGCTTTAGGCTTATACGTCGCCGTCGGCCTCCCCATCGCTTGGTTGTTGTCCAATAATCCACGCTTTGGAAAGCGCACTACAGCGACCGGTTTGCAACTCATGTTTGGCAATTGCGCGGGCATCATGTCTAGTTTCTTGTATCCTAAGGAAGAAGGACCGAGGTTTGTGAGGGGGCATGCTGTTTCTTTGGGAATGGTGTCTTTTGCGATGGTGGTTTATGCATTCATGTGGTGGTACTTTGGGTATGAGAATAAGAAGAGGATCAATGGGGAGAGGAACTCGAGGATTGAGGACCTGAGCGAGGAAGAGATTGCTGATTTGGGTGATGAGAATCCAAAGTTCTTGTACTCGATCTGAGTGGTGTTTGCGGTGGGATTATAGAATGTACGGATTGATAGATGGTTGATATAGATCACAACATAGACTTTTGCTTATGCTTGAAGGCGCTTTGATCACTGTCACCCAGGGAAACTTGGACATGAGCATGATTGGAGGACAATATCATAAGTGTGCTAGACTTGAATGGCGTTCGTGCTGTTCTAGGCTTCGAGGCGACAGTAAGCCCGCAACGAGCTGCTTGAAAATCAGAATTCACCACACAGTTCCAGTCATATCATACATGTAAGAGATAGTAAAAGAATCCATGATCAAACTACTTGACTATGATGCCTCCATATCAAAGCTTCGAAGAACTGTATAGTTCAACTACTGTTTCGTTATCGTCGTGACGGACAGAGAGCGTATTTACGAGCTCATGGTAGAGTGCTGGCTTCTGGCCTTGCTAATCTCATCCTCCTTCATCTGTCTCAAGTTTCCAGTGTTTGCAACACCACCAGTAACATTAGCAGCAACCACCTCCTTGAGATAGCCAATCGCACCAACAGTAGTCTTGTAGTACGAAATATCTATATCTCTGTCAGTCTCCTGCCGTCAAATCTCACATGCAAAAAGGAGGAAAAGGGAGAAGGCAAACGTACACTTAGACTTGACCTCGATCAAACTCATCCTTGGATCCTCTGCAGTACCATTATGTACACCATCACCAAGATCTCCAAACCAAGCAGCAGCACCTCTACTCCAAACCTCCTTGATTCTAGGATCACTGTTTGAAGCAGTGGTAGCGGTTCCAGTCACGGAAATCCAATCCTGACTCTTTGTGTCTTGAAAGGAGATGTTGACTTCCTTGTTTGCTTCAATGTCTTTGAATTTTTGGGAGTGCGCGTTTGCGAGGAAGAGGAAGTCGGGGCCTGTACGCTTTGCTAGGGCCATTGAGCGAGTTACGGGCTGTGAAGGAATGGGGGATTTAGTAAGAGGTAAGGAGTGGAGGAAGAGGAGGAGAGGAGGAGATGACTTACTCCGACTCCGGGACGGTATGTGCCTAGAAGACCAATCTTGAGGCCATCTACAATCTTGTAAAACTCCTCGAACTTGGTGGAGAAGTCAGGTTCATCCCACTGTCTCATGACACTAGGGTCATTCTTCTCGGTGATATCCTGTTGCTTGACGTCGGAAGGCATGTTTTGATGTAGAAAGCGTGTTGAACGAAAAGTTGTCAAAAGGCGTAGTTATTATCGAAGCTCCAAAATTTACAGCAGAGCAACCATTGTTTTATATGCGTAGCTATTGAACCCAAAACATGAAGGATCAATGACACCCAGTGACGTGCGACACAAAAGCGGCACTGCCGAGAGCTCTGGAAGTGGTGATGTAACCATGCCTAGAACACCGCGTTTGTGCAAGGTTCCCGAGACAAGAATCATACTCCGAAGTGCGAGATCAAAGTCCGAACTATGATGCTTGCTTGGTATAATGGTTAGGGTAATGCATGCGTAAGAGTGGATGGTGGCTCCATCCTAACTTGAATGTTTGGCGGCTCTGCTTGGAGGCTGTCGCGATTGCCGATCTTTTGGCCATCAATGTCAGAAAGCTTAAATGGCCCCAGATGATGATTTCACAAGCGTACTGTCTCCTCAAGAGTATGGCTATCAAATAAACAATTGTAGTAGCGTACATGCCTCTCGACCTTGTAATATAGTGCATGGAGAACACGGCTAAGTCTCCTTCAGTGAGCTGTCCGGTGTGCGACTGTGTTGTAAGTGAGTGGTTTGAGCATGCGAAGCTGTAGCTAGCTATACCATCTGGACTACAAAACGACAACAAAGGAATAGCCAGCCAAAAGGGCTGAAATTAGAAAAAAAAAGCCAATGATAAACCGTCGATAGCCCCAAACTCCAAAGATCCATGCAGTAATATAGAGTGCTCCACAAGTCACTCTTGTCGTCTAGAATGGGAAACCTCCGCCAGGGAACTGGAAACCGCCTTGCTGCTGGAACTTGAAGCCACCACCACCTCCTCCTCTTTGGTGGAAGAACTGCTGTTGGCCGCCGCCAGGGAAGCCGAATGGTTGGCCTTGGAATGGACTACCTTGTTGGGACTGGTCGTTTGGATCATCGCCTCGGTCGAATCTGGCCTTGAGCTCAGGATCGGAAAGAACTTCGTATGCTTCGTTGATTTCAGCCATCTTTTTCTGCGCTTCATCAGGGCTGATGCCCTTCTGAGCAGCCTTGTCGGGATGATGCTGCACAGTGAGCTTGCGGTATGCTTTCTTGATGTCGCGTTCATCGGTATCTCTGGTGACACCAAGTACTTTGTAGTAGTCTTTTTGCTTGGATCTCTTGAGTAATGTGTGAGCTTTTTGTAGCAACTCTTGGATCTTTTGTGAGTTTTGGTGATGCTCCTTGGCTTGATTGAGCGTCTGTATAGCGGGTTCGAACTCGTCGGCATCGATTTGGCGCGTGGCCTTGCCGATGAGGGCTGGCAGGCAGTTGGGATTGTGTGTTAGTGCCTCCTCGCAGTATGGCTGGGCTTTCTTGAGATTGTTCATCTCAGTGTAGGCCTCGCAAGTCAACTCGACCAAGTCGTTGTATAGGCGATCTGGGGCATTCTTGTGGATGAGGCCCTCGTCGCGATATTGCTGAGTGGCGTCCTTGACGGTTTTTAAAAGACCGTCATCATCCTTTGTGGGTACCAAGATATTGACAGCGTTGACATATCTGCTCTTTTCCATGGCCTCTCGCATCTTCTTCAACTGCTTGTCGATGGCCTTTTCTGCTTTGAGCAGCTTTCTACACGGCTTTGAATCAGGATCCGAATGGAGGCACTTTTTGACTTGGCCCATGCCGTTGGTGGGCTCGTTGAGGGCGTAAAATGACGTGGCAGAGATTTGCAGATGTTCGTTGAAACCAGAAGAGACTTGAGCAATGTGCATCAGATCGCTGAGAGCCTCGACAATGTCGCCCTTCTCAAAGCGACAGTTCGCGCGGGTATGTCTTAGATCCATGGCACCTCCGGCAACCAAGATGGCAATATCGGCGTGAGCGGTACAGTCGGCCCAGTGACGCTCCTTTTCAGCCTTTTGTGCCAGTGCTACAGCATTCTGAGCCTCGAGCAGTTCGCGGATCTCTTCGCCGTCCTGCTTTCCAGCAGTCTCGTAGTCGGACTTTGCACCATCCCAATCACCGTTCCTACTCTTGATCTTTGCTCTTTGCACCAGTGCACCTTCGAATGTAGGCTTGATGGCGAGAACGCGGTCGAAGTCGTGGCTGGCCTGGGAGTTCTTTCCGAGTTTGAGGTAGGCGGCACCACGTCGGAAGATGGTGAGGTAGTTTTGCGGATCGCGAGTGATGGCGACGTCGAAGTAGGTCAAGGCATCCTGGCCATTGCCTTGAGCGAGGGCAGCAGTGGCCGATGAGATCAGCTGCGAGACCGGGATGTCGGCGGGAATGTCGCTGGCACTCAGGGCCTGACTGAGTGGAAGACTCGACAGAGCAATGGCGGCACCCAAGGCCAGAGTCTGTAGCGGTAGAATCATGGCGGCGGCAACAAAGACAACGAGGAGCGATATCCACAAAACATCAACAGTTGTCTACAAGTCGAGCATGTGAAAGTGCCACTTGTATACTTGCTAGCGAACAGATGCCACGTTTCATAAGCCAGCCGAGCCAGGCAATCACCGCCGAACCACTCACCTCCGACTCTGTAACAAGCTTCCAACACATGACAAGGACGAACCTGCTTTTGCCGCTCGGTTCAATCTCACCAACGTGATCATATGGACTTTGCCTAATTCCCTCGTCACAAAAGTCGACTTTCTGCGCAGCCATTGTTGTCTTTGTACGTTCTCTAATAAACGTTCTATACATCGTCCACGGCACTCCAGACTCCCTCCAGACTCCCGCATCGTCGTAATTCGTATGCCGCGGACGAGCCGCAGGCGATAAGACACGAACGTCATAGAGTTCAGCCGCGTACGTCTGGCCCTCGTGGCTGGGAAACTCATCCGTTGCACACGATCAACCAACACTTTGTTCGAACTTTCTCCCTGATATTCTTGCGATTCTGTGACCTTTGCAACCCGAAGCCTGTCAGCTCTCCGTGCTCACTACTCGATATTACAGTGAGACTCCAACACGTCACTGGTCGACTTCGAGCATCCCCGCTCAACATGCCGCTCCGCCTTCGAGTCGACGGGAAAGTCTTTCGCGATGGCCACAATCGTGAGGTCACTCTACACGGAATCAATGTAGCTGGCGACGCGAAATACCCACGGAGCCCAGATCAATGTGGTCACATCAAGGAAAAGTTCTTCGATGGTGATGATGTATCCTTCGTAGGACGACCATTCAACCTCGACGAGGCTCACACGCACTTTGACCGCTTGAAGAGATGGGGATACAACACAATTCGCTACATCTCTACTTGGGAGGCTATCGAGCATGCTGGCCCCGGCAAATACGACGAGGAATGGATTCAGCACACCATCGAAGTTCTGCGTCTAGCTAAGAAATATGGCTTCTATGTCTTCATGGACCCGCATCAAGACGTCTGGTCAAGATTTACTGGTGGCTCAGGTGCCCCCATGTGGACCATCTATGCGTGCGGTCTGAACCCTCAAGCCTTCCTCTCGACACAAGCCGCCCTTGTCCAAAACACTTGGCCGAATCCTGCAGACTTTCCCAAGATGATCTGGGCTACCAACTACCAGCGTCTGGCTTGTCAGACCATCCTCACTCTTTTCTTTGCTGGCAAAGAGTTTGCACCCAAAGCTGTGCTGGACGGCGTGAACATCCAAGATTATCTACAGGGACACTTCCTAGGTGCCATGAAAATACTGGCTCAGCGCATCAAAGAGGCAGGCGACCTCGAGAGTGATGTCGTGATCGGATGGGAGAGCATGAACGAACCTAACAAAGGTTACTTGGGCTGGGAGGATCTGTCCAAGTGGCCAGCAGACCAGAACCTGAAGAAGGGTCCCACTCCGACAGCGTTCCAGTCCATGCTTACCGGTCTCGGCAGGGCTGTGGAGCAAGAAACATTCGAGTTTGGCAACTTTGGTCCTTACAAATCCGGCAGCGAATTGATCGATCCCAAGGGAGAGATTGCATGGCTACCAGCCGACTACGACGACTCACGATACGGTTGGAAGAGAGATCCTGGTTGGAAGCTAGGGGAATGTCTGTGGGCACAGCACGGAGTCTGGGATCCCAAGAACGACAAGCTGTTGAAGAAGGACTACTTCCTGAAGGTGCCTGTCTCGGGCGAGAAGATCACGCATGAGTACTACACCAACAACTTCTGGTTGAACCATTACCGCGCGTACAGAGACACGATCAGGGCCATCTTTCCCGACACGATCATGTTCTGTCAGTCTTCGCCATTCGAGGTACCGCCGTCAATCAAGGGAACGAAAGACGATGACCCTCAGATGGTCTTCGCTCCTCATTTCTATGATGGTATCACTCTCATCACGAAGAAATGGTATGTCCTTCCTCGTGATCAGTATAATCAATGACTAACGTGTTATAGGAATCGTTTCTGGAACGTCGACGTGGTTGGCATCATGCGCGGCAAGTACTTGAGCCCTGCATTTGCTGTCAAACTTGGAGAGAGTGCGATCAGAAATTGTTTCCGTGATCAGCTCAAGTATCTGCGTGAGGAAGGTGAGGAGAAGATGGGTGTTCATCCTACAGTTTTCACCGAGATTGGCATTCCGTACGACATGGATGACAAATATGCATACAAGACGGGCAACTTCACGAGCCAAACGCTTGCAATGGACGCGAACCACTTTGCGCTTGAAGGCTCTGGAGTTGCGGGCTTCACTCTGTGGACATACGTGCCATCGAACAGCCACTACTGGGGCGACAACTGGAACGGTGAAGATCTGTCAATCTACTCTGTGGACGACAAGCAATTGCCATCATCACCCGAGGTGGACAGCTCAACATACAATCCAGAGTCACCATCATACTCAGAAGGTAGAACATCCGGAGACGCATCAATCAGCCCATCAATACTGAAGAGGACAATGTCTGTAGATCGAATGAGCGCCTCAAAAACGCCGTCAATCAATTCCGATGGTGTCGGCATGCGCGCCGCTGAGGCTTACGTCCGTCCAACTCAAACAGCGACACACGGTCGTGTCGTGTCTCATGGTTTCGACCTCAAGAATTGTGTGTTCCAGCTGACTCTGTCTGCACCGAGCCCGACATCCGAAGATGCGCCAACCGAGGTATTTTTGCCAGAGTTCCATTTCCCGCAAGGAAAGACGGAAGTCGAAGTACTTGGAGGAAAGTGGAAGATCAGCGTAGATGAGACGCAGGGCGCAACACAGCAAGTGCTGAGATGGTGGCATGCGGCAGGTGAACAGAAACTGACCGTGAGGGGTATGAAAAGACGACAGGGTACGGCGATCGGGTCAGAAGCCGGAGAAGGATATATCGATCAGTGCAAAGACACGAGTAAGGCGTGTATCGTCATGTAGTCGGGTCACTTTAGGAAGCAAAATCAATACTTGCCTGATCGGGACGAAATTGCCAATCATGTGATACGGTGTCGGGGGCGGTCGCGACCCTGTGAATTTAATCGCATCTGATATGAAAGTAGCCATCAAGGCAGTTCGATGTTCTACACAGCATTGTCGGAGGAGCACGGTAGTGAGACATGTCGTACAGTTGTGTGTGAGGTCAATACGCACATGTAACAGGTGGTTCGAGCAAGCAGGCAGACAGTCAACAATCTCCTCCACACAAACAAAACTTCCGCAATTGAGCTCCGTTCACTCTCCTTCCAACGACTCACGATACATGGCAACATGACATCTCAAGTTGATGGCGACAGACTGTCGCAGATAAGGCAAGCTCTTGAAGCGACGTACGATGCACGATCGACAAACGACACACGAAGAGCAGCCCTTGAATTCCTCGACGGCGCCAAGAAGCAAGCAGACGCGCCGCAACACGGCTACTCGTTAGCTAGCGACTCCTCGCAACAGCCTGCCATCCGTCACTTTGGTCTGTCGCTGCTTGAGTCCGCCCTGCGCTACAAGTGGGAAGACTACGACCAGAACCAGGCAGAGACGCTTCGCAGCTGGATTCTCATCCTCGCGCAGAACGTGTCCGAATCCGACCCTCAATACTTCCGCAACAAGGTAGCTTCGCTATGGGTCGAAGTTGCAAAGAGATGCTGGGGTGCAGAATGGTTGGACATGGATGCTCTTCTGATGACCTTGTGGGAGACGCAGGACGACAGCAAGCAGCTGGTGTACAGGCAGATGGTGCTATACATACTGGAATGTCTGTCTGAGGACATCTGCAACAAAGAAGATCCCGTCGCCGGTCTCCGTCAAGATGTGCTCGGCCAATCCTTGAATGAGATTGTCATCCCTACTCAGTTGTATAAAGACCATCTCGTCGCGCGTGGCAGCTCGCAGAATGTGCGCCATACTCAAGACGGATGGCTCTCTCGCATGTGCGCCTTCCTCTTCCAGTGCTCTACCTTCATCTCTCAAGCCGACCAACGAGTCGTCATGTCTGCCACAAAGACTCTCGAGGCTCTCAGACCAACTGTGACATGGCTCAACCTGAGAGCCTTGACCGAGACACAGTGTGTCGAATCCTTGTACAAGATACTTGCCGCTGGTGATGCTAAAGTTCAAACGGTAAGGCTACTAGCCATCTTCCAAACTGTGCACTCTAATTGAATCGTGCCCAGGCCACCATCGATGTCTTGCAGGCTATCCTGAGCCGTCCATACAACCCTCACTTCCACGAGTCATGGTCCGAGATCATGATGTCCGTCTTGCGACCTGACCACATTGAGCTACTGAAGAATCTTCACCTAAGCTGCAACTCCTCAGCAGACGATATCGACGAGGCTAAGTACACTCTGCAGAAGAAGCTGTCCGAGGTTTGTTACAAGAAGGTATTCCTGATTCTGACCGTACTAACTCTGGCAGGTCTTGTCTATCTTGGGAGATGCCGCTGCTTCGAATCCGGAAATCTTAGCCACTCCGGACAATTGCACAGCCTTGATCGATGTGATGATGATTGCCTTCCAGCATGACAGTCTTCTTGTTTCCATCCCCGTTTTGCACAGCTTTACAAAGCTCCTGGTTGCTAAAAGCCCAACTATCTCGACTGTCATGCGTCAAAAAGTCGCGTTTCTTCTGGGCGCCTGCAGTCAACGTCTCATCAAATATGAATCGCTCACGGATGAAGAGTTGCCAGTGATCCTGTACCTCAATGAGGACTTTGAAAATCCTCCCGAGTTGCATTCGTTCCTTGGCAATTACAGAAGATACTGCATCACGGTCATCGAGAATATCGCTTACTACATGCCGCAAGAAGCCGTCGGTCACATCTTGGATCAGACAGTGCGCATGATTGATACAATTTGTCAAGAATTCCGACCACCGTTTCCCACATTGGGCCCTGCAAAGACGCCTATTCCCGTACTGCAGCTGGAGTCTCAGGCATCTGTTTTGAGAAGTACGATGAATGGTTTCATCACATGGTACGGCAAAGCTTCACAACCAGAGTCCAAGTCTGACGAGCACACGACGAACAATGTTTATGGAGTCAATCTCACGAGTCTGCGCGACTTCTGCTACAAGCTGATGACAATGAAGCCGCAACATCCTGAAATTGCTCGCCTTACAACTCACATCGCGGTTAATGTCCTCGTGAAAACGTTGCAAGGCCAGCCTGAATTGGTTGTCAAGGTTCTAGACTACTGTTTGAGTCTACAATACCCAGATGATGGCTCTAACAAAGAATACTCGGCTGCTGTCAAGGGCTTCCATGGAGCACGCTTGGGCGAGATGCAACGAATCGCCATGTCATTCCCGGACTATCTTCTCGATGTCTACTCGGATCTGGAAGCACGCGTCAATAGTCTGATGTCTGCCGAGGGCGCTGATGAGCGTACAAAATGGGGTCTCCAGTCTTTTTTGTTCATCGTTGTACACCGAGCATCTGCAGTCGACGCACAAGCACGAGTTGCCCGTCTTCAGCAGATAATCCACCCGGTGATCGAGACGTGGCAGGATCCACAGTTGACCGAGGCGCTTTCGACATTTTCTGGCTTCTGCAATGTTGTGGGTCTTGCAGGCTTGCCAGAGTATCTGTCAAATCAGAGATACGCTTCCATTCAAGACTGGCCGAGTCAGTCGTTGGATCAGGAGGGCAAGGCTCGTCAGAAAGACGTACAGATGAAAGTCATGAGACTGCCCCTGAACGCCACCAAGAACCTACTCGCAGCAACCACCGAAAAACTCAAGGAGTCGTCTCGTGAATACCAGATCGCTACCCAGGTCTGGGGCCCGGCCATGCAGGCCATGCTGTCCAATGTTTTGCAAATGACCAGACACGCCACGTCGTTCCCTAACAGTAGCAACTGGGCAAACTTCCCTCCCGAGCTTCAAATGGTTATGCAAAAAATGCTAGTGGACAGGTTCTGGCAAGCGGGCATCTCGAATGAGAGTAGAGATGAGTTTTACGCTCGTATTGCAGAGAGCGGAGATACTTACGAGGGCTTTGCTTCTGCTATCCGCGGTATACCCAGACAGATCCGGGATTGGTGCTATCACATCATTTATGGCATGACGAGGTTCGAGGAAGAATTTTTCGGACTTCAGGAGTTGCCTGGTCCACTGGCTGAAGCGCTGCTCACGGATGCTTCGTCCTTGTCGACACATCATCTGCAGCGATTGATTGCATTGGTCGAGAGACTTGTGCAGAGATGTCCGGCTCATCACAGAAAACACTTTATGCCTCCGATACTATCACTGTTCTTCTCTCAAACAGATAAGAAGATTAGTGCCGAGTGGGAAATTATTGAACGATCGAGCACTCAAACCGTAGAGGGTGAACATCAGTTGAGCGATGAGATGAAGGCGGAAAGTGTGCTAAGAGCTACCACCTACGCCGTCGTCTCTTTTGCCTCTACCCTCCTCGATCAACGCGCAACAGGTAAACCACCTCTCTCCATTTTCTCTCGCCAAAAGAAAGAAAGAAAGAAAGAAAAAAGTGCTAACGATGAAAGCAGACGTCACATCAACATCCCAACCCCAAACCTCCCACCACACAATGCGCACCCTCATCCTCTCCTTCCCAAGCATCCTAGAACCCCTAATCCTCTTCTGCACCCACACCCTCCGCATGCGCGATTCCCGCTGCTGCACCCTAACAACCAGGATCCTACGCTCCATCCTCCCATCCTTTACCTCTTCCGATCCCACCACTTCCCCAGCGGCGGCACAAGTCCGAGAATTCATCAGCACAGAAGTACTAAAAGCCTGCATCACATCTCTAAACGAGCCTTATTTCGTAGACGTCCAACGGGATCTCGCGAATCTGATTGCTGATATTTTGGCCTTGTATTCGGGACTCAGTACTACGGCTAGAGATGTTTTGTGCAGTTTGCCGGATATGGAGGGGGGAAGGGTGGATCAGGTGATTGAGAGGATTGTGGCGTGTAACAGTGAGAGGACGCAGAGGATTTTGGTCTTGGAGTTGTTGGAGGGGGTGAGGGGGGTTAGTATTCATGAGCAGGGCAAGATTGATAGGAGGGATGTTAAGACTAAGAGGAGTGCGATGCAGCAGCAGTATATGGAGGTTGAGCAGAAGACTGATGGGAAAAGGGAGCAGAGTCCCAAGCTGGAGGGCATGGCTGAGATGTTTGGCGGAGAGTAGGCACGAAAGGGAGAAGGGGTTATGAGAAAAGAGCTGTTGATCGATCAAAGCGACAACAAAGACAGACTATTTTGAGCCTCTCCCCGGTAGCGATTTCCCCAGCTGATCGAGGCAGTGACTGACTCCTGATCACCCATCTAGTCTTACATTACGTTGTTGCGTGCTACGCAGAGATCTGTGCCTTCATTCGTCGTCATCATCTTCATGCTCCTCAAACGTTCCATCAAGAATTTCACCAAGACGGTCTTGCATGTCTTCCCCAGCTCTCACACTGTACCACTTCAACTCATCCCCATCACAGATTGTCTTGGCTCCATGCTCACACGTTTCTTCAAGTAACAACTGCTCCAGATGAGGAAAGTTGTCCCTGAGACGAGCTACCAAAGAGATGCAGGTACCGGTAAGCAGGCAGCCGTACCAGAGCGCCAAATCTTCAAGAGTGCTTCCGTATCTTCCAATAAAGGCGAATAGCTCTAGCTCCGTGATCTGGAAGTAGGCGAGGTGGATGTCCTTCAGCCAAGGCGACCGGACTTGATCGAGCATTTCCGAAAAGTAGCGTCTATGGGCGTCGTTGAAATCGCCCATCTGTAGGAGTGATAAGCTTACCAAGTGTTCCGCTGCCGAGACGATGCGCTTGACCGATCTTGAAGTGGTCTCTACATCATCGTCCATGAAAGTGACCTCGAGCCTAGTCAACTGTGAGCACAAGGAGTTCAGCGGTCGCTCGATGCCGTCGGTGCAGAAGCCAAATTCGTTTCTGGAGTCTGCCCGGCCGTTCTCAATAAATTCAAGGCCCTCGATCTTGCAACCTTGGTCAGAGGCTGCTCTAACGACTTTCGCAATCGTAGACTTCCAATCGAGATGCCATACAGCGGTTTGACCACGCTGATAGTTGCCTAGTAGATGTCTTGCGCCAACTGGGTTTCCCTCGGTGTCGCAGAACCCAAGGTGGAAGCGTTGTCCACGATGTGCAAGCGCCTTGAAGGCGATGTTGAGCAGACCCTCGGCGCTTGCATCAGCTTTCACCTCACGCTCCTCGCGCGATCTGTTCAAGAAACCTCTGATAATCTCCAGAGAAGCTGTGTCATGGACTAGCTGAGGTGGGTCGACGCCTTCAGGGACCACAGGTAGTGTAGTCAAGGGTATTGCTGTCAAACCCGCCTGTAGAGTGAAAGCCGGAGAAACGTTGATGCAGTTGACCACAGAACCGAACCTGGAGTGCTGAGATAGTTCGATGAAAGCTTGGAGGGAAGAGCGGGACATCAAAACAGTTATGTCGCGGAAGCACTTTCTAGCGAACGAATCCGATGAGAATTCGCAGATGAGCTTGCATGTACAGCGAAGGGCCATTAGATCATATCGGCAGAGATCGTAGTCGCAGCAAACCTTCCGGATGAGTTCGTTGGGTAGATCCATCAGACGAAAGGGTGTATAGCCGGCCTCCTGGCCACTAGAAGACGAGTCAGTATGCCGGCAGATAAAGTTGCGATGTGCTCAGACTCACTCTTGAGGAGTATCCGCCATCAGTGCAGAAGCGACCAGAACTGTTAGCTGTTGGCTTGGAAGCGTAGAGAGTTGATTGCGCAGACGAATTGTCAAGTTGAGAGATGCGGTTATTGTGTGGCGCTGATGGAGAGCACAGTAGAATGCTGTGATGTCAACGACGCGCTGAAGTCGTACAACAATGGCAGACTAGGAGTCTCGACAAAGCGCTGCGCAAGAGAGCGATGCTGTGAAGAAGGCGAGGTGAAGTGAAGCGGCGAGGAGAGCGAGTTGGTCGGCCGGCTTTGTAGTAGTGTCAATAACCCAGAAGACCAACTGCCGCGTTGTGAAGAGAGATGAGGCAGGTGCAAATTGCCCTGCACTTGCTGCCAGAAGTGGGAGTGTTGATGGGAAGCTGCGTTGGTCAAGCAGCCGTGCGAATTTACCGCGTCAAGTGAAGTCGAGAGGCAGTCAACAAGCGGCGGACCTTGATGCGAACTAAAGTTGGCTCTGCCTCTTTCAAATCAAACCACATCTTCCCGTGTGCGAGATACTGTCGCACCTGTAGCTGCCTCGAGGCACGATACTCTCCTACCTTGAACCGATGTCATCGAGATATTTCGTGGCAACGAATCCCTGCACTAGATTTATCGATTCGAGATATTACTGTGCCTTGATACAGCTTGTTGTTGCCCTGATTTGACCATTGTGGAGAAAGGGTGTGACAGTATTCTGCACTCGGGGATGCAAGATGCGTGTGCCGGGATGTTGGCTAGGGGGACACAGTTTTAGCTCTATGAGACAAATATGTATGCACGTCTAATAGTCCTTCTACAACTCATCCTTGACCTCGGCCTCTGTCTTCCTGAGAGCCTCGCAGACAGCAGGAGTGCCGACTTCCATACGATAAACACACTTCTCCTCTTCGAACACCTTCCAGATCTCATGTTGTTCGGCACAAGCCAAAATGACAGTAGTGCTACGATTGGGTCCGTTCCAGCAATGTTGGCCATTCTCATGTCTCATGGCGATTCTTTCACCAGAGCCGAGACCCTTGCCATCAGCGGAGACATCTTCGTCGACGGTAATCTTGTCAAAGCGGACAAAGTTGCCCATGCGTGTGCTACTGCCACCCTTCTTTGACTTTTGTGTTGTGTGTTCCATGAAACAGAGTTCGTACGTGTACTCGCCAGAGTCGACGGAGATACATTGGCCCTTGAGAGCACGGAAGACACCATCTGGGCCGTAGTCCTTGTTCAGGTCTTCGTTGTGGGAGTCGAGATCTTTGCGTTGATTGGTGACAGCGTCTTGTGCGGCCTTGAGACGATTCTTTGCGCTGGTGACAACGGATGACTCGCCTCCCTCAGATGAGAGATCTGCGAGGATACCGTTCTCGATGAGCATGACACGAAGATCGCGTAGCTTCTGATCAACCCAGTCGCGGAGGGGCTTGGGCAGATAGTTCTCGATCTCATACACTGAACATTGTTAGCAGGAGCCACAGTATATGAATATATGGCTTGACTTACAAACTTCGACGTCCTCGCCATCGGCCTCGAGGTACGACTCCCAGTCAAGACCGTTGTCCTTGTCAGTCTTGGTGATTTCGGTCAGATCTCTGTCATGTGCCGAAGTGTCATCACCGCTCTTGTCACGAGCAGCATAGTCCTCCCAAGCACGGACAGCTCTCTTGACACCTTCGTCGTTGAAGTTGGGGTTATACTCCTCCTTGAAGGTCGACAGAATGGCCTCAAGCTCCGTGACACGTTCCTTTGAGGTATCACGCTCCTGACGGACACGAACGAGGTGATCTCTCAGCTCTTCGGTTCTCTGCTTTGCAAGGCTGACGAGTACGCCCATCTTGCCCTGCTTAGCACCCTGGCTCTTGACGACCTTGCCCTTCTCGCGACGCTCCACTTCAGCAAGCTCCTTCTCCATGTCGGTGACATGTATCTCCGAAGCCTTGAGCTGAGTTTGCAGTGTCTTGATTCTGTCTTCGACCTCCTTTCTCAAACGTTGTGCCTCGGTGGTATATTCCTTTCTCTTCTTGTTCGCGTTGTTCAGAGCACGCTGACGCGATTCGGTCTTCTTTCTCCACTCCTTGCCAATCTCGTCGCAATTGTTCTGGCACTTGACACCGCCAACTCCAGCCCATTCTTCGCTACCATCACAGCAGAGATCGTAGTCACAGAAGCCGTCGTTGACGCTGGTGTAGGGGACATAGCTGGGCTGATGTCCTTTGTTCTTACAATAGAATCCAGGCAAAACTTGTGTCGAATTTATTTGGTCCTTGTTGGTAGTGTCTGAGAGAGTTGAAGGCGAGAGCGGAGAGAGGTACGAGCAGGCAGAAGTTCCAGGCTCATCTGAGCCATCGGGACAGTCGCAATAGTCATCGTTGACTTGGGAGAAAGGGATCTTGATTGACGGATTCGAAATGCAAGTAAATGTTTCAACATCCTTGTAGAACTTTGCGACTAAAAACAACTCGTGTCAACTCGGGCATCTCCTGATGAAGCTATAATGGTAAACTTACATTCCGGACCAACACCGCGAGGTCGTGGAGATTCTGACGCAGCAGATGCAATTGATGCAGCCACAATGAACCATGCGCACGTCGCTTTCATCTTGATTGTCCACAAACAAAAGATCAAGACACAGGCTTCGATTATGTGCTACAAGACGATGCCTGAGCTGAGTACTTGCTTAGCATCACCCCCGGGCCAAGTTCGACACCTTTACTGTCAAGACAGGGACCGTGCGCTTATCGCATCTCTTATCGTGCCCATGCCTGGAGAGCAGCATCATCGTCTCCACACTTTTGTTCTTCGCTGCTCTCTGCAGTCTTGCCACTGTTAAAGACACAAAACAGAAGACCGTATTGATTCATGATCTCCGAAGATGAGATTGCCAATTACGAAGATTTTCGAGACTGCGTGTCCGAACTGTTGATTTCACGACTCTCGGGCACTGCAGGTAAGAAGAAGAAGAAAGCCTCAAAGGGTCGCAAGAATGAGATCAAGTCTGTGAAAAGGCCAGAACAGGATCAAGAAGACAACGATGCCCTGACTGCTGACCTGGGCGAAACGATAGAGGTGTGTTCATGTCTGTCTGTCGTTGGCTGGCCTCATCCTTGAGTACTGATTGGTTTCATCATTCTAGTATCTCGCTTCTGAGATATTTCCTTCATTGCCCGATGATCTACGAATCTTGTCGTATAGTGATATTCAGAATGATGCTCAGCTGGCTGGAAAGTACAGCGTGCCTCTCGACTCGGATATATACGAGGACTTGTTGCAACCCATGCCCTTGTCTGTATCTGACTCGTTGACCTCTTACGGTCTACTTTCTGATCCGACAGATCTGCCGCGACTGTTAGAGCCCGTCTTCACATCGTACATTACGAGCAGGACTGCCGCACCACCAGAGTTTGCGCCTTCTAGCCGAGCCACCGAGTGCGAGATCTGTGAGAGGGAGCATCTGCCCCTCACTTATCATCACCTAATTCCACGAGCGGTGCATGCCAAGGTTGTCAAGCGTGGTTGGCACGCGAGCTGGGAGTTGAACAAAGTTGCCTGGTTATGCAGAGCTTGTCACAGTTTTGTGCATCGGCTTGCGACCAACGAAGAACTGGCCAAGGAGTGGTACAGTATCGAACTGTTGTTAGAAAGAGACGATGTCCAGAAGTGGGCAGTGTGGGTCAGCAAGGTGCGATGGAAAGCGAAGTAGATCTGGGAGGAGTCGTAGTCTTTCTTGCTCAGCAGAATGAACCGCTAGATATGCCATGCTATATACATCATTGTGATATGCTCTTTCACGCTTCGCCGAAGTTCATGTGACCAGTCTGCTTGGCATGCTCCGTAGCACCTTGTTCGCCTTTGCCAGTCCAGCCACAGATGTTGCACTTGATAGTGAAGCCGTGCGTGTCCGTAAAGTAGTGTCTTTGTTGCAAAGTCTGACACAACTCTCTGGCCGCCTGCAGAGCTCCGCCATCTTCACCTTCCATGCCCTCGATCTGAGCGACCTCAAAGACCTTTCTGTCAAACTCAGGACTGGTGCCATGGCCAGGAGAGACGGCAACAACATCGTAATGGATGCCAGAGTAGATCAGAATGCATCGTCTCGATTTGCCTTCATTGAAGCGATCGATACGCAAATCTTGGACGTTGATGCTGCAGATCTCGATGTCAAAGTGCTGAGAGAGAATTGCGAGTTCGATGCCGCCTCCCCAAGAATCGTCCCGCTGAATCCATCGGCAGTAGTCGTCCGGTGCCTTTTCGAGCATTCCGGCAGTGTACAAGTCGGGGTTCGCTTGAATAGTTTGAGCCACCATAGATCGTAACTGGTATTGAGATTAGCCAAGAACATCATGACAATCTTTTGATGAACATACCTCATTCATGGCATCGAGCGCATCACCCAGGACAGCACTTCCCAAAGCTCTGAACATACAGCTGTTGTCGTCTGGCATTACACGAAGAACAAGAACGCCCTCTAGACCGGGCACAGGGACCTCAGGTGGATCACTCTCAACATCGTTAGGCTTTCTCTGGAGCGAGAGCGGTGCTGCCTGCTCCCTTCTTGTCTGACCAGAAGGAAAATCGCCCGGCTTATGTTGGGGAGGTCGGATGTCCTGCAAAGGAGGTAGGGTCCCGTGGTTCTGTGGGTCGGCATGACCCGACATGGGGTTATGTAATGACTGTTGGACATCGCGTGGCATAATGATGAGCTGTTCGCCATCAAGTTTGATTCCGATGTCGAGTAACTTGGTTTCATTGTCGATGCTCGTTGTATCCAGATTCTGTGGTGGGTAGCCATACTTGACATCGAAATCGCCAACAGACGTCTTCGCGGATATCTCGTGTTTGAGTTCTCCCCACGTCGCGGTATCTGGCATGTTGACCTGTGACATGCCCGACGGGCCACGAATGCGGACGCGCATGGTTGCCAGGTTATGTCGGATGTTCGCTGAGCTGTACTGACTGCTGAGATGAAGTGTTCTGAACGCGAGTATGTGTAGAACATGGAGCGAGGGACGGATAGAGACAAGTGCTAGTGATAGCCGCGGCACTACGTCATGCTGCCAGGGTCATCCCCTCGGCGATCATCTACTTAAACAGCGCTGTCCAGATGCAATTACTATTCTTGAATTGAGTATACTACTTGCGAGAGATGACCTAGTCAGACTCTCGGCAACTGGTACACAGCATCTCAATTACTTTATGCGTTTGAACAGCCATTCGGGCGGACGCCGAGAGCACACAGACAAAACAAACGGTACACAGACCGCCCCTGTAGAACAACAAGCCAGGGGCGTATCTCTTTCAACGACTGACGACACACAGACCACCAGTGTGACTGTGACAAATAGAACCATGAATCAGAACAGTAAGTCTTCCAAGTCGTCGAGGATGAGATGGAGCTTGATGCTAATAATGCCCTAGCCTTAGCCCCGAGAAACGCCTCGGCCCGGGCCGGCGCTAGCGCAGCCTGAGTGAGACCTCTTCCGCGACGCCAAGGATACCGCATAGCTGATTCAACGCGTAGTTGTCGCGCGCCGTCACTTCGAGGGGAATTGCTCTGATCGAAGACTCTTTCCAACCAGGCCCACGTAACGAGGCACCACACTCCGAACTGCGTAACATGGCCGACAACACCATGAGCCAGGGCACCACGCCTGTTCCCTCGACTGAGGGCGGCGTCGAGAGCGTGTCTGACGCCGAGCTTGACCAGATGCAGAGCATCCTAGACTACGTCTACGACTACAGAAACGCCGAGTATGCGCAACCTTTTGTATGTTATGATGCGGCTCTTGACTAACGCGCGCGCAGCGGCCATGATCCGTCCAAAGTCTTCCACCGCAAGGTCAACAAGCGCGCCCTCCCGCACTACTACGAGGTCATCAAGGAGCCCATGGCCATGAGCGCAATCAAGGCCAAAATCAACTCAAAGGAGTACAGGAGTTGGACCGAGTTTGTGCGCGACTGGGCTCTGGTCTCTCACAACGCCCAAGTCTTCAACCGCGCCGACGCTGGCGCATACAAGGATGCCGTCGTTGTCCGTGAAATCGTCGAGGCCGAACTCAAGAAGCTCGTCGACCTCAAGGTCATCTCAGAGGAAGTGAGCACCTTTCCTTTCCTTGGCGACATCCCTCCCCAAGACGAGTTCCCCATCGAGGAAGAGGATGACGACGAGGACGAAGACGACGAGGAAGATGATGAGATGGATGTGGACGACTCGGACGAGGATGGCGGCAAGCGCAAGAGAAAGCGCGGTCGTCCGTCAAAGCGCGATCGTGACTTGGACAGAGACAACGACCCCGAGACCAGAAAGAAGCGTGGCAGACCGCCAAAGGTGCTCACACCCAACGAAGCTCGTATCCAGGCTGTCCTCAAGGGCATCAGAAAGCCCAAGGGCGCCGGTGGCCTCAAAATCTCGACCTTCGAACGCCTCCCCGACAAGGCCGCGATGCCCGAGTACTACGCCGAGATCCAAAACCCCATGGCATTCGACGTGCTCAAGCGCAAGCTCAAGAGAAAGAAGTACCAATCCTTCGACCAGTTCATGAAGGACGTCGACTTGATGTTCGACAACGCAATCCACTACAACCTCGATGAAAGCCAGATCTACAAGGACGCCGTCGAACTGAAAGCCGAGGCTCACCGTCTGGCCGACGAAGAACGTACAAAGCCCGATACCGAATACGTCATGGACGAAGGCAGAATTCCCCTGCCTACCGGCATTCTCTACAACGGCGAGCATTTCAAGGTCGGCGACTGGGTTCACGTCACCAACGCCAATGACCTGACCAAGCCCATTCCCTGTCAGATCTACCGCACCTGGCAAGATCCTCAAGGTGGACAATGGATCAATGTCTGCTGGTACTACCGCCCTGAGCAGACCGTCCACCGCTTCGACAAGCACTTCTTGGAGAATGAAGTCGTCAAGACCGGTCAGTACCGCGACCACCGTGTCGATGAGATCATGGGCAGGTGCTTCATCATGTTCACCACTCGCTACTACAAGGGCCGCCCTCGTCGTCTACCCGCTGATATTGACATCTACGTCTGCGAGGCTCGCTACAACGAAGAGAAGTTTAAGTTCAACAAGATCAAGACTTGGGCCAGCTGCCTGCCTGATGAAGTGCGCGACAGAGACTACGAGATGGACCTGTTCGACGTGCCCCGCAAGATGAGAAAGTTGCCGAGTCCTATTGCATACCTCTTGAAGGACAGCGACAAGGAGACTGATGACATGCCCAAGCCTGAGTGGGGAGCAGAGAATGCACCTCCTAAGATTGGCGCTGTCCACAGACTTCCTCGCGATCCCAGAGATTCTCCTCCCCCGGAGCCTACTCCCTCGCCCCCACCTCAACCCATTGTCGCCCCTCCTCAGGCTCGTCAGCCATCGCACATGTCGCCATCCATACCGGCTCCTAATATGCAAGCCTACTCGCCCATGCAGGCTCAAATGACGCCCATGCAGACTGCTCCTGCCCCAACTCGTCCCATGCAACCCTTGGCCCGCTCTTCGCACACTCCTGCCCCTGCTCAGCAATACATGCAGCAGCACTCGGCCTCGCCTGCACCCATGCCTAGCCTTCATCGTGCCGGCTCTAACCAGTTCGCTCCTGCCACCCCTCAGCAGATGACTGGCTTGCCTCTGCCTCGCACTGCCGGTCAAGGCTTCCAATCGCAGGCTCCCGCTATCCCACCTGCTCCATCTGCCTTGCAGAGCCGTACGTCCTACCGCGATCCCGCTCCTGTCGAAGTTTGGACTTTGCCCGACGCTGCTAACGCCAGCATCCCGCCGGAGCTGCGCAACATGTACCAAACCGATGACCAGGGTCGCATGCTCTTCTTCTCCACACCTCCCGTCCAGCTCGCTGATGAGCCCAACGACCCTAACAAGAACCTCGGTCACAGTCTCGCCTACATGGCTGAGAAGTCTCGCCGCACTCAGGAAATCGTTGCCCGCCGCAGAGCCTATATGGAGAAGAAGGCCGAGCTCGCAGCCTCAAGGAAGCGCCAGCGCGACATTGAGGACGAGATGCGCAACGCCGACCACGCTACTCAAATGGCCAGAGCTCTCGACTTGTACAACGCCCACATGACTCGCAACATTAACTTGGAGCTCTACGCCATGTACGGCAAGGAAGGCTACAAGGAAGGACTCGAAGCTCTGCTTGACCGCGTCGAAGAGACCCAGAAGCTGGAGATCCAGAGAAAGGCTCAGATGGAGAAGAACGCCGCCGAGAGAGCCGCTGAGGAAGTCTCTCTCAAGTCCAACGGCGTTCTCTTCGACAAGGTCGAGGACGGCTCTTCCTACTGAAAAACGTCCTATCATGCCTCTCGCCGTCTTACATCGAGCACAGCTTGAAACTAAAAGCATGAAGCATTGAACAAGGAGCGGCGTTTTTTGTTTTGCATTTCCAATGGAGCCTGCTTTTACACTGTACTGATTACTTACCCAATGATACCCATTCGATGGCCACGAGGAGAACGAAGAAAGAACAAAGAAACAAGAGAAGGCCAGACAGATGGACTGCTCCTTCCGTAGGAGCTTAGATGTAGCCTTGAGAAACACATTCAATAGAACATTGCCTGTGAAGACTTGTTGCGTGAAGTCACAACATGCCTGCCTCTTGAAGGTGGTACATACCTTGTCGATTAGACAATTCACTCATCAGATTCGACTACAATGAATGACTGACCCTCGTGCTCCTGTCCCAGTGTGCTGTGATCAGTTCTCGATGTTCTCTGAGACAATGAAAAGCCCGACGCTTGATAGATTCTCAAATCCTCAAAGACAAAGCGACAACACAGGTTTAATCTCAAACTTGTCTTTGTTCCCTACAGAAGCATGTCTCGAGGGCTGATCATGTCACCGCATTGCGAGAAACAAAAAGACACGTCTTGGAAGAACACAGCGAACACTCATGATAAGGATCCATCGACCCACTGACTGACATGGATAGTCACTGTCATCTTTTTATTCCTCTGCCATCTGTGTTACTCACACTTTTCTACACGTCTAAACACTCTTTTCGCTGGACGAAAAAGCAACAACCCCATACGCTCTACCCACACAGCCATGTCTCCTTCCACAAGATCAACCACAGAAATGTCAACACCACCAACCAAAAAAGATCAACTCGCCTCTAAAATCGCCCACCTAAAACTCCGCCTCGCACCTCTCGTGCCCCTTCCCGCAGGCTCACCTCATCCAGACTTCCCTCGCACACTGCTAGATTACCATCTCCTCACCGAAGAACAACTCGATGGCATTGCATCCTACTACCATCAATCCACCCCGGGCATATGGACATACCAATACCCAGCCTGCATGAACTGGGACAAGGAGATGCTAGCAAAGCGACGAGCAAGTGTAGCCCAACACCTTCGTCGTGCAAGTCAGGTGGAGAGCAATCAATGGTGGGAGTCTTTGCTGGCGGCCGAGGAAGCTGAAAATGCGGTTGTGGTTAAGCGGCGACCGAGTGTGCAGTTCACAGAGGGGCTTACGGATGCGGAGAGGATTTCTATCAAGAGAAGGAAGTTTGGCAAGTTTATCGGGTTGATGAATTGCGAGACGCCGGTTGAGGAGATTGAGGGACGTTTGAGGGCGTCGATGAAGAAGGCTATTCGACTTGCGCAGGAGGAGTTGAGAAGAGCCGAGGAATGGGAGCTTAGACGGTCGAAAATGGCTTGAGCTTGTGCTTACTCAGATTTCTAGGCCTGTCGAAGTTTTGTTTCTGCTTTTGTTATCACAGTAGTAGCTAGCGGTCGAGAATTTGCATGCATCATACTCTCGCTAATAGGGGGTATCAAATTATGTTATATGCGAAAGTTGAAAGCAAAACCAAGGATCTTGCCCATGGTTCAAACCGAGTCAAAGCTATCTTGCTCCCTCCCTGTGACTCCGTTGACGTTTGCAAGTGTCGAGCCCATTATATCCACATCCTCGGAATCTTCTCTGTGGTGTCGGTGCTTCCTGTGTTTCCGTCTGCTCGACCCTCCTCTGCTACGAGAAGAGGACAGCCCAGCATCTACCTTCAGACGATCGACATCGGGGCCGAGCTCATACATGCTGTCGCCACGATCATGTTTACAGCATGGCGAATGTCGTAAGGGCAGGAACCAGTCGTACCAGCGGTCACCCATGATCGACTTGAAGTTTCTGAACGCTCCAAGATTCCAAGGATTCATGCCTGGATGTGTGCGTAAGATAGCAAACGTTCGAGGCGGAGAGGATGTGCGGGGAGGTAGCGTGGTCTCCGAGGATGCGTCTGGTAAGACGCTCAGTGGATACGTGATGGTTCCTTGCCACGGTTCTTCGTTATCCTCTGTACCGTGCGATGGTTTGAGCTGATCTATAGACATAGGCCTTGGTTGGCGCTGTTGCGTGGAGTCAACTAGAACAGCGATGTGCATGACTCTTCTCTGATGTCCGATGTTGTCGATGGTCGTCAAATTCTTGAGCGCAAGGCCAATACTTGTCATTGCCATGCCGCCAGCAAATAATGTGAAGACGGCTCCCAAGGTCAAGCCAGCAATCCAGTTGCCGCCTAGTGCGTTGCCCTGTCTCATGTTAGCATACATCAATAGAGCTAAGTGAGTTGCGCTGTGGAGCGTTTCGTTTGTCGAGATTACGACATGAGAGCAAATCAAGACTTACCCTACTTCTTGCTTCAGCAACAAAGACTGCCATGACGATCATGACGAATAGAGCATATATCCCAGCATAGGAGCAGAACTGAATAAAGAAGTTGAAGTTTCTCTCACCTACCACCCCACCAACCCACTGTGAGGAAAACACAAATTAGCGTGGACATTCTCAAGAAAAGGTAAGATCAACACGAACCGGACAGAAATGGTCCATCTTCAGGACGCATCTACCCACATCGCTGCCGTGGTGCGAACGATCGGGCTTCCAGTTGTTGCAAGTACCGCACCATATCGGCAAGCCATTCTGGTCGCAAGCAAAGACATCTTTTGAGTAGAATTGTTCGGTTCCAGGTGGCGGTGGCAGTTCACCACTGAGTATGGCTTTGGTATCCAGCAGGGTGACCGGGGGCTCCTGAGGAGCAGTAGGACGTGACTTCTTAGTCGTTTCATTCGTGCCGTCCTGTACGGTGGTGCTCGTACATGAAGCCTGTATGTTATGCTGAGGAGGGGCCTCTTTTGCCGGCTTCACGGGAGTTGCAGCAGTAGGGCTTCCCTTCTCGATATATCCAGGATGTGGTATGGTCATGAGCAGTCGTAAATAGCTAGATGCCATAGGAAATAGAAATATGAAGTATAGCACTATGATTCCGATGCCTGCGCCATGCCGATTCTGATGTTTGATGAGATAGTTTACTGCAAGAGTCAGCTATTGTTAATAATGTTGTTGATTTTCGAAGATGCAGATGCAATTATCAGATGTCGCTCATGCTCTCTCTTGTTACATGAGCACGACAACCATGACTTGCGTACCAAGGCAGTCAAGTGCTAGTCCATACTAGAAAAATGACTTACCGGCTATGAGGACGACCACAATCCAAGTGACATATCCCACAATGCCGATTAACAAAGCCGGAACAGCAATCGCTGTGCTTCTGTTGGCGGCCTGTCTATTCTCCAGTGGCGAATTTTGTGGACGCGGTTGACACTGTGACATGCTTCAACTCTTCTCTCCAAGCTCTAGACACCGTGGAATATCGTCGCGACTTGCAGAATCAATTGGTACGATAGTCGCATGGTTGCCGCGTGCACGCGAAAATGCGTACGTCATCGGCATTCGCGTTTGACCAATTTCCGGCGGTGCCAACTGCCAACTTCTTCATTTATGCTTCCGTCACAGTAATATTTCAACACCCAGACCGTGAGCTATCCAAGAGTGCGATGACACGTTTGTTCTGCTGTGATATTACTACAAGTCGACGACACCGAATATGTACACACGCCGAACAACAGTAGGAACGAACGAACAAAGTCTTGGTACATCATGCAAATCAATAGTGCGCGACAAATCAGGGTTAAATGTTCAGACGCTTGTCCGCCTATGTATTATTCCAACACCAATGATCAAGAAACAGCTCTACTCAATGCAAAATCTAGCTGTGAGCTGTATGCTCGACCGGCGGGTAGATGGCTCCCCAAGGATCCTTCGGCAGGGTACTAGGAACGCCGGTCAAGTTCAGAGTGTTGTAATCATTACCTGCAGCATTGCCCACATAGTCCATGGGATATGTCTTGCAGGCGTTGATATGATCTTCGGGCAGATTGAAACCGCTGGCAGCAAGCTTCTCTGGAGCTTCGATGAAAGTGGCAGTGAAGCCAGCCTCGACATGAAGCTCGATATGACAATGGAATAGCCAGATACCTATCGACGTAAGTACACTGTCTCCAAAGCTCGCATGATGCTACTCACCTGGATTATCGGCTCGGAATCTGACGATGGCATATCCCTCGTCCTGGACCATGACTGTGTCTCGCCTGATGGGCGTGGCCGGTAACTTAGAGTATGACCCACTCCATGAACCACCTTTGGGATCTGATCTTTCAATAATTTGGAACTGGTGACCGTGAAGATGCATAGGATGCTGAAGAGACATTGTCAGTAGGTGTTATCGGTATGTGGTGGATCAAAACTTACCAAATTGGTATGCAAGTTGTTCATAACCACTTCTACAACTTCGCCATACTTGAAGACGTATGGGTTCACGTTTCCGTATACATCAGGGTTAGACGCGTCGGACTCGTTGACGGTGAGAGATGTGTAAAGAGTAGGCACCTTTGCACCAAGATATGTGTGACCGTTGAGGATGTATCTTGAGATGCCAGTAATGTTTTCCATGGCCATATCAATGACCAGTTGTCTATCAACAGGCTCAAGAAGAGGCTCTCTGTCCAGCGGAACATAGTTGAGGTCGTCGAAAAAGTCATCATTTCCAAGGTTGTACAAAACTGGCGGAGGTGGATAATCTGCGCTCGTGTTATACACCAACCACGCAGTAGCATTCAATGGATAGACTGGGTCAGGCGAGAGACCTTTGTTGATGAAGAGCATGTTTGGATCTTGGAAGTCAAGAATGGCATAGTTCTTGCTTGTGTCGTCTTTCGTCCTCATGAGAAACGACTGTCGCTGTCCAGGAGCAACACGAACGTTTTTGCCGCCTGCAGTAGCGACTACTGGAACTGTGTATACTCCATCGACTTCCACAGTCGTTTGATTGTGCCCGTCGAAGACCCAGCCATGGCCAGTAAAGGCAGCGGGGCAGATGATGCGGACTAGGTATGTTGTACTCGGCTTGACGTGAATTGAGACATTCTTTCCAGAATTGATCAGCGCTCCACCTGACGGATCTGGAGTTCCATCCTCTGCTGCACCTTCGGCAGACTGGTATTGATGAATGAGATAAGGCATTTGGTCGTTGTACCAATCCGAGAGAGTGATGATGAGCTCTTCATCGTAATGGAACGGTGGGCTAGGATCGCGTACAATGAGAGGTCCCCAGAGACCGTCAGGGTACTGACCCATATTGTGAGAGTGCCACCAGTATGTGCCGGCCTGGTCGGCCTATGATTGAGAATCAGTTTCTGATCATAAAGACGGAAGGAGCGAGACTTACAAGGAATCTGTAGGTGAAACTCTGGCCAGGAGCGATGGGACATTGTGTCACTCCTGTTGCACCATCCATGTGACTCGTACCTCGCTGGTGGATGCCATGCCAATGAAGCGAGGTACTCTCGTTACCTAGACCATTGTATACGTTGACAACCACAAGATCCCCTTGCATAACATCAATCGATGGACACGGCCTGCTGCTAGTCAATCGAGGTGAGCGCAATCTAGCAAGGGAATATGACATACCATTGACCATTTACACCAATTACAGGGCGAGCGATACCATCCGGTGCGGCAGTCATCCATTCGATATTCCAGTCGTAGGTTATGGTGTTACCCGATGTTGAGGAGATCTCGCTGGTGAGTGCGGTCCCTGTTTTAGAAGGAAGGACCGAGTGGGCGGAAGCACTTGAATTGACTGAGGCATAAGGTGCAGAAGAGGCGATAGCAGAGTACTTCGCTGATGAGTAGGTGTATGAATTGCTTGAGGCAGGAGCCGTGGTAGAACAAGAGGAAGTTGCTGTCTCGGGCCATAGAGATGATGTTTGAGGATGCAGTGTTGAGAAGTCTTCCGAATAGCTAGTAGCAGCAAGAAGTGTGCTTGAAGACTGAATCGAGAAGCTTGCTTCTTGCCAAGTAGAAGAAGACTTTGAGCTGTCTTGATAGCCGTCTTTGTATCCTCCATTAGGGTGATCCCAAGTAATGTATGGGCTTGAGCCTCCAGCCAAGATTTGTTGAGCCTGAGATACCCAGATCAAGCAATAGGCCAACGATGTAGAAGACAACATTGTAATGTAGAACCGGTGTAATGAGGTATAAGATGCCGAGACCACACTAAGGAAATTGAGATCGAGAGGTGTTCGATGTCCTTTATGGGAGTGTTGCACATCTGCTAAATCTCACAATGGGGGAGCGAAGGAAGGCGAGGACAACCGGCAGTTTATACTACATGTTGGTCACGGCTTGGAACATCGGTTGGCAGTCCTGAACTGTCTCTCTGGGCGCAGTGAAATCATTAGTCGATAGCGTGGTGATCCCTAAACACGCTTGTCATATCGCATGCCGCAAAGCCGTGAGTGTTCAGATTACAAGAAGTAAACTTGACAAGAGGCTATTCCCGTCTGACTAGAGAGTAGCCAGAGAAGTACCATACCCCTGTACTGATCAAGGCAGCATCGCTTCACTTGTGTCATGTTGCCAGACAAGCGCATGTGCAGAACAAGGCTTAGATCTAGTCGTGTCGATCGATCCTACACACGCATCGGTCTGGAAAGGAAGTCAAGGTTGTACTGAAGTCTGTGCGTAGCGTGATGATTCGGGTGTATACTTGGGAACGCAGTAAGCCAGCTCGCATTTGAAGACATCACTCCGAGGGGCAAAATCGATAATCACTTGTAAGTGACTCAGTCACGTCCTTCGCCGAACCGTAGATTAATCTGGAAAATCATTACCAGTGATGGCTAGGAGATCGATCAAGAGTCTATGGGCGGTGCTGGCGACTACCTATCTCCGAATCTACAAGACAATGTCGTAGTTCTCGAAGACCGCAGGGGCAATTGCTCAAGTTCGGTGGCGATGTCTAGATCGGAAGGTTCTTCACTCAACCATAACAGGAAGCTGCTTCATCTTTACTCTATGGAGTGGTGTACGGCTTCCAGGCAATTAGTTGACATTGAATACTTTCGGATGATGGAAAGCACGGCAGCGAGGAAGGAGTGGTCCGAAATCGGAGTTGTGGACGCCGGGTGCGTGCTCTGCCTTCTTGCCAACCTTGACTTCCAGTACCTCACACTTGCACACTTGGCTCCACGAACAAGCTTTCGTCTTCACCTATGCTTGTACCTCACGAGTTCCTGAGTCTACAGTCGATACGTGCACCGTGTGGCTGCGAATCGTAGCTCTGAAAAGCGCCAGACAATTATGCGAGATCTTGCCTGGGTGGGGCTTCGGTAAGAGGCTTGAACACAACTTGTCAGCTCATTCACGCAGTGATACGACCACCAAGTATGGACTAGCTATGTATCCAATCAGATCACCTAAGATCATCTCGCATCAGCTCCGTGGCTACTAAGAATACACACCACGTTGGAAGTTACGGGTAAGCCGTGCGACACAGCCGCTCGTGTAAAGTACCATCTAGAGAAGCTACAGACAGCAGGATCAAGGACTGCCAACCAATATCGAAAATGATGATCCAACAGCTTACCAGCTCTATACTGTCTCCTTCTTCTGACGCACCAAGACGTTCGTCTGCTGACCATTTGTGAAAGGTACAGTGATTTCTCAGAATACACCTTTACCATTCTCCTATAATATTTGGATCTCGAGAAAGCTGACTAGCACCGGCTGCGAGGTCAGGACAAAAAACATGAAAATAGCAAAATGTCCTCTAAGTCAATCGGTATTTTGTACGGCCGAACAGGCGATACACAGTTGCAGAGAGCGGGCCAAACATTTAGGCGCACAAAAGATCCTTTATATCGCTTGACTTGCCTACACTTGCGCCGTTACTGCGAAACGACACATGCGACGGGATACATACCAAGGACGCACCAACATATCCAAGACATAGAACCATGGGCGGACATTCGCCTTACCCGCAACACATGGCGGATGACCTCCACCATGCAGAGCGGATGCCTGCAGACTCTTCTAGCGAGGCGTTCTCCTTTGACGAAAACCGCGTCTCGAGGACCAATTTCAGTCGCTCCGAAACGACTCTCGGACAGGTCTCTAACTACCCACATACGCCCATCGGCCAGGCCGTCTCTTTCGACTTCAACCTCAACAACCTCTCAGCGAATACAGACAAAGCACGCCCCTCTCATGGCCGTGCCTCAGATGAGGCTATAACGCCAGTGAATGGTGAGCCCCGGATCGAGAAGAGTGATCTCTCCGCGCCTCCCCAATTTCTCGAGACACAGGTAGAGGCCAAGCTTGATACCCGCGAGTTCCTCTTCATCGTCACCGTCTGTATGGCTCAGTTCCTCACTCTTGGCGGTCTTGGTCAGTCGGTCGCACCACTTTTCATCATTGGCAAAGACTTGGGTGTTGCCGATACAGATCTGGGAACATTGAGTTGGTACACTGCGGCATTCAGCTTGACTGTCGGTGCATTCATTCTGCCAGCTGGTAATATCTGTCCGCACTCCGTACTCTTGATCAGACACTGACTGAAAGCAGGTCGGTTGGGAGATATGTATGGACATAAGAAGATGTTCATTGTAGGCTGGATATGGTATGCCGTAACGTCGATCATCGTAGGCTTCAGCTATGCTGCCAAATCCCACGGTTCTGTGATGCTCAGTGTTACACGCGGCTTCCAGGGCATAGGACCCGCCATTTTGGTGCCGAATGCCATGGCCCTTGTCGGCACCACATTTCCCATGGGCTTGAAACGCAACATGGTCTTTTCGGCGTTCGGCGCCTGCGGTCCTACTGGTTTCGTATTCGGCGCCATCTTCTCTGCCCTGTTGTCACAATTTGCATGTAAGTCTTTGAACTCGGTCCATGAAGAACATGCAAGCTGACGTAGATAGGGTGGCCTTGGGCTTTCTGGGTACTCGCAATAGTCTGCGTTGGTATGGCAGTCTTGTCCTTCGTGGTCATACCAGCTCCGATTCCCCGAGGAGTAAACACTTCGACGTTCGATTTTGCAGGTGCTTGCACTGGTGTTTCTGGGCTGGTTCTGTTCAACTTTGCCCTCAACCAAGCACCTGTCGTAGGTTGGAACAAGACATACATTCCTTTCACCCTGGGCATTGGGGTGATGTTGCTCATTGCTTTTATCTATCTTGAGATGAACCACGCACAACAAGCCTTGGTGCCCATCCGAGGTCTTAGCAAAGAGGCTGTGCTAGCACTCTCGTGTATCGCTGCTGGCTGGAGCAGCCATGGTATCTGGCTCTTCTACCTATTTCAGTTTGTGCAGCGGTTCCGCGGCTCGAGCGCCATCGCCGCTGCTGCACAGATCTCCCCCGTCGCCATCACGGGTGTCGGCTTCGCCATGTCTGCCGGCTGGCTGGCCAGAAAGTTCAGGACATCGTATATCATGTTGTGTGCCATGCTTGGCTTCTTCATCGGCACACTGTTTCTCGCTTTCGTGCCAGTACATCAGACCTACTGGGTCCTCACACTCTGGAGTGTGGTCATCATGCCCATCGGCATGAACTGGAGTTTCCCGTCCGGCACAATCTTGCTCAGCAATGCGATGGCCAAGGAACACCAAGGTATCGCCGCCAGTTTGGTGTCTACAGTGGTCAACTACAGCATCTCCATCGGGCTAGGCATTGCAGGTACCGTTGAGCGATATATGAGTCAGAAGCATGGACCGCTATGGGGGATCCGAGGGGCTTGGTGTCTCGCACTCGGTCTTGATGCCATCGGCGTCGGCATTGCGGTATATTTCGTCGTGATATCACGAAGAAAGCCACCGTCATAGAAAAAAGACAAGGCCCTATGGCGATCATCACCAGAGAAAAGACACAGAGCCTCATTTCCATCGGTCTATTTTCTCATCGCCAAGCTCCGTGTCTGCATTTATTGTATTGTCCAGAGGGTAGCAATGTTGAGTCTATATGGTGTAGTTGGTGTGATTAGCACGCTACGCAATGCCCATCCACGGATTTCTCAGAAGTCGAGGCTCTCCTCTCGAAACGTCCGAAATGCTGTGATACCCTTAGTGTATTCAAGCCCATTTCAAAACGCCGTCTGACCCGATGTCATGGCCTTGAGTCCCACACATGGAACGATGCTGCATGCAAAACGAGGCTCTGCAAGACTCCCTCTCCCGTGGTGTTTCGCTGCACAATGATGTATACTTTGCATCATCCTCTTATGGGCCTTGCCTTGTATCTACAACCCCCAATCCGAATTCCTCAAGCAGAAAATAAATGAATCGCAGAACAGATCACTGATATGTCTGACTCATTTAGCCACAGTACATAGGATGATACCATTGTCAATAAGGAAGAGGAAGCTTTTTTCCAAGTGAACCCGAAAAATACGTCTTTGATTCCTGACGACTATTAATCTGCTTCCAAGCCTATCGAAAATCTTTCTAATTAAACCTCTTTATCCTTGATCTCCTGCAACCTCTTCAACTCATGTTGCTGTTCTTCTTGCTTATTCTCCTCTTCTGCATCTTCTTCCTCTTGTTCCTCTACCTCTTCCACATGATCGTTTTCCTCATCAGCATCTCCCTCGTCATCTTCCTCCCCACCTTCCCCGGCATAGCCCTTCAATTGCCCTCCCTTTCTCTTGGGAATAACCTTCATAAACGCCTCACCCCAATCCCCACATTCCAGCCATCTCAACATAATCTCATGCACATGGTTTGTAGTAAGCACTTTTCTGCTCGCCATGGCTAGGTAGTCTCCAATGGGCAAGCGAGCGGTTTTGATACCGGCGGCTTGGGCGCGGGCGGCACAGATTCCCTTTTCGCGGTTCTTGTCTACGAGGCCGCCGATTATGTAGGTGCTGAAGGGTTTTAGCTCGGTGAGGGTGTGGTCAGAGTCGGCGGAGAGGTAGATTGTTTCGGCTTGGGCGTGGAGGGCTGAGAGGTCTGCTGGGGGTAGTGATGAGGGTTTCATGTAGACGGGTTGTTTGTTCTTGGGAGTTGTGGGTTTGGCGGCTTGAGGGTTTGTGTCTTCGGGTTTGGTGTGCTCGGTTTTGTTGACGTCCTCGGTTTGGTCATCCTCGGTTTTCGTTTCAGCTCCTCCATTGGCATCAGTGCTGGGTTGGCTGGTGGCGGTTACTTGTGCTTCCTCGATGGCGGCGGGTTGAGCGGGCACGTATTTCCCAAACACACCCGCCAACTTCCCACCCTTCTTGTCGTCATTCATCCACTCCTTTGCCTTTTCACTCGCAAGCACAAAATCCTCATCCAAAAACCTGACCCCCTTCCAATTCAAATAACTCTTATTCAACACACCATCAAACCTCTCCCTCAAAAGTCCATTGAAGCTGCAAATGGCAAGATGAGCTCTAAACGGGGCATTCTTATTATCAGAATAACACCTCGTAAGCTGACCTCCCAAAGAAATACGTTCATTATCCCTCATCAAAGCGTCGAAATCGCAATCGATAAGAAGAGTTATGGGAAGCATTGTAGGACGCACCCAAGTCTTTTGCTTTTGCAAAAAGGCATCTGGGTTTGTGCGGCGTTCTTCGCGTTTACGTTCTTTTTTGGCTTGATTCTTTTCTTTGCGCCAGATTTTCCGGTCTTCTTTTTTGGCGTCCCATTCTGCTTGTTTGCGAAGTTTCTTTTGCATTGATTTTGAGATTGGGGGAGTGGTTGCTTCAGTGGTGGTTGTGGATGCTGTTGTAGGTTGAAGAGGTGTATTTTCGAGGGGCGCGGTGGCAGTGGGTGCGGAAGGAGTTGTAGTTGTTGTTGCGCCAGCGGAGGAGAGGCTTGGTGGTTGGACTGATGAGGTGGACTCGGTGGCATCAGTTATCTGTTGTGTGGTGGTAGCGTGTGGTGGTGATGGGATACCAGCATCCGGGGCAGCGTCTTGCATAGCGGCATCTGAATTCTGAGGCAGCGAATCGCGGTCATGATGACTGCCGAGCTTGCGGATCTTGGCCGGTCGCTCGTCGGATTCCATGTTTTCGTGGTGCTTTGATGTGTGTGTTTTGCGAAGCTCTTGCGATTGCTCTGGTGGGGGAAAAGTTCAAGTTGCTCGAGTCATGGCCTGTGCCCCGCCCGAGTCAAGCGCCAAGCTTTCACAATGCACCTCTCGTCGCAAGCCAGCAAGGTCAGCATAGACTATCACCAAACTAAACACCAGCGAATCACTCATCCACCATTCAATCGCCGTCGCAACCTCTTTCCCACACTCTCACACGCAAACACCGCCCATCATGCCTCAGGATATGCCGCCCACCGGCGGCTACGAGCCCGTTCAATACAAGCGCAACCTGCCCGCTCGTGGTTTCCGTCCCGCTACCTACCTCGTCCTCGTCGGCGCCATCTGCACCTACGGCTTCTGGCGCGTCGGCCAAGGTATCCGCGAGCAAAAGTATGACTACCCTCACCCTCTCAACCCACAGCTTGGAACCACCACCCCCCATCGGAAGAACACGCGCAAAAGAGCTTGGAAACCAGCCCTGAGAAAGAGAGACACAAGAGCAAGGAAAAATACAAGACACACGAACGTTTGCGAATAGGAAATAGGAACATTCTGCTGACATACCCCTCTTTTTCTCTCCTTCACAGTGAACTCGCACGCGAAAAGATGTGGTCCCGTATCCACATTATCCCCATGCTGCAAGCAGAAGAAGACCGCGATCAAGTTCGTCGTCACCTTGCCGACAAGGCCCGCGAGAGAGAATTGCTCGGTGCAGAAACCAAAGTCTATCACAGTGATCGGTACGTTTTCTCTTGACATTACCTTTTCCTGAATCTCTTCGGATAGGGAGAACAGGGCTTGGTGAGAGAGAGTTGGAATGCTGATGTGATGCAATAGCTTCGTTCGCCCGACATTTGCCGTTACTCCTAATGAGGTTACCAAATAAACGTAGTAATGCTCTGGATGTGTGAGGAGAAGAAGGGACCGCAGGGACCGTGGGAGTGACGAGGTTTGACTGCATGAAGGCAGTGATGGGTCGAGAGAAGGGGTGGGTATTGCATTCGTCATGGCAAAAGGAGCTCATGAACAAGAATTATAAGCCGTTAGGAGCGGCTCCCCATAGCATACGTGGGTTTTTCGAAATAATCATGTACAAATCATGCTTTCCTTCCCTTGCGCTTTCCATTCATGCTATTCAATCCTGTACCGGCCATGCAATCAACATCAACCATCTCCAAACGCCTCATGCAGCATTTCTGGCGCCAAAGTTTCTCGGCAAGTGTCGCACTCTCCACTCCTTTTCTCCCAAGCCCAAGCCCATATCTGTCGCGTCCCTTTGAGCGACATAAGGTCTACGAGTCTTGTCCTTCAATAAACTCAACACTTCCTGTCTCTTCACTCTCTGTGCATTTCCGCTATACACGTCCTCCAAGAACACCCAACCAGAACTGTCGAATTTACCTCTGACCAACACAGTCTTTGAGCCCTGCAAGTTTTTAATTTGCTTGACAGACATTGGTGTAAGGAGTTGAAGTTCCTGTCTCGCTACATCGATACCACGGATAATTGCAAGGCCTTTACAGCATGAGAAGCGGGGGTCGAGTGGTTGAATCAAGCCACTGTTATCAGCGCGAAGGTATGGCAGACCTTCGGGTGTTCTGCCGACTCTTTCTGTCATGTGCTCGCCCATTTCTGCTGCTGAAGCTGAGGGCACGTGAGGAGGTCTGTATTGTACCGTTGCGTATGCTTCGTCTGACTCTACTTCGCAGATGGCTACCATCATACCATCGAGTATTGACGCCAGAAAGTCTGGGTTCACTGCCTCGCCGTAGGACATGATCGAAGAGATGCCAGAGTTCTCACCGTTGTACCTCACGTGCCAGGGGTGAAGCTGTGACAGCGTCTTGTCCGTCCATGCCGAAAGTCCTGCGGAGGGAGGCAGGGAGTGGAAGTAAGACATTGCTTGCATAGCACGTAGCTCGGCACTCGTACGAGACTGAGCAGGCTTGTGTCTGGGTGGAATCATCAACACCTTCGCCATCGGCAGTGTAGCCTCGATACATGCGACAGTCTCCCTTTCCATAGGCTCCATGAGCACAACATCAGTCAGAGGAAACTGTTGTACCAGCTCCATCATAGCAGAGACTGCAGAGCCAAGCACCCAACCAGAACAGTTCATCACCAGTGGTGCTCCAGGGAAGTCCTCAAGTGCACTAAAGTACGCGTCACGCAAATCCATGGCACAAGCCAGAAAATGGACAGAATCATCCCGCGGTGAATTGGCTGCGATCGTATGCGATCGGATAGCCCTGCAAGATGAACTGACATGACCAGAGGGATGCGTATAGTTGGGACCAAGAACAGGCGACCGGACCTGTACAAGAGACATCTGGCCAGGTGCAGAGTACTCGGGTTGTCCAGGATCAAGATCCAGCCAGAAGCATGAGGTCGACGCTGTAGCCTTGGAGGCTGTCAGGAAGGTGTTGATGATCCATTTGCATATGGTCGATTTGCCAGATCCCTTTGGACCAGATACCATGATGACCGAACTTGGGTGAGTTGCCGTTGGCTTGCTCAGGACTCTGTTCAAAGTGACTTGGCAATCTTGCTCCACCTCGAGCGCTGTCACAGCACGTTTCAAGGGATCGTCTGAAGAGCTGCGAAGCAGAGCAAACGATTTGGTTTCGGCGTCAGGTTGTTGTGTCTCCTTGGGAGTCTGCGCGTGCCATAGCTTTGTCCATAGGGGAGAGACTTTGCTCAACGGTCCAAGCGAAGGTGTGGTAGATATGATGTCGATCTCCGCAGGACCACCCTTCGCCGTCACCACGGGTAGCGCATGTGTAGAGGGTGCATAAACTCGGTGGGTTTTCGAGCCCGATCTAAGTATAGCACCATATATCATAACATAGCCAGAGTTGACTCGTAAATCATACTCTCCAACAAAAGTAGCAGTCTCTCCAGCTTCCAGTTTTAGGCTCAGCATCTTCGATGTGTCTGCGAGAATACATTGCTCATCCGGTGGTAAATTTGACAATTTGCAAGGTTGATCGGTCTTGTAAGATGATGTGCTATTGTAAGCATGGTGATAATTGGCTTCAAAATCAGTATCATCCTCTTCATCGTCGCTAGATGCATGCTCATCAAGCTCTTGAGATTTCGACAGAGGAAAACTCGACAGTAGTGTGGATAGTTGAGGGCTTCCAGTAACAGCACCATAGTTACCACCGTTGCGACGAGGGATTCCTACGGCTTCGGCAGCAGCGACTACACTCGCTTCTGATGGTTCATCAGGTGCTATTTGAATCGCGGCTTTTGCCTTTGCAGCAGCGAACGCGCTTAGACGGGCTATCAGATCTGTCAGTACAATGAAGGGAGAATAATCATAAGATGAGGTTTGCATGGACTTACGCTGTGTGCTGGTTGCAGGAAATGCATCCTGTGCTTTCCTTTTCTGCTGCATGATAATTCTTTTTGCAGGGAAAACTCTCGATGTTCCTTCCGAGAAGTGTTTGCGTACTATTTGTTGCGCGTCTGCACTTGATCGATGACTTGAGGTCAATGGATACAGTAGATGCGTGATGAATATTCATACACGACAAATTCGATGGAAAAGAATTGTTTCGAGGATATAAATCGTTCAAAAGAAAAAGATGCTAGCCTTGCCCTTGGTCGGAGTTGAAGGCGGAGTTGAGGATCTTGGCGGTCTGTTGCGAAGCTTGCGCCAAAAATTATTTCCAATTCAAGACCATCTTTTTCCGCATACCATTCTTCAGGTCAGACTCGTGAGGGTCGACTGCAAATCACCCACTAACAATTCCCGGCCACCATTAAATATCTCTCGATACCTTTAAACTGGAAATCAACGGTACCAGCCACATTACGAATCGCAAACACATGCTTGATTAGCATCAATAATCACTATCGAACGACATGCCCAAGGTCAAGGAGACGAGGGTTGCCCTGAAGGGCGAGAACCCAAAGAAGGCACCCAAGATGTCCGAAACATTGCGCCCGGCTCCTCCACACAGCGAGGAAGTCAAGACAGTCAGCGACAGTGACGAGTCCGACAGCGACAGCAGCAGTGGTCACAGCAGCGGTAGCGAGAGTGACGCAGAGAAGCGCAAGAACACCAAGAAGCCCAAGGCCTCCAAGGTGAAAGAGACGGAACCAAACAGCCCTCCGGTACCTGAGGATAGCAGCGAAGAGGACAGCTCTGACTCGGATGCCGATCTGGCAGCGGCAGTCGCAAAGAACAAGGCTGGGCCCGCAAAAAAGACACCTGCTGCTGTGACGGCTAACGGTGCGGCATTGAAGACGAAAGCGACAGCCAAGTCGAACAAGAGCTCGGAGAAGGTCACCGAGTCGGATGACAGCAGCTCAGAGGAAGAGAGCGACAGTGATGTCGAGATGGGCGAGGCTGACAAGCCCGCTGCAGCACCGAGAGCTTCTGGACAAGCTGCCGAGCCAGCAGCAACAAGCATCGTGCCCCCTCAGCCTTTCAATCCTCCGCCAGGCTACAAGGTGCTCAACACAAAGTCGGCCCTCGCAAAGACCGTAAACACCATCTTCGACCCTTCTACCATCTCCTCGAAGCAAATCTGGCACATCACCGCTCCCTCGTCAGTGCCGCTCTCTGACATCAAGTCTGTTTCGCTATCCGCCATTCAATCTCACCAGACCATTCTCTCTCACGACGGAACCGACTACAATCTCGTCGAGGTTCCCACCAACAACGCACGCGTCCTCCTACCCTCCTCAAAGTCAGACGCCTACACGACCGTCGGTGTCCCCGTATCGAAGACCCTCCACCTCCAACAAACCATTCGCCTTCCCAACCTCTCTTCCTTCCAAACCGACCCCCTGACTGGCTCAAATGCCGCCGCAAACCTCAAGACCCCTGCCATAAGCACCCCTCGCCCCCAACCCAAAGGCATGAGAATGCGTTACAAGCCCCCAGGTTTCGGTCCTGAAGATCCCGGTCTCATCGGCTCCTCTGAAGACGAAAGCGACGCAAACGCAAAGCAAACGGCAAAAGAAGCCCGCAGCAAGCGCAAGCGCGACGAAAAGGATGCGGCAGAGGAGACTCCGAAAGACAAGAAGAGGAGAAAGGCAGCAGAGGCAGCTACAAAACTGACCGAAGGCACCAGAGCAGAAGTACCCGAGACAGCAGAGGAAAAGGCAAGAAAGAAGGCCGAGAGAAAGGAGAAGAAGAAGAAGGATAAGAAATAAATGGTGGTCCTTGCTTGCACATATCATGCGTGGAGTTATTTTTTTTTTGCTCTGACAAGATTTTCTGGGGATACAAAAGGGCGTTGTGACATTGTATGTAAGGCATATCAAAAAAGTGGGAAAGCATTGATTTTGTTCACCTAGGCTTATTCAACATCTCAACATTTTCTGCATTCTGCTACCCATCAGAGGCCACAGTGGGCTGTACAGACTAAATCATCGTCACCAGTCCTTACAAGCTTCCGTTTCCATCGCCTTGCTTTGGAGCGTATTGCGAGAACGGACAACCATATTCGCCTGACGTGCTTAGAGAAGGATCATACCTAAGAACCCTGAGCGAGACATACAATCCTCCCTCTGATTCAATCACCGACCCCATGCGCATCCGACGACGTACATCCGGTCAACGCACACTATACCCATCCTCGAGTCCTCGCGAAACTGTTACAGATGATCGGATCCTTGCCTTTCATCACGATGCAGAACTAGTGTCGGAGTCAAAAGACGAAGCGAGAGAGACGGAATGGTGTGTCGAGCACGGGAACAGTACATTAGTGCTAGCACGGTCATCTTCTTGACAACAGTCATCTAGAGGAGAGATGTTGAGCGGCAAGCCATTGTGCTGTGTAGTTCTGCCTTATATCAAGTTTGAACGCTTGCGTACCTAACGACGATTATCCGGTCAACGTACGCAGTCGAGCTCTTATAAATCACAGAATGCGGGACAATGATTAAGGAAGCTTGTGTATAGTCAAGACGGATGGTAATGATCAGTGTCGAGACACGGAGCAACGGAACATCTAGTCAAAGCACGCCATCCACTTACTAACGATGCAGTCGACGCTTAACGATCGACTGGTAGCTTGCGTGAAGTCATGATTGAGGGAACTGAACAGGTAGTCTCAGGCGATGGTCGACTTTACCTTCCGCCGCGGGCCGACTATTCGAGGTCGCGACCAGTGTGCCCAGAGTCAGGGGCTCCACGGCAGTGACACCAATTTCAAGGGACCATCCTAGGTATCCAGACCATAGGCGACGGCCATAGCGTGCGGCCAGTCGTTCTTCAATCAGTTGTCGTGAGGGGATGGCGTCTGTTGCACTCCTGGAAAGTCGAATTTGTTTATTTAAGGGACCACCATCATTACCCTCAAATGTACCATAGTGTGAGCCATACATAGGTGCGGATCGGATAGACGCTGTTCTTTCTCGATCATTCACATGAAAATCAATAGCTGCAGAAGTGACGGATCGTAGTGCAAAGTGTTGACGTGTGAGAAGAAGGTGAATATCATGTCAGGGTCATCAGGAGGCCGAAGTTCAACGACGCCACTTTATCCAAGTAGCACAGCCACTGCAGATCTCCCCAGCCACGTTTTGTCGCATGCTGATGATGAGACTATGATGCGCGATATCTAACATCTCCATCTCACACTAGTATCTGAATACACGTGAACAACATATTGACATGCCAGATGAGCATGATCAGAGCAGTCCAGGTGCCGCTGTCATAGCAGATCAGGCCGCCTTGGATCAAACAACGTCTCAAACACGGACGACATCTCCGGGCCCCAAAGACAAACAACATGGAGAAGAAGTGATGGAGGACTCTCGGGAAATTAGACCACCATTACCGCCTCGACCAACGAATCTGGACTTGCTGGAAGAGCGAGGTTCTGGGGGTTCAATTCGATTGCCGAAGCGCATGGCTTCACGGCCAAATCTCCAAGCTCGACCAACAACTGCAGTATCCTTGACAGACGTCCACACATCAAACAATTTCCAAGACCATGCATCACGCACACTTTCTCCTCCCAGCCGGCCTGTGTCTAGAAAACAGAGTACGGCGAACATGGACAGGTTTCGAAGTCGCGTGGGCAGTGATGCAGCTGAAACAAGTAGTGTCCGCAGCTACGCCAACACTCTCGGAACAAACGCAGAAATGGAAAGTCTTCTCGGTGACCCATTTCCCACAAGTCCAGCTTGGAAATCACTCAGTGCGCAGCTCGAAAAGGAAAACCCAATGGATCATGTCTTTGACGAGGATGATATCTTCAGCCTCCGAATGCATCATGAGTTTGACGAGTTGGAAGAGTTTAGAGCGAATGGCACGAATGAAGAGTTTTTGATGAATTCTTGGACATCAAAGTTGAAGCACTTTTTCATCCTTTCTTCGGCGGGTAAGCCTATCTGGAGTCGACATGGAGATGACCAGGTTATTGCCAATCATATTGGTATACTGCAGACGCTCATATCCTTCTACCAGGATGTCAACGATAATCTGCGAGGATTCACGGCTGGCAATGCGAGATTTGTGATCTTGTCAAAAGGTCACCTAAATCTGGCGGCTATCAGTAGACTCGGCGAGAGTGACTTGCAGCTCAAGACGCAGCTGGAATCTTTGTACATGCAGATCCTTTCGACGTTGACATTGCCGAGTATGGAGCGCATGTTCTCAAACAGACCTTCGACGGACTTGCGACGACCACTGCAAGGCACCGAAGTCTTGCTCGGAGCACTGGCAGATGGCTTCACAAGAGGATCACTACCGACTCTGCTGTCTGCTCTGGAATGTCTGAAGATACGCAAATCACACCGACAAGTCATCAATAACACGCTACTGAAGGTCAAATCACCAAATCTTCTCTACGGCCTTCTAGTGGCAGGTGGACGTTTAGTCAGTGTAGTGCGACCACGAAAACACTCTCTTCACCCTGGAGATCTTCAACTCATCTTCAACATGCTTTTCGAAGCTGGAAGTGTCAAAGCCGGTGGCGGTGAGAACTGGATCCCGCTGTGCCTCCCTGGCTTCAACAACACCGGGTTCTTGTACATGTATGTCAGTTTCCTGGACATTGGGGAAGACCACGCAAAAGTGTCAGAAGAGCGACCACAACCTTCTGCATCACCAAGAGACGACGATCAATTAGCCATCATCCTCATAAGCGCGGACAAAGAGGCCTTTTACGAATTACGCCAGATGCGCGACGACTTGATCGATGTAAGTCTTGGCCATTACCAACCCTTCCTGACAAACAAAAAACTGATCATGCTGTCTCTCAACAGCAATTAAACCAAAACAATAGCATGTCAATCCTCCGCACGGCAATCCACCACGGCCGCCCCTCCATCCCCTCCATCCTCCCCTCCTCCCCCCTCCTCCACTTCATCTACAAATCCCGCCCTCACGTCCAATTCTTCACTCCCTCCTTTTCCCCCAACTTCACCTCTCTAGTGCCCCATCGTCGTCTTGTCTCTCTATACTCGTCCTTGCATACTGCTGTGCATAACAAAACGGCAAGCCTAAAGGTTCACTACGCTTGTGCCAAGGATGCAGTGGCGCTTGGGTGGGTAGGGAGGGAATATGAGTTTTATGGTGTTGCGGGGGCTGGGGCTAGTAGAGAGGGGATGGCGAAGGCGGCGCAGGACGTTGTTAGGTATCTTAGGAGGGAGGAGGAGAGGGTGTTTATTATTGGCGGTGCTGTATTCTAGGTAGTTTATGTGTTGCTCATCATTGATATCGGCTGAGGATTTTTTTCTCGACTTTTGTGTCAACGCGTACAATTGGCACGGTCGTGTGCTTTGTGGAGTTTCGCGTCGTTTCGCCCTTCTTGTTCGTTGGACCTGCGAAAGACGGCTTTTAGAGTTGCGACGTGATAAGCCTCTGGTTGCAAGGTTTTTCTTGCTTGTACTTGATGAGGGAGAATGTGTCCCTTGGGCAGCTTTGACGGCTCGTTAGCCGCTCTATCTGCTGTGAGTCCATCTCGCTCATAAATAGTGCTATTAAATGGAAAGGGAACGATCGTATTTTTGCCAATACGATTAAAGGTCGGAGATGCAGGGCAAGCTGTCATGGTCATTAAAGAGATACTGGCACTCCTAGCTCGGATAGTCATGCGTGACCCTACAGTGAACACCATTGGTGAGCATCACTCTGGTAAGGTGAAAAGGTCTTGGAGATGAAAAGGAGATGGAAAGACTTCCATCAATCTAAGAGGGAAGAGAAGAAGATGGTGTAGATTCGTGTCGTAAATTCAGAAGAGGTATATGTGCCGCATCACCTTGCGGCGGAGTGTCTATCTCTTTGTAGGACTATGTGCCAAGGTTCCTTCCAAAGCCATCTCTTTCGTTGCAGGCTAAAAGTTAATTTTGAATTTGGATGCGAGATCTTCTCAGGGTATCTTTGTAACGAAAATGTTCTTTGCCCGCAGATGTTTTTCGTGTCAATGTTGACAGGGTAGAGGACACAGGACTTGTCCACAATAGGTTCTGAAGTGCTGGAGCAATGGATGACATGAGCTTTGTGTACGTGTAAATCATGCTTCTCCTGATCAGGGCTCTGCGTCAATGGTCTGATGCTTCTCTGACCAAGCGAGGCGCAGTACATCGTACAGGAAGAGAAATTGCGCTTCGCTCTGCACCATCATCATGCGCTGTCTCCTCATGGCATTGACAGTATCCAGAATCGGATCCTCGTCATCTGGCACTGATTCCAAGTTTCCACGGCTAAGATGAGCGAGAAGGAAGTCCAAGGCGATAAAAGTGCCTGATCTGCCGACTCCGGCTGAGCAGTGAACGATGCGAGGACTGGATCCTACTCCAGTAGGCTTGTGTGATTGAGCATCCAGGGAGAAGTGCGAACCACAAGGCACGTCAGCTGGCTTGTTGAGCTCTGCCGACTTCGCAACCAGATTGAGCATGGCGTTTCTGTTCTCGCCCTCCGGGACCGAGAAGTCTGGCCATCCGACGAACAAGAGGTGGCAGATATCTTTCTGTTGCCATTGGTCGTCCTCGGTAGAAGCAGATTTGTATTTGAGGCGCAAATGTCTGACAGTACAGCGGCATGCAGCGTCTTCCTCGGACGATAAGAGTTCGACCTGGCCCTCAAATCCTGGGGGAAGAAGACACGATCAGCATGATTCACAAGACGGGTAGCATAGTTCAATCGAATCTTGTAGCACAGTTCATCATCTTTGGAGTTGTCGTGGAGCACCAAAAGATGGCGCAACAATTGAGTCTCCCAACAAAGCCAAAGACTAAGAACTGTGAGCAAGCAACTCACCATCATCAAGATCTGGGTCCGGGTGAAGGTCAAGTGGCGTATCCTGGCTTTCGGGGAAGTACTTGAAGCACTTTTCGCGGCCAGACTCGTGCGTTTTTGTGAGCATGACGACAACAGCAGGGGCGTCAGACTCGGTTTCTTGAGCCAGCATACGGTAGAACTGAGAGGTGGAGGTGTCCTTCGGTCCCTGTGTGGCAATGTAATGACGAGGGCCTAGAGCAATGGGCGAGGCATTGATGTAATCGTTGAAGCCTTCTGCGACGTTCAACTTGACACGATTATCGGCGAAAGGCTCGACATTAATGTAGCGATTGCGATAAGCGATGTGATTGCCAGTCAGGCGAGTCCATTCCGTCTCTTTCTCAGGGTTGTCGTATTGCTCCGTGAGGCGTTCACGTTGTAGGTTCTCGATGTAGTTGAACTTGTTTACCAGAGTCGATCGATCTTGACGAAGGAATTGAGGGAGGGTCGAGGCTACGCCAGGTTGCGTTGGCGTTGAAGTGGAGCGAGTAGCCATGGCTCGTCTGATACCAGCGGATCGTCTTTCGAGAAACCTTTGTTGCTTATCGAGTAGGCGAATGCGCCGGGGTGATCTTGGATGAGCCAATTTGGCGAAGGGCGGGACAAGATATATAGCCGAATTCCCGAGTGAGAGTAGAAGCGAATGAGCTAGAAGCGAAGTCTTAGAAGAGTATAGATAGGAGTGATGGTGAAAGTGAAATGAGATTGCTTCGACTTGGACATTCGAGGCCGAAAGTATGAAACATGACGACGGCCACCCTCATCATGCCCCTCGTTCGGCTCCTCCTTCCTTCGACCCTAACGCCTATACAAGTGCTTATCGCGTAGGCGTAGACTTTTTTTTTACACTAAACTTGCGCTCGAGTAAAAGTGTCGCTTGGCATACATTGAGATCTGATCGTTTCCATCATCTAAGAGTTGTCTGTCGTGTGGTGAGATGGAAAGCTTGCTGCATGCATTCCGGTGAGACAGTGTCACTGAGTCTCGGCTGCTCCTTCCGGAATTCCAATGGCCGGATTCACGATTCTGTGACTTGTGGAGTTTATGCGTACAGCAGATGTGTTGCATGCCCGCCTTCTCACCGGGGCCATCTCTAGAAATACAGTCAAGGAATTGCGACTATTGACGAGAAGTACTCATCTTTTACGCGAGAGCCTGGTGTCCATAAGGTCCGCCAAGAGATTTTCGTTGTTCGTCTCTTAGGCTTCGTCTTCCGCAAAGTCCTTTATCTCCGCAGGCATTCATCACTATAGGTATGCACACACACCTTCCTTCCTAATAACAAGGTCAAGTTTGTATTTCCTCATACCAGCAACCCCATATTCCTTCGCTCAGTCACACACATCATGGGACCCTGGGTAGCAGTTGTAGAGGCAAGTCCGTCATTTCGGCAGCTTGGATCGCCACTCGGTCGCTAACCGCTGTATAGGCATGGCTAGTCAAAAGAGTATGCACCACAATCTACGAGCGATCCCCGTAATACAACTGACCCTTCCCTGCCCAGCTCCTCGAAAGCCATACATTCCATCAAGGTGTGCGGAAAGTCCACAAGGGCGTCCATCGCCTACGACACGGTCCTTTGGAGGAAGATCTAGGTGGCACAAACCTTGAGAGTACGTCACTCGGTCGCAGACTTCGCAGACTACGCAACAGCAGCTGATGCTCTGCAGAACAAGGTCCGGGATTCGCAAATCACTTCTGGGAGGAGATCCAGGTGCAGACTGGACGCCGCAAGAGGATAGAAGACCCATTGCAAAAGCCCGATCCGGCAAAGACAAATATCACACAAGCACAGCACCCGCCACAACAACCGCCTAGCCAGTCCAGTCGACCGAGTCAACCCAGCCAGGCTGCACAAGAGCGTAAGTGCTCGACAACTTCAAACATCCGCCATCCGCTGACCGTAATAGCCCAACCGCCGAAAGAAGGTTTCATATCTCACTTCATGGACGAACTGCGCTCTCAGACTCGTGGCGGCGACAAGAACCGCTGAAACAACCAATCTGGTGCCTCGTGGAAGTGACATGGGGACCAAGAGCCCGGCATCTGCTCCGATGCCCGCCATAACATCCTCGCTCCTCGCACGTCTCCATCGCTGTATTTGGTCGCTGTCATTTCACACAATGCTTTTCATCCTTTCTGGGTCAAAAAGATGGGATCATTTGATCTCCGCTCGAATTCTGGCATGTATCCTGGCTGCGCAGCATGCCTAAACGAGAAACTCAGTTTACGATCACTAGCCGAGTTTGCCGCAATGGCAGGCATGTCACGAGACATGCGCAGTAGCAGGCTGTACTTGAGTCTTTCTAGATCTCGGGAGAGCCTTATTTCACATCGACGGGTATGATCATTCACCAACCAAACTCATAATTTCATAAAAGGAGATCAGAGTATTCAGAGCCCCGTCGGAGACGAATTCCGGTCGCAGATCGATCACCGAGTGCTCCAATTCAGGCATTTACCCGATCATACGACGTTCGATGTACCCTGCTGGATGAGGCAGACCGAACGTCATCCTCGGACCCTGATCAACTTCACCTCACATCGTTTGTTACACGTCATGCTTACAAAGTGCTCAACGTGACATGTATATCATCGCGAGGATTCCACGCCTCGCTGTATCCTCCTTGAACATCCCAGCCTTTGTCACCCAAGTCTTTCTACAAAGCAGGTAATCAAAATGCCTAATGCAATCGTCACTGGCGCCAGTGGAAAGCTATTACAAGGCCGCTCATATCGCATCTTCGCATGAACTGAGTGTGTCTTAGGTATACTCGGCCGCGAGATTGTATTTGAACTTGGTGAAGACACTGAAGCATGACCTACTGCTTATGCTCTGTCTCTCGCAGCAAGAAGGAAGAGTCCCCTTCGAATGTCAAGCATATCTCAGCAAATGGGCACAACGCCAAGAAGTCAAGGAAGCCCGGAACAAACTCGCCAAAAGAGAAGGAGTAGACAAGTCAGGTATTGAGAATGCAACATGGGGTTTTTCGAAATTTGTGTTTGGCAGAAATCACAATTTGGTTATCTCTATGAGCAAGGCTAGGAAAGCTGGATGGACTGGCTATGAGGATACTTGGGAGAGTATGGAGAAGAGTTTTGAACGGTCGGTTGGCGAAAAGGTGTTACCTGCTTTTGATGCAGGGGAATAGAAAGAAGCTACTTTTATCTACATTATCGTTTCGCCATGACCATCATGAATTCCTTCATGCGATTCAGAAAGGCATTAGCTTGTTTTGCGTAACAGCTTCCATTACAATAACTCAGTGATATAGTCGTTGCTCCCTTCCAACTCTCCATACGCAATAAGCTACAGTGGTCAGTTAAAGGTTGCCAATTGGCCACATCGAAGGACACAAGCTAATAGAGTCTGCGCATCTTATATTTCCGGCTCGTGAGTGTCTGTCAAGAACAGCATGTCATCGACAGTCAGGAGCGAAGATCCACACTGTTTGTGGGGTGTACAGCTCATTCGAATCATCACTTGCGAGAATCTGTAAAACAATGGGAGTTTTCAGTACTCAAATCGACACGAGCGATCTAAGATCCAAAGGCAACATACCGGCACAGCTTTACCATCAGATCTACTCTCATTACTGCATGAGTAGATCGATGTCAACTCTTACTCGTTCTCAAATCCAGTAACCTGCAAGGACTCACGAAGCAAAATAGCCGGACAGAAACTTATCCTTTGCAAGTCCAAGATGGAGTATAAAGGACTTGTCAAGCCAGTACTCATAAGCCTTTTTTGCCACTTTCATCCCTGTTTCTAGTGCCTGGAGTACTGCTGCCGTGTCGTCATAATCCACGGTATCTTGTTCGAGGTGTTCGAAATCGATGACTGCGCAGACTTGACAATTGCCATATTGAGCTTTTGTAAACTCTGGGCTGAAGTATTTCCATCCGTTTACTGATAATGGCATGATGACTGTTCTTTCTGCACGGAACTCCTTGGCGAGCGGATTGGTGTGTAGGCGTGTTAAGAGGGTTGCTGTTTGTGCTAGGTGGGTTATTGTGAAGCCGGGACCTAAATTGGCTTTTATGCCTTGAATGATAGAGTGGCATTCCGACGGCGTCAGCTTCAGTACGGCTGTGTATGGCAGTCCAGGTTCAATACCAGTTTGGATGTAATGGCTAGACTGCGACTCCGTGAGTCAGTGTGATCTCTGCTGATGAGAAAAGTCATTTTCACACGTACGCCGAACCTAAACATACTTTCCACAAACTCCTCCAGGCTGTCATTGTAATCTTGACCCATGGTCTCCAGATCGATGACAAGTGCGTCGAGAAGAGGTGGACTCAAATTCTTGATCTCTTGACCCCAAGGATACACTGCATGTTCCAGAGTTTGACCGACGCAAAGAGTGTTAGCTCTTTATCATCCTCTCTAAAACGCGCCTCATGAGTCAAGAGCATGCAGATCTCACATCAAGGTACGAGAGAGAGTGTCAGCGCTGATAGGTGTGAGTCTGCAACAGCGAAGTATGATTGGTCAAAAGGTTCGTAAGTACGACTTGTGATTGGCCGAACTTGATTGTTACGGAAGGATCGTTGACTCAGTATCTAAACAGTCTTTCCGCTCCTTCTCTCCTCAATGTCCTATTCTTGAACTTGTAAAAGAACAGCAGAGATATACAACCAGCTGCGACGAAAAACAACAAGCCTGCATTGACCCAATGTCCTGTTGGGTAACCCTTTTTCTTCTCTTCTGCCTTGTAAATCCATACGCCGGTGATTTGTCCAGGGGCACCAAACGAGATGTTCAAAGCAATGGCCAATCCGGCTGCAGCTGTACTGTGAAGGTTGGATGAGAGCCAGCCTAACAGTGGTGGGATACAAGAGAATGAGCCGGCGGCGGCGACGATCAGGCAGCCGTAACGAGCGTTATATGCGTCTGGTGGAAGTACAGCAGAGGCTAAAAAGCCGATTGCGCCTACCGTGGCAAAGATGGCCGAATGTAGAGCTCGTCTGAGGGCTGTTAGGTTTTGGTCACGAGTGGAAGAATCTGGAATACTCACGCATCGAAGTGGTCAGCAGACCATGAAACCAGAAGTGTGACAACATATGCTACCGCATAAGGGGGTACGGTCATAAGTTGTGCTGTAAGATCCTTGAAGCCCAAACCAGCCGTAATGGTAGGTGTGAAGAGCGATAAGCTGGAGAAAGGTGTCGAAATTCCAAAGTAGATGGCGTAATGGGCATAGAGTCTCCAGTCAGTAAGAGTAATTTTGGCATCTTGCCATGTCATGCTCTTGCTGTCACCGTGAGAGCCCTCGTACTTGAGTCTTTCTGCTGCCAGCGCTTTCTCCTCAGGAGATAGCCATTTGACAGTTTCGGGGTAGTCAGGCAGAAAGAACCAGACCAAAGGTGCAGATAGTAATGATGGGAGACCTTCGAGAATGAACAACCAACGGAAAGCAGACAGTCCACCTGTACCATTCATGTGTCCAACACCGTAAGCAATGGCACCGCCAAAGGCTCCTGCCAAAGTCGCGGAGGCAAGAATAAAGGCAACGCGGATTGAACGCTCGTCGGTGCGGTACCAGAAAGCTACATCAGTCAGTTTTGTCGCTTTTTCCCAATGGATATCATGCGACTTACTCAGATAGTAGACCAGGCCGGGGAAAAGGCCAGCTTCGAAGACTCCCAACAAGAAACGCAATGCCGTAACTCCTGCAAAATTATGCACACCGCCTAACCCCATAGTCATGACTGACCATGAGAACATGAGGAAGGCAATCCACTTGCTTGGTGACAGACGCTTTAGGAAATAGTTCGAAGGCACCTCGAAAACCATGTAAGCGATAAGGAAGACCATCAGGGCGATGGTGTATTGATATGCCGTCATGTTGGTCTCCGAGAGCAAGTCGTTGTGTGTGGAAGCATTCAAGACCTTGGCATTGCCGATGTTGGATCGATCGAGATAGCACAATAGATAGATGCCACAAGAGATAGGGAGGATTCTCAGGTCTTGTTTCCGGACGAGACTCTTGTCTTCGGCAGAGCCTCCCCGTGTATAGGCTTGTTGGTTTAGGCTGCCCGACTCGGCATCATTGACGAACTCTGGTCCGATATCTTTTTCATTCATAGAGGTCATAATGGCGGAGATGTGCTTCGAATGAGATGAGATGAGATGGTCCGGGGTAGATCTGGGGTAGTAACTCAGATATATACCACTGATGTCGAGGCTGAGGGGAACCCAAGTGCCGCGTTACCCATTAGTGATGTTGAGGAGGAAAGAGATTCGAAAGATACAAAATCGGCCGACGGCCCCAACCACCGCTCCTGCAGGATGCAGATCAGATCAGATTGAGCAGTGGTGCAACCTCCGCAGACCCCACGACGAATCCTTCGGACCCCGCAAGCCGATCACTTTCCCCCATATCTGTCCCGTCGGCCCCGTCCACCGCTTCTTTGTCTTTTGAATATGCAGACCACTAATTGCGACCGGTGTTATCGCCGAAAGAGCAAGTGCGACCGACTACAGCCTTGCGCTTCCTGCAGCAAGAGCGAGGCACAATGTGTCTACACTGACCGGACCAAGGAAAGAGCAGTCCGACCGGACGTCGTGGACCGCTTGGAGAGGCGTCTTGCTCAAGCCGAGAACCGGAACAAATCACTAGCCGCAGAATTGTCCAGGATCAGATCTGCCAGATCGCATGCCAGTAATGATAACGCCGATACCAACATGCGACCAGAGCCCCCATCAGACGATATTACAAGCCGGAGAGATGACATCGCTGCACAAGTGTCCATCCTATCGACCAGTGCTGCTGGTGAGCGGCAATATCTGGGATCCACGAGTGGAGTGCTATTCGCAGACTTGGTGAGGGCGAGTGTCGACGTTCCCCACTCCAGACATCCATCACCACCGACTACAGCACGTACTGAGTACTCACCCGAATCGTCAGACGATGTGCGTGTGGAGCTACCGCGTGAGCTGCCATCTCGCAAGCTGGCTCAGAAGCTGATTCAAGCTTATCTTGATCATGACTTCCTTTGCTATCCTTTTCTGATACCTTCAGAGATCCACCGAACGCTGGATTACTTATATAACTCTGGACTCACCAGTCTGTCATGCTATGAGCTCTTCGTGGTTGACATGTTGTTCGCCATCAGTACGGCACAAGTGTCCAAATACGATTGGAGACAACTGCCAAGCGCTGAGAGCCACCATGCCCGGGCCATGGCCTCTATCGGAGATGTCTTACGTTTCGGGGGTCTACAGTCACTACATGCCATTCTGCTGCTGTGCCAGTACAGAACTGGCAGTTCAATACAAGATAACTCGGGATCCATGTGGTTATTAGTTGGTATAGCAGCTCGTATGTGCTTCGAGATGGGACTGCACAAAGAGTCTGCTTTTCCCTTGACCGGACCTGGAAATGACGATACGACGTCGAAGCGATATTTGTTGCAAGAGTCAAAGAGAAGATCCTTCTGGAGTGTTCTGTGTATGGATCGAATAACCTCATTGATACTCGGTCGGCCCTGTGCTATCCGGGACGACGATTTCGACCATGCCTGTCCGTTCGAGGACTCAACTATTTCTCCACCTGAGACTGACGTCGGGGGGTCAAAACCGTTCGTCTTCAAACATATCGTATCATATCGACTACTCTGCGGAGAGATTGTGTCAGCTCTGCATCGGAAGAAAGCTCCGAACGTTGGGGAGCAACACGTTCTCGATATCAGACATCGACTTTGTGCTGACCTGGAAGGATGGAAGCATGACGTTGAAAATCTCCACCTCGAGCAAAACTCACAAACCTCATCGTCATGCCATCTATCCACGGAGTGGTATAGTTTGTTGTACTCGAACGCCATGCTCATACTCTGGCGACCCTCACCACTCCTACCTGATATCTCTCATGATGCAAGATCTTTGCAGCATATCTTTGACTCCGCAAAGCAGAGCATCACGATATACGCTAGCCTTCATAAGTCACGTAAGATCAACTACAGCTGGATCACCTTACAGTCGGTCTTTCTCGCTGGTCTCTCATACGTCTACGCTTGCGGCCGTCACTACCGCTCTCGCTGGCGTAACCCCACTGAACCATCTTTGCAAAAGGATCCATCAACGATCGAAGTGGTCAACGATACCAGAGCTTGTTCAAATGTGCTAGTAGCTGTGTCGGAACGTTGGAATGCTCTCAGAAACTGTCATGAAGTCTTCGATAAGCTGTCAGATGCAGTGCTTAGCGACGCCATCAAGCTCCAGACAGCCCAAGCGCAACAGATGATACGACCCTTTGTACAACAATCAGTCAACATCAACAATGACTCTCTAAATCATAACAATCTCATCACACCACGAGATTCGACCACCTTCTCGCCTTTGGCTGTAGACACTGAATTTCTGCACTGCTTTGACGACTTACAGCAGCTGTACAACATGCAACAAATTGAAGATCCTATCATGGAGTTGAGTCAAGATTGGCTTGGGTATCTGGGAAATGGTAGCGACTTTATTGAGCCTTCCTACCAGATGAATGGGTACTAGATTCTGGACAGAAACTCGAGAGTGAACAGTAAGCCCAGCAGATGCAACAAAGTTCCTCCAATCAAATTGTTCCTCTCTCCAAAAACTTCAACGGGATGTCTACATACTTGCTTCTGAGATACTCACCCACACCTTTGCCCAGTCCATCGATACGTGCACTGGAAGCTATACCGCCATCAAGAAAGTCCAAAACACGGCTGTATCTATCATCAGTGACAATTCACAAACCCCCCAGAGCGACCTGAGACTCACAAATGAATAGCGAGAATGTTTGGAAATTCGCATCGCTCGACTGCATGTCCAGCGTAGTCATCTTGCAGCAGCCCTTTTAATCTGTCGACCGTGAGTAGAGATTGCAGCCAGGCATACTCGTCCTTGTGAAGAACGAAGAAGCCGATGTTTGAATTGTCTGCTTTGTCTCCGGAGCGTGCGTGGACGATACTCCCTAGCGGTCTTCGCACTGCGGGGCCAAAATATTCAAGATCTACAGGCTCCGCTGTCTCAGATGAAGGCCTCTTGTTTGCGTAATACTGCGTTTTTCTGGGTGGAGCAATTGAGATCGTCTTACTGGCAACAACAGCTTCGTGGTTGATAGCCACTTGTGGTATCGTTGCTGGGAAGATTTCGTAGAACATTTTCGGCTCCATAGTCCGGAAGTCCAAATTCATGTGATAACCAGGATAGCTCTGCATTCGTAGCGAGTACAGCGGAATTTTGAATTTCTCCGCCGTGATGTCTTCCCTCCTACGTGCTTGGGCAAAGACTCGCAGCATGACTGTACCTGCTTGTTGTGAAGTCGGGTTCTCGGCTTGAGTACCGTATAGCTCCACGGAGAACTTGGAGAACTGGCTGCCACCGAAGATGTTTTGAAGCTGCTGTTTCATCATTTGTGCTTTTTCATGCACGTCGAGCCCGTTGATATAATAAGTCGTCTCTGCTTGCCAGCCTCCTGGTGCTGCAATCATGACTTTTGTGGTCGGAGGTGGTGGCGATCCCTTGCAGCCAGATACAAAGACGCGATCTTTCTGAACTGTCTCTTCTATGCGGATGCTGGCGATATCTGCGACCACGTCTGGATTGAGATACATCTGGCCTTGTAGCTCGTACAGAAGCTGCGAAGTGATATTGAACTTGTTGACCACTCCATTCATGGAATCAGGCTTGGTGATATAACAAGTACCAGAAAGTGTGATTTCGGCCATTGGAAAGGCCAGATCCACCAGTTCGGGGAGAAACTGCTTGAAGCCTGAGAAGTTCGCTCCTGTCGCGTAGGGCCCACATTCGATAAGGTGGCCAGCTATCAATGCGCCAGCAAGCTGATCGTAGCTAGTCTCCGACCAACCATACCACCAGGCAGCGGCACCAATTACGGGTGATGCGTCTGTGACACGACCGCAAATGATTATGTCAGCGCCTTCTTTCAGTGCTGCCACGATTCCCCAAGCTCCAATATATGCGGCAGCGCAAGTAGGCTCAAGCTCGGCGTCCCAGTCTTTCAGAAGCTGCTCCTGATGATCCAGGTGGGGAAAGTCAAGCACTCGTTCTCCAGATTTGCCCCGAGTCAGGAGGTGGCTGACATCATCTCCGAGTATGGTCGCAACTACCAAGTCGTGTCCGCGGCTCCGGCACAATTCCTCAACTCTACGAGCCAGTACAGGAGCATTCATTGCCCCAGCGTTGGTGATGATCTTGGTTTTCTTCTCTGCAACATCATCGATACACTCTGTGAGTTGCCTGAGAAATCCAACATCATAGCCGAGCTCTGGATCTTCTGCTTTCTTGATTGATTCCCAAGCTATGTTCATCTCAGACAGCCTTCCCTAGAGTTAGTGGTAGAAGTTGACGACTGAGAGATAAACCTACCAGTCGCCTGTGATCACGTCGACGTCGGCATCTCGGACCATACGAGCCATCGCATGAGGCGCATCTCCAGTCGCACCACTACAGTTGCCAATTCGAAGGTTTCGCTGCGCCGGCATGATGACTTGCTATTGTGATGATTGTTCTCGATCTGTGGGATGCGAAGAGACAAGGTCACATATATCTGTCGCCGGTCGTCCGGACATCTCCGAGCAACGGCACATAGGGCCCGGTACACGTCGCATCTTTGCACCTCATGGGAGGTGGCATTGAGATTAGGATTGTGTTTGAGGGATCATCAGCGGGAGACCGAAAAACCGAAGAGAGTGGCTGCTGTCGGGCGTCGGCGCCGAAAGCCTTCTCTGCTCAGCCGAGAATGACAAGATGTGGAGACCCCATATCTGCCGAAACAAGGTAACAATTTCCCTCCTGCTTCCATGTCCAAGGCACGATGATACAGATCATCATGCCCTGGATCGTCACCTCATCCCGCCTCTCGAAAGCCAAGCTGGCTAGTTGCGAAGAGGAACTGGACACACTTGCCGAGCAAAGATCACAGGCGATGATCATGATTCGTATAAGAGGCAGGGTTTACTCTCAGGTAAGAATTGATTCATAACCTCAACATCTAACATGAAGCTCCATATCATCCTCTCCGTTCTTGGTATTTGCTCATTTTCAGATGCGCTACTAACAGTCGAGAACACCGATTGCACGTCTTTCACGCGCAACATCACATTGCCAGGAAACACTACAATCACCAACACAACTTACCATGATACTCATACCGTCAACATCACAAGCGGGAAAGACAACATCTATAATAGATATGCCTTCTGTGAAGTAGAAGGCGTCTTATCGTATGGAAGTAACTCCACTCTACATTTTTCGGTCTACCTACCAGACGCTTCATCGTACAATGGCCGATTCATGGCTGTCGGTAATGGCGGTATGGCTGGAACTCTCGACAAAGCCGCCCTGATGCAACAATTAAATTCTGGCTTTGCATCTGCGGCTGGGGATGCGGGTCATCTTGCCAGTCTCAACAACGCTGGCTCTGGAGCTCCGAACACCTACATACCTTATCTACACGATCCTGATGAAGTTCAGGCTTGGATCCACGATGCTATCGCTCTGTTCGTACCATCCACGAAAGAGCTTATTAAAGCTTACTACAACAAAGATGCAGCCTATAGCTACTATAGCGGTTGCTCCACTGGAGGAGCTCAAGGATTCGCCCTCGCGCAGTACCACCCAGAGCTCTTTGATGGTATTATTGCTGGATGTCCAGGAAATTGGTACTCACATCTCGCTCTCTCTTTCCTCTGGAATGCACAGCACGCAGTCGAAAACAGTTCTTATTATCTGCCGCAATCAGTCCTGAACTTCACGGGTCAAGCAGTCTTGGAAGCCTGTGATACCAACGATGCCGTCAAGGATGGAGTGATTGAGAATCCGTGACTTCTCCATTGACTCACTAGCTTGCAACCGCACTACCGCGTCTCGAAGCAACAGCACGATAACCTGCCTTACGCCTAAGCAAATCACAGCCGTGAAAGCTATCTACGCTGGGCCTAGAGACTCGAACACTGGAGAACAGCTCTACCCTGGTTTTGCACATGGCTCCGAGATTCAATGGATACTTCAAGAAGGCGAACTGTCGAACGCTTTTTCAGTACCCATCCTACAGAATCTGGTCTATGACAGCCTCACTTATGACGCATCCACGTTTGACTGGGCAAGCGACGTGTCAGACGTTAATATAAACGCCGGAGCGGCAATCGACGCCATAAGCACGAACCTTACCGCTTTCCGCGACAGAGGTGGTAGGTTGCTAGTCTACCAAGGCTGGGCTGACCCGTTCAACGCACAAACTTGGCCAATCCAACACTACGAAGATGTGCAGTCGTTCTTTGACGATGACATCTCTAACTTCTACAACGTGTTCATGATACCGGGTGGTGGACATTGCGGCGCTGCGAGCTTATATCCCCAAGTACCTGCAACGTATCACACTGTACCTGCGCTGATGAATTGGGTGGAAAGAGGAGAAAAGCCTGAGGAAGTGTTGACGACAAATCCGACGGATGGAGACGTGAGGAGCAGAAAATTGTGCGCTTGGCCGCGTACGGCGACATATGTGCAAGGCAATGTTGATGATTGGACTTCGTATGTATGCGAGTAGTCTGATATACATTCTATTTTCTGTCGTGGCCCAAGGATGGTACAGACGACTCCTCGATACTCAAGTATAAATCTCGCTCTTCAACCAAGCAGCAGCCCTCTCATAAGCCAATTCTGTAATCCTCTCCCTCTCCTCCTCTGCTTTGGGCTCCTTCTTCTTGATGTAATTGAACCCATGCTGTGCGCCCAGGACTTCTTCCCACCAAATATTCCCTTGCTTCCAGCTTTTTACTCCCTGTTTCTGATCTTCTTGCGCATCGCCCTGCTTCTTGTCCTTTGCGCCTTCTGCCTCAGCGAAAAGCTTCGCAGCTTCCAGAGCTTCGTTGCAGAGGAAATCGTATTCTGCACCTACGAATCTCAGTTTCTTCGGCAAAAGCTTGCGATCCGCATAAATAGGTGAGAGCAAAGGATCTCTCAAGTCTACCTTGTTGGGTAGGTATCCGTAGGAGAACAGCTCTCCACTTTTTTCTAAAACATCGGGGGAGCCATCAGGTGCGTTTCTCATTTCTCCCTTGTACTTCCCGCTGAAGTCAGTGGAAGGATACCAGAGCAATAGACCGGCAATTTTGCCTTGCAGAGAGCGAGATTGAGCGACTGAGAGGGAGAGATTTCCGCCTGCTGAGAAACCTCCCATACATATCTTACTCTTGTCGACTGGTAGTGTAGAGTCGTTGAGGATAGCCGTGACGATTTCCACCAAATCATTAGTTTGAGTGGGGAAATAGTAGCCTGGAGCTTTCCTGTAGTCGCAGCTCACAACACAGATATTCTGCTTTTCGGCCAGATAATGACACCATCCGTCATCGTGGAAGGGGTCTCCAATTGCAAATCCACCACCATGAATATCAATGTACAAAGGCAATGTCTGGCCAGCTTTCCAGCTGCTGGGGATCCAAACATCATTGGTCAAGCGAGCACCGACGGGATAAGTTTTCTTGTAGGTAGGTTGAAGGGTCCCCATCTTTTGGTAGCGGAAAAAGCGGAGGGTGCCCAAGAGGGAGCGGACAGTGACTTTGAAGATCCAGAGACGGATCCATAGTTTCAAGCGGGCGAGTAGAGGCCTAGGGACTGATGAAGCCGGCGCTGTGGCTTCTACATTTGCAGGGATGGATGTCGCTGTTGTCGACATGATGATTGGTTGTTCAACGCTTGGTCTCGGTGATGTAATTGGATATATCCGTTCAGATCAGGAACATGCGATGGAAGGCAAAGTGTAGCACCGTGATTTAGTGTCCTGATGAGGGTTGTTTCACACAGTCTGTAATTGCGGTCACGATACAGCGAGACTAGAGACGAATGGGCAAGAGGCAGGAGTCGTGGTTGTCTCTTGGGTACAAGTCGCGTGCCTTTGATATATCGTGTCCGGCAGAAGCGGAGATCGTGGTTACTCACAAGTGCCGAGATCCTCGGCACTATCTTATGTGAGCGGGGCAACCCTGCTTCATAATATCTTTATAGCACACTTGGTCGTCTGGACTCGAGCCATTCTGGTATAATGACTAATCGTTGTTGGACGTCGTCCAAGTAATGTCTAGATAATGAGTTGGAAAGAGGTATCGTGAATTCGAGTTGTATAGGGTCGATTTTCTGTTCGACCGTGGGAGGCTGAGTCAGGTCTTGCCACTGCGCCAAATCCAAGAAATGTCATCTGGGACCATCGACAACGAGACTTAGACGTATCATAGCTACATTTTTGCTTAGATTGTCTATTGATCATAATCGTCGCTCATGTCGAGGCAAGGCGAACACAAGGACGGCTTGCGATTCTTCAACGTTGCGATGATACGTCGCGACGCCGACCTAGTCCTTTAAGGACGGGCTGACCTGTATGTTGACACATTGGCACCTTCCTGTCACGCCCGGAGGACCTTTCTCGTCTCACGGGATCAAATTCCAGGTCTCTCGTCCAACGTGGCCGAGTCCGAACAACCATTGAGGTCATGGCATAGCACCGAGAACGCGCTCGGGCAAACGATCTCAAGATCTGCGACCGCTGAAGCTGGTCAACCTCAACACGCCTGTTCCTTAGTCTGATGCGACGATGCCAAGCCGTTCATTAACACAGGGACAGAATCGATTCTTAGCGCTCAATAACATCTGGTTGGAGACATTGTCGTGGTCGATCTACGTGTTCGCTCTTGGCAGTGTGATTTGTAGCTCCGCAACGACAGCGCTCTTCCACGTTCTCAACCTCGTAACCTCGCGCTTGTCAATCGACCAGACTCACACAACTGCGGTCGGCGGTCCATCAGTCACAAGCATGGATATGACTATTCAACTTCTGGTATAACAGCGCCTGAGAGTCGCTACGACGTTCGCCAGACAAGACTCCTGCAGCTTGAGCAGTGACATACGTGTCGTTCAGGCCCGTGCCATAGCAGCGTTCTCCGTTCGTGAGCTAGAGGCATAACATATGCGCAGTTTTACCATCCAGGGCTGTCCTCAACATGCCAAGGCTGGTGCAGACCTTGCTTGAAACCATACAAGCATTTTCAATCAAGATTCTGCGTAAGCAAGTGGAAAATGCTCGAATCTGATTCGTCAATGGTTCAACGACATGTCGTCCGTGGTGACTAGACTGTGACGAATATCGGGGCCCTCTACACTATCTGCAAGTCGCATGCCGCAAAAAGCCTACCGCTTCCTGAAGCGTGGATTCCAGGACTTGAGGCTTACGTGCGAGTCAAGCTGATGGCTTGAGCTATGGACAGGTAGGCGATGATGTGTTCCCGGATATAAGAAGTCTTCTTCCTTCTCTTCACTATTCTCTCTAACCTTCAATAACACATCCTGCGCTATCTCTACACTCTAAAACATGGTCCACCTCAAGAACATACTTGCATCTCTTGCTCTGACCAGCACCGTTATTGGTCATCCCGGCCATGATCCTCGCGAAGAAGCCCTCGAGCGTCGCTCCTACTACGACTTCGTACCTCAGTACAAACGATCTCTGAGTCACTGCGAAGCCAAAATCAAGGCGCGTGGTCTCGAGCAAAGATCGCTCGCTCGTCGCGAAGCTCTGGCCACAGACATGAGACAAAAGCGTGGTCTTCCAGTCGTCATGGGTAACACTACCTTAGATGGTGAGAGGTTGTTGCTCGTAGCTAATCAGCTAGCAGAGAAACGCGATACCTCCTCTGTCCTCAACACGACGCATCTATCGAACGACACCAGCATCAACATGGACGTTACTGAGGAGTACCTCTTCAGCAATGGCTCTTGTATTCTGGTGCCCGAGGTCACACAAGGTCCTTACTACGTCGAAGGGGAATTAATTCGCAAGAATATTACCGAAACACAAGAGGGTGTCACGTTGACTATTGACATCCAAGTCATTGATGTCAACACTTGCGAGCCTGTGCCGGATGTCTACATTGACTTCTGGCACTGCAACGCCACAGGAGTGTACTCCGGCATTGTCACTAGTGGCAATGGAGACTCCTCCGACACAGTCAATGTCAACACGACCTTCCTTCGCGGCATTGCAGAGACCGACACTGAGGGGGTTGCCACTTTCGAGTCCATCGTCCCTGGCCATTACACCAGGTAAATTGTACAAACAACGCGAATATCGAGAACAGTACTGACAGGAGTTGCAGCCGTGCCAACCATGTTCACATAGTTACCCACACAAACACGACCCTTTACGTCAACGGCACAATGTCATCGGGCTCTGTCCAACACGTCGGCCAATTATTCTTCGACATGTCCTTGCTTGAGCAGGTTGAAGCGACATATCCCTACAATACTAACACCCAAGACTGGACCAGCAACAGCGAAGACTCGATTCTCTCGGAAGAGACCGCAACCGACGGCGTAGACCCTGTGGTCCAATACATCCTGCTTGGCGACGATATCACCGATGGTGTGTTAGCTTGGGTATCCATGGGTGTTGATATGACCAACAATCAGACCATCACTCCTGCAGGCAACTACTACCGCACTGGTGGTGTGATGGACTCGTCTTCGTCAGGTATGGGTGGCGGTATGGGAGGTGGCGATGCCGGTGGTCCTGGAAACAGTACTTCCAACGGCACTGCAGGTGCACCTCCTTCTTGATGCGCACAAAGTCGAAGTGGGATGTCTGAGGTCCCAAGATTGACATGCGTGTGCATGTTGGAGTCGCACGATATCTTTTGGAAGTCTCTGAACCTTGACAGCGCACAATGTTTGACCTGGGTAGACTGCTAGAAATCAATCGCAATCACGATGTACGCAGCATATCCGAATCAGCATGATCGACAGCATATCGCACATCTTCTTTGTCAAGCCCCGTGCGCAATGCAGGCGCAATGTGCAAAAGCATCGCCATTCATGGTACATATACCATAACGGCAGCGTGAGTTACGTGTGAAAATTATCCTGTCATAACTGCTCCGCGTCCAATGTCACTTACCCAAGATTAGCTCGAGGATTTCAGGCTACTCACATTTACAGTGCTGTACTCAGGAAAGCCGGCTATACAGATGTGGTGAAGCCAAAAGTCCAGGCCCCTGCCAAGGAATGGAGAGAGACAGTCCAGCCTCGGTACTTTTCACCTGACCGTTGGAAGTAAGTTTCAGATCGTGGAAAGATGGCTTTCTGGCCATGCAAGTGTCTTCGAGCGGCGAATGTTGCAAGTGCTGTTCGCATTGATTAGGGCTCTATGATGAGGTCCTGCTTGCGGCGTGAGTGTCAAGAGATGCAGGTCCTCCGTCGATACTCGGACAAAAGGAGAGTGCCAATTACTCGTCGCGGCAACAATTAGGACATGAGGAACTTGCAGACTTTACTGACAGATAGTGTAGATCATCTCAGTAGAGGGCGACTCGCCTATTAGCTTTCCTGCCCTTGCGGCAGCTGCCACCATGTAACATTGATTTGAGTCGTGGTTCGACAGCTGTGTACCTAATTCTTGCATCTACCAGCCGGAGATGGACTTTCTGAAAGCGGCTACGTGCGTATAAGTGGCTTCTCTGGCTGCCCATGACAGGTGAAGGTTGAAACAAGGTTGAGGCTGGCGGGCTTGATTGGATCCTCGTGCATGGATGTCGGGCACGTTTTTGCCTGCCTGAGCTTGCCAAGGTGACTAACCCCATGAGATCTTCATGCTATGGACATGCATGGCGATGTCGCAGCCATCGACAGCTGTTACAGCACCGAACAGCGTTCGAGGCCTGTGCCATCATACCTTTTTGTGGTGGTGGCGTGGGGTTGAAACAGTAACCTTGTTCCCCATGCTGTGAGTCGTGCTTTTATGGTTATTCATATTGACTTTTAGCGTCAAGTGGGACGCCTGTTAGGTTATGGGTATTGATGATCAGGCAGTCGAGCATATATAAAGACCTCGACACTTGCACCAAGACAGGCTTTCACTCTCTATCCTCCGACCAACTCTCCAATATCACAATCATGCACTTCACCAACAGCGTCCTTGTCGGATCCTCCCTCTTGGGCATGGCTGTCGCTAGCCCAGTCGACCTTGACTCCCGCGCATCGGGCTGCTCAAGCTACAGTATTTATGGCCACATCTGTATCACCGCACTTGAAGCTGATCACACCACATAGCTCTCATCAACACTAGAGGTACTGGTGAGGCTCAGGGCCAGTCCAGCGGTTTCACCACCATGAACAGCAACATCCGCTCCCAGGTTCCTGGTGGCAAGACCTACAACACCGTCTACGCTGCCGACTACAGCCAGAACTCCGCAGCCGGAACCCAAGACATCATCAACAAGATCACCTCCACCCTCCAAACAAGCCCCAATGAGTGCTTCATCCTTGAAGGCTACTCTCAGGGCGCCGCTGCCACTGTCAATGCTCTTCCCAAGCTAACTGGTACTGCCAACACCGCCGTCAAGGGTGTCTTCCTCATCGGTGACCCTCTGCACAAGAGCGGTCTCACTTGCAACGTCGACAGCAATGGTGGCACTACTACCCGCAATGTCAACGGTATCTCATACAACGCATACTCGAACAGCATTCCCTCAGGATGGGTTTCAAGGACCCTAGATGTTTGCGCATACGTAAGTAGATCTTTTTACCACAGTGCAAGTCATGGCCGCTTTCCTGACTTGATTGACAGGGCGATGGTGTTTGCGACACTACCCACGGTCAGGGTATCAATGGGCCTCATCTTTCCTACCCTCGCGATGCCAATGTGCAGAGCATGGGTACCAAGTTTGTCGTTGGCAAGCTCACCGGCAGCTCTTAGAAGGCTCGTCAGTATGTCACCGTAGAAGTTGATGTAGGATATATGGGTAGCGTCATCGGTCAGGTCGATGTCTGAGAGCATCTTGAGGATTTGGAAGCCCCAGACCAATGTACGATAAATACTACAATACACAAAGATAATTCGCAGTACTCACCTTGGCCACTTTGTTTGCACTTTTGACGGGTGAACTTTGGTCGATCTTGTTCAGTACGCATGCAGACACACAGAATAGAGACGTCTCCATGAGTCTTGACATTTTCGTGCCACGCTTCCACAGATGCGGAAATGTCTTGAGTGTGATCATGGTCGGAAGAAGGTGCCAAGTTTCCAAGACCATCCTGAAATCTGGCAACACCACACAGCCCCACACCCCACATCAAATACCCCAAGCGTCACATTGACAACCCCCTCTCTCATCTCCCAATAACACCACGACTCCCTGAGCCGCTTCTTTCTCGTCCACTGAAAAAAGGACACACCCGAATTCCTATTCACTCCCCAACAATGACCGACCAACCATCTCAAAAAGCCGCCGATGTCCTCATCGAGATCATCGACAACGAACAAGACATCTCCACAGCCTTTTCCATAATCTCAAAATGCTTCGGCCATCAAACAAATGATGGATTCTGGAAAGCAATGAACCCCGGCTGGGATAACCCTTCCGGAGCGACTGCAGCTACAAATCGCATGATCAAGCGTTGGAAAACCGTCACGAATAATAAAGCTGGCAAGCCCAATACAGTACATCTCAAAGCCACTGTACCTGACCCAGAACACCCCGGAAAGCGCATCATGGCAGGATTTGCAATTTGGGCCCAACTATCAATGGTCGAGGGTATGGGAGACACACCATCCACAGACATCTCCACTGCCGCAGACTTGAAACAACTCTACCCAGGAAACGAGACAGAACAGCGGTTTCTACGTCAAACTTTTACTTCATTTATGAAATTGCGAGTCGCAACATTGCAACAGAAAGCAAGCACTCCTTCTCCCGCAACTTTCAGTCTAGATCTCTGTGTCGTGGATCCAGACTTCCAAAGACGGGGTATTGCGAATAAACTTGTAGAGTGGGGGTTGGAAGAGGCAAAGAGGAGAGGTGGGTTGGAGTCTACCACCGAGGGTTCTGCCATGGGTAGATTTGTCTATCGGAAATTGGGCTTTGAGCCGGTTGAAGAGGTCGTGTATGAGGTAGATGACGAGTTTCGGGATCGCAAGTTGCCGCCGAATTTGTTCATGCGGACTGGCTTGGAAACTTGAGCTCGCGATACTTCCAAAGATCAGAATGTCTTGCATGAGTCTCGCCATGATCACATAGAACGGGGCAATATGATCTTCGAGCTCTTTACTCGCATCCGCTTCGCAGAACAATGATGCAGATCGTACGTCAACAAACTGAAACATATGACCTTCAGTCGAGCAAAAAAAACATCGGAATCATAATTTCGCCATGATATATAAAACAGATACCCCAATGCAGGTTCTTCAAAGCTGCGTACTCTATCGATTCGCTTCAATCTTCCTGACCAATCCGCCACCTAATCTAGCCATTTCAGCCAACACGGCAGTCTTGTTAATCTCTGCAATAACCTCCTCGCCCTTCTTGACTGGCACAGTAGAGTACGAAAGATTTACCTTCCAAGCTCTAGCAGCAGTGACAGGACTCCACAGACCAGCAATGGTAGTGCTACCAGGCCCGCCATAGAACAAGGCCAATGACTGACCATACACGTTTTGCAATTCTTGGAAGAAAGCATCCGTTGGTGAATAGTCGACGAGGTCCGCATTAGTCTCCTCGGCGATGGCAAGGTTCTTGTACTTTCCACTTGCAGCCTTGGACTTTGCACTCGTGGGATTCAGGTGAATGACGAAATCATAGTCGCCGAGAGGGGAGACAAAGAGTGTCTCTACATCCAGCGACAACGACTTGGCCTCGACTTCAGCTGTTGCGGCCTTTGCGAGTGCAGTCATACGGCCACAAACAACCTTTGCAGGAGTGCCGTCCGTCCAGGTCGTGCCTTCGAGGTCATCACTGCTGGCGACGAAGAGAACAACACGGTTGAGCGCCGGGTCCAATTTACGCCATGCCTCAAAGCGTGTTGTTGCTGCTGCGACGTTGTCGGTATTGAGATCACCACCAAGGTCCACGATTAAAGGATCAGCGCGCCAATCGAAACGAGAGAGGAAGGATAGGGTGCGCAAGAATGCAGCTTGTGTCGATGAAGGGGTGTTGTACGGCCATGGACGGGTAAAAGTATGAATCGCAAAGAGCTCGATGACCTCCTCAGAAAAGTGATTGCTCAACAAGTGCTCCGAAAACCACTTCTTCATCAAGCGAACAGTTGGAGAGAGAACGGGGTACCTCGTGCACAACTTTTGCAAGGCCTGAGTATGAGTAGGCGACTTGATAAACACGCGCTTGTAGGTAGCAAGTGCGACGGCTGCAGTCTCTTTCTCGCTAGGTGCAGCAGATTGCGATTTGAGAACGCGTTCGATTAGAGTCTGTTCTCTGTCGTGGTGGATGCGAATGCGGAAAGAGAAGCCAGTAGGGTAGATGACATCCAAGAAAGCCTGGTTCAAGATATCCTCTCCTTCGTTCTCCAAGCCAATGCGATGTGTGACATCCTCCTGTGATGTCCCGAAAAGCTCACCAATTTTGAGGAGGAAAGCAATCTTGGTACGTTGAATAGCAACGAGATCGTCCGGCCAGCGACCTGATCCCTCGAATTGGAGAACAACACCAGCCGGACGCTTCATCTGACGCTGAGACGACAGTGGTGGCTCGATCGAGGAGTAACGGAGCTGTGAGTCAGACGCTAGGATAGAACGAATGGTGAGAGGCAAATCATCCATGCCACGAATATCACTTTCCAACGTCTTGAAAGCCTCCATCAAGGGTTGGAAGGCAACAAGCCCGTTGCTCTGCTTGATAAGACGAGCGCATTCATCCCCGGAGAAGACGGCACTAGCAGCCGCTTCTTGTCCAAAGTGTCGATACAGCAGGAATGTGAGGATCTGCTGGATGATGGACATTCCAGCGTTGGTGGCCCACACCAAACTTTCCAAGATACTTCCATCCCTGAATCTACGCAGCTCAGCCTTCTCACCCCAGAACTTGCGGAAAGCGGCAGCCTCCTTCTTTTGCTCGGCAGCAGGACCATGGTCAACGGCACGAGCAGCGTTGGTAGCGTCGAGGTTGACGGCGACCAGAAGCTCACCCTTACGCTCCATCTGGGGTCTTGCAGATCCGAGTGCCCAGGACTCGTGGTCAGGAGATTGGATGACAACTTGGGTAGCACGATCACCGAGACCTTTACTGACGACGGCGTGAAGCTTTGCATATCTCTCGAGCAATTGACGATCCTCGGTGATTTCGGAGGTCAGTGCTGAGCAAGGAACACGGACGGCCAAGTCGTATCTCTTCAGGATGTTGTCAGAACGGAGGATGAAGGCAGAGTCGAATTGGTCAAAGAGATTGTCTCCCAGCATTTTGAGGGTGGTGCGGGCTTCGGCGCGGAGGTGTTGGTAAGACCAGTTTGTCATCTTGTAAAGGATGTTCTGAGCGCGAGGGCCGTCGTAGAGGATCGGCTGGCCGTTCTCGGTAGCGAGAGTGACACCGGCAGCATCAAGCAGGGCAGGCTCCTTGGCGAGATCCTTCACAGCGAGATACTGAAGAGTGGCCTTGAAGAGTTGGTAGCTGCTGTAGCCACTGGACAAGACGGGCTTTCCAGAGCCGGCACCAGTCCTGAGCAAGTTTGCCATGGTGGCAGCCCATTCAAAGTTGCCGAAGCCGCCCTTGTTTGTGTCGGAAGCAAGACCACGCTGTCTAAGCCAGACACGACCCAGCATACAAGCGTCTGTGTAGCCCTCACACGAGGTGGAAGAAGCGTGAAGCAACTTCAGATATGATGTGATGTGGCTGTCGGCTTGGATGGCAGCGTTGTAGAAGGGGGTCGGGGCGAGGTCTTGGGTCTGTTCGTCGTCGCCGGACTGAGAGGGGCGCACACAGTTCTTGTTGGGCAAGAGCTTGTTGTCGGCAAAAGTGCCCTCGGGAATACCAGGGATGATGTTGATGCGCCAGTTGTTCTCGGAAGTCGACTCTTTTGGCTGGACCAGGAGCACGGGATGCAAAGGGTTGTTGCGGAAGTTGACGAATTGGAAGACAAGATCCTTGAGCGAAGACTTGAGGGCAGCGGCGATACAGGCGAGGTAGAAGGCACGCTTGTAGAAGTAGCGGTGGTTCAGGTAGTCCTTTTCCTGGAACAGCGACTTGGGCATGGTGACGAGCATGTCGATGGACAGCGGAGCGTGGCGGTCACGCAGAGACAGCTTGAGCGGGAAGCTGCCGACGACGTTGATGTTCTGCGGCTTCTCGTAGGCCAGCTTGTACTTGACGTCGTGCGCAGGCCGCGGCTCGGGGAAGGGGATGGCGACCTTTGACTTCTTGATCATGTCGCGTTCGGCGTCGAGCAGCGGCAGCGGCTCTCGCGTGGGCATCGAGTCGATCTGCTTCTTGATGCTGTGCAGCGCTTCGCCAGCAGCTGCCTCTCTCGCGCCCTGTCGCGGGCGCATGTTCTGCAGCATCTGGTCGACCTGCAGCTTGAACATGTTGCTCTTGAAGGTGCCTCCGGTGTATGCCGCGCTGCTTGCCTCGAGCGCCGATGCCTGCGACACGTTGCGGCCACCCTTCTTGTTGTCCTTGGCCTTGGTGACCTTTTCTTGCACCTCTTCCTCCTCTTCGCTCTCGCCTTCGTCCGACTCCTCGTCCAGCTCCTCGGCCTCGTCCATCTTGTCGTCCTGGCTCACAGCATCATCCTCCATGTCTTCGATCTGCTTGTCCGAGGCGATCGAAACGTCGTCGTCCTCGACGGGCGAGGGCGAGTGGCTGAGCTTTCTCCTCTTGCTTGACGGGACTGCCATCGTGTGGTGTGTATGAGATGTTGCGACAGAAGTAGCTGGTCGCGCCTTCCGCAAAGTCGAACTAAAAGTCGAGCTTGGCGTCGACTTTTTTCCCCACACTCGTTATCGATAAGGCTCATCGCGGCAGGCGGCAGGCATTCATCATCGCCGACGTCGGACAAAAGCGCCGTGGGGCAACCAATCGAGTCATTATTATGCCGCTTCCTTGTATGCGTTGCCCGAGCTGTTGCTGACCTTGCTCCTAAACTTTCTGCACTTCTTCAAACAATCATGCCCGTCCCCCTGGCATTCAACGACAATGTCGGCGAGACCATTCCAGCGGACACGCCTCATGTGAACCACCCTTCAATTGGTTACACGCGACATTCGCTAATTATATACCAAGGCAGTCAGTGTGTCGCTACCAACCTGGGCCGCCAATGTAGGCTACGAAGAAGGCCAGAAATGGGTCATGGACAAGATGAAGTGTGGTTATCCTCGCTTCTTCGTCCACAAGAGCATCGACCGTCTCGCACTTGAAATCGTCAAGCGTCACGGCAGCCCATCGCAAAAGGCCATGCTGTTTCCAACTCACAAAGTCGCCAATCGCCTGCTAGAATTCATGCATCGTATCGCTCCCGAGTCTCAAGGCACCGCACGCATCATTGACTTTGTCCCGAACCCAAAGACCGAGTCACACGATGAGTCTCAGCGCGTTCTACCTCGTCTGTCGGCCGTCTTATACCCTGCCGAGCTTTGGCCTGTTGCCAAACAAGTCTGGCAACATAGCGGAGACGGTGTTTCCAGCAGACGAGCAGAGTTCTGCGAGAAGCACTTGGTCGACGGCTCCATGGTCGACAAGGCCACCATCTACGACAAGCCTCGCAAGGGTCCCCGCCGTTACCAGCGCCAGATGTCGGTCGATTCTCCTCACCAGTCGCCAACCTCGGAGAAAGATGACAAGGATAGCACCGATCCATTTGCTTTTGTCGAAGAGCGCTTCGGTCGCAATTTGAATGTCCAGTTCGCAAAACAGGCAAAGCTCGCCATTCGACGTCGTATTGCTGGCTCCTTGACCTCGGACCTCGACCTGCAGGAAGCTCTGAAACATCCCGAAGACGCCGAGCGTACGCGCAATACTGACGGTCTTTCTGTTGACGACGTCTTCCTTTATCCCACCGGCATGAGCTCCATCTTCAACACACACCGAAGCATCATGGCCATCCGACCCAAGAACAAGAGCATAAGCTTCGGCTTCCCATACGTCGACACTTTGAAGATTCTCCAGAAGTGGGGTCCCGGTGCCCTGTTCTACGGCAACGGTGAACAGGAGGATCTGGATGATTTGGAGAAGCGCCTCGAGTCTGGTGAACGCTTCCTCGGCTTCTTTTGTGAATTCCCTAGCAATCCCCTCCTAAAATGTCCCGACCTGCAACGCATCCGTCAACTCGCAGACAAATACGATTTTGCTGTTGTCATTGACGAGACCATTGGAAACTTTTTGAACGTTCACGTGTTGCCCTACGCCGATGTGGTTGTGAGCAGCTTGACCAAGGTTTTCTCAGGTGACAGCAATGTCATGGGAGGATCGGCCATCTTGAACCCTGCGGGCCGCTACTACGATACTCTTAAAAAGTACATGGCTCAAGACTATGAGGATAACTTCTTCGAGGAGGACGCCATGTTCCTTGAGCGCAACAGCCGAGACTTTGTCTCTCGTATCGCTCGCATCAACAGCAACGCAGAAACCATTTGCGAAGTCTTGATGCAACATCCGCGAATCAAGCAAGTCAACTATCCCAAGTTCTCACCTACGAAAAAGTATTACGATGCTTGCAGATTACCGACCGGAGGATATGGAGGTCTGCTGTCGGCAACATTCTACTCCATGGATGATGCCATGGTCTTCTACGACAACCTCAATACCGCAAAAGGACCATCATTGGGGACCAACTTTACACTCAGGTATGCTCCTCTGGATCGTGTTCTCGTACCACTTGCTGACTTTCTCCCGCAGCTCGCCTTATGCTCTACTAGCACATTACACCGAGCTTGATTGGGCCGCGACCTTTGGCGTCGAGGCAAACCTCGTTCGCTTCAGCGTAGGCCTCGAAGAGACCGAGGCTCTGAAGAACATCTTTAAGACGGCACTTGATGCTATTCCCTCGTCAGAAGCAAATGGCGATGGTACTAAGGCATGAGCATATTCCAACCAGGAGCATGAAACACGATCACGAATCTGATTTGTCAGCATCGCATACATGAGCAGGAGTTCTGGATGTTCTGTATATATGACATGAAAGAAGCATTTACTGTTGCTCGATCTCGTGTCAATCTGGCTTGCAATCGATCGAGAGCCCCTAGATGACAGACATGTGATATCCGGTGGCTTGGAAGCTGAGGCTATTGCATCTCGTGTCTCACCTGTCGCGATCTGTGAATACAACAATCTGATTGGGCAGTATGCAGATATGAAGCGTCACACCGATCGCGACTCGGCAGATGGTGGACAGCGCAGAGATGCAAGAAGCCACCGTTGTGGCCAGAAGTACTTTATGCCTGACGCATGGAGACTTGTAAGACCAGTGGCGTTGATTGGATGGTGAGATGCAGGCGACAGGTACGTCGTAGATGCAGGAGATGTTGGAGCCGACAGGAGGCACGGCGTTATGCACATGGGCGCGACTGCCACGCTTGCCGCCAACGCCTTTTTCTGCTCAACTATCGTAGCCTTGCGATGGCTTATCACGTGTCGGAGGTAGTCGTATCATGCTACATTTGAACGTGTTGAGCTTGTCTGGTTAGGTCAATGAGCAGAGGTCTGACTATAGATCATACGTCGGTGGTTGAATTGCTACAAGTCAATAGAAGCCCTGGGCTTGGGATTGCATTGATGGGGCGAAATCTGGCAGATGGACGATCTGGATCTTGCATGATGGAGGGGAAAGTGAGATGGCAGATCGAGGGCTTGCAGGATTCGCGCAGGAGAGGAAAACAGAGGCTGCAATCACACCTCGCTTGGCTAGATACTCAACGTAAAGAAGCCTTTTTCTCCCACCGATTGTTTGCAACTATTACACTACTTTTCTGGACTTATCAAAGGTTTGAGCAGAGCCGCAGTCTTCTTCTACACGTTTCGTGGTTCGAACACATACGAGCGCACTGACCACTCTCCCCCACAAAATCTGCATCGCATCGGAACCTTTTTTCCTCCTGCAAGAGATCAAAAAATTATTTGATTTCAGTTTTGCCCTGGAAAACTGGTGAAGTCATTACACACCGGTCAAACACAGGCCCTTCAACTCCGCCTTCCTTCTTTGAACCCACCACCCAATACATCCGCATCTTATAGTTACACCGTCGACCATCACCGTATTAGCGAGATGCCTCGCGAGTTGAAAAAGAGAGGCCGCAGAGGCGAGGAGAAGAAGAGAAAGCTTGAAGAGGAGGAGGGATTACACGAAGATTTTGCGCAGACAAAGAGACAAAGGACAGAGGATGGTGATGGCGAAGGCGACGAGGCAGGCGGACAACAGGACTTTGTCGCACTCCCTCAAGACGGCGCATTCCCCAACGGCGGCTACCAGGATGGCGAGAGCCACGGCGGACCCCCGGAAATGGTCTTCTTCGGCATGCTGGACGAGGAAGAGCAGGAATACTTCAAGCGCGCCGACGAGATGCTCGAGATGAACAACTTTGCCGATGCCGAGGAGAGATCGCTCTTCCTGGCCAACGTCTACCGCGAGGCCAACGGCAAGGAACTCAAGATTGCCAACAGTCAGTCTTGCTCTAGGTTGATGGAGAGATTGATCCAGTTGTCGACAGCGGCTCAGCTCAAGACGCTGTTCCAGAAGTTCAGCGGAAAGTGAGTTGATCTGCTTGGAGGCCACTATGTTTACACGACTAATTGACCATGCAGCTTCATGCACTTGTTCCAGCACCGCTTCGCTTCGCATTGTTGCGAAAAGCTCTTCATCCAAGCCGCCCCCGCCGTCACCCAAGAACTCCTCCACCCTCCCAAGCCTGAAGACCAGACGACTGCAGATGGCGAAATCTACGTCAGCATGGAAAACCTGTTCCTCTTTACTCTTGGAGAGATGGAAGGCAATGTTGGCTTCCTCATGACCGATCGCTTCGCCTCGCACACCCTCCGCGTGCTGCTTCTCGTTCTGGCCGGCGAGCCTCTTTCAGACTCGACAAACAAGTCCCTGATGCAAAGCAAGAAGAAGGAGCACGTCACCGTCAACAGCAATGGCAACGACAAGGAAGACGGCACGACAGAGGCCAAGGAGGACCGTCGTCCCGTTCCCAAGTCGTTCACCGAGGCTCTGGAGAAGCTCATGACGGCCAGTGTCTCCGGACTCGACACCACCAGCCTTCGCGCCCTCGCCACCCATCAACTCGGCAACCCTGCCCTGCAACTGCTCATGAGAATCGAGCTCACTCACTTTGGCAAATCAAAAGCAAAGGACCAGAACTCAATCTTCCGCACTCTCCTTCCCGACGACCCAATCACTCCTGAGTGCGACAGCGCTTCCTTCATCACCGGACTGCTCTTCGATCCTATCGGTTCTCATCTCATCGAGTGCATCATTGAGCACGCCCCTGGAAAGATGTTCAAGAGCTTGTACAGAGGTCTGTTGAAGGAACGCTTGGCATCTCTGGCTCGTAACGAGATTGCTTGCTACGTTGTTTGCAAGGTTCTCGAAAGATTGAGCAAAGACGATCTCATGGAGGCACACGAGCAGATTTGCCCCCAGATTCCCAGTCTCCTCGAGCGCAACCGCTTCGCAGTCATCAAGACCCTGATCACCAGATGCGCCGTCAGAGAAATTGACAGTCAAGCTATTGCTGTACAATTGAGCGAAGCGTACAACGGTCCCGAAGGCTTCGACATTGTCAAGCTGTTGAAGCCCGACACTGACGAGCCAGCAGCCAATGGCAATGCTCCAGCCCCCGAAGGCATGCCAGCACACATTGCCGAAGAGCGTGCAAACCCCCACACCATCAAGCTCCAAGGCTCTCTCCTCGCACAAACCATGATCCTAGTCCCCGGGTCCCTGAGCGCCCTCATTCTCGAGAGCCTCGCTGCCCTCCCACCCTCAACATTGCAAAAGATGGCCTGTGACACAATGATATGCCGCACCCTCCAAGCAGCAATGACATCCCAAAACGCCAGCATCATCTCCCGCCGAAAACTGATTCAACAATTCTTCGGCCACATCGGAGAGATGGCACTCGATCGCTGCGCATCCCGTGTCGTGGACGCCATCTGGGAAGGCACACACGGCCTCGCCTTTATCCGCGAACGCATCGCTGAAGAACTGAATGAGAATGAAGCAGCTCTCCGCGACAACCCCTGCGGCCGCGCTGTATGGAAGAACTGGAAAATGGACCTCTACAAACGCCGTCGTGGCGATTGGGTCAAGCAATCCAAGAACAAGGCTTCAAACGACGGTTTCCAATCTTTCTCCGAAGTCGACACGAATCTCAAAGCCGCCACGCAACAAGTGAGCAGGAAAGCATATAAAGGACAGCAACATGCCGAGCAGCAACAACAACAACAAGTGCCTCAGCAAGCTGCGGGAGGAGAAAAGAAGAGCGCTATTCAATTGGCGAGAGAGAGACATGCGGCCAACAAGACGAGATCTCTGCAAGCGCGGGAAAAGGCAGCGACGGCCGGGAGCAGGCCTGCTGGGACTTCAAACTCGAGTAAACATGCTTCTGGAGCTAATGCGATCACCAGCACAAAGGTATAGAATTTCGTATCCATCTCATCTGTTTATATGGAAATTTCCCTGGGTACGTGGGCAAAAAACCTGGCGTTGGTATGATTTGAAGAGTCTATAGCTTTTTCGTAGACAATTGTGGAAGCAAAACCGAGAATGAATTCTTCTTTATCAGCGCCTTCTTCTGTTCGTATGTCTTTAACCTTGGATCGACCCCCGAATTGATTTCCTTGCAAAGAGTGCTTGGATTGAGGTCTCGAAACCGGATTCTATATGAGCAGCCTCATTTATACTCGTGTTGGCTCTAAATGCAGTCATGAAGCTGTTGAAATGCTCGAGTGACACCTACAGGTCTACACCACGAAAGCAACGACGAAGTTCGGCGACGTTCAGTTCAGTCCCCCAAACTCTAAAAGCGGGATCGGCGATATTCGGCGATAGCGCGAGATGTCGTCAGACGGATTATTTTGCGAATGTCGGTGTCATTGAGAAACATGTGTATATATATTCCTTCCAATTCTCATCTCTTTACACATTGAGACCAACTGCATATGCCTGGCATTTATCATGACATCTTTACCTTCTAGAGCGGCAGAAGAAAAGCCATTGGAGAGAGCGGATGAGGTTCAAGATGTAAGACTGCACTTCCACGCCCCTCGCTTCTGACGAGAAGATGGCAAAAGAGCTAATGCAATGATAGCTGCTCAATTCTATCCAAGACCTCGTCATCCCTTTTATTCGTTCTGCCGACGAAGACGCCGCCACGAAACATACTGGCCATGGTCTGCAAGTCCCAGGCCAAGGGCCCCGAACCGCCCTCGTCGAACACCATCCACCCCAAAAGCTAAAGTCGCTCTTCGATGTCCAACTCCCCGAAGATGCTCAAGGAAAAAAGGGACTTCTTGATATCGTGGACAAGCTCCTGAAATATAGTGTCAATACCTGGGATCAAGGCTTCATGGATAAGCTCTACGCTTCCACCAATGCTGTGGGAGTGGTTTCTGAATTACTTCTGGCGGTGTTGAATACGAATCTGCACGTCTATCAGGTTTCCCCTGCTTTGACGCTCGTGGAGAAACAGACTAGTAAGGCTCTTGCGGCACTCTATGGCTTTGGCGGTGCTCATGGTGGTGGTATCTCGCAACCTGGCGGTTCTGCGTCTAATGCTACGAGTATTGCCATTGCGAGAAACACGTTGCATCCGGAGACCAAAAAGGATGGTATTAATGGTAGGAGATTCACTCTCTTTACCTCTGCGCATGGTCATTATTCTTTGGAGAAGGCCGCGCAGATGTTTGGCTTTGGGTCTTCGGCTGTTATTGGCGTCGCGGTGGATGAGCAAGGTCGTATGCTTCCCGACGCTCTGGACGCAGCAGTGCAAAAGTCAAAGGATGCAGGAGAAGTACCCTTTTACGTCAATGCGACTGCTGGAACCACTGTGCTGGGTAGCTACGACCCCATCGGTCCAATCGCCGACGTCTGCGAAAAACACAAGCTCTGGCTTCACATCGACGGTAGCTGGGGCGGCCCTGTCATTTTCTCTGCAACTCACAAGCACAAGCTGCATGGTATCGAGCGAGCAGACTCTATTGGCGTCACGCCGCACAAGATGCTCAGTGTCCCCATGACATGCTCATTCCTGCTAGGCAAGGATATGCGTCAATTCCAACGCGCCATGACACTTCCAGCAGGCTACCTCTTCCACTCCCCCTCAGAAGACGACGCTTCCGCCGCCGATGCCTCGACACCCTCGACAGCCGACGCCAAAATCCGCCCAGAGGCCGAAATCTACGATCTCGCAGATCTAACACCACAATGTGGACGTAGAGGCGACGCTCTGAAACTCGCCCTCTCTTGGATCTACTACGGCAGCTCTGGTTTCGAAAAATCCATTGATGATGCGTTTTCCGCTGCCTCTACCCTTGCGTCTCTGGTCGAGAAGACAGATCGCTTTACTCTGGTTTCGGAGAACCCGCCTCCGTGTTGGCAAGTCTGTTTTTACTATAACAAGCAAGATGACGCGACCAGGAACTCCAAGACTACAGAGAGGATTGCACAAAAGCTTATTCCGAGAGGTTTCATGGTCGATTATTCGCCAGGAGAGGATGGAAAGTTCTTCAGGGTTGTTGTTAATTCGCAGACGAGGAAGGGAACTTTGGAGGGGCTTGTCAAAGCTATTGAAGAGGTCAGTAAGGAAGTTCAGCTCTGAATTTCAAAAGACATGATCTAAAGAGTGCTTCTGAAAGCTGGATATGAGATTTTTGTAGATAGTGGTCATCAAGGTGCTCACAAATGACGTTGGTGCTTCGAGCAAGCAATCCATCTATAGCTTGTGAACGTGAACAAATCTTCGCACACTTCGACAGCAAGATTCTCAGAACCTCAGAAATCAGAACCTCATGAACAACAATGACTACGCCGAAGGACACAACTTTGGTAGTTGTCAAAACTTATAATTTCGTGAAACCCGTGGATCCCGCAGCTCGCGACTCCCATAGTGGCTTTCGGTGGTCGAAAGTGACTGTCGAAATGCGAGACACCTGCCGTAGAGCGACAGCAAGGAAAAGAGCGAACCAGAAGGACTTTTTTCTGCCTCTATCCGCACGCCATATACCATACATGAAGTGAAACGACAAGCAGTTACGATCGGCAACTTCGGTTCGAAGATATGCCGACTGGGGGGATCAGTTCGCGCAAGATGCAGCGAGCCGTTTGCGACTATTCTCCTGTGCAAAAGTCGTTGGTCGATGACACTGTGGGGTGGCCCGCCACCCGTCAAAATCGTGCTATTTCGTGCTACTATCTACTACTACTGCATCAATTGAAGCTCTCTATCTAGCTGTATAGCTATTATCAAGGTGTATCGTCGACGTGAGCATTCTGCATAAATTTTGAAGCCTGCCGGGCAATATCTGACCGTTTATAGAGGTGTCAATAGCTCGTCGAGATGGCGCTCTCGGAGAGCGACAAGGACTTTATATAGGCCATGTTTAACGACAACTGTACTGCCGCAACAGTTCGGAAGATCTTCCCTCGTAGTTCTAAGAGTACTATTCAATAGCTCCACACGAACTTTGAGTGCTTTAGACAGGTACGGAAGCCGCGAAATGCGAAGAAGGCGATAGGCCGCCCTCGTAAGATCACACCGTTGATGACTGAGTGGTTGATTGATCTGCTCGCCTTCCGTAACGATCTATAGGAGGAGGAGATGGCATTTGAATTGTGGTGTCAATTTGATGTAACAGTCGACAGATCGACGATCAGTCGCCTTCTCAAGAACCAGTCCTTGACCAACAAGGTCAACACACGCATTGCTAGTCGAAGGGACACTGCTTAACAAGGTGTATATCAAGAGAGACTAGCAGAGCTACTGCGCGAGGGGGTTACGACCGGTGCCGTTGACGACCCGGCGGAAATGCTGGTATATCTGGATGAATCAGCAGCTAGCGAGAAGGTCCTGTTTCGACGACGGTCCTAGTCACTAATAGGTCATCCTGCTTTTACGACGTCTAAACTGGTATCTAAGACTCGCTGTTCAGTGCTGCCGGCCCTCGATATCAATGGGTACTTACCTAGAACGACGCTTGTCGTAGAGGGAGCTGTTACACAGGAGATCTTCGAGCACTGGCTTGAGACGGCAGTACTACCTCAATGCGAGCCGTTTCCTGGGAAAAGAAGTGTAGTTGTGATGGATAACTGCTCTACCCATCACTTAAAGAGGGTGTGTATCAAAGAGCAAGCATTTGGATCGAGCTGACGAGCGCGAATCTGCAGATTATAGACATTTGCTCGCAGGCCGGGGTGTACCTGCTGTATCTGCCACCTTATTCGCCTCATCTCAATCCAATTGAGCAGTCCTTCCATCTCTTAAAGCAGTGGTTAAAGCGGTGGAGGGATCTAGCGCCGAGGCCCGAGGAGTACGAGGGACTAGAAGGTAACGGGTATAAGTTGGCATAGAAGGAGCACCTTGAGGAGGCGACTTACGCTGCACTACAAGGGGAGGATATACGAGGGCTGTTTAGACATGCTAAAGTCGACTGTTAGATGTGCCCATCGCTTGTATCGCTTTGGTGCTCGCTGTCGAGGTCGTCGTTGCTCGAACTGTCGAGATTTTGGGAACTGGAATCGCTCGAGATCTCGATATTATCTAGGGAGATTAGTTTTGGTGTGCTACTACCAGAGATTAACTCCTGGGAGCACGTAATTCGGCTCTCCTTATGCCGAGAGATAAATTTCGACAAGTGGTCATGAATCAACATACGCAGTCCGGTTTGAGGCACAACCCTTTCCAATACATCGTCGGGAGCCTTAAATAGCATGGTAAGTGTCCAGAAGTCAGCATCAAGAGCTACCATAGCTCTATCAAGTCCAACCTGCCACCCCTCGGGGCGAGTACTCTTAATGGCACCCTTACACGAGTCCTAGAAGGCTATCTAACCGTCGCCATTGTCAAGCTCTTGTGGTATAGGACTGTTGGACTTCTGGCGAGCGGCTTGGGGTGCTGGATGGTCTAGAGATGGTACTGGTGGTTGACTTCCAACGTAGAATACCTGTGAGACAGAGGGTGAAGCCTGTAAGGGTACACCTCTACCCTTTCGCTTCTCTGCTTGCTGGCGCTCGTGTATAGCTTCAATCTCCTCATGCTGGCGCTTAATCAAGTGTCTGATAGTCTTCGGAGGGTGTCGTACACTGCCACCCTCGCGGTCGCATGCCTCGCGCCACCTCGCCGCCATCTTATATGTGATCTCGTAGTGCTTTCCCTTGTGGATCCAGCATGCAATGCCGAGGCGCAGCTTTACCTTGCATGTAGCAGGGTCAGGGCAAGTCCAGAATGACCTTATCTCGTTCCAAAAGAGACCTCGAGTGTCCTGGTAGTCGGCGCTCTATTGGATAGATCGCTCGGTCCGTTTTGACTTGCGCGAACTTGACGCCGAGGAAGGCTCTACCTCTAAGATTGACGTTAGCTCCTCCGGCGGTGTAACCCCTCTGACAGTCCATACAGACTCAACAGTGACGTAGATATCCTTCATGTTAACAGAGAAGTTAAGGGATACAAGGTCCATAACTTGTTGCCAGCGTAGAGGATCAACTCGTAGAAGGGTGACTGAGCTGGTTTCCTTCGCTCCGCGAGAGGGGGTTGATATAACAATCGCGCGAATGCTATAAGGCATATAATCGTCTATCATATGAGACGTACAGTAACGTATAACCGGCTCATCCATGCACTAGATCACTTCCGTCTACCCCATATAAGTGTCGCGTACCAGTGTATCGTCATTTGACAAGGTCCGGTGGCACCACTTAGTCTGGAAATGGAGCTTGTACCGAATTGGAGGTGGAGGAGTAGGTGTAGCCCTCTCAACCACCGATTTTTGTACAGGTCGCATCGAGGGCCTCTTCTCTTTACTTCTATGTCGCTTATCCTGCGATTTGGTACTAATTGGAGGTGTGGTTGTTGGTCGTGTAGGGGTAGAGGGGTGGAAGGTGGATTTCGAAGAGGACGGCTTCGTAGGAGGCTTCGCTCGCGTAGGTGGCTGTAAGACCGTACTTCTGGTCGGTTTTGATCCCTTCTTTTTTCCTAATGTATTCGGTACATCTGAAAGGGCCTTCCTACTTCTTTTAGGAAGTATTGGACTTAGTTGTGGTTGTTGAACAGGCGTCTTGCGTTTTCGCGAGGCCTGCGCTCTAGTCGGCTGCGCGTCTGATTGCGACTCTACCAGCCTTTTGGGAGGTACACCACGCGTAGAACGACGTAGATTTTTGGTGGATTGATCATTGATAGTATCTTCCCAGTGTACGCGCTTTGAACTGCGGGTAGAGCGTGGTGTTGCATAGGTAGAGCGTGGTGGCGATGATAATGGTGAATCGTTGTTGGGAGTCGAAACTTCGTTTGTCGCGTCGGCGGCAACCTCAGAGGTATCGGATTGATTCAAAATGCTCAGGATAGCATCCGCAGCAGTAGAGGACGTCATTACGATGCTCAATTCGCATTAATTAAATGTGGTTGTGGTGTAGTAAATAAGAAAGTAAGGTAAACAACCCTCTCGAAGCTCTGGCTGGCCACGCGACGCACCGATCGACCAACGACTTTTGCACAGGAGAATAATGAACTTCGCAAGAGATACACCGACGCCATGTCCTTTTCTGGAGGTGCGTTTAGGGCTCCACTCAGCTCGCGGTATGACTACAGGTCAGAGCCCTATTCTACGCACGCAGTCTCGGCACCATCAACCGGAATTGACTTCTCGTCCCTTGTTGCAATGCGGATGGCTGACCGTCTCATGATCACTGCCAGGAGGGGACCCCTCACTATACCCGCCACGATCTGCCGTTGTTCCCCATGGTACAAACCCCAGGCTGGGGTGTGGATAAGTCTTAGACTAGACCATGCGTGTGTATATAAGGACCTGTAGATCCCTCTCGAGGACTTGGAAGCAACAGCATCTTTTTGGCAATCATGGGCAAATCGACCTACATTCTATCTAGCGTCTTCCTTGCCATTGGAGGTTTCCTCTTTGGTTATGACTCTGGAATTATTGGTTCCACCATTGTCTTGGACACTTTCAAGGATTATTTCCATCACCCTAATGCCACTGTCACTGGTGGCATCGTCTCTGCCTTCCAGGGAGGCGCAATGCTCGGCACCATCATCAACATGGTTATCGCAGACCGCCTGGGCAGGAAGAGGACCATTGCTGCAGGTTCTTGTATCTCTCTTCTTGGATGTGCTCTACAGGCAGGCGCAGCAAATATGCCGATGCTCATTGTTGGAAGATTCATCGCAGGCGCTGCGGTGGGTATGCTCACCTCCACCATTCCAATGTACGCCGCCGAAATCTCTCCATCGAAGCACCGCGGCGCTTTGTCAGGTCTCCTTCAGTGGATGTTGAGTTGGGGATTCCTTGTTGCTCAGTGGCTCGGCTACGGATGCGAATTCAACAAGACACAATTCTCTTGTAAGTATCTCTCGGGTCCATTGAGTAGCTTGAGCTTACTCATCGTCAGGGCGCTTTCCTCTTGCATTTCAATGTATTCCCGCCTGCATTCTTGTCTTCGGAATTTGGTTTCTCCACGAGAGTCCTCGCTGGCTCATGGAAAAAGACAGACACGACGAAGCAAAAGCCATCCTCTTCAAGCTTCATGGAGACGGCACCTCCGAGAAAGAGACTCTGATTGAGCTCGAGTTCCGCGAGATTCGAGACGTGATTGAAGCCGACCGTGCCAACAACCAGACCTCGATCATGACCATAATCACCAAAGCAAGCTGGCGCAAGCGTCTGTTGCTGGGCTGTGGTGTTCAGGCATTTGGCCCTCTTAGTGGCATCAATGTGAGCGTCGAAAGTTTAATCATAGCCACAACCCGCTGACAAGCTGCAAGGTCATCAACTACTACGGCAATGTGATTTACGAGCTCCTTGGTATCAGCACATCAACTTCGCTCAAGATCACTGGAATTAGCGGTGCCCTTTCCGTGGTCTACTGCACCATCGGTCTCTGGACACTGGACAGAACTGGTCGTGTCAAGCCCTTGATCGTTTCTGCTGCGGGTCTCGCAGCTGCTCTCGTTTGTAATGCTGCGATGTACCAGAATCTGGACATCAACAACGGTAACATGCTGCGTGCTATGGTCGCCATGAATTTCGTCTTTTCCTTGTTCTACACTCCCTTGGGAATCATTTCCTGGGTCTACCCGGCTGAAATCTTCCCTGTCGAGGTCAGAGCATTCGGTAACGCGGTGACAACATTCACCAACTGGACTATCAATCTGATATTTGCTCAATTCAGTCCACAGGTAATGATATCAGTGCTGCAGTAAGACAAAACATACTGACATCTATTTCAAGGCCCTCGCAAGTATCGGCATCAAGTATTTCTACGTGTTCTTTGTGTTCAACATTGCCGCTATGCTATGCTACATTTTCTTCTATCCCGGTCAGTAGCTTACCCACGCTTTTTTCACGCTTTGGTCTTCTAACTCGTGTCTCTGAACAGAAACCAAGGGCAAGACTCTCGAGCAGATGGATGAACTGTTCGGTGATCAGCTTGTGCCGCACGCCCTCGAAGACCCTCAAGCTGCTGAGATCGCCATGGAGAAGGCTGGAATCACCTCTTACCGTGAGGAAGTAATCAAGCAGTAGATATTGCCTCCCCAGTGCTAATTTCCATTGGAGCTCGAAGGGTTTGGCTGGCGAATAACGAAAGCTTTCGTCATGTACACGATGAGGTTTATTTCTTGTACGAATATTCTGTTTGATGCCCAATGGACAGTGGTTTCCATATCTCAGCTACTCCAGACACTGTTTATTCCGCGTGGTAGCCGAATATTCATCCTCCAAGCACTTTATCCTCGAGGAACTTTTTCGTAATGTACAGTCGTCAGGGATCTAAATGGACGAATTCCTCCTGGACCTCGGAGTTTCGAATGAATACATTTGCCACACAATCATATGAACTCCCTGCAACTTCGCGCAGGTGGATCTACGGTCATTCAAGAAAGTGATAAGATCGATAAATTCTGGGGTTGAGTCTAACTATCCGCCACAAGATTCCGCGATAACCCCGAAGCAAGTCTCGAGAGAAGGAAAAGCTTTGAGGGCAGGAGGGAGAGTCTAACAGCATCCTCCCTGCTTACATGCCGCTTCTATAGTTCCGTCAGCAGAGGCCAATTTTGTCTGGCAGGGATGGGGACTCATCACAAACCTCCATAAGCTGGGTCTCCGTCACAGCCTCCATTGGCATAAGGCTCGGAAGAGCATTCCTCCATAGCGTACTGTTCTTTGCACTCGTCACAGCTGGATGTATAACAACCGCGTTTGCCGAACAGGGCGGCGTTGCTGCCAACAGCAAAAAAGAGGAGAATCGTGGCCCACTTCATGGTAATCAATAGGAGTGGTAGAGAAAGATGTCGAGGTCTCTTTGTATGAAGAGCAGAAGGAAATGTATAGAGGATAAAACAGTGAATGCGGTTTGGGAGGATAGGTGGGTGACCTTGCAGTCGTCTTATATAGACTCCGAACAATGCTTACTCTGCAATACGAAGCATAGCTTTTCCAAACGAGGAAAAGGCCGTCCTTCCGAACCGATATGGAAGAGATGAGCATGGTGACGATCAATATTGATCACCCGATACTCTCAGCTGACGAATAAGAGTCATGTAAGGGAGACATACCAGTGGCCAAGATTTGACAAGCTTTGTGCCACATCTCTTCTCATAGTATGCCATGGAAAGGTTGAAGTAAGTGGCTGAAATCAAAAGTGAGATGCATCATATCGCCGGGCAAAACACACACCGCGCGTGTGCCTGGAGGGCGGCAATCAAGTGGTGGGAAGAATTCTCAAGTCTCGAATCTCGAGAAGATCTGTATCGCGCACATGTCGATGCATGATACTCCGTCGAAAAAGCCTGATACGGCTCTTATAGCTTAGCGAAGCTTGTCTTCACTGGAGCGTGTCAGCAGCTGATGTGGCACATGTCAACATGATGATTTATGACCTCCTGAGTGGCCGATCGATTCATAGGCGAAGTACCTCGTGTTCAAGGCCAACATCTAGTCGTACACTCTCGACGTCAGGTAAAATTTCGCTGTTCCTGACCAGATCTTGACAAGGTTTGCCCAGTTCGCCTCAGATGCTGCTTGCTACGTACACCCGAAAGTATCGCTAGTAGCCAGAGTACCATCTTCGTGCCTGCGAGCTGAGGCAAGCGATTGACCTAGCAGTCGTCACCCTCGCTTAGCACGCTCGGCCTTTCCTCTTCGCCGCCGAGGCTCACTTCGTAACCAATGCCACTTCTTCCCGTGCCGCTGCCGTCATCATCGTCGCAATATCAAACAAAAGGGAATGTACGTATGGGATGCCGCGCGCAAGGCGAAGGAGGAATCGGCCATCACTATAGCGAGCAGAAGCAGAATGCCCTTTTCGATATACTGTAGCTAGAGTGGGTATCCATGATCGATGGAAGCTGCTCCACTCCAGGATGGACTACCAGGCGCTCTCCCCGTTGAGCTATACCATCCTCCTAGCAAGAATGATGAAGTGACAATCATCTAGCCAAGGTCATCCGAGCAACATCTCGACTTCGCCTCGCAGCGCTTACCAGGAGTAGCCGCTGCAGGAAGTCAATAAAGCATACGCACGTAAATGATACCCATGAGATAGAGCACCTAATCTCATCGGCGCCTCTTCGCTCGATAGCGCAGCCGCGGAAGCACCCGGGCGCAAACATCCAGAAAACCGCGCCCTTGTCTTCTCCCTCCCAAGACTTTCCTGACTTCTCAACAACTTTTGCCTCGACCATCGAGGTCAGGATCTGACCATCCGAGACACACTTTGCCATCCAGTGTTCTGACGATCAAAGGGTCGGTCCAGGGACGCGTCCCTGACAGGAACGGCTATGCTCACCGTCTTCATTTCCCCGTCCTTCCTAATCGGGACGGTGGCTTGCTCTTTGCAGGAACGTCATAACAACGGCGCGACGCCAATTTCAGGATCTTATATGCTTAAATTCTTTGAGCATGATTTGGTCGCATGCTCTTCTGTGGTATGCGTGTCTTATTGGTGGACGATCACTTTAATTTGGCTGTTCGTAGGATTCTGTAAAGTTTTGGACCTGAGGAATCTATTGCCTCGGGAGGATTTTGGTAGGTCAGGCCAGGAAAGAATAAATTGGTCGCGGATGCCACACCTTGCTTTTCTCTTTTTTGTCTGCCGCATACTGGATTATCTCGTTTCTTCTGAGCTACATTATTGCAGTCATGAAGTACAGTTTCGCTCTTGCCGCTCTGGCTACTGTGGTTGCTGCTTCCGACTCCCCTCTTCTCACACGTCAAACCGACAACACGGAGGAATACATTCGTGAAGTCTGCTTCCCAAACACCACATCGCCGATCCCGCCTTGTCAGCAAATCATCAACATTGAATCTGCTTGCCAGCCCAATGGCACCGCTCCCCTCGACTACTCAGCACACCAACAATGCATGTGCAATGGCGGTTACTTCCCCAACTGGAGCGGCTGTTTGAACTGCCAATACGTCCACGGCACACGCAGTGAAGCTGTCGCACAAGCCAACGAAGCCATCATCTCTTCTGCTTCCTCTGCTTTTTGCACCGGTACACCTACTGCGGTGTTCGCGAGCTATTTCTCGTCTATCAGTGACGAAAGTCCACAGACCGCAACTGGTGCTGCCACAACGCTCAGTGACCAATACCCGAGTCAAAGCGCCGTGAGCCTCTATTACACAGCTTCTGGTAATCAGGGTGTTGGTGCTGTTACTGGGAGTGCTGCGCAAGCTACTGCTGCTGTGTCGTCGAGTGCGACTCGCTCGAGTAGTGCTTCTTTGGCTGCTAGCGCTGCTACCACGACTGGAGCTTCTTCCTCGACTGGTTCGAGTTCGTCTAGACAGTCTTCGAGTTCGAGTCGATCGAGCAGTGGTAGTCAGGTTTCGTCCAGCGTGGCCTCTTCTGCCTCTTCTGCCTCTGGTGCCGCGACTGGTGCTGCCAATGCTGTCGTCGTGAGCGAGGGAATGCTCGCCTTTGTTGCTGGAGCCATGATGTTGCTGTAATAGTTATGATGATTGTAGATGAGTAATTATAGTAATGTTCACGAGGTTCCATTCATTGCACGAAACCACAAGATCATCTTGTATTGCGCTTCGCTGGCACCAGATGCGCCAGACCTGCAAAGATGGCGCTCGTGAACATTGCCGCACCAGTGAAGACGATCAAAGTCTTGTACCTTCCATAGCCATACTCGTGTACTTCGACATATGGCGTTAAGAGCATGCCACTTATAGGTCCTGCCAATACGTTGCCAATGCCTTGAGCGAACGAGAAAAGGCAGAACATGACCATGGTATCGCTCTGCTCTGCCGCAACAGCAGTACCCATCCTGACCCGCATAGCAAGAAATGCATATGCAAAGAAGCCGTATATCAATGCGAAGATGACCAACGTGACCAAAGACTTTGCCAATCCCCATAACGTCAATGCGACGACTGTCGAGACCAACATCGTGGATAGTAAAAGCATGTTCAGCGGTATTCGACCATCAGATAGGTAGCCATAAGTGAATTGCCCTGCAACTGAAGACACATTCATGAGTGCGATCAGCATAGCTCCGAGTCTGGAGTCCAAGCCGGCAGTCGAGGCATAGGAAGGCAGGTATAAGCTAGGCAAGTAGAAGCCCAGACTCTGCGATGTGGTTGACAGAATGTATAACCAGAAGATCGGTTGCTTCATGAAGCTCCAGTCCGTCTTTGCGAGACTGCTGCTGTGAGAAGCTGGCAAGCGTCCTTTCATGGAGGGCAGCAGTGGACCTGTCATGATGACTGTCGCCACAGCCATTGCTCGTAGAGTAGTCTTATAGCCATACTTGTGCAGTAAAGCCTCGATAATGAATGGATAAGCGACCCCAGAAGCGCCAGAAGAGCCCAGTAGAATACCCCAGGAAAGGCCGCGGCGAGCCACCCACCATTCATTGACCATACTAACCACAGGATAAAAGATGATCAGGTAACCGACTACAGAAAAATCAGCATGAGCGAAACCTTCATCAAGCCTTTCTAACTTACCACCATACATGACTCCCTGCGTCACAATCAAAGCCCCCATCTCATCAGCAAAACTCCCCGCCACCAAGCTCCCCAGACATATCAACCAACCCCCCACAACCATATACCTTCTATACATCGCATACCTCTTGACAAGTGGCGCCATCAAAGGCGCACCCATATAACAAAGCCCAGTCGCTATACTACCAATGTAAGTGATGTACGGAGAGCCCTCAAACTCCGGAATGGTTGAATAGTACTCCTGAAAAATGCCGAAGGAGAGGGGGAAGCCCCAGAGAATGGCTTCGAACATGAAGGCTGCTAGGAGGACTCGCCAAGCTTGAAGACCGCCATCGATGGGTGCGAGGCTTTGGGTGGTTGGGTGGTGTTGGGTTCTGGAGAAGGAGTCGCGATGGACGTCTTCCGACAGAGCCGCGTCGTCGAGGTGATTTAATTCTAGAGAAGACATCGATGTGGTTTTGTGGATTCAGATTTTGTCACGAGGAGATCTTCGAGCGTTCCTGGGCGAGTTGTAGACGCATTTTCCCATTTTCAATGCTGTTGTTTGTGCTTGTCGTTGACAGGGCGTGTGAACCTTAGGAGAGTTTTCCGACGGGAAAGTGTGCGGGCTCGCAGATTTGGTGCGGGGAAAGCGTCCTGTCCGCAACTGTGAAAATGTTTGCCTGCATCTTTTGCTTGTGTGAAAACGAAAATCATAGCCATCAGCCTTACAATCGGATCTGCAGACTACATGACCTGCGCTAGAAATGCTCAGTGAATCCACGCGTGTCTGATCACGGCGTTAGTATCGCGACGTGTGTTCCGAGCAAAGATCTTGCTTTATCGTGTTCAAGCGACCAGAGAAGATGGTTTGACGGCCTAGGCTCCACGACCCGTCGACGCGTCGATTGTGTGCCACAGGAACAACTTCACTCACGAAGGAGGCCCAGACAGCCATACCCATACTGACCCACACCAGTCGACTCGCGATGTACGATTCTGCTGGTCGTGTCGTTAGACAGTTTGTTACGTGACCGTCGCTTCAAATACCCGGTCTGTCGAGAAAGCGCCAAACAAACCATAACCCAGGGTCCAGTCTGCCAATACGCCTGGATGCTCCAGTGTTCCAAGCAGCGTGTTCCAAGCAGCAGCAAGCAACGAACGCCAGTTCTTCGACCAGGAGGTCTCGTAATTCTGAGACGATATGTCGTTATTCCTAACTGATCTTTGCGATGATCCATTTTCTCTCACCTGCTTGAACTGGTTAGCGTGAGGCTCAATCTAGTCCTTTCAACCGACCGTGCGTACCGAGTGCTTGTTTATACGACATCGAAGTGCGCCGAACCATACTTGAACCTACTGCCGGATGGATTAATCTATCCACTATACGCCCTAGGTTTGAAGCCATTGCCCTTGGTCTGGATCCCCTTCTTCTGACATGTAACGACGCCTTATTACAGGGCATAGACTCTCGCTTGTGGTATCACACCATTTTCTTCGTTATCCGGAGGCGCGATGGCGAATATGCGATGCAACGCAAAATCTTTGGAAGGATTCTCTTCCGGTCATTGATAAGCTGAGAGCGCTCACGACCTCCTCTTTGTTCTAACTACCATCACTCGCTATCATCACACAAGACAACATGTCTCATGCTTTGGAGAAGCCGGTCGGCCTCGCCTCTGTGGAGCCTCTCGATGGCATTGAAGCTTCAAGTCCAGATGATCTCAATGCCTCTGAGTATGCTTCCATCCCTGCTTACAGCCTTGGAGCAGAGAAGAAGGGCGCCCTGGATCCGGACATAACCGCGATCTTAACACCAGACGCTGCAAGCGACAATCCCAAGGATACCGACAACCCAGACCATATCATCGTTACTGGAGCCGATGCAGCTGCCCATCTGTTGCCTCTTCGTGACGATGGCGACCCTTCCATGACCTTTCGCGGTATATTCCTGGCATCCTGTCTATCTGCATTCCAAGCAGTGATGAACCAGATCTATACAGTCAGTCGAAGCTACCCTTGTCCAATCCGTGCGTACTCTGACACGATCACCAGTTCAAACCCACACAAGTCACTATCCAGGGCACTTTTATCGTACTTATCGCATACTTCGTTGGCAATGCTTGGGCGAGACTTCTTCCCCGAGGTGATCGTCACCTCACGCGCTGGAAGTCGACCAACGGTGATACAAAGCCACCATTCTGGATCACGTTCCTTGTGTTTTTTAATCCTGGACCCTGGGGCCTGAAGGAACATGCAATCTGCTCAATCACTGCTACATCGGCATCAAATGCTGCTGCTGTTTCGACCGTCTTTGCAGCTCAGAAGCTGTTTTACGACCTCCCCATCAGTCCAGCGACCGTGATCCTCAGTATGATTTCCATCGGCCTTTTTGGCTATGGTCTTTGTGGATTGTTGCGACCTATTGCTGTGTGGCACGTCGAGGCCGTGTACTGGAGTACGCTACCAACAGTCAAGACTCTCCAGGGACTGCACTGGCAAGAAGTCAGAGACTCGAAGCCTCTTCGATTCTTCTGGTATGCTTTTACCGGCATGTTCTTCTACGAGTTCTTTCCCGCATACATCTTTCCGTGGTTGAACTCAGTTTCCGTTCCTTGCTTGGCTGCAATGAAGGCTACCGGAGAGAAAGCTGCCGTGTTAACAAACCTGTTTGGTGGAGCGACGAATAACGAAGGCCTCGGCATGTTCACTCTCTCTTTCGACTGGCAATACGTAAGTCTCACGGCACATGATACTCACCAATGTGTTTGGCTGAACCATGTTACAGATCACCTCTTTCAACACCTCGCTTCCCTTGATCCTTCAGGCTCACGTAGCCATCGGCGTGTTCGTCTGCATGATGGTCATGCTTGCTATCTACTACACAGACACTTGGGGCTCGAAAGCACAGCCATTCATGTCGACACAACTCAGATCCCAGGACGGCAAGAAGTATCCAATCTCGAAAGTGTTCTTGGGCGGAGTTTTGGACGAGGAGGCCTTGGAGAAGTATGGCATCCCTCGCCTGACTGGAGCATTTGCATATTCCATGTTCATGGCGAACGCCGCTGTAAGTCTATGCAGTCTCCCGTCCTTAGGAGAGCCGCTGATCAAGTATCCAGATCGGTGCACTCATCGCTCACACTGTCCTTTTTTGGGGTGGCGACATCAAACGTACTTACAAAAGCGCCAGGGAAGGAAGATATGATGACAGACACCATCAGCATATGGTGAAGCACTACAAAGAAGTCCCTTGGTGGTGGTACATGGGTGTGCTCGTCTTCAGCTTCGTCCTTGGTCTTGTTGTTGTGATTAAAGAGAACATCACCCTCCCGGTGTGGGCTTATGTTGTCGCTCTGATTGTTGGTATCGTCGTTGCACCTTTCGTGAGTATGCGGGGAATCCGACAGATAAGTGTGTCACTGACCCAGAACTTCCAGAGCGCTTTGATCTATTCCCGATTCGGTAATGGTATTGCTACCAATAATCTGTCCAAGATGATTGCTGGTCTGGTGCTTCCAGGTCGTCCGATTGGCAATATGTACTTTGCCGCCTGGTCGCACAACGTCATCACAAACACCGTCAATCTGTGTAATGACCTGAAGATGGGAGAATATCGTACGTATAGCTTGCCGTCTCACCCGTCTCCCAATTCTGGATCGACTGCTGACCCGTAGTGTAGTCAAGATTCCTCCAAGAACTATGTTCATCACCCAGATCTATGGCACTATCCTCGGCGGCTTCCTTAACTATGCCATCATGATCTCTATTGTGACCAGTAATGCAGAGCTTCTCACCTCTGGAAATGGTGATGCGTCATGGAGTGGTGCAACCATTCAGTCTTACAACACTAATGCCAGCTCTTGGGCGTTGGCCAAGTATCTATACAAAGCAGGCGGCACATACTCTGCCGTTCCCATAGGTGTTGCTGTCGGTGCTTTGATCGTCGTCGTACACCGCATCTTCGTCCAGGTAATCATGTTCTCGCATCCTCTAAACTCCCGCAGTCCGACTGATCTTTGAAATCACAGTTCTTCCCCAAAATCCGCAACTTCTCCACTTACGACATCAACATGCCTCAGTTCATCGCTTACGCCGGCTACATCCCCTACAATCAGTCCCAGACCTGCGTCATCCTGAGTCAGCTTGTCGCTGGCTTCTACGTCCAGTTCTACTTGCGCAACTACAAGCCTCGTATTTTCAAAGACTACTCGTACTTGGTCACTGGAGCTTTTGACGGTGCTAGTTTGCTGGCGCTTTTCATCTTGTCCTTCGCAGTGTTCGGCGCTGCCGGCAGCTCGAAGCCTTTTCCTTCTTGGTGGGGCAATAATGTCAATGGCAACTATGACCTTTGCCCTGTACCTGAGTAGGGTTGATAAGAATCGCTTCGGCAACAATGGACTCGGCACAAGACTTCGGATAGGCTCTCTAGACTTGGGTAAATTAGTTGGAGTGCCAAGAATTATAGAATCGGCGCCATTCTAGTCTACATTCGTTGTGGACATTGAAGGCCAGCCTGGAAAAGTCTTGATATTTGTGCGGTGATCTAGAGGGCAATATCTACCTAAATTCGATGGTGAAGTCTCCGTTCTTAAGCTCCAGGTAATTGCCATTTCTGCTTGCTTTCTCTTCGCTACCGCTTCTCGTTACCTTGACGCTAGCTCCGAGATTTTCCGGTACGCGAATCGAAGCTTCAGTCCCGACAGGGACTGTGACATTGAGTAAAACCATCTCAGCGGTCTCCTTGAACTTGACTGCGATCCTTCCATAAGGACAATCAACCTGGCCTTCCACATCCTTGAACTCCGACTCATACGGAGGCTCAATGCTGAAAGTCTTATACGCGTCCCCTCGCGGCCGGATACCTAACACACCAGCATAGAACCATTCATGAATCGTGCAGAATAAATCGTGGCTCTTGGATCTACACTCATCCTGCCAGAATTCGAGGAATGTGGTTTCGCCCTTGCGTAGAAAGCGCATGTAACTGGGATGTTCTTCTTGTCTTGCCATTGCCAGTACGATATCGGGGCGGTGGAGATCGATGAGGGTTTCGAAGATGCACTTCAATCCTAGCTCGCCAGAGCGGATGCGGTTGTCGCTTACGCTGGTGAGGAAGGCGCGTTGGATGGAAGCGATATGTTTGGTCGGTACCATGTTGAATTGTAGGGCGTAGGCTTGAGCCACTGCCTGGCAATCGCGTTGACCAATATTGTCGCGGGATGTATAGTAAACATGTTGCGAGCTCTCTTCGTCTGTAATGAGGAGTTCGCGATTGTAGACTTCGAGGACACGGGCGGCCCAAGTCTGGTACTTCCTAGCATCTTCGGTCAAGCCGAGGTGTTCAGCCATCATCGAGGTGTTTTGAAGGCATTTGTAGTAGTATGCTGTTTCAATATTTGCTTGCAGATTGCCCCAAGCAATGTCGCGACCCCAGTCGCCGAGGCCGTGCTCAATCAAGCCTCCGAGACGTTCTTTTGTCTTCATGTAATCCATGTATCGTACTGCAGCTGGGTAGACTTGTGGGATAACCCAGGTAGAGCCGTAGTATTTGACGAGAAGCTCAGGTAAGAGACACAATGCTCCACCCCAACTGATTGTGTCGTGCAGGGGTCCACACATGTATCGAATCTCAGGAGCCATAGTAGGTACAAGGCCACTAGGTTCTTGAGCATCGATCATGTCATAGATGATCTTTGTGTAAAGAGCTTCCATGCCGAAGGCATATTGCGAAGCAGGAGCGAGAAGATGGGTCACTTCGAGCCATCCAAATTTCTCGATCTGCGGACAATCGGTGTGGTAGCTGAAAATATTACTAGACAGCGACCAATGCGAGGCTTTGATCAATGCATTGACATCTTCTTTATCAGTCTTCATCGAGCCCACCCGCTGCGACGCAGATGAGATGTGTCTTGCATACAAAGATCGGACGACAGGTAGTCCTTGCCCCTCTTCCATCGAGACGCCCTCAATCTGAATGTAACGAGCGGCGGTGAACGAGAAGTCGGGTCGCCAATCCTCAGGCGTGCCTGTACCTGCCAGGAAGATTTTGGAGTAGACCTTCGTCTCGAAGTCCTTGAACAATTGGTCGGGCATGAGGACGGTGCCATCTTCGTTTGCAGTTTCTGAGTACCGCACGATGACCTCAGCGCCAGCAGGGCCCTCGACGGACAGATGCAGCATGATGGAGGCGTTTTGTCCAAGGTCAAAGCAGACCACGCCAGGACGAGGGACCGTGATTGACTGAGGTTCCAGCTTGTCGTGGAGTATCACAGGTGGCTGACTCTGATAGCGCAGAAGACCTCGAGGTCCTGTGAGTGGCTTTGCGGCAACCCATTCGGTCTCGTCGAAGCCAGGCGACGTCCAGCCAGAAGGATAGAGGCGCTTATCATGAGTCTCAGAGGCGTATATATTTGCGAGCGTCGTAGCGCTCTTGCGGACCTTCCAGGAAGGATCGGAGTGAATGATGTCGTGCGTCCCATCTTCGTAGAACAGATGAAGTTCGGCGAAGAAACACAACTCATTGCCGTATCGGACGTATGTATTATCTTCATACATGGGCCAGAAGAAGCGATCTTCCTCGGTGCCGCTACCAGCATAGAAGCCATTACCCAGATGAGTGGCAAGCACGTTCTGTCCAGCATCGAGATGGGTAGTCAAGTCATAGCCAACGTATTGGACGGTGCGATGATAATTGGACCCTGAGAGCAGTCAGTAACAGTGCGGCGAAGCCGTCGAGAGGTATGATGGCACTCACATCCAGGATCTATCACATGATCAGAAGCACGCTGGCCGTTCACATGCAGGTCGAAGTGACCAAGACCGGATGCTAAAGCGATAGCTTTGGAAGGTTTCCGAGCCAAATCGAAGCTTTTGCGAAGGTATAATGGCTTGTCACCACCATCACCAATCCAGACAGCTTTCCACTTGTTTTCTATATCTTCGAACCATGTACGGAATATGAGGCTCGAGTGCGGCATATACTTCTGATTCATGGAATATGGTGGCAATAGCTGCGACCGTGGATATGCAGTAAAGAAGCTCTGAACCTCTGAGTTCGTAGCAACATCTTTCTCATCCCACACGGTTACTCTCCAGTAGTAACTGCATGTCGAGTGAAAGCCTTTGGCCGGTTTGCAAAGGATATTCCTCTGCTCATCTGTGCTGACTTTGCCAGAATCCCACGCGGTGTCGGCGGGAGAGGACGCCTGATCAGTGTGCGCGAGATCGGAGGTAGATATCAACACCCTATACGCCGATTGTCGTGCATACTCATGGCTCTCCAGTGCCCAATACACTCGAATTGCGTCAACATCGAGACCGATAGTCTCGTGAAAACCGTGGATGCCGCAGCTGGCGACTTTCATGGTTGCGACCGAATTCGATTGCCGAGACGCGGGGCAATCTGCTGTGTACCGAGAGTAGCAGAATTTGCAGCTATGAGAGACCTCACACTACAATCATTGCACGCTGGCATCTGAGTGTTAAAGCGAGGACAGCGTGATACTGCTCGGCATTTGCGGCTGGAAGATGTGCCGATAGTGTCCAGCAATCTCGCATTGAGATGCAGCGAGACAGCCCAGACAAGGCTCTTAGCTGCAGATTTCGTGGAGAGATGCACCGACGCTATCGCCTCTTCTGGAGGCGCACCTAGGGCTCTCCTCTTTTCACGCAAGCAACTTCAGAATGAGCCCTCAAACACTGTCCACATCTGGCTCGCGTGAGTCGAAACTGAGTTCTCATCCCTTATTCTTTGTACATTCGTTGAGCGTCTCATGATCAACGCTGACACCTTCGAGGCCGAAACGTCTCTGTAACTTGCCACAATCTCGGTCGGTCCCTATAGCACACACCCCCGGGTCAAGGTGTAGGGAACGGGGTAGACTGGGACATGCAGGTACATACAAGAGTCTGTAGATCCTCCCTAGACGGACGATATAATTAGCATCTTCACTATTAAAGCATAAAGCAGCAATTATAGGCAAAGCTACAGTCATCTTATCTAGTGCATTCCCACCTATCGCTGGCTTCCTTCTCGGTCATGTTATCTCCTTCCCTTAGTTTATCGAATACTTTAACGACCCTAATAGCACTGTCACCGGTAGCATTATATTTACTTTCTAGGGTAGCGCTATACTAGGCACGATTATCAATATAGTTATCATAGACCGTCTTAGAAGGAAGAGGACTATTACTACTAGATAATCGTTTCCTTAATTAGATGTGTTCTATAATGTTATGGCCGACCACTCTTTAGGAAGAATAACTAGTCACGGAGTTAGACTCATAAAGCGGAGTGTCAAGCGAAGTGAAGTAGGTTGTGTGTGTAGTAGCGTATACTAGAGGGACTGTTAGACTAACTAATTGAGTTGAACGCAGGACTATCTAAGGTCGTCCTACCTACCTATATACTTGATAGATAATGAGTGTATGCATGTTGCTCTATATGCTCTGTTGTTCTGTGTGATCTGGAGGGAGCAGAGAGAACGGGAGATCGCACAGAGCAGGGTGCAGGAGGCAGCAGCCTTATGCAGTGTGCTCTATAGAGATCCAGGTTCTTGGCGGAATCCTTAGAGCAGGATCCTATATCCGGTAACGATCGTCGTAAATCCCGTTACGCTTAACTCAGCTCGTAGCATATAAGTAGCAGCTATAAATATAACTATACTTATAATCGGAAGGTAAGAAAGTATAATTGTCATAGGGCCTTACTAAAGCAGCGACCCTGACCTCTAGCCGGGGCCGGAGTATGACCGGAGCTTAGCGCGCGACACATCGTACAAAGAGGAGGAACTCCTCTTTTTCCCTCTTCCTCTCCTTACCAAATCCTTCTTGTATTATATACTAGTATTTGAGCGTTGGAATGCGGTCCGATCCGTAACAACAATACTATACTCTAAGTTCGTTTTATACTTTCTACGTCGCTAAAGATATAGCTCTTACTATAAATTAAGATTTATAAGGAATCTATTAAAGAGTAAGGAAAGATACTCAAAAATGTTCTAATATTACGCATTTCCTTAATACTACCTAATTACCGTTAGTCGGGAGATATTTGCAAATACTATAGATTACTGTAAAAGGCTTTCTACACTATGTCTTATTACTCCTTCATTAGTTGCGAAACGATCACCTGGCTATCTGCACACTACTCAGGTCTGATGCCTGTAGTGATACGCAATTGCTGCTGCCATCTCACGGAGCGCGTGGTAGGGACCCTCTGCTCAAAAAGCATATTAACTTCGAGCTTTGACAGATCAGCGAGTTCGGGAACACATAGATACGCCCATACGAGCGAGACAGCGACCGTGCCAGTCCACAAGTAAGCTATGTTGGTTCCCAGATCTCCCGACGTTGGGTCCACGATGTACGGAACGACAAATCCGATTGTCCATGTGGACAACTAGTACACGTACATGGCTATAGTTGTTTGTAGCGCTGCGAGATGAGGCGTATACGGTTCCGCCATCGTGGTCCAGCCTGTGAAGGTTAGTTTCACAATACAGAAGGGCTTGGGTCCAGAGTGGACTCCATACTCACCGAAGCTGCCCCAGGTGCATGCGTAAGCGGCGATGGAGATGACTGAGCCAGCGACCAGACAATTCCGGCTTGCGCTACTACCAGGAGACACCGTATGTAGAACAGCCGTTGCAAGTTGTGCAACACCCATGATGACACCGTCGACGAGAAGGCAAGGTCTACTGCCAGCTTTCTCGATGAAAAAAACTGAGGGTGCCGTAAAGATCGCATTGACCAACGCTAGGATGAGCGACACAAGGTAGGAATTGCGAACACCCGCAGCAGCGAAGAACGTGGTGCCGTAGCTGAACCAGAAAGTCACCCCAGTAGCAATAGTCATGAATCCCATTGTCGATCCGAGAAGAGTCCGAGGGAGGTTGGGGCCCTGGAAACACTCCTCGAGATGTTTTGTGCCGAATTTCGTCTGGTCACTAAGCGTTTCTCGTATCTCTTGCATGGCTACATCAAGCTCCAGCGAGTCTAGTTCCTGGTTCCGAAGGACCGACATGGATTGCCGAGCTGCGTCGTGTCTCGTAAGCTTTGTCAGGATCAGGGGTGACTCGGGTGCGAATATGCCACCGGAAAGGACTACTAGCGCAAGAAATAACTGGAATCCCACTGTCACACCTGATAGAGAACGAGTACCACATACAATGACACTGGGGGAGGATCGCTTACGCCAACTGCCTGATTCTGGGATCGTGGCAGTGCCCATGCTGATGCCGCAAGCCAGAACGTTGCCACAGGTCAAGAACTGACAGTAGAGAGCCATCAGTCTTCCTCTGGAAGATCCAGAAGAGCTCTCGATCAGGTAAGTTGGTGTCTGCGTGTTGAGCTCGCGTCAATACTTGTCTCTCTCAGCGTTGCTCAGGAAGAGGACCTACCGTGATCGATATGATACCAAGGGCCATTCCCAGAAGCACTCTACCGACGATGAAGGCTGTAGAGACGGTCCCAATGAGTTGGAGAATAATGCCGACTGTGTAAAGGAAGCCCGCCAGGAGGAAGCCTCCCTTGCGACCCGCTACGCTTGTATTTAGCACTCACTACGGGTTTATCTCATCTATCGGGCAGAAAAATGCAAATCGTACAGCCAATTATGGTACCGACTGCAAATATGGATGAGAAGAGTGATCTCGTCTCTGAAGTCAGGTAGTAGTTCCCAGAGGTATCCGTCACACCGTATCTTTGCGCAAAGTCATTCGCAGCAAGCACGCCGTTCAGGTAGCCGGAACCATATCCAATGAGAGTTGCTAGTGCATGCCTGTATCAGCGTGGTCCATGCGTATGAGTGCATCGCCAATGTGCTCACCTGTGCAAAATACTACGTTATAGGTAAAGATCCGGCGTACGGAAAACATTGTGAGGGTATTATATCCTTGAGAGATAGGCTATGAGGTCGGAAACACGGCAGAGCAGCGAGCTTATGTACACAAATGCTTCTGAATTGGCATTGGTTACGATGTGAAGTGTGTCGTCAGCCTTGCGGAAATCACCCTCCTATCAGCTAGTGTGAATCGGCATCGGAGATAGGAAGTCGCGCCCCTATCACATTGCCAAGATGAACAGTATTTTGTCATAACACCGACATTTGGAGATACTATCAGGAACAAGACAGAAGCTTGCATGCTCGGACCCATGATCCGTGATCAAGATAGCAAACGTCAGAAGATCAAGGGCGGATGTCCCAAGAACCGCTTAGTGTATCGCGTTACGGATGGAAAGCATCAAGATGTAGTCGTTGTAATTCACTTACCCGTCTCACGAGAAACCCGACAAACGTCGTGGAGGACGCTGAGGTAATAAGCTCAAGAAATCATTGGTCTCAGTTCTGACTCAACTCCATCTTCCGATATGTTCTGATACACGACTATCTAGAATTGGGAATCCTATTATCTAGATCCCAACCATGGACAGGTTGGCCACTACTTCTCGACATAAGCACTGCACTTGTCTACATACTCAAAGAAACTAGCATTGTAGTGTCTGGGAAGAGTCGGTTCAGAAAAGTTCGCACATTGCAACCCAAACCGAACTCCGAGTTTAAAATTCCATTCAAGATTGTCCAGAAAGCTCCAAGACCAGCATCCCAGGATATTAATACCTTCATCAATCACTGTAAGCAGTAGTACTGGCTCCGGATTGGATGATACAAAATATCCTCAAAAGAATTCTCGTATTGCTCGTGTGGTTCTATGAAGCCGAATTCTGAGAAAGCGATTCCGTGGGGGGCTGGCCAAGTACGATTGATTTATCGCACGAAATCTGGCACTCACTGAGCGGTTTGATGCAACCAAGCAGTCCCGGGGTCGCCCGCAGGACCTATCAGCCATCCTCCATCCGTGGCGGGGTAGATATAGGTCTGATTGACCCACTGTGGAAACAATGGATTCAACGAGTTGACGATACAAGCGTCCACGCCCTCGACCGGTGCAGAATAGAATTTTGCAGTGTACGCCTGAGAAGAGCGTCAGTTCTTGCCTTGCTCGCACAAACTGGAATTGTGACATGAGTGGTACATACATTCTCAGCAAAGAAGTCTCCAGATCCCAGAATCGTTTGTTTCTGATCGTCAGTGAAATGTGGGAGGAATCCAAAAACATAAGATTTGACCGATGACGGCCAACCGTCAGTCAGAGCGTGCAAGGGTAACACCAGCTAAGGTATATTGGAGGAGCAATTTAAACTAATGAGTCGTCTTAATTGTGAGAAGGAACATCGAGAGCTTATCTGAGGAATGCGACTTTGGTATTGTCATTTAGAAGACAAGCGCGGGACACGGTAGAACATATACTGCAGGCAGCCTCAGTTAAAGCTCGAATTGAATTTTCCGATATCCAATGCATAGTACCTAGTGATAGCGGCGTGCGTCGAGATTCTGTTACGTGAGCACATGCTTAAGAATGGTCAATGGAAAGGCGAAGAGAAAATCTTGGTTGAGGTGGAACTTGAGTTCCGCCTACCCGTTGACAGACAGACTTCAGCAGCGAAACCTATATTGATCTTCCAAGTCGCCAACCTTCAAGTCTTTCCTTCATCACGTCACCCCAATCTACCCACCTAGTCATCCAGACTATATCCCATCGACTATGTCGCATTTACGATACTACGCCTATGACGGTCTTGGTGTCCCACAACAGACGAAATTTCACTACAGTCAAGCGGTTCGCATCGGCGACAGAATCGAGTGCGCCGGCCAAGGTAAGACCCAAGCAAAGCAACCGTAATCAAGATTGTAGTCTCTGATGGTATCACTTTAGGTGGCTGGGACCCAGAGACAGGCGACTTTGCCAAAGAGATCAACGCTCAGATTGATCTGGCATTTCAGAACGTCGAATTGAACCTGAGAAATGCCGGCGGCAAGGGTTGGTCTCAAGTGTTTCGTGTCAATTCTTATCATGTTCCAATCAATAACGAGGCTCTGGACGCTATGGTACGCAACTTCAGGAGATACATGCCTGATCACCAACCTATCTGGACGTGTGTAGGAGTTTCACGTCTGGGAGAGGATGACATGCGCGTGGAGATTGAGGTGGTCGCGCACGACCCAACAGGTATTTGCGAGGCATGAGTTGTGGTATGTAGACTATCTGGGGTTTTCGGTAGGCTTGAGTGTTGTTACAGCTTTGTTACGGAGCTATTGCCTGTACACAACTGGTGGCTTCTCTCAGCTGTCTATACCTTTTCCCGAGTCGAGCTTCCGCCTCAAAGAAGATCTGATATGCAACCTTCAATCGTTGATGCACAGCTTGTGACAAGTAATATTCGGTGCTGATTGTGAAGTCCAATAACATCACATGCATTAGCGTAAGCTTCCATGTCAGCTCAACAGTTGAACTTGCCAGATGCCCACAGTTCTGGTCCGGGCCAATTACTCAGCGTGATGTAGACGCGACTTTATGATCGTTATCGACGTGCATCGAAGATAGGTGGCTCGGGGTCATGTTACGTAGCAGCATGACTCGCGGCCCATCTCTAGAATTCATCTTGCGGGATTCATGTTCCTGGCTGGCAGGCCACGTTACCCCGAGAGGACATCTTTATTATCAGCCGTCCGTCACACATTTGATCCCCCCCACGGATTCAGCCCTACGCCTCGAGAAAGCTTGCGCCTCCAGAGTCTGCGAACACGCACCGAACAGTGTCGCCGCGTCCAGCTTCACGACATGAGTTCTGCGAGCTCCATCCCTCTCTGTGTTCTGGGTCGACCGCTTTGAACGCCGTTCGGACCGCAAATTTGCGTCCAGGTGCCGTCGTGGTGATTGTGGGTATCACGGGCGCAACCGGTCATCTTGCTGGCATGATTGCCAAGAGCGTTTATAAAGCTCACGTCGTGGGTGTTGACTTTGCTTGGAAGTCTGCAAGTCTATCAGGAAATACCAACTTGATCTACGACAAGTTCATGGCATTCCCCTCTGACTTAGATAGAGATTGGCGCGTGTACTTCGGGGAACTTTCCCAGTATTGCAACCAAGTACGCGGACAGCATTGCACACCTCGTCTGGCAGACTCCGTGATCGTAACAGCGAGTTCTGCGGCTACTTTCCACAAGCTGGAAGACTATGTCTGCGATGGAGGAATCATCATTTGCGTTGAGTAAGGCCAATAACCTTCTTGATAGCGATTCGTTTGCTAACATACTTGGATCAGGGCACCACAAGGTGGTGTCAAGATAGAGACTCCTCTTTGCACCTTTCTGGAGCGACAGTTGACTATGAAAGGAGTCATGATGGGAGGCAAGAAAGACGTATATGAGGTACTCGACTTGATCAGAACTGACTTCATCAGACCATGTGTTTATGAAATCCCCCTGAGCGATGTTCCAGACCATATGCAAGAATATCTCACTCACGTTTGTGTTGGTAAGACTGTCGTGCGCGTCAATGGTGAGCTATCTCTGGAAGATGCAACATATCTAGCTGCGGCACAATCTTGAATGCGATTGAGAAAGCAGGAGCAGGCAGCGATGAAATGATACAGGAATTGGCTCGCCTTGATGAAAGCCTGCATGACGGCATATTCAGATTCAATAACCGCGGACTTTGTATATATGTTTTGATAGCGAGGCAGCTGGCTGGGCGAGACAATTCTTGTAATATCAAGAGACATGTGCTTATGGCCGTCGAACCATCTTTTGTGGCAGTGATCTCAGACTCATCCTGCTGCCGAAGCAGAACAAGTGCCGCGTAAAGAACGCAGTGAGTTGCAGTTATGGGACTATCTCTGAAGGTACCAATGTGTTGTTGATATTTCTTTCCAGTGACACATAGATCGACGGCCGCTCGATGACAAATCCTCTCCGCAGTCTCGGCGTTGGAGGCGGCTGCTTGAGTGGACAAACCCATATACTTTGGGCTTGTGAAGGGTTTCATGAGAAGTATCTGGGCAGTCTGGAACACCATATGGAGCAGATAAGTCTGCGGCGCCCAAACACCTCGATCAATCTGGTTCGCACGCATCGTCGAAGGCAGATCGTATGACCAGTTCTCAAGGTCTAGAGATCTTGGGGAGAGGAACCCTCTTTGTTGCCCGGTGGTTAGTGTGGGCGTCGGTGCATACCTTCTTGGGTCAGCGTTTCCTCAAGTTTTATCGTAGACGATAGTGAGACACACAGGTTGACAAGGATGCGCTCGAGGATCTGACAAATTTTGATCAAGCCCAACTGCAACCCTAATTTGTTGGCCTTGGTTGCTACTGATCGCTCATTGTCGGTGGTGGCAGATGGTTCGGACCACACTGCAAGCGAGGGTAGCCTCACGGCGCCTTGACAGCTCTAGAATGTACGTCAATTTTCAGGTCCATCATAATGAGTTAGCTCGAAACTGACCAGCATTGTACATGTCCGACCGACGAATGCACCAGCTAGCTTATCGTGACAATACAATGACCAATAAATTTGTCTCCTAAGCTCAATCTCGTCAGGTGGCAGCGCAAGAGAGTCTGCAAGGGCTGCCGGATCCAGATTGAATCCCATGTCGATTGCCATACCCTTGGCCATATGTTGGTGAAGCAAACCCAGTGAATCATTTCCATGTGCCTGTGAATGTCAGTACAAGCTTGCTTTGAGATGCTCAGCATCGCATCTTACGATGTATACAATGGATAGTATTGCCAACGCTTGAATCGTTGTGATGTCGGGCCACTTCAAATGATAGTGCAGTAAGATCTCGGCCTTCTCAAGGAAGAATCCGCCAGCTGTAGAGGGGTCATTAGTATCCGTCAGAACGTCTATTCTGTCGGAGTATCTCGAGCCCAGAGCCATGATGCTATTCAGTAATAGTGGACTGCAGTATCGACCATCAGTTTTTTCGGCTTGCCGGAATAAACGCTCATCGACTACCTGAAACCAGGGCTGTTCCCAGGTGAAATACAAATCGATCAGATGGTACTTTAGCTCTTCAGAGATGGAACCATCTTCTTCGATAGAGTTGACTAGGTGATTGTAAGAATTTCGCGTGCTGTGAATCCCGAACTCCACGGCCTCGGGTCTCTGAAACGCATGGCTATCTGTACCACCATAGTCATCTGTATGTAGTCAGAAAGTGCCTGCATGAACCTAGCGATGGGGATCTTCTGTTGCGAAACACCATACCTTCTGTTTGAAGATTGCGGAACTCCAATCTGCCACTTGTTGGGCCGAAGTAATGAGCTTCGCCATACATATCGAGACTGACCTTGTGGTCGACAGACAGCACGCCTTGAGTGGCAGACAGGAGATCGTCTGTACTCCATGTGGGGCTTTTCGAGCAACTTTCGTCGTCAGTTGGACACCGCTGTGGCATTGCTGGTATTGTTGTTGTCTCGAGTTGGGAGATCGAAGTCTCGATATCTATTGAGTGGTGTCGCAAAACGCGCTCCAGGATCAAGATGCGATCTCGCAGGCGCGTGACGTAACATCTCGATGCTGACCGGCGTCCATCCTCTGCCTCAGCGTATTGACAGTGATATAGGCGGTCAGCACATCTCGAGTACGAAGGAGTTTTGCCATCACACTGAGAATCATAAGCGACTGCAGCAAGCTATAATCAAGGTAGAGTCTGAGGATGTGTCAGCATACTTTGGCTTTGCGACGGCGACATTCGAGACAAGCTTTGGTGACATTCTTGCGCTGGAGCCTCGAGCTAGATGAAGTCATGGTATCAGAACCACCAGAGAGCGATGTTCTCGCTGGAGTCGTGAATCTAAGGTCGCTCAATGTAGGGCAATGCTTCCGGTAGGTCACAAAAGTCGTGCAGCTTGGCAGTGTTGCTGAGTTAGATTGAGGGCGATCGCAGACATCCGCCGTATTGGTGTGTTCGCAACAGTAGGTTAGTGGTGCGGTAGAATGTCGCGAATGTGATCAACGCGGAAAATGAGGTCCGCTTTGCCTCTCGACCTTGTAGCAAAGGTTTTCCGGAAATTACGAGCGCCAAGGAAAGTGTAGGTCATCGAGGCAAGTCATAGGCGCGCGAAGCCGCTCTTGTTGCATAAAGACGTCCTTCAGACATATCAGCGTAGATCTGGGCCTCTTGTAATGTATCTATCTAACGTTGCGATATACTGGAAAAAGAGATTTTCGATTTTCGGTATCGATGCGTAGCGAACGGGTCTGCGCGGGGATGCCGTGATTAACCTCGGTACATACCGGACGAAGACGCGATCCCGACCTAGTTGTAGAGAACAGCAGGTGCTTCCCGTACATTCAATTTTTGACCCTGCAACTACACCATGGAAGGAAGTGCCAATGCAGACTTGCAGTCAGGACCGCCAACTAAGCGGCGTCGAGTAGCTTTGGCGTGCAACTCGTGTCGCGTGCGCAAAACCAGAGTGAGAACACATGACTCAAAGTATTGTTGACCGGCACCTGCTAAGTATCCAGTGCAACGGCGCGCAACCAAGGTGCTCTTTATGCTCGAGTCTGGACTTCGAATGTCAATACGAAGCTACAGAATCCGCGACGAATATCATCGTTCGCAAAGAGTGTGTGATATGTCCGCAAGCATATCGTTGGCACGGGATACTGATCATCATAAAGATATCTACTCGGCATAGAACAGAGGCTTCAGGTACTCGAAAGGACGACCAAGATTCATAGTGACCAGCTCGCTCTCAGACTCGACGGATCTAGTGGTGAGGCGGAATTGCGCCCCGAGGCTCATCAACCAAGAACTCCAGGCGATATTCATATTGATGAGTTTAGACTAGAAGAATTTCCTTCGGAGGACACCACTACAGATGGCATGGCAATAACCTTCGTCGACGAGCAAGATTCTGGATTTTTTGGTATGACTTCCTTTGCCTAGAGCCATTGTCCATGGTACTCAGCCAATCTTATCAGGTCCATCGTCAAACATTGCGTTCTTGCGACAAATCATCCAAGCTATGGCCTCAAAATGGAATATCGTCCCCCCAACCACTCCTTCAATACGTCAAGAAGAGTTGGATCTGAAGACTGGTTTTGTAAGGGCATCCAGAGCTGCTCGTTCGGCAATCACCATTGATCCTTCTGGTGGAACGACGTCAGCCCTTCTACTGCCACCTCATGCTGAGATAGAGAGGCTTCTTCTTGCTTACTTCGCTAACACTGGTCTCATATTTCCGTATGTACATGAGAGGTCTTTCATGGAATCATATCAACAATGTCGCCAATCAAAGTTCAAGCACGTCCGTCGAACGTGGCTTGGGTTGTTGAATATCATCCTAGCAATGGCAGTCAGTACGCAGCACGAACATGGAATATCGGCGGCAAAACGTATTGCAGAGTCTGAGCTTTACTACGAGAGGGCCAAATCGCTTTGCGGAGACCAGATGCTAAGGGGCTCAAGTCTTGAGATGGGTATACCCATGATGCTCCACCTCATTCGAACGAACGCTTATATTCTATCCAGTACAATACCTTTTGCTTACGAGTCAGTATCTTCAAGGTGCGCAAAGGCCTGTTCAAACATGGATGATTCACGGGCTCGCTGTCAAAGCTGGCCTGTCGATTGGACTGCACTCAAACTATGCTGCCAATCGCTTTTCTCCAGAGGAAAACGAGACCAGAAAAAGAGTATGGTATGGATGCGTTCTGCTCGATCGGTAAGTGTTTATATCCCGTTCCCTCGTAACCACTTGCTCATCATATTCAGAAGTTTGTGTTTGTCATTTGGACGTCCATCTGCCATCTCCGATGAGCAGATTCGCCTGCCACTTCCGGTCACTTGGCCGAAGAGCGATGAGCTGCCTGAGAACGTCAAGGTTTATGATTCGATCAGTACAGCTTTCTATGTCTCTTCTATGTACGTTATGGTATAGACCTGCTTTAGTTTGCTTCAGAACTGATCAGATACAGTGGCCTTTATAAAATCGTCGACCGGACAATCAAAAGACTATATGGTGCGAACCTTGGCTGCGATCCTGTTCCGACAGAACCAGAGATGATACCCCACATGTTCTTGCTCGAGCAAGAGATCAGTCAATGGGTTGCGGACCTTTCTCCCGATTTGGGTCTCATATACGCGACAGAGGTTGCGTCACTTTCACATGCAGTGGATCGAGCGATTCTTCGCTTTAGAGTGATATTGACTTTGAGGTACTCGAACATTGAACTACTAGTTCACAGACCATTTCTCATAAGGGCCCTTGGTTCCTCGGCCCCAGATCATAATGAGAAACAACCATCCCGGTCTATGGCTCAAATCGGCAACTCGGCGAGTCAAGCGTGTATTAAAGCTGCTCATGAAACAATTTCCATTGTACACACGATACTTGTCAACGAATCCTGTGGCAAAGATCTGCTTGGAGCTTGGTGGTTTACTCTCTTCTATGGTGAAACTTTACGAACGTCAACTTCGTGGTCGAATATGCTGACACAGCTGTAGTGTTCAATGCCGCATTGATTGTACACAGTATGGCACTTGTTCAGGAATCGTCCGAGCGGTCAAGTTTAGGAATCAGCCTACAATCACCGCATGACGCTCAGCAGTATCTATCAAAAGCAATCGATGCCCTGAGTCTATTGGACACGGGTAATGCCATGGTGTTGGGATGCAAAGAATATTTACAGAACCTTCTGCGCATACAACATCTGCGACGTACGTATATATGCATCCAGCCAAGTTCGAAGCTAACCAATTTTAGTTGCCACCGATGAACCCTTCCTGACCGTGAGAAACGGGAGATCCGAACACATGGCTTCTCGAGACGAATATTCGTTCCAAGACTTGACAGATACGACGACGGACGGACTACAGCCAGATCTCGACGGTCTTGACTTTGCAGACATATTGAGTGGAGACCTCGAACTTGGAAGATTCTTCCTATCAGAATAGAAGTCTATAAAATCACCTGACCAAGTTCGGCACTTGGCGAGGTACTCAGTCTTCACACAGACCCACACGCAATGGAAGTGGTAATAGAACAATCGGTTGAACGCTCTACAACTCAGTCTTCAGTGAAGTGCGATTGTTGGCCAAGACCGTCAGCCAACCATCCCCTTTCTTAGCGATCATGGAACCAAGACAAGCTCCTGCAGCATATGGGTCTGGCAGGAAAACTAAGTCGTAGTTTCCCTGTATCAGTGTCTAAATCGACGAAAGCGTTATGCAACGGAATGGCCAAGTTCTATTACTGAAGTTCACCTCCAGCTCTCACTCAAGCAAGACGCGTTCTGACATTCAAGACTATATACATGATGACTACGATTTCTTGAATATCCACGTTATGTAATCTGGAATTGCAAGACCCCGCCCAAACTTCTGAAAACCCAGTACTCATGTCGTTGATCAATCATCATTTGCGTTGGTTGGTCAAATATCGCTGATGGAGTTGCGTGGCCTCAATCCGGGCGGCCATTTCCTCGCCCCAAATGTAAGAAGGAATAGCTCCAAGCGTCGCGAGCGCGACGAGCATGAACATGATCATGTATACCTGCACCCATCCTTGTGAGGCGATCCAACTAACGGCCACATACGTGAACAAGAATGTGACGAGATTTTTGAAGGCATTGATGAGGACCAAAGATTCGGCCGCGATATCTTGGTGCCTCTCAATGACGTAGGTTAGTGCGATATTCGGAGCATATACTGTCCCGAACGACACTGGAGAAGGATTAGTGTGACTCCTGTGTGCAGGAATATCCTCGAGAGAAGACTTACCCATGCCAAACCCAAAGGCAATCGAGACCCAATGAAGCTTTTCTGAACACGCAAAGGCGATGAGGATACAACCAGCTGGAGCAATCACAAACCCAGGGATAAGAGCCATGAGCCTTTGCTCTGGAAATGAATGACCGCCGGCTCTGAGAATTTGCTTTACGGTTATGATATCTCCAAGGTAGCCGCCCGCAATCATGCCAAAGAAAAAGCCGATGAGAGCGGCAACTTGCATGAGGCCGATTGCACTGGAGCTGAAGGAGTACGGCGGTGGGGTCAGGAAACTGGGGAGGTTGAAACTATATCATTCAGTAAGCACAAGTCCCCAGCAGTACACCGACTTCTAGCTTACATGAGGATGACCTGAGCAGCCAATGAGGTACCATAGACAAATACGGCCCAGACCACGGCCGGATGTATGAGAACCACCAGAGGGCGGACAGCGACAGTAAGGAGACTGACGTGATGATCGACCGTGAAAAACGAGAGGCAGGTGCGAGACCAAGAAACTGGGATGTGGTCGACATGCTGAACTCCAATGGGGGTATCATGTTGATCGTTTCCGGGCTCCACAAAGCCCAGATGTGCTGTGTCCCCTTTCATGTTACCCTTGATCTCACCGCTCGTGTAGGGCGTTCCGGTGTCTTCGGTCAAAGTGTCGGAGTGAGGAATTGAGGGACGATTGAAGTTTGATTCGGGGTAAAGGAAGATAAGAAGTAGCAGATTGAAGCCAGCCAAAGCAGCACATAGCCAGACGTAGTCGCGCCAGGATCCCTTAGAGTACTGAACCATGTAGCCGGCGATCAGGGGCCCAAGGGCGGTCGCGGAGGTGGTGAAGATGATGTAGCTTTCCCCACTCCGTCAGCATCGAATGAGCCTCGAACGCGGTCGACTGACTTACATCGACATCATGCTAGCTCTTTCATGAAGGAAGAACAGATCGTTGACGATACCTGGAACGATACTCTATTGTCTGGTCAGCATACCGCTTACTCCATTCTCTGCATAGGTCGAAGACTGACCTCTCCTGCAGAGGCCGCAAATCCAGACAGACATCGGGCTGCCAGCAGAGAGTTAAAAGTGGATGCCTTTGCTGTCCAACACAGTACTGCAAACAACATGGCCATAGAAACTATCAGTGATGCTCGCTTCCCGTACTTGACACCGAAGGGAACCCAGAACAGATTTCCCAGACCAAGTGTGAGGAAATTGAACTGGAGAAGTGTCAGCCTCCATCGCTATTGAGATTATGACGGATAGGATCGGAGGCTTACGGTGAGTAGTGTGTTCACGTCCGACGCGCTCTTCCTAAACTGCATCTCAAGCACCACGATTGCAACAGAGAACCCGGCGCCGGCAAAATTGCCAGTGAAGTTACACATGGCAGTAGCAACCAACGCAACGATCTTGAACCACCGAGGCCATCGCAAAGGATCTCTGGGATCGTTCGACGGAGGCGGCACTAAAGCTATGCCATGGTGATGATTTGAGCCATCGAGTGCAACGATGACGTGGTGGTCGAATGTCCTTAGATCTGCTGCCATTTTTATGTTTCACGCGATTGCTCTTGCGCTTCTCAACACGTTGGAAAGGATGGCAGTATAGGACGCGAGGTGGAAAGACGAATAAAATCCGAGCGGCCAGATGCAGGAGAAGAACTGAAAGCCAGGATTTGGCTACTTCAGGTCCCGGGACTCCAGCTAGCGTAGTCTTAAAGGGGCAGACAAGGGTCTATGCGGACGAGCCGGTCCTGCTGAGAGTCGACGACAATATCAGCTACCGAGGGTGCGGGACTTGAACCGGGGAGAAGTCTATTTACCACGGGGATAGACTATCTGTGTGGAGGACCAAGCCATTTGCGGAGAGAAGCCGTACGCGGGGATACGCCACCTGTGGGATTCACGATCCGACCCATCCCCGGTTCTCCAGTGAATACAAATGATGGGGACTTTGCTTCGCAGAGACGCGCTGGAACCTTGTTCACACCACGGTTGATAGGATCTCTACGACATTGCTACAAGTTCTGCCGCTGCCGTCCATACTCCCAAACCACATCGACCGGCGCACTCCACAAGGCCGTTCTGTTTCCGAAGCCGTTGAAATATGCCTCTAAGCCTCGAATATGTTTTTACCCTCCATGTCGAACTTGCACCACCACTCGACTTTGGCTCCACGCACACCGGGGACCGTCGATTCATCCCCATTGTGGGTGGCCGCGTAGAAGGCCCACGTCTCACCGGTGAGATCCTCTCTGGTGGAGGCGACTGGAACTCTGTACGGAGTGACGGAGTTGTGCACGTCCTTGCCAAGTATGCCATCATGGCCGACGATGGAAGTCTCATCAACATTCACAACGAGGGCTACGGACGTGCCACCCAAGCGGATATGAGGATAGTCTTTGGGAATGACCCCGCGAGCGCCTCACTGAAGAAGGATGGCGCAGAGTGGTACACCAAAACATTCCCTCGTTTTGAAGTCGCTGATGGTCCTCATGTCTGGTTGGCGAAATCTTGCTTTCTGGGCGACTTACTTCCACCAGACAGGCCGAATCATGTGAAGGTCAAGGTGTACGAGGTCATCTGATGGCCGAGCGATCAAGTAGACATGGGTTCTATAGTAAATGTTAACGGACAAGACGTTTCCTTAACATTGCATTTTACAACAATTATGGGACCTTTCCTACTTCCTGAACTTTAGGTTTGTGCTTCAAAGTCTTTCCTTATCAGAATTCGACATGTTTGTGTTCAACAATCTGCAAATGCCAACAATGCCGTGATAGAATTTTATATCAAACTTCCGAAACCTATTCATCTTTTCCAATAGGGTATATGGATATAAAATGTTCGATGCTGCTATTGATGTGGCTGCCTAATTCTCGATCAATTGCAAATCCTGACCATCGACCCAGTTCCCATGTAACCCGGCTCGTAGTCGAACGGGGAGCGATATGATAGCTTGAGCCTTCGAGAAATCCCTGGTGTCAACCAGATGAAGCTCGCTTGCCATCTGACCGTAGTTGTTGACCAGGAGTAATATCCAGCCGTCACCTTCGGAACCTCCAGCACGAGGGATGAACACAGGTTCCTGCATCAAATGGGTTTTCCCAGCGAAGTACTTGACGCATTCACCAGTCAGACTGTTGTAGTGTGCTACCGAGTTGTACGGCGGGTATCCACCGCCCATGACCGGTGCGATAGAAGGGAAGTCAGTACCCAGGGCCGGATCCATCAAGAGGCAGAACACGTCGCGGTGCTTTGACATGGAGACTCTGTCATCGACGCGAGGAAACTCGACGTCTTCCTTGAGAACATACGTGGGTGACAACTTCATGTCCTCTGAATTTGGATTGATGATGAATTGCGCGAGATTGGAAGTAATCTGGTGTGGGTCGGGGGCATTGCCTTGGGCATCTGGCCACCAGAAGAAGACGTTTTTGTCGCTAATTGGCAGCTCGAACAAGATATCACCATCCGGGGTCTCATATGCATTCGAGGTATGACCTGGGAAAGCGTTTGGAGCCCGAAACCACTGTTGGGAGTGTTAGTCTTTGATATCAAGCATGGGCAGGAGACACAAACCTTGATGTCGGAACCTTTGGCCCCTCGACGAGGGAGCACTCCAATATAGAAAGGAATTTCAGGGTCCCATCGCCAATGCTCTCCACCTTGCTTCATACGATTAACATCGCAAGTTTGCGGTATCAGAGGGAAGATGACATAATTTTGCGTGACAGCAAAATCGTGAATCATGGCGAGGACAGGCGCGGTCATCCATACGACTTCTGTGAATATGCCGTCCGGACTAACGGTGTAATAACAGATGTCAGGAGTGCCATCCCCCTTGGCTTCGTATCCGAAGGATATCAGTTCTTTGGTGATAGGGTCGATCTTCGGGTGCGCTGAAAATGTCACGCTGGGAAGCTGTCCATCGAAATCCCACAGACCGACGGTCTCAAGAGTTTCTGGATTCATCGCATATGGTGGCGAATCCTCCTTGCACGCAAGCAACTTCCCATTGAAATAGAATACATTGGTATTGGCAGTGCTGCGGACTTTGAATTCGACCGCGTCTGTGTACTTGTTGCGATATTTTCCTATTCCCTCAAGGTTAGTTGGTATGAATGCGTCGTCATATATGTCTCACATACCCAAGAGCGCGCGCTGCGCTTCCTTCTCTCTCAGAAATTTTTCGGTGCGCACGTATCGTTGCTTGAAGTGAACTCTCCCCGCCTTTATGTTGAACGCACTGACATTCCCATCTCCGTTGAACCACTGAACACCAAGTCAGTATGCCAGAGCTAAACCATCCTCATCTGCGAAAGATTGTTTTCTTACCGGGTCGTTCTCAACGGTAGGAGGAAAATGTGGATCTGGCATAACGCGGTAGAAGGTGCCATCAATGTCGGCGGGAATTGACCCGTGAACCTCCAGATTATGGATTTCTCCTTCGAATCGACATGGTTTCATAAACCCGGAGAACTGTGGAAGTTGAGGAAACTCTTGCGAGACCTGTACAGGAATGCTGCGAAAATGACCGGACATGACGGGCGGCCTTGAACGATAGTGGGTAGGAGGTTTTGTATACAAGGTTTACGATCTGGACGATGAGATGCTGATTTGGACCAATAACCTGGGAAGTCGTGGACGTTTATACGGGACAGGAGCGCGGACGTCAGCAGTCGTACCCGGCGATTCTTGTTCCGTCTTTCAAGGGGCTCAGCCGCGGAGCCGGTAAGGCGGGGAAGCGTCGGGTCGGGCGACCGACCACATGAGCCGAGAGATTTCAGATCTCTGACGCCTCGAGATTTGTCCAATTTACGTAGAATTGGAAGTATTATATAAAGATCGAGTCGGGAAAACTTCCACAAGGCATCAGGCAGAGCTTTCAAATGGCAGAACCCAAGGTTATACCCTTGCTAATTGACAGTCAATTTGTCGTTGAACCCATTGCTTATCGATATCCGGCGAATGTTGTTCCATCCCTCATCGACCAATCGTTGCCAACCCTGTCGGACTCGATTCAAGGGGCAGACAAAGCAGCCTGTCTTGCAGCGGTAGAGTCTTGTGCACGCGCGTTTCCGGCATGGGCAGCTACTAGTCCTTTCGAGAAACGTAGACTCTTCCTGAAGCTCTCGCAAGTGAGTCGGCGGCCGACTGGCTCTAATCAACAGGAATTCTTGCTGATAAAGATTGTAGCTTTTGAGAAGCAAAGGGGAGGAGATCAGGGGTATCGTCGAGCAGGAGATCTCTTGCTCTCGCTTGTGGTCCTATATCAATCTCGAGGATTCCATTGGGCTCATAGACGAGCTCGCAGCTTTGACAACTTCCGACAAGCTCGGCGGCTCTATACCTATGGGCACAGAAAAATCTACCGCTTTGGTGTTCATGGAGCCTCTGGGTGTCATTCTGGGAATCGCTCCTTGGAATGCGCCTTTGATACTAGGAATTCGTTCGGTAGCCGCAGCGGTGGCTGCGGGAAATACAGCAATATTGAAAGTAGGTGCTTGGCAGCAATTCTGGCGCCCTCTTCGTTCCGAAACATTCCTAATTTGCTCCTTAGGGTTCGGAGCTCAGTCCTCGAACTCACTTCTTCATTGCCAACTTGTTTCTCGAAGCCGGCTTCCCGCGAGGGGTCGTGAATTTCATCACGCATCGAGCTGAAAATGCTGTCGAATGTTTCGATACCATCATAAATCACACCGCTGTTCGTAAGTGTAACTTTACTGGATCAACTGCAGTTGGTAGATCGGTTGCATCGAAGGCAGGGGCTGCCCTCAAGCCAGTTTTACTGGAGCTTGGGGGAAAGAACTTCGCAGTCGTGCTTGGAGACGCGGATCTGGACAAAGCCTGCCAAAAGATTTTAGAGGGCGCCTTTCTCAATGTCAGAAATCCCTCTCTAACTTGTGATCCGTGACTGACAAATTCCAGAACGGGCAGATCTGTATGTCCACGGATACTGTATTGGTCGTCGAATCGGTCGCATCTGATCTGAAGGCAAAGTTGGCCGGGAATTTGTCAGTGGTACTACCAGATGTCAGCCATGTCATCACAGACACTAGCAGAGTTCGTTTGAAACGCTTATTGTCTGATGCGCAATCAAAAGGAGGGCAACTACTCGGGGCCCCCCAGATCGAGAGCGAAGAGAGAAGCTTTCCACCCACCATCATCGACGCGATAACTTCCAATATGGACTTCGGCCACCTTGAAGCATTTGGCCCATTACTAGGCATCCGCGTTGTTGGAAATGAGCAAGAGGCTCTCCAAATCATGGCCGAATCGACATACGGTCTCTCGGCTGCCATCTTCTCGCGCAACCATTTTCAAGCTTTGCAGCTTGCTCGGCAGATGAAGGTCGGAGCTGTTCATATCAATGGCGCAACTGTTCATGATGCCCCCAATCTGCCACATGGGGGCGTTGGAGACAGTGGCTTTGGGAGATTCGGAGCTCACTGGGGATTGATAGAGTTTGTGCAGACCAAAACAATCATCATCAACGAATGAATGTACATGTATATATGTAAGCATGAGAAATCTGATGTTCACTGCAAATTATCCTATGGCTAGGCGCTGAAGACATGAGGCAGCTCAGGTACTATTGACAGACTAAACAGGTAACTTTGTACCACAGTCAGTGTAGTGAGCTTCAATTGTATTGACTGTATCAATTGAATTCATACGTCCCGACTCTCCCTTCCAAGTCTACGTCGGTATATTTTACACGCTTGCCAAGTCAGCTCAATACATTGATCTAACATGAGAGAAGGCGTTCAGCAGCGGAAACGATCACCTGTGTAAGCTTATTGGTAGATTTCAATTGGACACCTGTCTAATCTGGTCCGCTCTACCAACACATGATTATGCAAATTTGACTCCGTTACGTAGTGTGCCAATCTTACTGATCGAAACCTCCATTACAGTCCCTGGAAGCAAGAATTGTGGAGGAGTTAGCCCTGCACCAACCCCTGAGTAGATCCAAACGTTAGCAACCAGCACTGCCTTCAACACGACGATGATGTATTACTCACCTCCTGGCGTTCCAGTCATGATGACACTGCCCTTCCTCAAAGTAGTCCCAGTAGACAGATACGATATCAAATATGCACAGTCAAAAAGCAGATCTCTGACCGTTTCATCTTGCCGCACATGACCATCAACCACAGTCTTGAGTAACAACTCTGCCGGGTCTCCGATCAATTCCGAATTGACAAGGCAGGGACCCAGCGGGGCAAAAGTATCAAAACCTTTGGAAAAGCCCCACTGTGGGATTCGGCCTGCGAAAGCTGGATCTCGTTGTAACTTTCGGGAGGAGATGTCGTTTCCTGCTGTGTATGCGGCTACGTAGTTCAAGGCTTCCTCGCGGGAAACGTCCTTTGCGTCTTTGCCGATGATCAGGCACTGGAAGCAGGGTTAGATTATCATGGAGAAAAGTAGATTCGTGGTCTCCAGTACCAGTTCACCCTCGTAGTCCGCCTGGTCGTCTTGTGCAATTTTTGGGATCAAAACGTCAGAGCCGTGATCGGCAACACATGTCGTAGGCTTGAAGAATATGAACGGGAAGGGCGGCGGACTTCTTCCAGCCTCTTTGACTAGATACGATTGTCAACAATCGCATGCATTCTCACTCATGTGATTCAGGCGTAACACACTATGCTTCGCGTAGTTCAAGCCTACACATCTCAGGATGTCTGTATCCTCTGGCGCAAGAGGACCAAGCAACTTCCTCACTGTCACCACCTCATTCGTGACCATTGTCTTTCCCGAGATGTCATACGGATCGGTCCCTGTGATGACTTTGGCTTTCAATTGAGTCTCTTCCGTAGTATTGCCGAGGTCGAAATCGGAAGTTGGCAGAAGCGGCTCCCCACGCAGAACACGACCGTCGGTTGCAACGAAGCGAATCAATCTTTCCCAGACGACCTTCATTTTGACAGATGGCAGTAAATACGTAACTCTGGTACAGGACTAGGTAGGACTGCTGGATTGAGTTCCTCAAATGCGATCGTCTTATATACCGCAGTATGGCTTTCCGGCCGAGCGGGGGTAGGTCGGCTTCCCGACTGACCGGCTATCACAACGGCTCTGAGCGATGATATCTGGCGACGCCATGAAACTCTGACGCTATGGGGTGTCCCGACGAGACGAAGGGACCGTTTGATTTCGCATACAATCCCGTCTGGAATTGACCATCTTGCTAGAGTAGTGGTGCAGTCGGTTATCAGCCGGCATAACGGAACAGAGGGTGTCGCTCGATGTACGTCTCCAATTCACCGCCGCCGCTCGTGATTTTGCATGAAGAGAGGCTCCCCTAGTCAATTGATGAGCAGTCTTCCACTCGTGAGCGCAATTCTCTTCTGCATACAATAGTAAGTGCTCCCTTTCAACTCGCCCGATGAGACCGTACGATATGCTTTCAAAAACGAAATTGCTCGTGGTATTGCCCTCGAGGTATAGTCACCGCGACTCCGCGGTCCCGACATCGAACTCTTACCCTAGTGCCTGGATTGCAGTGTCATTTTCTGTTGTAAAGATTGTTCAGTATCGAGAAATTATCAAACTCAGGAAAGATCTGTCCCGTTCAGCTGGACATCAAGAGCAGTGGAAAGGCAAAGAAAGGTCTCATTCCATCTCTGACTACACTGCATCTGCTAGACATGTATCGTCAAGTTCCATCGCCTAGTCGGATACCAAGGACTCGCCCTCCTGCCCTGCGTATCGGTAGAAGCCTAGAGCCTTCAACATAGGCTTGTCGTCGAATCTGTACAAGTACACAGTCTCATTGCCTTCGGCAAAGTGCTGATACGTGTTCCAAGCCGGTATACAGAAAGTATCGCCTTTCTTCCAACTGAATCGCTTAGATTGGATCATACTATGTCCCTCGCCTTCTATGACATGGTAAACGGAGGAGGCGGTTTCCTGCGCTTCGGGAGACGACTTTCCTACATTCAGTCGCTCGGCTGATCCACCGAGAATTTTACTAACTAACCAGGGGTCAGCCCATAACCTCATTATTGATTAGCAAGCAAGCTCTGATACGTACCTTCTCTACCGTCAGACTTCAGATAAGGCTTTGATACCCATGTATCCACCGAAGCGTCCAGCTGGGCACGCATCTTGGTCCAAGGGAAGACAGTTGGCGAAGCAGACGTGTCAACATCCTCAGCGGGGTAGCGAGGCTTATCATAGTGTTCCACGAAATGAACGGGAAAGTGCACAAAGTTGGGAAGGTCGAGACCATCCAGCCAGATCATTGGACCTGAGCCATCTTTCCCATGATCATGCCAGTTCCATGTAGGTGTCAAGATGACATCTCCGCGCTGCATCTTGATTCTTTTGCCGTGAACCGCAGTGAAACCTCCTGAGCCTTCGATGATAAAGCGCATAGCGAAGGCTGTATGGCGATGTGCTGGTGCAGTTTCATTTGGCATGACCAATTGTAGACCCGCATACAATGTGTCGGTCGTAAAAGGTGCTTCTTCACGCCGTTAGTCGCTTCTGAGAGAAGGGGTAGAAACTGAGGTGGTGCGTACTTCTTGCTGGGTTCACTAGCATCAATACTCGTCGCTCAGCTTGCTTCTCCGTAATCAAATGCCCGGCTTGAATCAATTGTGGGCGGATTTCATTGTATCTCCAAACGTGGGGAATTGTCTGAGGGTCTGGGAGCGGTGGGTTCAGCCGAGTCATTTGAGCCCACAACGGCTTCACGTGGGTGTCGTCGAGGCCTGACATGAAGACATTGGTTCCATGCTCAATGTCATGACCAATGGTTTTGGTCTGGGTTTGTACGGTTGAAGACATGCTATGGTTTGTGTTCGTAAAGATGTGGTTCAGGATGCTACCACTTAATGAGCTGCCGTTCGACGAAAATCAGAGACAGGGGGAACGGATCCAAATATATCAACTAGAGTCAAGAACGAGGATGGCCGCGCTACAGTCGCGGTTCCGGAGGTCACGACTGTCGATTTGAAGTTAAATCATCATGACAGTACGATCCGGGGAAATGGCGGAGACGGCCTGGCGGGTGTAGCTACGGGGATATATCGGGATAGCTCAACATGCCGCGGCAAACCGAGCAGTAAGGCTACTGCAGTTCCTTCGGTCCCGGACCGTCCAATAGGGAACATGCAGCCGGATCGTAAAAACTTAATATGATAATGTAACCGCCATCCATATCTTCAATCATCATCCCCAGGTTTCCCCCATACTTCAGGATACGACAGCTGGCCCACTCTCGATTTCACTCCAATATGCACAACTCTACGTCCATCCCGTCCTACCCGACTCGATGTACCACTTTTTTGGATGATCTCGCAAAAGACATTCACGATTCGCGTCATCTCAATGGTAACACCAATGGGTCGCGTGCAAACGAGCCGGGTGTCATTCCACCTCGGGCTCTTGTGCCCTTAGATATCATAATTGTGGGGGCGGGTCTCGGTGGTTTGGCTACCAGCATCGCACTGTCCAGACGAGGTCACAAAGTGAGGGTTCTGGAACAGGCGACTGCTCTAGGAGAGGTATATACGGGTCCTGCATGGTCCACCTAAGCTGCGCTAACAGACGTACGCCACACAGGTCGGCGCGGGAATTCAGATCCCCTCGAATTCGAGTCGGATCTTGCTAGATTGGGGACTTGGATCTTTCCTCAAGGGTAAAGTGGTGGAGCCTGAGAACATCACATTTCGAAGATGGGAGGATGGCTCTGCGGTTGGCTTCACAAAGCTAATTCCCGAATTTCAAAAGAGCTTCGATGCGCCATACTACGTTGTACACCGGGCTGACTTTCACGATGCCATGCACAAGCTTGCACTCGAGCTCGGAGTCGAGGTTCTTGTATCGAGTAGAGTTGTCCGTTACAATTCAGAGGATGCGGCGGTTGAGACTGCAAACGGCAGAAAGTATAGCGGGGACTTGGTCATCGCAGCCGATGGTATCTTGCCCTGAATCCTCGTCAGCGTCTATTGACAAGTTGATTTGAATCTGCGACTAACTTTCTCAAGGAGTTAAATCACTGGCGCGAGCAGTCATCATCGGCACTACTGCATCGCCGCCTGTACCAACAGGGTTTGCTGCCTATAGAGCAACAGTTGACGTCGAGAAGATGAAGGAGGATCCCGAAATTGCCTGGCTGCTGGAAACATCAGCACTAAACGTTTGGTTCGAGTAACCTCCCTACCCTCGGACTCATCACTGACACTCTCAAGGATCGGCGAGGATCGACATGTCATGACTTATACCATTGCAGGGGGACGATCATTTAACATGGTCCTGTCTCATATCGATCACACTGATATGGTAACCTGGAGACAAGAGAACGTGGTCCAAGATATCCGGGACTCATTCGCTGGCTGGGATCCTTGGTAAGTGCTTTATGCCATCTATACACTCTACCTTTCGCGTACTTCACTGAGACCAAGACGCAGTCTGATGAAAATCATTCACTTGATTGACAAAGGGTTGAAGTGGCCATTGTTGAGCGGAGAAGTGCTCAATAGATGGCTTGATCCAAGCGGTAAGCTACTGCTCATTGGAGATGCTGCTCACGCTATGGTTCCCTACATGTCTCAAGGGGCTGCAATGGCAGTCGAAGACGGTGCAGCCCTAGGGGAGATATTGAGTATCGTCGAGCACAAGTCACAGATCCACTCGGCCCTGAGTGTCTTCGAGCGGGTCCGCATGCAACGGACAAGTCAGATGCAAGAAGCAAGTCTTCTGAATGGAAAGATCTGGCATTTCGCAGATGGTCCAGAACAGAGAGCGAGGGACGCATCGATGAGAGCAGAAGTAGAAGGGAAACAGTTCATCTCTAGCCCTAATCAATGGAGTGACCCGGTCACGCAGTGGTGGGCGTATGGATATAGAGCTGCTGACGAAGTTGTCAAGGCCTGGAAGGAAAGCCTGTCAGCCAAGAATTTATAATCATCTTCTTTGGTGCTGACATATCTTTCTTCTCACTACTTTTTAATAGTTCTTGCCCTTAGATTGTGTGACGATTCTGCATATCTATCTTTAAGTAATATCTACATTCATTTGCTCAACACATCGACCTACGCAGCAGGCTATTCACCCATCTCGAAGATAAGCTCTCCGTCGCGGCTCAACACCTCATGCGAAAGCCAGCTTCGATCCAGTGCCTGGCTGTTGAAGGTTACCGTCCGCAGATAATAGCTGATCACAAAGATTCCTGGCGCCTGGAACCTCAAGACGCACTCTTTCGCCGTGTCAGAGTACACGTTGATCCATAGGGAGGAAAAACGGGAGGCACTGAGGAGGTAGATAGGCTGAGTCGAGACCGTGTAATATCTTCGAGACTCGTGAGCATACAATCAAAGAGTCAGGATATGATGTCAGCATCTTATTGAATATCAGCCAACTCGGAAGAGCTCCTTCCGTATTTCCTGGGTATTTGGTTGCTCTTAGACTGGTTTGCCATCTCCTAGTGGTAGCTCGGGACGTAGTTGTACAGTAACGGTATGGCGATTGACGACTCGCTTCCTAGGACAGACGTCGGTCACTGTGACACAAGACTCAACAAAGCCGGATTGAACAATGCACTGCCAGCATCGTCTTTGGTTCCTACACTGTATCCCAGACCAGGCAAGAAAGACGTATCTAAGCGCTGGACGAAACTCAATGATCCTCGCCATATCGTGCGGCGCAGCAGAGGATGATGTCTTCCAGACTTTTGCCTCTTGTATATCGTTTGCCCAGCCGTATCCATTACAGCTGAGGGGTTGATACCATGTGTGGTTACAGCTCCCCTCGCTGTTTTAGACAGTAACAGAACCAGTAAAGGTCGTGTTTGAATAGCCGTTAGGAACGGGAGGGTCAAACAAAGACATCTTTGCATCCGGATTTCATTGATTCTGTCACCAGTCTTCAACATCAGACTCATTTGGTAATAACCTGGCGACACTGTAGATAGCAAAGTCGTTTTGAAAGTGTTCACAACCTCGGGGTGGCAAACATCGGTGTTCATCCGGACGAAGACGAGACTTGGTGCAAGACGTGTCTAGACCGAATGATCGAAACTAATAAGAAGACTAATCGAAGCTGTAGCCGAGAATGCCACAATCACGAATCCGGAAGGTGTCCGGACCGATATTGGCCATAACTTTGTCAGAGCTTTGGTCACCACAATCAGAAGATAGTTTGGTGAAGCTGTCAACCGTGTCATGGGAACATCGGATCAATCCGAGCGGATGTACGATTGATTCGCACATGTTCTCTCCATAATACGCGCCCCGAGAACCGCGCAAATTTAGGTCGTGATCCAAGGCCTCTAAGCATGAGGCTTACGATGTAATATTCAGTTCATATCCCTAGACAAGACTAAACCAAACACTTGCAACCCGCGAACACATCTCCAGATGTAAGCACAGAGAACGGCGAGATCGACTTTGGGGTACTGCTGTAGTACCTGCAGAACGCTACAGGATCCTTGAACATCGCCTTGAGCAGCCCTACCACAGCTCCCTTACACATTCTATTATCCTGTGGCGAGTAGGAGGGCCCGATCTTGAACTTGAGCAACGGTGCGCTCTTGTGTGTCACCAGACAGCTGCAAGCGTCCTTTAGTGTACCAGCGCTCATCTCCGGCAAAGGCGATGTGTTGCGATTGGCGGTCAGATAGTAGGCGCAAAAGTCGAAAGGGTCCTTTATCATTGTCCAAAAGAGCGCTGTGTGCAATTCCAGATTCGGACACGTCAACGATCGTCCTGAAAGCATAACAGTCGATGATTTGTGCACGCATGCGGTGGGCGTCACGCGTTTGTCGATCGTAACGACCGAAGTACCTTTTACGGTAGTTGTTCCTATGCTTATCGTGACAATTGTGATCGGTGAGGTTTTGATTCCAGCAGATCTGCTTGATGTTAGATGTAAAACATTAGGCAAAGATGAGAATTCACTTACACATAAATTGTGTCTGCGGTCGTCGTAAGAGTAGTGGTCAAAACAGAGTAGATTGTCAGTGGTCCGTAACCCGAGACAGATGTCACTCATATCGACGTTGAAGAAGATGTCAAAGACGAAGTAGGCAACATGCTCGAAGATTTTGAGAAAACCGTAGACGTGGAGGAAGATGTGACATCAGATTTCGATGACACAGATGACCCTGATAGAGGTTCGGCTTCGGCAGGTACCTCGGCTGGCTCTTCTCGCTTCGGTAGAGAGCTTTTGACTGGATCTGAGACTCTCATCGAGGCAGTCTGCCCATAGCAAGAGCAAGCACTTGACAGTTGTAAAGCAGGCAACACCGAGATTGAACTCGGGAAGGTCCGCTTGGTGCTCAAAACCTCTTTGCAGAGGCGACTTGCAACCGATGTGTAGCTGGAAAGCGATCTCAAGGCAGAGCCAGTGGTGCAGATTGCCGATGTAAAGGTCTTAGATTTCGACATGCCCCTCGATGTTAGCTTTTGCGATGTTGGTCTTGAGCTCGCTGAAAAAGAGGATGTCTTGGAACCACTAGACTTGATCGAAGCTGCCGATCTCGAGCTAGATGTCTTGGAGGTCGATCTTGTGCTCGAAGATCTACATATCGGGCGACTGAACTGCATATCTGCCTAGCTACCCAGGGTCAGGCGGATCAAGACAACTCGCATTACGAGCGCCTCACTACGGGTTGTGCGCCCATTTCCGGTGGGGGTGTTGGCCAGATATGCGAGTCGCAATATCCAAAATACTCACACGCAGCAGTTTGCGGAGCCGGGCAACTACAGTCCACGCATTAAATCAACATCTGCACACGATATGGATGGACTTACTGCACAGCTTCTCCAAGGAAGATATATGCCCAGAGCTTCTCAAAAACCCTTCCGCTGACGGCGTCATCAAGAGGTGTCTCGAGGAGCCACTCCCGCATTCGGGTGTAGTCAGCCTTGGTTCGTCGACGTAGCGCCTGCTTAGTCACAGCAAATTGCGCACAGCACTGGGATGCTATCGTCTCTGGTAAGTCTTCATTGGGAAACAAGATTGGCCATGCGTCTCCTATCGCGTTCTCTGTCTCTCTGAGATGATCGCCGTCTCCCCATACAACTGCATCATGATGCTTTGGACGCAACTCAGCTGGACAGGAAGGCGACCAGCTAAAGCGAAGAGATACGTATTGTGCTTGTGCGAGAGTGTCAAATTTGAGGTCGTGAATCATTTCGACAATGTCCCTTTCTTGGTGCCAGGCGGTGCGATGACCGTGCGTGAATATCGCGTAAGGAGGTAGATTGTCGTAGTTGAGTATGATATAGCTGAGGTACACCATGGCTTCTCTTCCTTTGTTGGCAGGCACAGCAAGAGTCGTTGGTGCATTGAGGTCGGTGACCACAAAGGGGAAGATATCGAAACTACGAAACAGTCAGTCAAGCTCAAAGTATGCTGTACTGGTATGATCTGCGGTTGCACCTTCCAGTCATATTTTGCATCCATGACAAGCTTTCTGCAGCCACGGTACCTGCGATGATGGCAGGACGGACAATTCTCGACACTGCTGATTCCTCGTCGGATACAGATCCGGTGTTCTCCTCCATACTGTCAAAGAGCAGAGCCCCATAATCTGTATCAGTCTGACCGATTGACAGAGCCACGCTATCCAATCCACCAGACATCAAGTCGTGTCTCCAAGCCTCGTAAAAGCTGATCATGAACAGTAGGCATATCAGAGTCGCGATACACAATCGGATCCTCGAGTTCGACTCCAAGAAAGATGACATTGCTGATCCCCCAAGAGACAAGTAAGCGAAGACTAGCGATGGACAGCAGCGATGATAGAGCACTTCATCATCTTAGATTGTAGAAGGGCCATCGTAGCTGATAGTCAATGGCAACACTTCACACACTTACGAACCATGACACGCAAGCCGACCCAAGCCTCACCCGTCAAGCCTCCAAATCTACTTTCGAGCCCGTGCATACAACCCTGATCCATGCACGACATCGTGGACGCAAGTTATTTGCCTCGATGGCCCAGTGGCTTAGTCCAGTCGATACTAAGTGACGTGCATACTCACAGAGTACCCGGAATACTGCTTGAGAGTGCTTCGATGAGACTGAGAACAGATAAGCCCCATGGCCTATGCCCATGTTGAACAAATCACAACTTCTAGCCTTGATCTTCTGACTTGACACTAACAACAGTGGAAACTACCCGTGACTGTCTTTGTCTGATCTCAGGGACGACGCAACATGACATGATCAACAAAAAGGCTACGGCTCCCCTGTATTATCTAGACTCATGCCACAAGATTGAGTGGGAGAAATAGAACCGTTCTTGAGAATGTTGTTCAGTCTCAGCTCTGACATCTTCCAATTCATCATGCTGTCGCTTTGGTGGAACTTTGATGAGAGCAAGGCCCCACCTGTATTTCCTGCTCAGAATGTCAATATCATCACATCGCCTTGGAGCCCTCGTCTCGAAGCACCATAAATGACCAGGGACTTCGTACCTCATCGAACAAGCACTTCCGCCATGCTTTACTACAAGTATACGTAGGAAGCTTACGTTGCCAAATACTCTATCGCATGTCTTGTTCGTCTGCCAAGATGGCAGACACGCGGTGGTGGAACGCCTCATGCGCTTCGATAACGTCCAACGGCCAACTCAATTGATTGTGCCAAGCAGAGTCGTCGAGGACTCCATATAGGAATCGATTCCCAATTATGGGTGAGAGCATGCAAGTTTGCTAGCATCGATTCCTGCTTCCGGAATACTTATCTGATCCGTTCATGGAAGCTACAAGCGGACAGGCGTGATCAAGGACACAGGACACAGGGGTACTGAGTACCAAAAAGATGTACAAGCTCGCTTAAACGACAGTATAATGCATGCGGCAAAGCGTATGAGGTTCTCGTGTCCCTTACGCTATGGATGCAGCATCGCTATGCAACCGAACCTTTTCATATCCAAGCCACCTCGTTTCTCTCCAGCTCGTGAATTGCCGATAACCCTCATAGCCAATGACGAACAGCGCAAGAGCTGCGAAACAGACCATGATTAACTGCAAAGTAACATTCGAGCTTGCGATATGACCATTCAAGATCCCGTTCGCACCGATCTCCCACCCAAGATCGAGGTTTCCGCTGACGCCAAGTGCGTTACCATCAACATCCAATGCTACAACACGCAAAAAGCGCATCTCGTCGTCTTGAATATCAATCTCGGTCTCGAAGCCCTTCCTTTGCGTTACCGAGACATCCTCCCATTCGTCGTCTGGACACGCCAGTTGCTCGGCTTGCTGTACTTTCCAGAACGCTACTTCCGTGGCGCCATTCCAACTTGCGAATATAGAGAGATCCTTGCCATCACCGAAAGCCACCGATGGCGGCCAACTTGGCTCTCCTTTCCATGGTGCCTTGAGAGCACGATACGACTGCACGTCTCCCGTACCCCAGGAAGATACAGTGGAGAAGCGGTTGTCGCAGAGCACTTCTCCAGTGGCAGCATGTTCTGTCCAGACTCCTACGTAGCCAAAGCCGAGGAGGATGCGCGGATCAGATCCGTCATCGGAAGTGATGACTTGCATGCTGCCTTGACTTGACGAGATGAACTGTACAGGATGAACGTATTCGCGCACCAGTCGTGCTGTGTAATCGCTTTTAAGTGTTGATACTCCGACGGTTGGGTAGGTGATCTCGATCAGCACGCCTCTCGATGGTCGAATCCCAGAAGCCTCGTTATCCGCACCGTTGTCGAAAGCAGTGACCACCATCTTTGTAACACCGTCGACATCCTTCGTTGGATGCACCTCAATCTTGTCCGCCAGTAGTACTGGGAAGTCCGTCAAGTTGTGAAGGCGAGCAAAGTGCTGATATGCAATGTTCGTAGCTTTACTATCACCCTCGCTCAGATCATCAAACGCATTGCGTTTACCTCCCAAGATCCAGATGATGTTGCCAGTGTTGCCGTCAATGTAGGTGATTGTGTGGGTGTAGCGTGCAGAAATAAGGTAGTTGCCGAGTTCGTCCTTCTGGATACTGTTCATGTGGTACCAGTCCCACGGACGGTTGGAAACTCTTCCCTCATCACCAATCCGACGGTAAGTCTCTTCCAGGCTGTGATGTTCAGAAGCACGCCATTGGAAGATGAGTTCGTTGGTCACAAGATCGATCTCCTGGAAGAGACAATCCCAAATCCAGATCACGTCTGTGTCGTCGATGTATCCTGGAAGTGTGACAGGATAGATCTCGTAGATGGTCATCATTCCAGTTCCTTCTGGCGTGATGGTGAATTCATGCAGGTCTGCATGTAATCCGTTCAAAGCGGATATTTTCGCGACTTCCTCGTATCGAGAACTATACTGCATTTCCGTTTAGCGACACTGACCCAATGCTGCTCAAGTAGAGCCTACCATGTAGTAATCACCCTCACCATGCCCTCCAACCCCGTCATTACCGACCCAAAACGTCAATACTGGCTCCCCTTTGTATTCTTGGACTTTGAAATTGTACCCTTGTCCATCCACATAATGCTCCCAGACCATTTCTCCATCGTTGTCCATTATCGTAACAGCTGGATGCGGTACTTTATTGCCTCGTGGAGAAAGAAAGATGTAGTTGTCGTCACGACATTGGAATGACTCGTGTGGCCGCCGGAGGATTGGTGACGACAGGTCGGAAGATTGAAACGTCTTGTATGGGTAGGAGCCAAAGTCATGCTCGAAGGACTGCACGCTCATCGAGTCCGGATGGGTGTCGATGTTTTGTGCCGATGTAGTCGTGATTCGCAGTAGGTTGACAAAGCCGAGTAGAAGAGAAGACTTGAACATGGTTGTGGATCAAGGCGAAGTCGCTAATTGGGACTGCAGATGTTTGCGGTATCTGCTCGAGTTGTAGAGATCTCGTTCGATATATGTGGTATGCGACACAAGTTCGTCATCAGTTGGTTGCACGAGCGACAAACAACAAGTAGTCGAAGTAGAGGACAAAAATCACAGAACGAAGGATGAGAATGCGCGAAAGGCAGCAGGAGAGGAAGAATGGCCAAAGGGCTGTCTTTGGTAAAGACTGGGAGTCGAATCGTTGCGCAGTGTACGTGTAAACCCACAACCGCGTGGCAAGTAGGGTCACCTAGAAGAAGCTCAAACCACTTACCTTGATGTCCACCTTCCGGCTGGCATCATGAAGCACTCACTCTCCTGATCATCTTCTATCATCCCGGGCTGATACCTGTCCGGAATGATCGATCCCGGATCTACACGGACATGACATATCAAACCTGGCTCACGTTCCCTCTGGCCGCAGTGGTCGTCGTACGCTGTCGCAAAAGCTCAGCACATAATCTGAGAAGGCGCTCAGGCAAGCAAGACAGCAGCCACGCAACGTACATGACGAGAGCGACTCAGCCCAGTGTCCAATCTCAAATTCGTTGTTGAGCAAGTGTCAGTGTCAGACATGTCAAACGACGTTGAATCGCAAAACATTGCCAAGAGGAAAAATCGGCACATTGTCGAGTCGTCATCCTTGCCGTGCATCTTCCGGATGAGAGAGCCGTGAAAGGAGGATTTTCGTGTGCCAAGCTGTGCGTGTACGCGTACATCATCGAAAGTGCGGGGAAGTCGAATAGGGCATCAGGACTTGTCCGATACAGTACCAGGCGAGTCTAAGAATGGTTGCGTATGCGCTCGGTTCCTGTTGCACGTTCTGCATTATGGACTGCAGATGTGTTTGGGGAATGAGATGTTGGAAAGTCAGTCTTTCAAGCATGCAATTCTGGTGTGATGTCGTCGTGGAGGATTTCCGGGCTGCATCAGCATCACATTGTTCACTGCGAGGACTTTTGGTTTGACTGCTTCATGGCCTGTGATGAGCACCGTGGAAACTCGTCAACTACCCTCCCCATATGACTGTTTTTCGCAGCTACTAATATGCTAGGTAGCACTGAACCTTACTCGAGCCCGTTCGAGGTATTTACGACGGTCAGAACAAGATACCAGGGTGTTGCTCACAGCAATGAGCTTTCGTGATGAGAAGACGAATTAACCATGGGGTTCGAGTTCAATCCATAGATCTGAGAAACGTGGATATTAGAGGCGGCCTTGGTGTAAGTTTCGTCATTCTCACAACAGATGCGACTTCCCAAAACATCAAGGCGCCCTGTCGTCGAACCTGCTCATTTCTGATTGGCCAGTTCGTTTACACGGCGTTTGACGGCTCGAAGAGATCTAGAGTTGTTAGGGCAAGAAAAGTAGGAGACCACGGACGCATCTTTGTTTTCTTGTCCACGCGTTCCTGACTCGAAACATATAGCAAGCGGTATCGGAAGTTTGTCGGAAAGGGACCCGACGCTGCAGAAAGGACGTACCTCATTGGTTCGTTCGGTAGTAAAGTTTTGAAAGCAGCCGCTTGTTTGGAGTGATGTCGGTGACGAGGCATGATGAGATTTGTGACAGACGTGGGCCTCATCAGAAACTCGTGGGGACTGCGTCACTGCAGCGGCAATGGCAAGATGTGCTATTGAGGAGCTGACCAGGTAGGTCAAGCATAATCAAGGAAATAAGAGGTCAGTATAAGCATCTCGTATTCTTGTCGCCATGATCCGTAGCTGACAATCAGATCCGAGAGAAGTGCCCTTGTGTCGCGTGGCAGCGAAATCGATTTTTCGCTTCCTTCTCATCCCCACACGTTTGCTCATAGCTTCTCCATCTCATTGTAATCGAGGCGCAGGGAAAGGGCCGACGTCAAAGCATACCTCAGTGAGTCGAAAACAGCATGTGTAAACTCGAGACGCGACGCAATTTTCTATCTCAGGCTTGTGGCTGAGGTGCCTGGCACCTGTGATGTTGGAACCTCTATCGTGTGAGCCGAACAAACGGGCCGGCGCCGGCGCCTACGTATGCTTCCAAAGTTTTCTCTCTGCATGCATATCGACTCAAGGAGACGGAGACAGGCGAGAAAAGCGCAGTGTTTCCATGAAAGGGAGCGGCCGATCATCTCGGCCGTTTTGGGCATGGTAGAGAATCGATTTACCGTCACCGCAAGCCGTGACAAAATGACAATCCCAGCCCTCTGCCTTTGCATCGATTGTTGTCGCTGTACAAAACGCGTTGGCTTCCCATGTTTCCCGGACACGATGTCCCGTAATCGGTTCGGCTATTCACAAGGTATCCGAATGTACTTGAAGCCACAAGCTCCCATATTATGACGGAGCCAGGAAACACCAGACAGCATGTCACCCCCTCTACTTCTCCCACCAACACGTCCGGTATCCCGGGTCCGGTCACAGCAGCTCGCCGTCATGGTAACCTGGAGACCATTCGCAAACAGCCCGGATGGAAGAACTTCCCAGACTGTATCCCGTTGCCCATGCGAACAACGAAGAGCGGCAAGGTGACAGAGTTCGGCAACACAAAGCTACGCATCATCGAGCGCATAGCTATCCATACAAACTTCAACGACGCGCTGACCTGGCTGAGAGCGGTCACTGAAGACGGAAGTAGACTTCTTAGTCTCAAAGATCTTGAACAATGTGCTGCCCACTTCGACACGAGCAAAAAGTCGCAGTCGAGAGATAGGGGGTCCAGTTCAGCGCCGCCGAGCACAGTGGTCAGTCATGCGGACGACGAGGAGCCGAGCTATCACTCCATGACACAGCCTCTCGACACATGGAACAACTTCTCGCTGGACCAAGACACAATGTCTGGACACACCGGACACCCACTACAGCCACTTAAGCGACCGAGTCCGGAGAGCTTTGCAAGCATGTCAGTGTCACCAGTAGAGCCGAAGCGACCGCGGATGGACACCTTCTTCGACCCACATTCAACAGACTTCATGTTCAACGTGTCAGAACAGGATCTGAACAGCACGACGAACCTGGGCTTCTCTACCTATCAGCAGCACAACGACCCCTCATTGAGGGTCCCAACTCCTAATCTACCACCTCAATCACCGTCACAGAATCCCGCAAGGGCGCTGCTGAGCATCCACTCACACGCTGGAAGTATATTCTCCAACCTCAACACCGCGTTCGACGACCTACTTGCAAGGGTAGACGACCAACAACAGCTCGTAAAAGCCGCCCTTGACCAGTTACGCATGGCCACAAGTGGTTTGGGCGTCGTGTCGAGCGGCGCGAACGGCGCAAATGAGAAGGAACTTGAGACAGGTCTAAGAACCGCACAAAGAGCCGAAGTACGGGCTCGTCAAGACTTGCAGCAAGCGAGGTCGGCAAGAGATGTGATCGATATTCAATACGGCCACATCGGAACTTCGTTGTCGCGAGCGCTGGTGGAGACAGTACGTGCTGAGTTTACACGTGCAGAGGCTACCATGACACGAGCGCAGGCGGACGTGGAATCAGCTAGGCATAGGCTCAACAATGCGAACAACCGAGAGCAGGCTCTGAGGAGGACCAAGGAAGTGGCCGAGGTCGGCATTGATCAATTGCAGCGCCAAACGCGATTTTGGTTGAAAAGATTGGCGGAGGCAGGCGTTAAACTGACAGATCAATTGGGCACCTTGCAAGGAAGAGACACTGGCCAGACGTCGTCGCAGCGGTGAGGAAATTTGTGCTAGCCACGAAGATGACGCATGGGACATGAAGAAGGCAGTGGGGAGCAGAGCGTAGGGCCTGTTGTAAGAGTAAATTATAATCATGTATAATAACAACCTCAATCGGAGTACCTTCTCCAGCAATGAGAACAATAGCAGCGACTACCTCACCAACAGCTGAATGTTTCTTCTCATCTCGTCAGCATGATCGAAAACTAACCACATCGTGCTCTCCAGTCCTTTGAATGCGTCTTCGAAACGTGCGCTCGAGTTACGGCTGGGGTTGAGTGCTTCCTGTATCTCGTTCTCGTCTGGCACGCGGCGAATGTAGATGGCTTTGATCCAACCAGGATGACGTCTTGCAATTTCGCCGTATGACTCTGGGTCCTTCTGGGTGCTGTCACCAATACAGATGAACTGGCGTTGGGGGAACCAAGTGTGCATCTTCTCCAGCCTGTCCACCTTGTACTTCTGGACGTCGACCGAAAGGCTGCTGATCAGACCTCCCAAGTTCTGCCATGAAGCGTCACGGAGGATCATGGTACCATCGGGGAAGTGCTCTTTGCGAAAGCTGCGCAAGAACGGGTAAAGATTGTATGGAGAGCCTGAGAGGTAAAAGAAGATGGGGTCGGACAGGAGCTTGACCAGGTCGGCATAAAGCTCGGGCATGCCTGACACCGGGATCGGGGTGTCGATAAAGGTCGTCTTGAGGACAGTGATGGGATTGAGAGTACCAGTAATCTTGATGGTATCGTCAATGTCGGAGATGACGCCCCATCCCGTGGGCTCAGCGAGGACGGTGCGACCAGGTACGGCGAAGCAGGGTGATGATTCGGGGTAGGCGGTTGTGGTGAGCTGAGTTCCAGCCGGCGCATCGAAATGCAAGCGAAGCAGATCGGAAGAGATACCGGAGGACGTAGAAGGGCCAAGGGTCTGGCTTTCCACCCCACCAATCTGGACACGGATCGTGTGACGTGGAAGGATCGGATTGAGGAAGGGCTCGAGGCGCTTCTTGATGGGTGTAATGTCGAGCTTGTCCTTGAGTTCACCCAGACACTCTTCTTCACTTGCCGTCCCTCTAGCGAGACCAACCAGACGGGCAATGTCGGCAATAACGTAAGAAGAATCGCGGCATGTTTCGCGAGAGAAGTAGGCGGCGACGTACTCGACTTCCCACTGCGGCGGCGGAAGAGCTTCGTCGGGAGCGGCGATGATGGTCGGGTCGGCCTTGTGCTTGTCGACCTTCTTGTCCTGGCTACTGGAAGCAGTTAGAGCGGGTTACGCCAGGGCAGCTTTTGTTCACAAACGGTTGGACACGATAGGCAGTGTTGTCGAGAATCCACACGCTGTGCTGTGATGGATCTACAGCTCTGGGCTTGGTCCATGGGAAGGTCAGAAGTAGGCGACCAGACAGATCGGGCATTGAATCAGTGAGCTCTTTGGAGATGGCAGGAGAGAACGGGGCGTCCTTGCGAAGCTGTAGACTATCGACGACGGTGACGAGGGCGTCCTGGGCTGTTTGCAGCGCAGGGCGCAGATAGGATTCTAGCGCGCTCATGATGGATAACTGACAGAAGCTGCTGCTCGCTTGACAGTGGAGAACAGGAGCTGACGCCAGGCAGAGAAAGATGCAGTCGCGTGCGCGTGCTGGGGGAGAAGGAGATCATAAACAGGTAGCGACGAGCCAAGAAGAGCTGGAGGACCATGATGCATCGGCCATGTGGCTACGGAAACCTGCAGCGAGTGCATCATCTAGATACTGTACCTGGTATAGTTCAGTAGCAACTTCGGGGCTAGTCTGACTGTGGGCATCATGCTGGCACTTGGGATGCAGCAGCCGTCGCTCCACAACAGTTGTGCATGAGTTCGCTTTGTACTGTGCCTAGGGTCAGCCTACCTACCGTCTCATTCACGCGTTGGAGCAAGACACGCGTTGAAACAAACCAGCAGGTCGGCATGAGTCTCCAAAAGTGGCAGTTCCAATGAAAGACTGCAGCGAGTGACAGTGCAGAAGTCAGCGTCGTGTCTAGGATGAGGGAGGAGCGGCCTGCAACCCCGCACGTTCGGAGGAGCCAAGCTGAGCGACTGCGGGATGTGCGTCAATCAGCTGTGCACCTTCCGTGTCAATCTTGTCAATCAGCAGTGCACCTTCCGTGTGAATCCTGTCAATCCTGTCAATCCTTCCAACTTTCTGCTCTGCCTCTGTCCAGCTTATCGCATCGCAGACTTTGCTTTTTCCCTTCGACGCTGGACTCGAGGTGACCGCCTATCGTCCAGACATAGTCTACTCGACAAGAATCACTCGCTTTCTTCCGTCGACGACTCGTACTGCGTGTGTATAAGTGAAACGCGGCGGCTTGCGACACCCTCTCCCCTGATCACGACCCCACTCCGACTCTTGTACAAGAAGCCTCAGCACCCACGTGCTTCACAAAGTGCTCACTGCTCAGGTCTTCGAAAAGGCTCGCACCCACGTGCTTTACAAAGTGCTCAACGCGCATCAGCAACCATGTCACAAGCTCAAATACAACCGTGTCGCTACAAGACGGGCAAGACTCTCGGCGCCGGGTCGTATAGTGTTGTCAAGGAGTGCGTGCACATCGATACCGGTCGCTACTATGCTGCCAAGGTCATCAACAAGCGCCTGATGGCCGGGCGTGAGCACATGGTGCGCAACGAGATTGCCGTCTTGAAGCGCGTGTCTATGGGACACCAGAACATCCTCACCCTGGTCGACTACTTCGAGACGATGAACAACCTGTACCTTGTGACGGACCTTGCTCTGGGCGGAGAGCTGTTCGACCGCATCTGTCGCAAGGGCTCATACTACGAGAGCGACGCCGCAGACCTGATCCGTGCTACCCTGTCCGCCGTTGCTTACCTGCACGACCATGGCATTGTGCATCGCGACCTGAAGCCCGAGAACCTGCTTTTCCGCACGCCCGAGGACAATGCAGACCTTATGATTGCCGACTTTGGTCTCTCGCGCATCATGGACGAGGAGCAGTTCCACGTCTTGACGACCACCTGCGGCACTCCTGGCTACATGGCTCCCGAGATCTTCAACAAGAGCGGCCACGGCAAGCCCGTGTGAGCATTTCACTCTGTCCTTCTGACCATGCAGAATACTGACTCACTCCAGCGACGTTTGGGCCATCGGCGTCATCACCTACTTCCTCCTTTGCGGCTACACCCCCTTCGATCGAGATAGCAACCTCGAAGAGATGCAGGCCATCCTCGTCGCCGACTACTCCTTCACGCCTCTCGAATACTGGCGCGGCGTCTCGCTGTCCGCCCGAGCCTTCATCAAGCGCTGCCTGACCATCGATCCCACGAAACGTATGACGTCCCACGAGGCCCTGAGCCACGACTGGATCGCTGGTCCTGCACAAGACAGAGGCAACGAGGATCTGCTGCCCACCGTCAAGAAGAACTTCAACGCAAGAAGAACCCTACACAAAGCCATCGACACTGTTCGCGCTATCAACCAACTCAGAGCAGGTGGCGGTATGGGCATGATGGATGGCGCTCAGTCTCACCGGCCCGAACGTGTCGACACTGCCGCACCAAAGGACAAGGACGGAGACGTCAACATGGACTCCAAGGCCAACGGTCAGGCTGCCATGGCTGCCTGAAAGAACCCATGGCTTCGTTTCGTCGAGTTCGGCCTGCATTTGCTGCCTCATAGCGTATCTCTCTTGCTTTCGACCTGGCCCAGCAGACCGTGGTTTCTTTCTGTATACCCCTCCACGTCTGCAGACAGCGCGTCAGTCCATCTACTATCATTCCTCCAACATGGCCGACTGCCAGAATACAAATCATTCATCTCCATGTCCCGGCCGAGTTTTGACTCGACCAAACTTTCACTTCTTGGCGCAAGACTGTCACACAAGTCCCGCCCGTGTTTCAGATAGCAATATATTATTATATCAACCCACATCACATAGCGGTGGGGGCCTGTCAACAAGGACCCTGACCCCACTTGCAATGGTCGAATAAAGTTGGATCGCTTTCCCACCTCTGCAGTTCGGTTATCATTTGCTCAACCTGATCTTTCCGTCTGTGATAAACATGTCTTCCCCAAGAACCTGCTTGATTATCGGTGCCACAACCGGCATCGGCAAAGAGACTGCCGAACATTTGGCGAAGAAAGGCTGGACTGTCATCATCACTGGCAGGAACAGTGAGAAGGGTGCCCAGGTGAGTTCCAACTTCGATCTACAAAGTCCACCATCTGACACCCTCTCAGGTCGCAGAGTCTATCAAGAAAGCCGGCGGTAGCGCTTCATTCCACACTGTCGACGTCACCTCTCAAAAATCGATCGTCGCTCTGCACCAATATGTCCTTGAGACTCACGGCCGTCTCGACGCTGCTGTGAACAACGCCGGCATGTCCAGTACCTTTCAGCCGTTCCACACCACTCCGGCCGAGGACATGGACCTCATGTTCAACATCAATCAGAAAGGCACCTTCTTGTGTATGCAAGAGCAGATCAAGATGATGCTCAAGCAAGAAAAGGCAGGCGAGGGCAACAAGCGAGGCACTATCATCAACATGGCCAGCATGTCTGGTCTGATCGGTGTACCTTATGCTGCCCCCTACTCTAGCACCAAGCATGCTGTGAGTCCCGCTTTCACATCCTGCTGGAATAACTTGGCTGACACAAAACCCAGATCATTGGTCTTACCAAATCAACAGCTTTGGAGTACGCCCCTGAAGGCATCAACATCTCCGCCGTCGCACCTGGTGTCATTGACTCGGGCATGCCTGTTTTGGAAGAAAGCTACAATGGTGGCGCATACACAAAAGAGCAGGCTGCTGCCATGCACCCCATGAACAGACTTGGCACGTGTCTCGATGTCGCAAAGGCCGTCGACTTCCTGTTGGAGAACAACTTCATCACTGGCGGTGTCATCAGTGTCGATGGAGGCATCACTGCGAGATAGAGAGCTGCATGAGAAGAATATCAAGATAGAGAATCGAGATGTTGAGAAATCAAGCCTCCGAAAGCCAAATTCACGATTTATGGCCAGTTCACCAAACGATGACTCGTTGCACTCGGCTCCTTCTCCATGACGTTTTCTTGGCCTCTCTCATACACCTTTGGCTGATCGAAAGGTGGCTGGCTCACAATGATCGATGTAGCATCCATTGCTTACAACATCGCAAGTTTCATCTGCGCACTCTTCGTCCTCGAATATGGCGCCGATAAATTCATCGACCACACCGCCATCGTCGCCGAGCGGACAGGCGTCCCAGAAGCAATAATCGCGCTTCTCACAGCTGGAGCGGAATGGGAAGAGCTAGTTGTGGTAGTCGTCTGCATCTTGCGCCATCGCTCTTCTCTCGCTGTTGGAAACATTGTCGGCTCTGGTATTTCGAATATCTTGGGCGCATTTTCGCTTGGTCTTGTGGCGAGCGGAAGAGATGAGGTGGTCTTTGACGAGAGTGCGAAGGTGTATGCTGCTATGCTACTTTTGGTCACTTGCATATTTACCGGAATGAACTTCGTAGGCTCTGCTACCTTGACAAGGACTTTTGGGGTTGTGTTGATTGCTGTCTTTGCTTTTTACATGGCGTCTGTCGCGTACTTGATCTTGAAAGGACGCTTGACGGCTCCTGAGTCAGACAGCGACAGTGACAGTGATAGCGACACTGAGGATGGAGTCGACGTGGAGAGCGTTCGATCGAGTATCGTTGGAGCAGACGCAGAAACTCCGCTTTTGGCAACACAACGTACGTCTGGTCTTCGACACAAATACGGCATCACATATCATGTCACCTTTCTTTTGCTTGGCTTCCTCGCGATTGTTCTAAGTGGCTTCGTCCTCTCGACCGCCGCTTCTTCAGTTGCCGACCAGAGTGGCACCTCAGATGTTTTTTTGGGAGTCGTCGTCCTGTCCATCGCGACAACGCTACCAGAAAAATTCGTCGCTGTGGTCAGTGGACGGCGAAACAGGACAGGCATTCTGGTCGCCAACACTGTCGGGAGCAACATCTTTCTGCTGAGCTTGTGCATGGGCATTCTATGGGTCAGTACAGCTGGCACGTTTGACAAGGGCACTGTCAATGTTATCGAGATGGGTGTGCTCTTGGGTTCCACATTGTTCATGACGCTTATTGTTTGGTTTGGTGCTCGGTGGAGTCGGCTTGCGGGCATGATCATGCTTGTGGGATATGTTGCGTTCTTGGTGCTTGAGTTCACGGTCATTCATCATGGAGATAGTAGCTGATATTGTCAATCTCGCCTCAAAGGGTCAGACGTCAATGGAGATTGGCTTTCCTGCCGCGCATTTTCAGGCACACTCGTCAGGGATTTGGGCCAACACTTTTTGGTCGAGCGGTCGACCCTGACGCTTTTCATGATCGCGGATCAAGTTGCTGTCGCAGACATCCTGGAGTCGCTCAGATGTGCAAACCACAAGAGAAGGACATCGTGTGTTTTTGCTGAGCTCAAATAACCATGACATCAGTTTCTGGCCATATTATGTCGATCCGAAACCCCCCTATCAAGGTCCATGAATGTGCCTAGTAAAGACTCACTTGGTCCTCGTACTCCATAAATGGCACGAACCTAAGGATGGGCACTTCTGGTTCTTGGGAATCAAGCTGCAAGTAGAGAAATCGACTCCCCCTCTGTCTGCATCATGCGTGACTGTTGTGAAGCATGTTGTGGTCGATGCCGGAGATGGTCAAGAAGCTTATCAGCTTATCGGGATCTGGTCAACAGAATGTCAACAGGGCGGGCCGAAAGTGAAGTCAGCGGGTCCAAGCTTGTCCGGTGGTTGAAGGCCGAAAAAGAGCGCTCGATGGCCTCACCCCTCCACGAGCCATCACCTTTGTTGTTGACTCTCAACCCAGCTGTGTCCTCTTCCTACGTCCCCACAGTAAGTGCAACCCAGCTACTCTTGTACGTTATCAAGTCATTTCCGTCTTCTGCATCCACATTAGCAGCATCCTCTGACATCCGCGCAGCAGCCCACACAACATGGCACAGGTCGCACAAAAAGCAGTCCTCATCTGCATTGATGGATGGGGTGTCGCCGGCGAGAAGTCGCCCGACAAGGGCAACGCCATCCTGAACGCCGACACTCCCTGGATGGACGAGTTTGCCAAGCAGGGCAGCAAGATCACCGAGGGCTACACTGAGCTCGAGGCCTCTTCGCTCGCCGTCGGTCTTCCCGAAGGCCTCATGGGCAACAGCGAGGTCGGCCACTTGAACATTGGTGCCGGCAGAGTCGTCTGGCAAGACGTTGTGCGCATCGACCAGACGATCAAGAAGGGCGAGCTCAACAAGGTCGACAACATCATCAAGAGCTTCACGCGCGCAAAGGAGGGCAACGGCCGTCTTCACCTGCTCGGCCTCGTCTCTGACGGCGGTGTCCACTCGCACATCAACCACCTCCTCCGACTCCTCGACGTCGCCAAGGAGGTCGGCGTCCCCGAGGTCTACATCCACTTCTTCGGTGATGGCCGTGACACCGACCCCAAGTCGGGTGCCGGCCACATGCAGACCGTCCTCGACTACACCAACAAGCTCGGCCTCGGCAAGATCGCTACTGTCGTCGGTCGCTACTGGGCCATGGACCGTGACAAGCGTTGGGACCGTGTTGAGCAGGCCATGAACGGCATCTTCAAGGGCGAGGGCGAGGAGTCGTCCGACCCCGTCAAGACCATCAAGGAGCGCTACGAGGCCGGCGAGACCGACGAGTTCCTGAAGCCCATCATCGTCAACGGCCAGGACGGCAGAGTGCAGAGTAAGTTCGCTCTTGTCCACCACAAGCCAAGCACGACTAACACGATGCGACAGACGACGACACGCTCTTCTTCTTCAACTACCGCAGCGACCGTGTCCGCGAGATCACCCAGCTCATCGGCGACCAGGACCGCAGCCCCAAGCCCGACTTCCCCTACCCCACCAACATGCACGTCACCACCATGACCCGCTACAAGACCGACTACACCTTCCCCCTCGCCTTTGCTCCCCAGACCATGGACAACGTCCTCGCCGAGTGGCTCGCCAAGCAGAAGGTCCACCAGTGCCACGTCGCCGAGACGGAGAAGTACGCCCACGTCACCTTCTTCTTCAACGGTGGCGTCGAGATCCAGTTCGACAACGAGCACAGAGACATGGTTCCCTCGCCCCGCGTTGCCACCTACGACAAGGAGCCCAAGATGAGCGCCATGGCCGTCGCCGACAAGCTTTGCGAGCGCATCAAGGAGGGCAAGTTCGAGTTCCTCATGAACAACTTCGCTCCCCCTGACATGGTCGGTCACACCGGTGTCTACGACGCTGCCGTCATTGCCTGCACCGAGACCGACAAGGCCATCGGCAAGGTCTACGAGCAGTGCAAGGAGAGCGGCTACACCCTCTTCATCACCGCCGATCACGGAAACGCAGAGGAGATGCTGAACGAGAAGAACACCCCCAAGACCTCGCACACCTTGAACAAGGTTCCTTTCGTCATGGCCAACGCTCCCAAGGGCTACAGCCTGAAGAAGACTGACGGTGTTCTCGGCGATGTTGCCCCCACCGTTCTCGCTGTCATGGGTCTTCCTCAGCCCGAGGAGATGACCGGATCCAGCTTGTTGATCAAGTCGTAGAGGAATTTATGTATATATTGAAAGATTTTGGAAGCGAAGTACACTTAGATATCCCGGCACTATGATTTGGCTCATAGATGAAATGACACCTGATGCCCAAAACGCCTTTGTCACCGTTCACAGGACACACGACTCCGGACCACTTGCTTGGGGCTGAACAATCTCGTGCGAGGCCCGCGAAGTGAGCACCTGTCGCTTTTACAGGTCGTAGTCTACGTCGAGGTGATTTGTCACCTGCATCATCACCGCGCAGAGAATCAGTTTACCTGTCGAGCCGCTATGCTGAGCTGCAAGCACTTTCGGACCCAAGCCCCGGGTCGAGAGCCCTTGAACAGATTAGACTTTACCAGGGAGCACCAGGGCTCAAAAGACCTGCATGTACTCTTGCGGGGTTGATGTTACACATGAATGGGGTGAGTTTCACACATAAAGGACAAGCTGACATTCGACGATTGTTCGACCCATGACTTCTTCCAAATGACACCATGTCCTCACTCTTCAAATTGACGACGACTACTGTACCGTTGAGCAAGCTACTCAATGCTCGAGATGAAGTAGAGCGTAATAAGCTCACAGAGCAATGGCGAGATCACAAGCTTCAGGAGTTGAACTTCATTGGTGTCGTGGTGAGTCGATTTCTTTCTATTTCTTTGCTTTGGCGATCGCCACCTCTGCTTCATGAGAAATATTTTATTTAGGTCGCTGGCGCTAGAATGATACTGAATCTTTTCAGGGAGGCTTGTTCGCTGGTATGCTGTCCGGTACTGGTTCCTGGCCAGTCGTACAGGCAAATGGGAAGATATCGCCCTGGACCGTACGAGCTTGTTGGTTCTGCGGAATCCTGTTTGCCGTTGCTGCCGTACTCACAGCCCTACAACAATCAATACGACTTCATCGATTGTCCTGCCACAAACATCCTGGAAGATATATTCGTCGTCTCCTCAGTCAGCAGCACCCCGATCGCAATGGCCGTATACTTGCCCGTCAAAGTCATGTTCTACTCTGGCAGTGTGGCGCCTACTTTTTAGCACTCAGTGCATTTTCCATGCTTCTTGGTATGTTTGTAATGCTTTGGGCTGCGACTGGTCCGTTGCCTGGATTTGCACAGCGTGGACACTGGTGGACGAACGAAGCCAAGTTGGCGACCACTTTCAGCGTTATTGGCTTCTTGATTGCCTGTGTCTTTGTCTTTCAGCAAATCGCACTCTACTCCTGGCGAGGCGAGGACGATTCGCATGATAGCGACGATCCAGGAGACGAGTCTTGAGCCTTGATCGATATCGTGGGATTGTCCAGGGTCGTATAGTGTTAGCGCCTTTCACTCATGGGTAGTCGACCGCTCAACTCAGCAGACCTGGTCGTTGAGATCAATTTCATTCAGCATGTCATCGTTGTCATGCAAAAAGCGCTCAAAGACCAGTCGGCCCTGTCAGAGTCGACTGTTGCCGTGCTTGTGTGTCTGTGTGGTGACCAGGACAAGAACATACCATGATAGACTGTATGCAGCGGGCGAAAAATAACCCCAAGCGTTCTCATCACGTCTTGCACCACCTCACGTAATATGTTGAGTCGTGCGCTGACCTGACCCCAAACCTCGGACCACAGGCCCCAATCCCCATTCTACCATTTCCCATCTCCCGCAAGAATAGTGTGGAGGCCCCTCAGTTCTCCCGAGTCCCGACGAATCAGATGCCGGACATTCGTCCTGCAACACCTCGTCATCATGTATACCCCGCAGTTTGCAATGGCCGGCAACAGCGGCAAGTATGCCAAACACAAGCATTGTACTGAACTGGCTTAGTGCGGAGTTGTAGCCGTCATATCGTCAATGATGTCTTTCGAACAGGCCGTAATTCCAGTGTTCTTGGTCTCATGTCTCTTCTCGTCTCTCTTCTCGTCTCTCTCTGTCTTCCTCCCATATACACGCTCTCATCTCGAGTCAAATAGATATTCCACACAACAACATGGGCAAACTACTCTCCGAGGCAATTGGTGCTGACCATGATGAGTTTGATGTTTTGTACGAGAATATCAAGAACGCGACCGACGATGCGGCAAAGGTTCGCTGGAGAAATCAGCTCACATGGACGGTCGCACGCCACGCCATCAGCGAAGAATTGACATGGTATCCCGCAATGGAGAAGCATCTGGGAGAAGAGGGTGTCCGTTTATCAAAGACTGACAAAGAGCAACATCAAGGTGTACGTTCACCTTATAGCACCTATGCCAGCTGCTCAAAACTAATGATGTCGAAACAGGTCAAGGACTATCTGTATAAGGTGCAGGACATGACGCCAGTTGACCCGCAATTCATGCCTTTGCTCGACACACTGATGGATCTTCTTCATCACCACATTGAACACGAGAAGGAAGAAGACATGCCTCGTCTCGAAGGGCTGCTCTCGCGTGAAGAGAGCGAACAATTGGCAGTAAGCTTCGAACGCACAAAGAAGATTGTTCCGACAAAGAGTCATCCCGGCGCACCGACGAGTTATTACTTGGAATTGTTGACGGGCCTGATGGCGGCACCTGTGGACAAGTTTATGGATTATTTGACCAAGGACTTCCCGGATGAGCAAGACAAGCAGGAGGCGCAACAGGCGAGGGACAGTAAGATATAGGTCGTCACTTCGGTATGTGAGTGCGCAACTGCTCTTCCACGCAGCTGCGTTGTTTACAGCGAATTGGAAGAACTGTACGATTCTGTTTGATGTTGCAGACCAAAGCTCGAGACACCGCCTCACAGTTTGTGCGTCATTCTACGTGCGAGGAAAGACAGCGGCCCTAATGAACCCCAATAATGCGTGAGCCCACAAGTCCAATGGTATGCGACATATCCTTGGAAGCCTTGGAAGCCTTGGACGTCTACTGGTCACCTCTCTGCGCATGCGTGTGCTGGCCAGAGAATGATGTTCAACGATCCAGGAATCCGGGCATTGGCTCTCGATCAAGTCAAAAATCCGGCAGATAGTCCTGCGGATGACGATGGAGTGTTTCCGGAACTTGGACTTGGTCTCGGACTCTATCATCTCCGTCAAGTTAGTATTGCAACTCCATCCCGTAGTGAATGGTTGGCTACAACAAAGATCCTGTCGCAGCATGACATCAAGTTTCGGCCGTAAGCACTCCAGCTCAAAAGTTCTCACATGCTAAGACATGCCGACAGTGATGTCCGTATACTCAATGAAGTTAGTCAATCACTGACCTCTCAAGGTCTCCTTTCGACTGTAAGGGGTGGGATCATCAACGAATTGGAGACCAATCTGTGCCTTCGATCTCCTCGCGGAGTTTGAGACTCACACTTGCCTAATTGGGGTCCTGCAACCACGTTTCAAACCTCGCTGTGTGCTTTGAAATTTCAGTCAAGCGACGATCGCTGCTCCAGAAGATCAAGCTTAAGTCTAAGGGTAATGTGTAGCGTCAAATGGGCTCATACCATGTGCGCTTTCTACCGGTCAAGAACAGCACTATAGCGTACTATATACGAGACAGTGCATGATCAGCGACAAGCGTAAGAGTGGCTTCGCGCCGGGCCGACGCGAAGACGTTGATGTACAACGTCTGCCCCCTCTCCGAAGATTAAACACTCGACCGCTTTTGTCGTAGCTTTCAAGACATCGCGAGGTGCTTGACGATCTCACCGTGCTTTAACTGGGAACAGCTAGCTTATGTGTCTATCAGCATGCTGGCAGACAGAAACATGGCCAACACGAGCTGGAAGGCAGTGCATGATCTTCTGCAAGTCTCGCAAGTCGATACTCGGACAACGACATTACACATCCAAGGACTTCTTCCGGCAGCAACGACTGACTATCACAATGCGACCGCTGAGAATACATCGCCGCCATGACAATCATCTTTGTATCAGTGCAACCTGCAAGACATGGGTTCCGAATAAGTGACCACTAGACCATGCGCATAGCCGGAGCTGGAGGCGAGCATATAAAAGGAACGTCGAAGACTGCTTCATCCCTGGATATCAACTCTCTCAGTCTATTTGTCAACAAGCCTTCCAAAGTCACTCATCCTTCGCGCAACTATCCTCAAGATGCACTTCACCTCAGTCTTCACCCCTGCCGTGGCCCTTCTGGCCACTGCAGCTTCTGCCAGCCCTGTCGAGAAGCGTGCTGTCACCGCCGACCAGATGGTCGCTACCATCAACAAGATTACTCAGCAGTCCAAGAGCCTAGCCACCATTGCCGGCAACCTCAACCCCATGTCAGGCGTACCTCTTCTCGGACCTGGCTCGGGCACTGGTAGTACCAGCTACCAGCAGCTCATCACTGGCTTCCAGGGTATCATCACCACTGGCACCACTGCCATCACCAGCATGGATGGTACCCAGGCATACACCGACACCGCTGCTGAGCAGCAGGTCTGCGATGCTTTCTCGAACGTAGGTGACGACCAGCCCCTAGTGGCAAACGTCACAATCGCTAATCTCCGCTGTAGTTTGTTGTTGTACACCAAAACCTGCTCAAGATCGTTATTGGCAAGTCTGGCCTGCTGGAAGGTATCTTCCTCGGTCCCGTCGCTGCTGTACTCCGCTCGCTTGAGAATGTTGTCGATGTAAGTTTTGATGTCAAGATGATGAGATGGGCGCTCTGATTAATTAACTCCCTACAGACCCTTGCTTTCGGCATCATTGACTCTGTCCCTTTTTGCGCCGACAAGGCTACATCGGACAAGAACAACCTCGACGACACCCTTGGCAAGGCTGTGTGCGCCTACACTCCTGCTGGTAGTCTCGGCCTCAACCTCTTCTGCTAGAGAGTAATGGAGGATGACGCGGAACAGATGTGGGAATGTACAAAGAACAGAGTGTGAGATAGTGTAGTATATGAGAGTAATAATCAATTCTGACCTACCTGCATCACCCTTGTCTTGACACGTGACACCACGCGAGCCTCGATGAATAACAAGGGATCCCGAATCCAACGTGACAGTCCGCGGTCGTGTGTTGGGAAGATGAAGGCACGGTGGGAGCTGACGGCGCGTCGGTTGAGGCAAGCGTCAAGCGTCGAATTAAGCGGGAAGTCGATGTCGAGGCGGAAGACGTTTGCGACGAAGGCAGCTATTGCTGATGTCCATTCCCTACACAATGCTGTCACCTGGAGAGATGACTTCCATACGACGCCTCGTTTGATGTTTCGGAGACAGGTGGACAAAGCAGCAACCAATTCTCAACATGGCGGCGGATGACGCGATGATGCCAAGTCCGCTCGAAGCCGTGCGAGAAGGGTATGTCACTGCCAAGAGTCTTTGTCCCAACCTTCACCACTCTTGGGCGTGTGGCCGCTGTCTCTCGTACCTGTCGAGATTTGTGTCTTCAACTTTGGCTCTCTTGGTATGCTTGGCCGAGTCATTCACGACCACCATGTAGTCATGGTCAAAGCCAGTCATAACTGCTGCCATTGCGCTCATTTCCCAACCTGCGACACCTTCTTGACTATACACGTATCCTAGCTGAGATCCTCATTATCATGGCTGGTTCTTTTCTCGCATACGAAGAGCCTTCTAGCAAGTATCTCACTTGCGACGTCGCCCATCATGACCACTGATCCACTCAACAGTCGTGCACATACTAACCCTCATCTCCTTCTTCTTCTTTCTCTCCATTGCCGAATGGCTGTCATCCATTGTCTTCCGCGCCGGCATCATTGGTCCGATAATTGTTGGCATCATCTATGGCATGCCGTTGGCCGACATACTGCTTGAGATCTGGCAGGAAACTTTTCTTGCCATCGGCTACATCGGATTGATCCTCATCATCTTTGAAGGCGGTTTGACATCCCGTATGGACTTGCTGAAGCAAAACTTCTTTCTGAGCATGCTCGCTGCGACCACCGGAGTACTTTTCCCCATCGGCCTGTCGTACCTGCTGTTGTATCTCGGCTTTGGCTATGGCGCTGTCGAAACATTCATCATCGGCGCCGCCCTTTCAACCACTAGTCTTGGAACCACTTTCGCTGTCATAGGAGGCGCGTCCAAGGACATCGACCTTTCCCAGACACGAGTCGGTACTGTCCTGGTCAGTGCGGCAGTCATTGACGACGTATCCGGTCTGGTCATGTCAAGCGTCATCCATGATCTGGGTTCCATATCCGGAGGCGCAGATGTCAATCTCGGCTGGCTCATCGGTAGACCCATACTCGCGTCAATTCTTATGGCCGCATTGACACCTCTGTTCTGCAAATACGTGTTTGTGCCCCTCTTTCGCCGCTACATCGAACACCACTTTGCACGTTATGACCATTTCTCTAACATTGTGCTTATGGTGGTAATTCTTTGCGCTTTCATCTCCATTGCCTCTTTTGCAGGCACAAGTGTATTGTTTGGGGCGTTCCTTGCAGGATCCTTCATTACGTATCTACCATCCAAGCACCCCGATGGTCCTTTTGTGGTCTACTCTCGAGAACACGGAGAGCAGAACGATGACAAGAGTCCTACCTTTGTTCACACGTTTGAGAAGTACTTCTCCGACACCCAGAAGTATCTCATGGAGCCTCTGTTCTTTGCCAGTATCGGATTTGCCATTCCTTTCATCGATCTCTGGTCTGGCTCCGCCATCTGGCATGGTGTGGTGTACACGCTCCTGATGCTCTTAGCAAAGGTGACATCTCTCAAGTATGATAGCAGGCCCCAGTTCTGACTTCAATTCCAGGTCATCGTCGGTATCTGGATCCCTTTGTGGGACGCTGTAACGAAAGGCAGAACAGCGAACGATTCCAAGCCTTTACTATTAGAGACACTCCCGACCGCCGGACTTCTCGGCTTTGCCATGGTTGCTCGTGGTGAGATTGGACTTTTGATCGTCGAGATTGGATACAACTCCACTCCTTATGTTAGCGACGCCGGCTTCTACACCGCTGTCTGGGCCATTCTCCTCAACACGATCATTGGTCCAATGGTCGTAGGTATAATCATAAAGTTCAGAGGCAAAGGAATTGGAAGTGGTTCCTGGGGTATCCAGGATTCTGAGGAGAATGATGGCAGTGAGAAGCCACAAAGTAACTCCCAAGACCAACGCCTGGAGGAAGGGTCTGATATGTCGGCGCAATAACATTTTCTCAGATGGCATTGTCCAGCGCGAATAGGAAAATGTTTGTTCAAAGCGTTATAGACTACCCTATTGCAAGCGATTGATCACCTTTCAGAACAGTCTTTCTACCCGATAGTTTCGTAGCAGCCATCGCAATCTGTCGCACGACATACCTCACCTAGGTAGAGAGTTCAGTCGATCATCATCCCAGACACAGGATGCTCAGCAGTCTGATGCGCAGCCAGTCAATTTACCGGGAGCTGATACTGCGACTGGAAAGAGAATTGCACACACCGCACTTCCTCCCTTCGGAGAATCTACAAATGCCTTCGACTGACACACGGTAGTTCCATGGCCCTCAATGACGTTCCCGATTCTGAGATCATTCGGGAACAACGTGGGACGACTAGAGTCTCGCACGGTCGAGCGAGATCTTGATCCTGGAGATTTTCCGCATGTATATCCAGGAGTACCTCCCTTCGGGAACGATCGGCAAGCCACATGAAGTGAGTCCGACCACACAGATGTCACTATGGCCGGAGTCCTGCTCGCCTTGCCTGCTGCCGACCATTGGATCTCGAATGGTCCAAAACCGAGCCTCCCCCGTCAGTAGTGTTCGATGACATCTTGCGCACGGAAGAGACGTGTGATCAGGCACCGCTACATCTGAGCCGCCCCCAGGAAAGATCGTATGGCAGGCCATGTTCAAGCTTTCAGTAGACATGGGGGAGCCACAACTATCTGCCAGTGGCCTGCGGGGTATGGGGATATTGATCGTGGGAGATTATGGGCATGGAACTATAAAGACACGGACTTAAGCACTCGAATAGAGACGGGACACATCTCGACGCGCATCATTAACACACTTAATTATTCGTTGCACTCCTTGATTCATCACCATGAGGTCTTTTGTCAACTTCGCGGCTCTCGCATCCTCCCTGTTCCATCTCAGTACCGTCAATGCTATCCCAACTCCGCTCAAACGTGCCAGTGCTCCCCCACTACCTCAGGATGTCACTTTCTACCTCGCCTCCTCTGGCTTCGAATCCTCTGCCCCAAGCACGATCCTCAAGTCCAGACCTCTAAAGGACTTCTCTTTCTCCGGCAGTGTCCCTCTTCAGGTTCAGGCTGCGTATCAACTCCTTTTCAGAACGACAGATAGTCTGGGCAACGCTTAAGTCGCCGCATCGACCATCATCGTACCGCAGAACGCGAACTTCAGCAGATTACTGTCGTATCAGACGGCAGAAGATGCGGCTTGGGATGGCTGTGCACCCTCGTTTACTGTCCGTCAGTATTCGGATCGTAACAATGGTGGACCTCTTGCTGGAGAGATGCTTATCATCTTTGCTGCCTTGAACGAAGGTTATGTTGTTAGCATTCCAGATTACGAGGGTCCTATGTCGGCCTATACTTCTGGGATTTAAGCTGGTTAGGCAACTCTCGACTCTGTTCGTGCTGCTCTTGCATTCGGCTCTATCACTGAGATCTCCTCGACGGTCAGAAATCAGATGATGGGGTACTCTGGAGGCTCGCTAGCATCTGAGTGGGCTGGAGAGCTTTAACCTTCCTATGCTCCTGAACTCCACTCCATCGGTACTGCACTCGGCGGTCTCATCCGGAATGTACAGAATGTACTCAACACTATCAACAACGGTCTTTTTGCTGGCCTTGCTGCCATGGGAATCAATGGACTCGCCAATGGCTACCCACAGCTACAGGCCTACCTTGATCAAAATCTGATCAATGGCTCCGCAGCAGCCTTCAAGAAGCCGCTCACCCAGTGTCTTGGTGATGATACCAATCAGTTCATCTTCAAGAACATTTACATTTTCTTCGACAACGGCCAGGACTGTGGATGCCGCCATCGTCAAGAACGTATTGAATGAGACGGGTATCATGGGTAGACATGGCACCCCTCAGATGCCACTCTTTATCTACAAAGCTGTGGCCGATGAAGTCTCTCCTGTTGCCGACACAGATGCATTTGTCAAGCAGCTTTGTTAGGGTGCTCGTATCCAGTACACGAGAGATTTGGTCGGAGAGCACGTCACAGACGCTATCACAGGCTCCGGTGATGCGTTGAGCTTCATAAAAGCCAGATTCAATAGTGTACCTGCTGCTGCTGGCTGCAAGACAAACACTGTCATTACTGATCTTGCTGACGCTGGTGCACTCGCTGGGTTGAGCAGTTCGTTGGTTGGAGCTCTGCTGGCTTTCTTGCAGATTCCCATCGGTGCTTCTAGACTTCCTTCGGTGATTGGGTCTTTCTTCCTGTAATGCTTGTATGGATGTCACTCTTAGCGCTGTCTGACTCTGAGATGGTCAAAGAGGTGACGAGCCGGAAGTACTTTTCAGAAATGATCAGTCACCTACTTTGGTCGACTTTTGTCGAGATGCCAATATAAGTTGTCTATGAGTGTCGCGTAAGCAGGTGACGCCCGAGCGACACATTTTTGCTGAAGTCTCAAGGATTGTATTCGGTCGTCTCGGCCGTGTCGCCTTTATCAAGCTCCTCCCATTACTGGCTCGAAACTAACGTGTGATTGTTCGCATTTATATGTATACCAATTTCGTCTCTTGCCGATGACTAGCTTTGCAATCCGATCGAGCCAGGGAGTCACGCTGTCGTCAAAGCAGGTCGTCTCGTTTTCCAGAGTCTCGTTACCCTGCTGCCCTGTAAATAGGCCGAGGCTGCAATGCCTGTGTCGTACAAAGTAGAAAGATGGACAACAAATGCAGCAGAGCGACAACTTACCAACCCTGTTGGGTGCAAGGGACAAAAAGCAAGATCTTAGGGCACAGATTCAGTCCGCCCGTTGGACCAAGAGATCAGCTACAATATCAAAGGTGACCCTGTTTTATCGACCGTTGAGAACTCGCTTTGGGCGCTTCGATTCTTCATTTGCCTTAAACATCAGCATAAATATTCGGAAAAGCCTATTTCTCTCTGTGCTCATAATCAAGAAGACATACGCACCTCTTTGCAGCCCTCTCAATGATGTTGCCTGCTCTTGAAGTTGACCGACAATTGGCCCGAGCACCGGTGGTGTACTGAAGGGCCGTCGCCACAACGTTGTCAACGCCCACATTCCTGGCGTCGATGTGCGACGGGTGGGATCGTCATGGCGTTTTTGAGAACGCGACCGGCATGGGATGCGAATAGCTTCCATTCCGAAATACAGCATGCGTGGAAGAAGTGTCTAGGGTTTTCACTGCCATCTGGTCCTCGGCCAGACCAGTAGAAATCGCGTACAAGTTTGACAACGTTTCGACGTGCAATCCTTGCTCCTTATCGATAAGCGAGCTGTCAATACTACAGATCTCATTCGAGACCGACCGTTGGCAAGATCAATTCTTCTATATGATCTGATCTGCGAACGTTCACGAGCTTACGAGACGTCATTCTTCGTCGCATCGTCTTTCACTTCTCGTTGTCTCTCTCCCACAACAATCATTTATCTTACCACACAAACCTGCGACTGCCGCATATGCCGATGCAGATGTCACATTCGAATCTCCATGAACGAAGTACCACAAAATCGTCCGATACAAACTCACGGCCCCGTAGCGGTATGGCCGATTTCTTTGCTCCAGATGTGTTTCAAGCCGTCTTGAGTGATCCTGTCACCGCCATTCGTCTCAGGTCGTTTTGCGAGTCCAGCGCGTGTAGCGAAAATATTGTCTTCTTGGAAAAGGTATGTTCGAAGTGTCTGATCAGCTTTACAGCACACCAACCATGAGCACAGATTGCGCAATACAATCAACTTGTGACACAAGCACGAGATCTGCTATCCGAAATACATGCCACGTACACTTCTCCAAATGCGACCGAGCCTGTCAATTTAACGGAGATCATCTCAAAGGATTTGAATTCCGCCGTCAACACTGCTACAAATGTCACGTTCTACGGGATGCAAGATATCCTTGACAATGCCCGCAAACATGTAGAAGGCTTGATCCGCGACGACATCTATCCCCGATTTGTGACACATCAACTAGCGACAAGCGCGAAAATGGCGTTAGCTCACAAACGGCAGACGTATCAAGGACTCGGCGACTGCTTCTGCCTCACAGACCCTAAGTAGGACATTCCTCATCAAATGCCCTGGCCTGCGTTAACATGAGATAGAGTTGCGGATAACGCAATACTGTACGCTTCTGATGGGTTTTTGGATGTCACAGGCTACAGTCGCCGCGAGATAATTCCACGTAACTGTCGATTTCTCCAGGGCGCAAAGACTGACCGTACATCCGTAATCCACCTGAAGTCTGCTATAGATAATGGACAGGAGAGCGTAACACTGCTTCTGAACTATCGCAAGGATGGCACTCCGTTTTGGAACCTGCTGTACGTCGCCCCACTGCGAGATGAGCATGGTAACGTAGACTTCTTCCTTGGTGGTCAGATCGACTGCTCGACGACTATCCATGGCAAACCCGATGTGATGAGAATCCTGAGACTGGAAGGTAGGAATTCCTTCGAGTCACACCGCGACAACTTGGCAGTGGACAATACGTCAAGCTTGACTGCTGCATCACCAAGAGAAAAGACCAAAAGGCATCGTTCTTTCTTCAAGCCGACATCAAGCGTGAATACACAAGTCAGACACGGACCGGGCATGGAAAATGATCTGATCGGACGGCTTGGAAGTATGAGCCTCGAGTCGCAGATGCGGATGTTTCAGACAGCATACTCCAAGGTATCTCTCTCTCCCCAAATGCGCGCGGATTCGGGCCGTTAACGTGTGCATGCAGTATGTTGTCCTCAAGATGAAGGATCGTACAGGCCTCAGCGTTGCGCACTATTCGACGGCCGCTAGGGAGATGCTACGCCCCAGTCGGACGCATGCAATCACTGAACGGATCATGAACGAAGATATCTTTAAACTTATCGCCGAACACTCATCCTCATCTTCCTCTGTCATGAAGTCCTACAAAAAGACAGTGACTGATTTCCTATCCGAAGGAAAAGCGGTAAGTGTTGATATTGAGATGATGGTTGCGGAAAGGGCCACGAATCTGCTGCCCACAGGGCCTGTAGCAAAGACTGGAGGACGATTGGTCAGTCACTGGACACCTTGCAAGGACGAAGAGGGTCGGGCAAAGTATGTCGTGCTTGTCTTTGCAGAAGGACAAAACTTGTGAATATACGCATATTCTGGCATACCAACATGCTCAAATCTTGGTATCGATTCCATTCCCTCCGACAGTGTGAAAAGTCGCAAATTACATGATCCAATCTGTTAAAGCCGGTCGGAAAAGACAAGCGGCAAGGATAAGGCCCGATACTGGAGTTCAAAATTGCGAGTTATCACGAGCGTGCTTCGCACGTAAACCCCGCATGATATTATGCCAGATGAGGCAGGCGCGCTAGATCTTTGTTATTTAGTCATCCTCTGATTGTCGCGGCGTTTGCATATCTTGTTGATGCGAACCTCCATGTTCAACGTGGCACGGCTATCGGCTGCTTGATAAAGTCGCGTTTCCTGCCCTCTATCCTTCTTCCGGTACCTGGTTCCGCACTTTGGCTCAGCAGTTCATCCTGGTACAATGTCTGCCGCCGACCTCAAGAATTACACGACTAAGACCGTACACCGCGATTTCATTGCAAAACTATTCGACACCGATCTTAGGGTGCCTCTTAAGGATGTGATAACTTTACCTCGCTGCAACAACAACTTCGTTCACTTCGTGACTTTCGCATTGCCTGGGGATGCGAAAACTGTCATCCCGACCAAGCCAGGAACCAGTGTAATTCCTCGGGGTACAACAAAAGCTGTTTTTCGGGTGGGCAACCCAGCTGCCATGTCTAATCATGCCGTGAAGGTCGAGAACACAGTCGCCACGATGCATCTTGCCCGACAAGCTCTGTCAAGTCTGAAGATCGTACCCAAGGTCTATGCTTGGAGCGCTACTGGTGAGCCTTCGGATCATGGCTGGATCCTGGAAGAGTATATGCCTGATATCGAAGTCGAGTCCAAATTTCACTCAGAACTCACGCAAGACCAGCAACACCGTACACTTAGCCAAATGGTTGCCATATTAAAGGAGGTCCAAGATTTTGAGCTGCCTCCAAAAGCATCTAGCTTCGGAGGACTTGGATTCGACGCAGATGGTAATGTGGTCAACGGGCCGTTTGTGGTGGAGCCTTATGATGGCCCGTATCCTGATATGAAGAGCATGTACGAGGGTATGCTGGAAGCACAACTTGCGGAAGCCGATCGATCTCGCATCGCCGAAGGATACCGTGAGAATGGCCTCCGAGAGACACTCGACGCTTTCGCCGAGCAGGGTCTCGAAATCATCCTCTCGCAAAATCTGCCGGAGACAGTGACGCCAAATCTGATCATTGGCGATGTGGGTGAGTTAGCTTTTGTCGTGTTTCCACCATTCTATGATGCAGTCATCTGACTTTTTGGACAGTTGTGTTGGTAGCTTCGGATGTAAGCTGATCCAGGCTTCCAGAGTTGACCGCGTCGAGTTATGTGATCTATATGGAGATGATCACTTTTGATGATGATTGATGAGAGCGACATTGCAAAAACGCATGGACTCTTAGACAAGAGACGCAGCGAGCAGTGATGAGATTACGAATCCTCTGAAGATGCTATCGAAGTTAGGATGTAGGGTCCTGGAGGGGCGATGATGTCTGTGTAGGTTCAGGCCTGTGATTGTCGAGATCAAGTCCCTTCTCTCATAACCGCTCTGGTAAAGTAGGGAGGATATTGCCCGTTGGTGGGGAAATCGCCCTGTAGTCGATAGAAGCGTTTGAGTAGCTCAAAGACCGAAGCTACGACCCTGTTGGCAGACCTAATCGTGCTTAGAGTATCTTCGATGGCAAAAACGTCCCGATGACCCCAAGTACAAGATCTGAAGGAGTAGAACAGCAGATCAAGCGATTCCAGATGTGGTGTATAGAGATGACAGTCTGAAAGATAGTCTGCAACGAGTTCAAACAATCTCCTCATCTGCATGCACTCAGTGGGATAATGTCTTCTCTCGAACCAAACGGGATCTAGATACCAGTCTTCGCCATATGGAGCGTTGAAGTCGTTATGGTTCAACCAAAGTAGAGCCCCATCATCATTCAGCCAGAGTTCCCGAAGCGATCTAGCAAGTGATTCGTGGAGTCGCGATGATGTGTCTCCTTTGTCTGCAAGCAGCTGCAAAGGAACATGCAAAGTACTCAGAGCAGGAAATTCGCGAAAAGATGTGCTGCCAAGGCACTGGTTCCATTGTGCTCGCGGAGGGACGACGTGCAGATGTGAAACTCGCAGTGTGCTCCTAACAAGGCGAAGCGCTCGCTCGAGGAGATGGACATTTACAAGCTTTTAAGATGAAGGGATTCGGCGTGTCGCAATCAGGCTCTGGCATGGGATCATCCCAGTCTTCCTCAGGCGATCCCGTCTAGTGATCATACTTTAGCGACTGTAGACTTAGGCCAGCAAGGGAAAGACGATACAAATCATACTCGTCCGTATCGGTATATGCTAAGGTCAGAGAAGAGAGTCTCGATCCTACTGGCTGTTGATCAAGGATTGAATGCAAATATTGGTCGGGAATTCAAGGAATGTTCAACGACACATGGCGTACTGCCGGAAGAAACATGCATAGAATTTCGAGGAGCATATGATGCATGGTTGAACGGCGCCCTGTCTCTGCCCATCCAGACCTTGTCTGTGATCGCATCTATTGAGGCGGTGTGAAGTTTTGGTAGTAGCTTTGACAGGTGTGAAGCAGAACGGAATCCCAAGGCATTTTGGAGATCGGGCCCGAGATGTAATCTGCGGAAGCGATGGGATCTCCGTCGCCAAGTCTCTCAAGCCAGTCGACGGGTAATGTAACATGCTCCGAGTTGAGCATAGAATGAATAGAAAATTTGTCGCTCTGAGAGAGACACGTCTGCTCGGGACTTATACAGACGGAATGGGACACTGGCCCAACAAGACGTAAATGCACGACCAGATACGCCAACCAAGGGCAAGAGAGCAAACCTCGGGCCAGGGGGAAAAGTGATGGAGACGACTGGACGAGCCCAGAAAGCTGAGCAATGCAGTTGGTGCTAGATTGGCGACTGTGTCTTCGCGGTATCCGAAATCCAGAGACAGGCGCATTCATGTGAGCAATACCGTCACAGAAACTCATATCCTCGCAAAGACAGGCATCGAGCAGGGGACTGTCGCGACCACGGCCGCACATATATATCGGGCGGTGCCAGGTCAGGTCTACGGATCCATAGAGAAAGGGTATGATGTGAGAGTGCCATGTCTTGAATACCAGAGCGCACAACACGAGCTCATTGATATGGACGAGCGAGAAGATGTGGCGAAAAAGCTCTGCGGGAAGGACTGTTGAAGTCATGACGGCGATTGGAATGCAAGGTGTTGGGCGCGAGAGAGACTCCCTCTTGCGGCGACTTGTAGCCCAATCGCTGGCTGGACGCTGTTCGAAGGAGCGCGGGTCAGCTCAATCATCATGTCTGTCGCAGGTGGCCTTAATGACGAAACAGACGCCCATCGGGAGTAGACCTTCTAGTCAGAATATTCTGTTATGCCAGAGCTCGGTGTACTTGATACGAAAGCATTGTCTGTGTGGGTGTGTTGGTAGAAAGAAAAGTGGTTGTCACATTGCATTCCTTAGTTTAGGTGGGATAAGCATTTCCAAGTTTTCATCAACGTGATATGCGCACCCTTACTCTCTAAGGATATCCTAGGCATACTTGATCTGTTCTCTAGCTCTATTAGTAGCGCTTATAAACATTGACTCTAAAGACTAGGGTTCACGATTCTGTTAGATACATTTTCAATAGGAATGCGATTTAGGAATCTATATAGAAGATCTGTTTAAACTTCTTAAACGCCATTCTGGTAGCGACAGAAAGTAAAAAAAAGAATAAGTTAAAAGAAAAAAAACGCAAAACACCTCTATGACAAAGCACTCGCATCCATAAAGGTGCTCTTCATCACAACCTTCTCCGACAATCCAAGCAAAGAAGTACTCTGCATAATATCAAAAATAGAAACCTGAGCACCAGCCCTCAAAGCCAGCAAATTCCTCAACTCGACAGCAACAAGCGAGTCCACACCAAGCTCCACCACAGAGCTCGATGGCGAAATCTCTGCAGCATCCAACATGAAAATGTCAGCGAGTTTCTGTACCAACGCCGATGCAACGATATCCACGGCGTCAGCGATGGATGTGGCTGCCATCATTGCAGCGCCCAAATCGCTGGAGACGGTCTTGACGGCGGAGCCTGCAGCAGAAGTCTTGGGTCGACGAGGGATAGACCAGAAACGTGCGTCCTTTGATTCATCGAGATTGGTTCCATTGGCACCGAGCAGCATTTGGTTGCGCGGCGAGGAGGAGATGGCAGACTCGATGGTCGCGAGGACGTCTTCTTCGTCCAGGACGTGGAAGCCTTGTTTGCGTAGACGCTCGAGTTGGTCTCGGTGGTCTACGAGGTATCCGACGTTTTTGATGACGCCGAGGTCTATGGTTGCGCCGTGGAGGCCGTTGTTGACGCGGTATCTTGCGAGTGCGTCTTGGTATGTGTTGCCTGCTGCATAGTTGGCTTGACTGACTGTTCCGGCTACACCGGCTAGCGAGGACAGCATGACGAAGAAGTCGATGTCGGCGTGGTTGAAGATGTTGTGTAGGTTCCAGCTTCCTTGGATCTTGGGGCGAACTGCTTTGGTGTAGTTCTCGACGTTCATCTGCTCCACGACAGCATCCTAGAAGGAAAAGGTAAATCAGCGATGTAGTGACTTCCGAGACAGATTCAAGACTTACTGCGAGGACCATAGCTCCTTGAATCACTCCACGGATCTCGGGCATTTGCGACTCATATTGGGTGATGGCGCTCGAAAGCTTTTCGGCATCAGAGGCATCACAGGCAATAGGCGTTATGGTCACTCCGGTAGAGGCGAGCTCTCTGATGAAAGCTCCCGAGTTACCACTAGCTGCTGCACTTCTCGACAAGACAGCAATGTGCTTGGCTCCGTGGTCGGCCATCCAGTGACAGATAGACCTTCCGATACCGCCAAGCCCACCTACGATTAGATAAGAAGCATCGGATTGAAGGCGCACGACACCGCGACGTTGCAAGACCTGAATAGAGTTATTAGTGCTCGGCACTTCGATCGCTCGAGAAGAAAAACTTACTGGAACTTGCACTCCTGACTCCAGCGAGAGAACGATCTTGCCGATATGCTTACCCGCCTGCATGAGACGGAAAGTCTTTTCCAAATCCGACAGAGGGTATGAATTGATCGGCTCGATGGTGCGGACCTGCTTTTGCTGGAGCAGGTCCATGATGCCCTTCAGAGCTTTGTGAGTCTGTTCGGGACGGTACTCTTCGAACTGCAGCAAGTCAAAGGACGAGAAGGTCACATTGCGGGTAAATGCTTCCATCTGCAAGAAGTTGTTGGCCTCGACATCCTTCTTGCCAATCTCAACGAAGCGGCCAAAGCGAGCGAGACTGTCGAAACTGGCTTGCAGGAGAGCACCAGCAAGGTGATTGACCACGACATCGACACCACGGTTCTGCGTCATTGACATGATGCCATCGGCAAAAGAAGCGTCACGACTGGACAAGATATGGTCATCAGCGATACCGAACCTTTGCTTGACCAGATCCCTCTTTTCTTGAGCGCTGACCGTAACAAACACCTCGGCCCCTGTGTGTTGTGCGAGTAGAACAGCAGCCTGACCAACACCACCGGAGGCGCCGTGGATCAGAACGCTATCACTCGACTGCAGGTGTCCAAGATCATAGAGCGAGATCCAGGCTGTTGCAAAAGCCATTGGTACCGAAGCTGCCTCTTCGAAAGACATGGTTTCGGGTATGTGAACAGTGTTCGACCACTCTGTGCGAACCAAGTTGGCGTAGTGACCCCTGAGTAGCGAGGCTACGCGATCACCTGCTTTGAAACCTTTGGCTGCTGCTACAGGTCCGACCCGAGTAATAATACCAGCACACTCGAAGCCGAGGATATTGTTGTTCAATTGGCCCATCGCGGTCATGACATCTCTGAAGTTGACACCGAATGTGCAGGGTCTGATCTCGACATGGTGGTCAGGAAGCTGCGTCTCATGTTGATCGTTGTCGATGAACGCGAGGGTATCAAGAAGACCAGGGGTACCAATACTGAGGCGAAGGGAACGATGCGCTTGATTGAAAACTTCCTCCTTGGTCACGAAATCGTCTCCACGAGTCTTGAACAGCTCAGTGTTACGGCCTCCATCTTTGTAGTAGCGCGGAATGAAGATCTCGCCGTCGACCTCAGCATATTCGAAGTCGGTGAGCGTCTTGGACATGTCGAAAGCAGTCTGGTACAGCTTGCCGATAATCGCGATGGAAGACTCAGACCATGAATCGCGAGAAGGGTCAAAATCGATGTTGACGACTCGTTTTCCAGAGTATTCTTCTCTGACCACACGATTGAAGCCCAAGCTGGCGCTAGCGGAAGGATCAACCACATCCACACGACCACCTCTGGTCGCCCACAGAATGGCCTTGGACTGCGTGGCGATGGTCTTGATACCCGCGAATTGCTCGGGTGTCGGCGCTTCCATGATGTTTCTACCGAGCTCGCCGACAAAGATGCAGACCTTGCCCTGGGCATCGACGGTGGCAACATCTTGAACACTAGGCAGGCTACCGGTGATGCTCTGGACTTTACACTGGAGCGATTGAACCCAAGCAGAAGGAGCCTCGTCTCCATTCGTCACGATCGTGATGTCGGCATCGAATGCAGGTGGCTCAGCGGGCGAGGCAGTAGACATGATGGTGCTGAAGTTGTAAAAGTCGTCGTCATCACAATCAGGAATCTCAACGTCGATACCACCAAATCCGGAGTCACGTAGGACACGATCCCACATGTTTATGGACAGAGATGGACTGGAGTGTCTCTCTTTCTCCTCACTGAGCCACCATCCAGGAAGTAGACCAAAGGTCATGAGCAATGCAAGAGGGTCTTGGGTCGTCTCGAAAAGGAAGAGACGGCCGTTGGGCTTCAGCAATTTCCTGACATTGCGCATAGTATGCTGCATGTTCTTGGTAGCATGGAGGACTTGACAGGCAATGACGATATCGTAAGACTCTTCTTCAAAGCCCTGCTTGGTGATGTCATCCTCGATATCCAAACGCTTGAAGCGCATGACGTTTGGCCAGTCGTTAAACTTCTTTCTGGCGGCCTCGAAGAAGCCGTTCGAGATATCTGTAAAGTCATACAGCTCGGCCTGGCATCCAATATCAGAATCCTCTGATCCGAGAACATCCAGAACATGCTTCGTCGCACAGCCAGTACCACCACCTATTTCGATGATACGAGCACGCGGGTTCTTGGTCGTGGCATGTTTGACCAGCTGAGCAAACTTTCGACTCGAGCGATCCCACTTCAGGGCATTCTCGTAGTAACGATTCAGCAGTCCATCCTCCATCATGAGTTCGAGCGGAGTGACCTCGTGACGAAGAATGCCCAGTAGATTCGGACCCAAGTGGCAGATCATCTCGCCATCGACACTTTCAGTGCGTACTTCAGCTGCAAGGCTGGCACGAACTTCAGCTGAGTCATCCAACCAAGTCGAACTATCAGGGCCAAGCTCATTGATGGCAGCTCTATTCAGCTGGGCCTTCATCCAAGTCAAGTACTTGCTGTGGTACCACTCGAGCTGAGAAACATTATCTTGGGAGAGAGCAGCCACCGTATCAGCGATGTAGTGCAGCGAGACACGAGCCAGCTTGAGCACGATCGCTTGCTCCTCGGGCTCAAACGGCGTCTCGAGTTCTTGTTTGATCGTCTTGAGATCGACGAGATCAAGATCTCTCTTCCATTCGACAGCAGCGAGTTTGTCAAGATCGTGGACATCGGTAGGCTTTTGTGTCATAGCAGTGCCAATTGACTTGAAGCTGAACCCTTCAATCGCGACAATGGGCTTTCCCTTAGCATTGACGTCTGATGGGAAGAGCGAAATATCGGCAGTGTAGCCCTCCATGTTGGCTGCGCTGATGTCGCTGTAAGCTTTAAGCTCACAGTGGGCCTTCGCATATGGGTTCTCAGTCAATCTCAATCTTTTGATGGTGTGAGGCACAAGAGGCTTGGACAGCTTGAATCCAGATTCAGGGGTAGCCATGTAGGCGCTGTATGAAGTCTGGAACAACGTGTCCAAGGTGGTCGGGTGAATGGTGTGAGCATGCTCGTGCTGCTGAGGCATGGTGGCGGCTGTGTCTGCGACCTCAATTGTCGTAAGAGATTTTCTCTGGCGCGTGCGGATGGATTGCAAGCCTTGGAAGTTTGGTCCATGATGGATTCCAGTCAGTCGGACCGTTGAGTAAAAGTCCTGAATGTCGACCTGCTTCCAATAATCTTCGTCATCGCCGAAGTTGGCTTTTCTGCTCTCCATGAAGGAAACGTCGTCAGAACCAGATGCAGAAGCGGCAGGCTTCAAGACGGTCAAAATGCGACCCTTGCAATGCTCGAGCCATTCGCTGTCATGGTTCACAGAGCACAGGGTGAAGTCTTTCCACCCATGAGAGTATAGAGCTTTGTCTGGACAAGGTCTCAAGGTCAGCTGAACTTCGACACCCTTCGGATCATCAGGCACCAAGAGTGCTTGTGGCATATACACATCGCGAAGTTCGTATCCGAGAATCTGTTTGTTCTCGTCGCGCGCCAGCTGGCCAGCCGCTTCGATGGCCATGCAAAGGAAACCAGCACCAGGATAGATGATATCTGTCTGGACTACGTGATCGAACAGCCAGGGAACATCAGCCAGGCGGATAATGTGTCGCCATGACGGTGCGGTCGTATTGGTTCCAGGCACAAATGCGCCAAGCAAGTCATGGACCTCGTGTGAACGGTCACGGAGAGCTTTGTTCAGTCTTGGCTCACCCCAGTGCTTGACTGTATGATTCCAAGGATAGCTTGGCAGATCGAAAAGCACGCGAGTCGTCGAAGGTCGGCCGAATGGGAAGTTCACAGCCTCCATGTTGACAGGGTGGCCAGCCTTGATCAGGTTACAAGCCAGGTCCTGCATGGTAGTGATTGCGTTGCTCTTGCGCACAAGAGTAGGGAAATAGTCAATGGTCGACGATTTGAATTCCGGCTCCGAGATGATGTCCTGAATGGGCCCTGAAAGTGCAGCATGCGGACCTACCTCGATGAGTGTGTCAATGCAGCTTGTAGTGCTATCTGCGGTCTCGAAGCACATGTTCTTGAAGGCTTGGGTGAACGAGACGGGACGCGTGAGACTGTCTACCCAATGCTGAGCGCTGCTGATCTGGAGGCCAGAGTATTCTCGCTTGCCAGTGGTTGGCGAGGAGAAGACAACGTTCTCGTCCATGCTGTCTTGGGGCTTCATGACACGATCAAGCCATGCGTAGTAAGGCTCAGCGATTGCCTTCATGTGGTGAGAGTGGTAAGCACAGTCAATCCTCAAACGGCGAGCGAAGACATTGTCGTCCTTCAAGAGACCTTCCAGCTCTTCGATAGCGTCGTAGTCACCCGACGCAGTGATGCTGGTGGGACTGTTAAAACACGCAATCACGACACGTCCTTTGGTCAGGCGGTCGAGGTAGATCTGTCCAGCATCTGGGCCAAGACCTATGGCAATCATGCCACCCTTGCCTAAGCCTGGGACCTTTTGACCGGCATGTTTGGCACGAGCATAGCAGATCTCCATGGCGGTGCGCATCGATATGGCCCCAGCAGCGTAAGCTGCAGGCACTTCACCACTCGAGTGACTTGTGACCGCAGTTGGATTGATGCCCCAGTCCTTGAGCAGCTCGACCAATGCAATCTGGACAGCGACGCTCAACGGGGTACTCATCGCCAGCTGGTTGACCAGTGAAGTCTCCGCATCTTTCATCAGCTCCTCTGTGAACGATCTGTATCAGTATCGGTCAAACGACAACGTTCTCGGTTGGTACTTACCTTGCAATGACCACTCGGCGCCGGCTCTCTGCAGGAACTGATCACAGTTCATGATAGCTGACCTGAACACAGGATAAGCGGCGATCAGCTCACGACCCATGGCAAACCATTGAGCACCCTGTCCAGTAAACACAAAACCAATCTTGCTTCTGGAGCTCAGAGCTTTCTTTGGTTTTGCTTGGGGGCCTTGCAGAACACTGGTCAGATGAGCAGTGCCGGTAATAGGCAATGCTATGCGCCATGGGAAGATGGTGCGGCGTTGACCTAGAGTATAGATCAGATTGTCCACAAGATCATGCTCATCCTGTATGTCAGAAGATTCGAGGTACTCTTTGAGATCGACAGCCATCTTCGAAACAGCCTGTTCGTCTTTTGCACTTAGCATGAGAACACGGGAGTGCAGAGAATCGTGCCAGCCGTTCATGGCTGGCTCGGAGCCCTTGATACTCTTGTGTGAGGCAAGGAACGAAGGATAGCTCTCCATGATGACGTGAGCGTTGGCACCTCCGTAACCAAAGTTATTCACCGAGGCTCTTCGAACACCATTGACGTCAGGCCATTCTTGAACCGCCTCAGGAACCTTGATGAATCTCTCGTCAAGTTTAAGGGTTGGGTTGGCCTGCTTGAAAGTTCCACTAGGCGGAATCTGTCCCTTCTCCATCGCGAGAGTGGTCCGAATGATCGAAGCCAGACCAGAAGAAGTCTCAGTGTGGCCGATGTTGGTCTTGACGGATCCAATGAACAGCGGATCACTGGCACTTCTGTGAGACGAAAACACCGAGGAAATGGCAGAAATCTCGAGAGGATCTCCTGTCGGAGTGCCTGTGAGGAAGGAAAGTCAGTCTATCTCTCAACAGTCTCCCGTTCGATGATCAACGTACCTGTGCCGTGTGCCTCGAAGAATCTCGTCTCAGCAGGGTCCAGCCCAGCTTTCGAGTACACCTCACGAATGAGTGCTTCTTGCGCCAGAGCGCTAGGTGCCGTGATCGTTTCGGTCTTGCCGTCTTGGTTCAGGCCTGTGTTTCTGATGATAGCTCGAATGGGATCTCCATTCTTCGAGGCATCGTCCAGTCGCTTGACGATGATGGTGGCGGAGCCCTCGCCGCGACCATAACCACCGGCTCGACTGTCGAAAGCAAAGCATCGGCCCTCAGGCGAGAGGAAGCTGCCGTTATGTCAGCAAACTTGTTCAGAAAAACAAAGGGGACTCATGAACATACTGCAATGAAGACATGGTAACGAATATGTCAGAGTTGATCATGACATTCGCACCACCGACAATGCTCATGTCGCTCTCGCCGGTTCGTAGACTCTGACATGCTTGATGTAGTGCAGTGAGAGTAGTAGAGCATCCAGTGTCGATGGCCATGCTGGGTCCTCTGAGATCGAAGAAATGCGACAGTCTGTTCGCAGCCATTGCCGCACCAACACCCAGCATTTGTTGACGGGGCAATGTCAACGGATCACGGAGCTGAGCGTCCTGATAATCTCTGAAGAAAGCTCCAGCATACATGGATGTGTTCGAGCCAGCAACATCGTCAAGGGTGAGTCCGGCTAGAAGATTGGTCAGCTCATGGGTTACCTTGTCCGCTGATTTGAGACTCACCGCTCTCCAAAGCCTCGTATGTGCCCTCTAGCTGCAGTCTGTATTGAGGATCCATGCACTGTAAGTTCATCAGCATTTGGCAGCCTGGGCCAGGGACGAGTCTCGGCATACAGAGGCAAGATCGGCGGGGAATCCAAAAAAGGCTGCGTCAAAACCGGCGACATCATCTTTGAGAAAGTGCCCGCCAATAACATTCGTCTAGCAAGGGTCAGCAGGGCATGCTCCAACCAGTGTAGATATCCTCTCGAGTTTGACTCACGGTTTCAGCTCTCTCGCCATTAGGGTGGTAGACGCCTTTGAGATTGAACTTGGAAGCTGGGACCTCACTCCAAGCCGTACCTCCCTCGGCTGAGAGCTTCCACAGTTTTTCGGGACTTGTTGCATCACCTGCAAACCTGCAACTCATGCCAATGATTGCTATCGGGATCGAGGCCATGATGACTGCCGTGGATCCTGGTGTGTCTGAAAGGTGCAGGTGAAAATTGATGAATGAGAGGAGGTAATTAGTACCAATGATAGTAAAAGCTAGTTGAAAGCTGTTTGGTGACTGGGGACGCGAAAGAAGATGCTACTGGGGACGAGTATTATGAATGGCCAGGAACTCAGCATCGGTGAAACTGCACCCGGAGTTGATGCCACAGCCTAGCGGCCACATCATACTGGCGTCCAAACTGACAATCAGATTCAAGCCTTGGGCGACGTCGAGCAGGGTGGACCAGACTAGTAAGTCCGAGCTTCTCGTTCGTGGGAGGAAGAGGCGAGAAACAATTACTCCGGGGCGTCAAGAGTTGCTGTACAGGCACGCAAAAGCTTCGAGATCCTGAGAGATCTCTACAAGGTGAGATTAGCGACCGAAAAATCTTAATCGGCGTTGTAGTCGAGTACTATCGCGTTCATAATGGCTTTACTGGGTTGAGGATGCTGACGCTTGGGGCCATTTCGGCTTGTCGGGACAGACGACCGTCGCCGTGTAACCATGGATTGGCGGATCTATGGTACTGATCAAGACTTCCATGACATGCACTCAACAAGATAATCCAAGGGATGTTTGTGTATATAGAAAGTGAAGTAGGCGGAGAGAAAATCGCACGGTGAAGAAGGCGCGCGTGTCAAGCTGTGGTGGCGCATGGCCGCCTTCTTGTCGCTTCTTGGCGCGCGTTTCGTTTCTTCGCATCTCGTTCACGCCGTGCTGCTACTATCTAATATCACCTATTCATACCCTTTCCATCGCAGGCGTATCGCAAAATATCTCCGCTTCGCGATTAGTCCAAAACGTCCGCTTCATCTCCTCGCGATTGCCTGCCTTGTCTGACCCATAAGCTCAGAAGGATCATGATGGAACCTTGGCCACTCTCGGAGTTTCTTGCTGCTGCCTCTGAGGTCTGGCGGCCGCCGCCATGACTATGTATGCTACTACATGATGAACAGTAGGAAGCCTTCTCGCGACATACGTGCCTCGATATTGTCGCCTCAACGCGTACTCTTTCCCTCTCAAACTTTGCAGCACAATCATGCACGACAAGCTTGTCTATCTTTTTGGCTCCCAAGCCCTCTCTCTGACCCACGACGATGCTGCCAGACTACGTATTACCATCAAGAACACTCCCAGCTTGCAATGGCTGGAGCAAGCTGTGACCGAATTGTCATCCGTCGTAGAGGACTTCTCGAGCAACGCAGCCGCCTTTATACCGCCCAAGGTATCGGCCAATGTGCAGCTTCTACGACAATTCTTCGCATCCGATATGCCTGCAGCCGAACTTCCGTCTTCCCTTCCAAACGTCTTGCTCACTCCTTTGGTCGTCATGGGACATTTGATAGAGTACACACTTCTGACCCACTCGACATCAGCTTTCGACGATTCATTAAGCCAAGTCTTTGGGCTCTGCACGGGCATGCTTGCTTCTTTTGCTATCGCTTCAAGTAGAGATTGGACCAGCCTTGCAAACTATGGAGCGGTCGCTCTTCGTCTTGCTGTCCTCATTGGCGCTATCGTAGATGCCTCAGAGGATGACGCGGCTGCTGGGCCCTCGAGATCCTTCGCGGCAGCGTGGGCCGGAAGCATGGGGAGGGAAGACATTCTACAGATTATTTCCACTGTGCCTGATGTAAGTCATACCCAGTCTCAATACTCGTTCGTAGACGACTGCTAAGACTGCCAATAGGCATATATGGCGGTCACATACGACGACTGTCGCGCGACAATCACCACGTCGTCCGCTCATGCAGCAGAAGTTCAGGACAAAATGCAAGCCGCGAGTGTTACCGTGACGGAGCTAGGCTTCCACGGGCGCTTTCACTGGACAGAACACGCCAAATCGCAACATTCTTTGCTGGCTTTTTGCCAAGACCGACCCAAGTACCACTTCGCTGATCTTGAGAATCTGACCTCAGGTACTCGATCCAACCAGCGAGGTCCTATCTTGGAATCGCAACGTCTGCACGAGGTCGCGATTCAATCGTTGCTGACTCTGCAACCGCAATGGTCCGATGTTCTCTCGGAAGCTATCGACTCCATCACGCCCGGCGTGGACTACTCGATGTTCATGTTTGGCTCAGAACGCTGTGTACCTCCCAGTTTGATTCCACGAGTGCGAAAGTTTTTGAAACAGACTGTCGGTGTGATCAGTCAGACAGAAGCCTTGCTCCCGGCTCAGCACCATCAGATCCCTGACAAGCATGATGATATTGCCATCATTGGCATGTCTTGCAAGGTGTCTGGAGCCGAAGATCTCGAGGAATTTTGGGAGCTCCTTTGCAAAGGCGAATCGAGACATCGCGAAGTCAACTCTGATCGTTTTGACTTTGAGAGCCCCTTTCGTACACAAGATAGCAAACGCAAGTGGTTTGGCAACTTGATTGACGATTACGATGCCTTCGACCACAAGTTCTTCAAGAAGAGCCCTCGCGAAGCCAGCTCGACTGATCCCCAACAGAGGTGAGAACAGCTACGTGCGTTCGGACGTGATATCGTGTGCTGACAAGTTTCAGACAGTTGTTGCAGTCTGCCTACCAAGCCATTCAACAGTCTGGTTACTTCCGCAAACAGGACCCCGATCGACATGTAGGCTGTTACATTGGTGTCTGCTCTGTGGACTACGAAAATAACATCGCCTGTCATCAGCCAAATGCATATTCCTCCATCGGCAATTTGAGGGGTTTCATTGCAGGCAAAGTCAGTCATTACTTCGGTTGGACGGGACCTGGCTTGACGATCGATACCGCTTGTTCCTCCTCGGCAGTCGCCATCCATCAAGCCTGCCAGGCCATCCTTACCGGGGAATGCAACACTGCACTTGCCGGTGGTACACACGTCATGACTAGCTCCCTCTGGTTCCAAAATCTTGCTGGCGCTTCCTTCCTCAGCCCTACTGGATCTTGCAAACCATTCGATGCTGCTGCCGACGGGTACTGTCGAGGCGAGGGTGTAGCTACTGTTGTTCTCAAACGATTGTCCGCCGCAATCGCTGATGGAGACACTGTGTTCGCCACAATTGCAGGCACTGCTGTTCAGCAGAATGAGAATCGCACACCGATCTTCGTTCCCAATTCTCCCTCTCTTTCGGATCTTTTCCGCAGGGTCACAGATCGAGCTCAACTCCAGCCAGAGCAAATCACTGTTGTGGAGGCTCACGGAACCGGAACTCCGGTCGGTGATCCTGTCGAGTACAATAGCGTTCGCGAGGTTCTCGGTGGTGATAAGAGGACCTCGAACATTGCACTCAGCTCAGTCAAAGGGCTGATCGGCCATCTCGAATGCACATCAGGTGTCGTTTCTCTCATCAAGATTGTCATGATGATGCTCAAGGGCTCCATCCCTCCTCAGGCGAGCTTCAAGAACATCAATCCAGCAATCAAGAGCTCGCCCAGCGATCACATCACTATTCCTACAAGCCTACTGCCATGGTCGACTGCACGCAAAGCAGCTCTGATCAACAACTACGGAGCATCTGGGTCTAATGCTTCGATCGTGGTCAAGGAATTTAGCATCAAGCAGAATCGCCTGGCAACCAGTTCTCAACAGAAACACATCTTCTGTTTCTCGGCACTAGACCGCAATAGTCTCTCCAGATATATCCAGCGATTCCGTACGCTTCTTGTCTCGAAAGGTCCGAAGACACCCAATTTATTGGAGGACATCTCCTTCAACCTGCTTCGCGAGTTCAATCCGACACTCCCCGAGCGCTTCATCCTTACAGCTAGCTCCATTTCTAGCCTTGATGATCGGCTGCGAAAATTTGAACACGAGATGTCTCGCGATGAGACAGTCCTTGCGTCGAAACCTGTGATTCTCTGTTTCGGAGGACAGAGTTCTACGTTCGTGGGTTTGGACCAGAACATTTACCAACAAAGTAGCTTGCTGCAGAAGCACCTCAAGATCTGTGACTCGGCTTGCAACTCGTTGGGTGTGGGCTCTGTATTTCCCTACATCTTTCAGCGCAGCAGTCTCGATGACTTGACAAAGCTGCATTGTCTCCTTTTCTCTCTTCAGTACTCCTGCGTTCAAGCCTGGATTGATTGTGGAGTCGTTCCTGCCGCCATGGTCGGACACAGTTTTGGCGAGCTTACTGCTCTCTGCGCGTCTGGTTCTCTCAGCCTCGAACATTGCTTGAAAGCCATCATCGGCCGTGCAAAAATCATTGAGAGTTCTTGGGGCTCTGACACTGGTGCTATGATGGCGGTTGAGGGTGATCTGAACCAGGTCGAAGAACTCTTGCGCCAGAGCAATCCTCTTGGAAGCTCGGATCAGTCTGCAAACATTGCTTGCTTCAACGGTCTTCGCCAGTTCACAGTGGCTGGTTCTCAAAAGGCTATTGATAGCATTTCAAATGTCTTGTCGACTTCTCTAGAGTTTGGTAACTTGCGTACAAAGCGGCTGAACGTCACTCACGCCTACCATAGCATGCTTACCTCCCCACTGATGGATGCAGTAGAGCAGGCAGCAGAAGACGTTAGGTTCATGCAACCACAAATTCAGCTGGAAAGAACAACTGAGAGTCATTCAACCTCAGCCTTGACTCCGCTTTTCTTCGCAGAACACATGCGCAACCCCGTATACTTCAGTCATGCTGTCCAGCGCTTGGCGCACCAGTATCCCAATGCTGTGTGGTTAGAAGCCGGATCATCTTCTTCGGTGACTCTTCTTGCAAAGCGCTCAATGACAAACATTAGTGGCCACACTTTCGTCGAATTGAACATAACAAACGACAAGGCTCTGGACAATCTAGCGGAGACGACTGCAGCCCTTCTAAAAGCCGGAGTCTCTACAACGTTCTGGCTTCATCATTCTTTGCAATCGCGGAATTACGCTCCACTCATACTTCCGCCTTATCAATTTGAGAAGTCACGCCATTGGATGGAGCAGAAGAAGATGCCTACTTTGTTGGCCTCCGGAACGTCGAACCAACCGGTCTCACAGCAAGGGCCCGAAATGCTGTTGAACCTTGTAAAGATAGACAAAGGAGGTCTCACTGCACGTTTCGGCATCAACACAGGTCACACTGCTTATGAACAGCTGCTCTCAGGTCACAAGATTGCTCACACTGCACCCATCTGTCCCGCCACCGCCCAGCTCGACTTCGCGCTCGAGTCAGTAAAGACGATGATTCCAGAGATTCCTGCAGCACAGTTCTTCCCTGAGCTTCAAGACGTTCGGAATCTTTCACCAGTCTACCGAGACACATCTCGCGTGTTATGGCTTGATCTTGAGGGCAAGCCTGATAAGAAGACTTGGTCGTTCAAGATCACAAGTACAAGTGCCAACCATTCTGATTCGACCACCCATACAGCAGGGCGAGTCATTCTTCTTGATGCTCAAGACAAAGCCACCAGATTGAGCTTTTCACGATACGAGAGGTTGAGAATGCATGAGAGATGCCTGAGCATTTTGAATGATTCGAACTCGGATGAAGTCATCCAGGGACGCAACATCTACAGAGCCTTCTCTGATGTCGTTGATTACGGTCCACAGTTCCGAGGGCTGCAGAAGCTGGTCGGCAGACAAGACGAGTCTGCTGGTAGAATCTCTCAAGCATATGATGCCAGGACATGGCTCGATCCTCTCCTGTCGGACGTCTTCTGCCAAGTGGCGGGCATCTTCGTTAATTGTATGTCTGACCGAGGCCCTGAGGACATGTATCTTGCTTGCGAGATTGAAAATTGGATGCGTTCGGCTGATTTGCAGGTGGGTTCTGCTCGACCGCCATTTTACAATGTCTTGGCAACGCATCACAGGACCTCATCTGATGCTGTCACTTCGGACGTCTTTGTCTTCGACGGCGTCACAGGAGGACTCGTTGAGATTGTTCTTGGTTTGAAGTACCGCAGCGTGAAGAAGGCTTCAATGCAGCGCATCCTTGCCAGAATGACTCCAGAACTTGGACATGGTGCAAGCGTCCTTCCAGTCGCTCAACCTCAAGTTCAGAAGGCCGTGCCTGCCTCCACTCAGCACTTATCGCAACGACCAAAACTTCCGAAAGCACCAAAGGCTTCAACTCAGGCTTCACTTGTCCTAGACCAGATCCGATCAGTTCTAGCTTCATTCCTTGGCCTCCAGCCTCAGGAGATCCTCGCAAGCAGTGACCTGGCTGATCTCGGTGTTGATTCGCTCATGGCTATGGAGATGATCTCTGAACTGGAAAGAACTCTGAAATGCGATCTGCCTCTGGACGAAGTCGCTAACGTCACCACTGTCTCCTCTCTCGTTAAATGTGTATCTTCATCGCTGCCTGGAGGAAGTGATGATTCAGACACTTCCATGTCAGACACATCTTCCGACACAGACAGCTCAGACTCTTTACCTACCACAGCTGCAACAACACCGGAAGAAAGATGTATCGACAGCACATCTCATCTTGCGGAGTTCTTGGGCCTGGACGTGGGCGCAATCAAACCAAGCACAGTCCTCCGTGACCTTGGTGTCGACTCTCTCCTCGCGATAGAGTTACGGGCTGACCTTGCTTCGGCCTTTGATGTTCATCTGTCCATGGACCTGTGTGTCGAAGATTTGACAATCGATGAATTGAATCGAGCGCTTGGCGCTCCCGCTTGGAGCTCGAGCGATTCAGTTGCACACGCATCACAAACTCAACCTCCTATCGTGTCCACCACCTCTGCAGATAAGCCAGTCATGGAAGCAGGACCCAGGTCGAAAATTCCAGAAGATGTTGCACTTAGCTTGCCGGGCGAACTTGTACGTGCAGCTTTTGCTCAAACGAAAAAAGCAACCGACGATCAGTACATCACTTTCGGCTGTCAGGACTACAGCGAGACAACTCTACCGCTGAAAACGGAGCTTTGCATTGCGCTGATCGTAGAGGCTTTGGAACAGCTCGGCTGTCATATTCGTACGGCTCGAGAGAGCACATCATTACCTTGGGTAAACTGTCGCGAAGATCAGAAACATCTGCGAGACTACCTCTACCATGCACTTTCCAAAGAGGCAGGCCTCCTCGTCATCGAAAACGGGAAAGTGCTGCGTACCGCAGAAGTGCTCAGCCCAGACGATAGTCAGCGAATAATGGCACGAGCTGTGCAGGTTTCGCCGCTCGAAAAGGGTGCTTTTGATCTGATTTACCATGCTGGTTCAAACCTTGCGGCAGTCTTGTCTGGCAAAACCGACGGTATCAAGCTCATCTTCGGTAACGCTAGAGGTAGGGAATTGGTGTCGTCGCTCTATGGCGAGTGGCCCATCAACCGCCTCATGTATCACCAAATCGAAAACTTCCTCTCGAGATTGTCAGAGGGCGTCTCTCCCGGTGATGGAGTCCTTCGGGTTCTCGAGATGGGTGCCGGGACTGGCGGCACAAGTCAGTGGCTGATCCCGTTGCTGGCTTCTTTGCCCATGCGTGTCGAATACACATTCACCGACCTAGCGCCATCCTTCGTGGCTGCGGCCCGCGGGCGTTTCAGCCAATACGACTTTATCAAGTACCGCACTCACGATATAGAGCATGGTGCGCCTGAGGATCTACGGAACAGTCAACACATTGTGATTGCAAGCAATGCCATACATGCGACACATGACATTACCAAGTCGGCATCTCATGTCAAGGAGTTTCTACGCTCTGACGGACTGCTGTTGATGATTGAGATGACCACGCCACTGCTATGGGTCGATGTCATCTTCGGCCTCTTCGAAGGTTGGTGGTTGTTCGATGATGGACGTTCGCATGCAGTCACCAATGAAGCTGACTGGAGACGTCATCTCCTCGCGGCGGGTTATGGTTCAGTGGACTGGACAGATGGCAAACGACCCGAGAACAAACTCGAGAAGCTCATCATTGCCAAAGTCATGCCTCCCGCGAACTCTCCTGCAGATGCCGTAGCGCCCGACGATACTGCATTGACAGGTCCGCCCACTTTCGAGGCAAGAGCAGCGGCTATCGAGCACTACGTCCAACGCATGTCCCAAAAGTTCAGTCGCCCATCTCCGGCTCTGTCACAAGCGAGCAAGAAACCTTCGGGGACTTGTGTGTTGATCACCGGTGCATCAGGAAGTCTCGGAGCACATCTCGTGTCCAACCTGGCTGAGAGGGACGATATAAAATCCGTCATTTGTCTCAATCGGCCCCATGGCGGCGATCCTCAAACGCATCAGCTGAAGTCCCTGATCTCCCGAGGCATTCTCCTTTCTGCCAAAGGCTTGACCAAGCTTCAGACTTTCGAAGGGGACATGACACAACCAATGCTCGGCCTTCCACGCGAAACTTACCAGCGTCTACTCGAGAGCGTGACTTGTATCGTCCACAACGCATGGACGATGAGCGCCAAACGCCCGATTGCAGGATTCGAAGCACAATTCGAAATCATGGGTAACTTACTCCGCATGGCTAGCGAGATTGCCGGCTTGAGACCTCGCGACTGCAAGACACGATTCGTGTTTGTGTCGTCCATTGCGGTGGTCGGTCATTATCCCATCTGGAAGGACACGCCTCAAGTTCCGGAGGAGCGTGTTGCGATAGAGGCCGTGCTGCCCAATGGATATGGCGATGCGAAGTGGGCCTGCGAATTGGTTCTCGACCGCACTCTGCAAAAGGCAAGTCCAACACTTACATGCTTCGTTTGTCTCGATCACTGCTAACAAACCTTCGCATGTAGTATCCCGATCAGTTCGCTACATCCAGCATCCGTGTCGGCCAAATCGCCGGCTCCCGCAAAAGCGGATACTGGAATCCAATGGAACACACCTCGTTCCTGTGGAAGTCATCGCAGATGCTAAACGCCATCCCCAACCTGCAAGGCCTGCTCTCCTGGACGCCCGTCGACGACGTCGCAGGCACGGTAGGAGATTTATCAGAACTCACCACCTCACCGCACGCAATCTACAACATCGACAACCCAATCCGCCAACAATGGACAGACATGATACCCGTCCTCGCCACCGCCCTCGGTATCCCCCAAGCCAACATCATTCCCTTTGAGGACTGGGTGTCTCTGGTGCGCGAAAGCGAAAAAGACGGCAAGACGGCGGCGGTGAATCCGGCGAGTATGTTGTTGGAGTTTTTGGAGGATAACTTTTTGCGCATGTCGTGTGGAGGGTTGCTTTTGGGGACTGAGAGGGCGAGGGAGCATTCAGAGACGTTGAGGAATGTGGGACCGGTGAGTGAGGAGGTTGCGAGGAGGTTTGTGCAGGCGTGGAAGGACATGCGGTTTTTGTCATGAGGGAGGTTGGTCTTCTTTGGTGTTGGCGTGGTGAGGGTATGCGGGCGTTTCGGGGGGGGGGGGGTGGTGGTGGTGTTTTGGTTTCTGAGATCGATGGTGTGTTTCTCTTGTAGCTCGCTGTGTTGACGCGTGTTTTGAATCAAAGACTTCGCTCTTCTCTCATCTTCTCTCCTTTCATCTTGTCTTCCCTCCATCTTTTGGTCTTGATTTTGTCGCGAGGGCGCTACTGTAGGGCTTCGAGGAGCATCATGTAGACGTTTTCCGGCGGGGTTAGGAGCGAATGATCCTACACACGTAATAACTCTCTCAAGACCCGAGTCGAGACGACCACTGCAGTCATGACACTCTTTACAGCCTTTGATTGCAACAGTATGCAGGTCCCCTCCACACGGGCATTACATCCATCGGGCCCAAACTTGGAAGTCCACGCGGCGCAACCTGTCGCTCAGACAGCCGCAGCATCGCAATGGTCGTCTCGATCACACGCGTGTCAAATAGGTAGGTATACTTTGAAACACGCGTCACAAGATAGGTATACGACGTAGGAACTATGACGCGTCGACCTTCACCGTCAGTTGTGTTTCAGAGCGCCCCGGGGAGGGGACCAAGCAAACAGTGCAAACGGCGTCGGATGCGCGAAAAACACGTGCGATGCTTGGTTTTGGTGTTGTAGTTCGGGTTTTGGGTTAGGTTTGTATTGGAGCTGGGAGTTTGGATTGGAGAATGTTATTTGAGGTCAGAAGGCTCAAGAAGTGGTTCAATTGGTGGTGTTTTGTTGATCTTGGGTTGGGTTAGTCTTGTGGTAGAAAGACAAGTACGAGTCACATGGTTTCGTGATGGAATTCTTGGAGATGGGGTTGACATTTTGGTTCTTATGCTATAGACCCGCGAATCTGTGATATATTCTTCTGAAATCACAAAGTCTATCATAGAAATCTTTACCCGAAGTTCTTAAAAACTCGTTATCCTAGTTTATATGTTGCTGGATGCCAAAACATGGTTGTTGTCTCGCCGAAATCGTTGCTGCGTGGAGCACCCTGTTTCTCGAGATGCAGGAGTCGAGCATTGACGACTTTTGGCCGCTCGGGGAAGACAATCTGGCCACTCCGCATCAAGCTGCTCCCCATGACACGAAACACCTCACTGATCTACGCTGACAATCACCAACACTAAGAGGCTTATACAGGTGCATCGTAGCCTTGACTTGCCAAACTGGATCCGCATATCTTCGAGGAAAAATTGCCGCAACAAAAGCCAATCATAGCAAACAAGATGTTCTCGAGATGATGGAAACCACCCATGCGATGCTTTGTGTCTCACCCGCCCCTCATCCCATGCAGGATCGGTGTACTTCCACGCGACATGGTGCTTATCAAAGGGGCCTTGATCGCCAGCAACGATTGCCAAAATTGGCAGTATTCCGCGAGGCATGTTTTTCTAGCATCTTGAGCACCTTTATCTTGATCTTGATCGTCCTATAGACTTGTGAAATAAGGCAGCTATGCAAAAAACATGCTTTGAAGGGTTTCGATTGGCTAAGGCAATTAAGCGCTGGGCAAAGAAGAGGATCTCGAGGAATCAAGCTATCTAAGCTCTCGGAGTTTCTACTTTTGGGGCCTTGTTTTTTTGGCGTGTTCTCCTGTGCCTTTGGGGCTTGTTGCTTGGCGGTGGAGTGTATCGTACTTATCTGGTGACTTGCAGATGGAAGAGGCGTGGGATCTAGATGCGCTGGTGAGTATGCAGGCGTCAGTTGCCTTATTCAGCTCAGTGCTTGCGAGGGCTAGTAAGCTTTATAGATTGATTAATTGATTGTGGTGAAACTGCATGAGCGCAGATGCTGGTAACATACAGATTCGGGGAATGGCCTGGATTGAGGATAGCGCCATGCAAGGACGCGGTTGCGATAGACACGCGCGAAACTGGGATGCATCATACCAAGAATTGATGGCGCGTTCCGCTTCAGAAACAACGTCAAGCTTTCACAGACGTCTCCCAGAAGGATGATGCCTCAAGTGGTGAACTCTAGCAACGGGTGGTGGCAGTCTTGCTTAATCTTGTTTGCATGACACGCTCGTCCAAGCTTTTGCACCACTCCTTGTAACGACCAAGCATTGGACCCACGTGAACTGCAACCGAAGTCAAGCAACTCTGCTGCTTGTCACGAAAAAAAGAATCGTCGCATCATAGGGTCTATGCGAACGTAAAATTCGGAGTCTGACACCGGTTCGCTCGAATATTGTACGGCACCAGGCACCACAGACTTTAGGATTCGAACGCAGGAACAAACCCCCTCCAAGGAGCGGGGGTCCCCTGAGCACGACTACTCCTCGGAGTTGCGACTGTCAGGAACTTATAGCCATTAAGCATACATGACTCGTGAGAACGAATGGGACGAGCTGCTTGCGCACACTCCGCTTCGACCACGCGATTCGCTGTCACGCTGCGAATGTTGATGTCTCAGGACAATGTGGGGGCCGCCATGGATGCTGAAGCTTTTGTCGGATTATTGCACCTGGCAGCGTCTACAGATCATAAGAGGGCGTTGATCGCTCTCCGTGTATTCGACTAGTGGTGGACGCAGCGGAGCGTTTACCCGACAAGTTTCAAAGGCTTTTTCTCTTTTGAGAGTAGCAGAGGATTTGTGCCTGATCCTTAGAATTGCATGTTTGTGGAATACGGTCACCTTGATGGTTTGGTGATTGCCTGGTCTCGGAGCATCTAATTGTCCAGAGGGAAGCTTTGACCTGACAGGTCGGCTAGAAAGTTGTTGGTGGTCGTGCATGTACCGGCTGAGGATGCAGAGGCAGATGGCGAGGTGCGAGGTAATTACGAATGGCGCAGGCTCTGTTTATACTATTGTATACGAGGCTGAGGAGGAAGCAGGCTAAGCAGCCTTTGCGGCCTTACTCGAAATGGGCCTTTCCACGAAGTCCAAGCCCAAGCCCGTGCACCACCGAGCCCCGCACCAAAGACAGCTCGAATCCTCCTATCGAACAGCAGCCACCGTGAGTCTGTGATTGTTATACCGCTTGTCGAGTGAGATGGCAGTATGTCAGCCCTCGACCTGAGCTCTCGACCTGAACAAGTATGAGCTGTTCATGCAAAGTGTGTCTTCCCTGCCCGAACCCAGGCGGATCGATGACCGGAATCACAACCAAAGTCATCTGCCGAAAACCCAGATGGGCTGGAGGATTCGTGGCCATGACCAGTCGGTAAACGATCAGCATGCCTATCTAGCGGGTTGTGTCTCAACAAGATCGGATTACTGGATGCAGGCTGGCAAGGGCTGCAGATGGTTTGCAGGCACAAACGATTGAGACCAAGCGTGTCGGTTGCAGTTGCCAAGGCGCCTTGTGCTGCAACGTCGTTGCTTCGTTCAGCCACTGCCCTCTGCAGCCATCGGCCATGGCCCGTTCCTTCCATCCACGTTTGGCCATGTTGAGGGTCCACGCGGCGGGTGCTACCGCTGCTGCTCTCTTCGCTGACCGGCATCGAATCCTTCAGCTTACACACTCCAAATCTAACCAACATGGACTAAAGCTTGACGTTTGTCGAGGACATAGTCGAAGGATTCCCCCAGGCAAGACTGCAGATATAACTGCAGCACCATGGCCGCCTGTGTGACCGGAGTATCAGTTCGACAGAAGAACGCATTGTTACACATACATCATGAAGACCAGCAAAGATACCCCTCGGACATCATCTACCCCTTCCGGCCGTACACGCCAACAGCCCGGCCTAGCCTGTGACGAGTGCCGTGCTCGCAAGCTTCGCTGTGACAGGCAACGCCCGACTTGTACCTTGTGCGAAAGCATCGGAGTCGAATGCGTCAGAGCCAGCACAAGTCTACCCCGCGGTCCCAAAAAGGGCCATATGCGCATACTACAATCGAAGATCAGTACGCTTGCTCCCGAATATCAAGCCAAGCTGCGCATGCTTAACTCGATGCACAGATGACTTGGAACGCCGCCTCAGCGAAACAGAAATAGTTTGCACTCAACCTGCCCTATCTGCATCCGACCCATCCATCGAACACACAATGGCAGATGTCTGCGAGGCTCCTCTGGAACCCATCACAACAACACAATGTTTTATTTCTGATACTCGAGAACAAGGTCTGATGGCTTTGGACCAACATCTGCCACCGGAACTCGATGTTGGCATCGACCACTTTATGCTGCAAACACCATCAGACGTGCCAGAGCCAGCCTATGGAATGCTGACAGCTTCGACAATCAATACGTGCGACTCGGGTATTGATCTGAGCTGTGCCCCGTCTCAGCCATTCGATACCTCGACCTTCATGACGACACACATGCAGGCTGATTTGTAGGTCTCTTCCAAACCCCTTTCCAGCGCTCCCACTGACGTTTCTGCAAACGAAGAGATCAGATGTACTTTGATCGTGTCCATGTGTTCATGCCTATGCTCCACCACAAACGATACATTGTACGATCGAGGTCGCACACATTAATCGACCAACCATTCGACTGTCTTCGCAAAGCCGTCTGGATGATGGCAGCTTCGGTCTGCCAACCACAGAACATCCAGGACATGCTCTACATACAAGCCAAAACAACGCTAGAAGTTTTGGAATTGAACTCGTACGAAGATCTCGAGCACCTCGAAGAAGCCCAAGCCTGGATCCTCGTCGCCATGTATGAGATGAAGCGTGTCAGTTTTCGCAAAGGATGGATTAGTGCTGGTCGCGCCATCCGATTAGTGCTTCTTATGAAACTTCACGAACTCGATATGCCACGCGGCCCGTTCGAACAAGAAATCTTTGCCGACGCGCAACAAAACGAAAATACATGGATTGTGACCGAAGAAAGAAGACGAACCGTGACCGAAGAAAGAAGACGAACTTTCTGGATGGTCTACTGCTTAGATCGATTGATCAATCTGCTGAATCAAGTGCCTTTCACGATAAGTGAACAATCTGTAAGTCTGACCGAGTCATAATACACTAGTGGAATGGATACTGAGCAGGGACAATAGATCTTGACAAGGCTTCCTGCATCGGAAGAAGACTTTCAATCAGGTCGTCCAGCTGATACAGCCTTCCTTCTTGAGATTCTACGAGGCACCGACAAGCAAAAACTGTCGGCTTTCAATAATCTACTCATCCAGGTAACCCTCTGGGGTAGAGGGCTTTTGCACCAACACCGACGACTAGTCGATGACTTCTACGGCAATGAGAGCACAGAACCCGACTTTTATCACCGTCTCCAATGGCTCGACGGTATCATTGCTCAAAGTGAACACATCATGACTGCCCACGATGCACATGATAGTGATGGCCTGGACTCTATGCTACTCTTCACGAACATGGTAGCGCGATCCATGTTGATCTCGCTTTGCAGAAAGACCGGCAACAATCACCGTAGAGACACCTTTACCAACATTGGCAGCAGCAATGTGGTGAAGGGCTACGAGACTGGTACTTGGAAAGCCATCACTGAGATGCTAAAGTTCTCTGACGGCCTTCACCACTACGGTCAATCCAATGTATGTGATGCTGAGCTAACCATCTCATACGCACTTTGCTGACTGTGTTTCAAGATACATCCCTTTGCCGCAATTCCTCTGTACTTTTGCGCAGACCTATTACGAACAGCAAGTAGCGACGACGCTCTACAATCAATGCAGCATCAACAAGTCATGCTTTCCTTGCAAGAGCTGGCTTTGTCCAATGTGGTTGCACAAAGTTGTGTGAAAAGGCTAGACACAAGTAGGTCATGGGCGGATCTCACAAAATAGACGCTATAGAGGAGCAGTCCACTTGCTATGGTTTTCGTACATGAGAAACCAAGGTTGCGGGTACAATAAATCTGGTTCCAGGCTATAATGATTTATAATCGCTTCCAAGCAGTATCACTCGTCAAGAAGCTGTCTTTATACTTGTCCCGCATCCTGATGGCTCTCGGCAACACGGATTGTATGGAACCTTGCGTGTCATCAACTATCTGGTAGACGCAACTCCGCTGAGTAACAATAGATAATCAATGGTGATAGCATGACACTCCAATCTGAAGCTACTTGACTTTCCGAACTGTCCCACAAATTGGTGCTCCCGGCCAGATCTGCTTACCCATGCCGTGCTGCACAACCACAATTCGATTTCGGACAATATAAAGTCCTAGACCAGTAATCCCCAGTCCACAGACAAGCCTCCGCGACAGAAACTCCGGGGTGCAAACCTCGACTTGTTCTCACTCCCTGCTCACCATCAACCACAAGCAGACTTCGTACACAAACTGTGCAAGCAATACACTGAGTACACACGGCAACGAGTAAACCGATATGACGAACAATAGCTCAGACCCAGAGCCCGAGAGCCGCGAGACGGTCGTGCAGCTCCATCACATTCACGACGAGAATGAGATAAAAAGCGATGCTCGAGTGTCTTCGTCGTTGCAAGCGAAAGAGTTGCCGTCTTCTGCTGATAGCGAGAGTCAGGACGAGAAGGGGATTGAGCGGTCTCAAGTCGAGACCGCAAACACGAACGAAATGAGTGGTTTGTCCTTGGGCCTTGTCATCGCTTCTTTGCTCAGTGCAGTGTTTTGCGTAGCTTTGGACAACACGAGTATGTTTGGTCCTTCCCCCTCTTCCAACACACCGACAGCACAGTTGACGCTCTCACACAGTTTTGGCCACTGCGATACCAAAAATCACTGATGCTTTCCATACAATTGACGATGTTGGGTGGTATGGCGCTGGCTACTTTTTGACCACTTGCAGTAAATCCAAACCATCGTCTATCTCATGCTCCTGAAGATTCTCAGATCTGACTTGTTGCCCGGCAGGTTTCCAGCTCTTGTACGCAAAGCTCTACACAATGATCAGTACCAAGACACTGTTCCTCATCGCACTGGCCCTTTTCGAATTGGGCTCGTTGGTCTGTGGAGTCTCGCCAACTTCCACTGCTTTAGTCGTCGGTAGGGCGATTGCTGGGCTCGGAGCAGCGGGCATCTTTACGGGTGCCTCGACTGCGGTAGCTCAAGTCGCTCCGAAGAATATGAAGCCTGCGATCATGGGGATGGTTGGTGCGCTTTTTGGGCTTTGTTCTGTTATAGGGCCGTTGATTGGCGGCGCTTTCACAGATCATGTTAGTTGGAGGTGGTGTTTCTACATCAATCGTATGTTCCTATTGATACTGCTTGCTGGGGATTTACCAAAACTGATAGATTATCAGTACCCATTGGCGCATTCAGCGCTGCTGGAACCGTGTTCTTTCTGAAGTTCGACCAGAAGTTTGAGAACCAAGATCTCAGTCTCCGCGAACGCATCTCTCGCATCAATCCCTTGGGTAACTTGCTATTCGTTGGAACGGTCGTATGTCTACTAATTGCAGTCCAATGGGGAGGCACAACCTACCCCTGGTCAAACGGGAGAATTATCGCACTGCTGATCGTCTTTGGCATCCTCGCCATTGCATTCTGCATCAACGAGTGGAGAAGCAAGGAACGAGCAACAATCCCACCACACATCGCCAAACAACGCACACTAATCTTCTCATGCATCTACGCCTTCTTCATCAGTTCGACGGTTTTCGTCACCTTGTACTTCCTACCCATCTGGTTCCAAGCCGTCCAAGGCGTCACGCCCGTCATGTCTGCCGTCCACACTCTCCCACTCATCCTATCCCAATTCCTCGCTACCTTTGTCGCTGCTTTGGGAACAATGCGTTTGGGATACTACATGCCCTTCATCGTTGCCTCTGTCATTTTCCTCTCTGTCGGCACTGCCCTCATCACCACTTTCCACGTCGACATCCCTCAGGCCCGCTGGATTGGGTATCAAGTGATCCTAGGCCTGGGCATCGGTTTCGGCTTCCAACAACCCAGCGTTGCAGTCCAAACCACTCTGCCCATTGCAGACGTACCCATTGCAGTCTCCACAGTGTTTACTTGCCAATTCCTCGGGGGCACGATTTTCTTGTCTGCGGCTGAGAATGTGTTTACCAGTCGTTTGAGGAGCAATGTGGCTAGATTGGGGATCCCGGGGTTCGATGCGGAGACGGCGGTGCAAGTTGGTATTACGAAGTTGAGGGGTTTGGTGCCGGAAAGGTATTTGGAGGATGTGCTTGTTGCGTATAGTGATGCTGTTACTAGGGCGCTGGAGGTGAGTCTTGTGTTGGGGTGTTTGACTGTATTGGGGGCGTTGGGGATGGAGTGGAAGAACATCAAAGCCAAGCAGTAGTTGCGAGAGTGGACGAAGATTTGGGAGAGAAGATGGGATGGAAGTGCAGACTGCGAGGTGGAAGTTACTTCCTACGATAGAAAGAAAGTTTGATGATTGCAACTAGTTCTGATGTCCTGCTGTTGCAACGTGCTTGAAGATGTAAGGCAGAGATGAAAATCACATATACTTCTTGTTTACGTGAGATCCTACCCGCCGTGCAGTAGAGACCAAGGAAACAATCTCACAAAGACCTTGATCTCGGACTACACAAAGGCTTCTACAAGATTCATGGTTTGGGGTATCTAGTAAATAGAATGATGCCGGCAAAAAGTTGGTAATGTGAGATGGTTTCAGAAAAACACACACATAGGAGCAAAATCATTCATTGAACCTGACTATAGGGTATGCTAACCAATGAGCTCCGCGGCCTTGCCCCACAGAGGATCAGCTTGCAAGCCTTTGATCTCAAAGTCACGAAGACAGACATGAAGATTGAGATCCCCCGAAACATCAGGAGGATAGAAGTACAAAGTACCTACAGCTTCAATGTCAGTCAGAAGCCTTCTAACAAAGATGCCACTCTGTGACGATAAAAACATACCTGGGATAGGGAACAGATTCGGTCGTCTGATAAACTCAGGCATGCCCAGAAGTCCAAATTTCAGCACCAACGACGCCTGTGCCATTGAAGAAGATGCGATATCAGTCTGTCGGTTAAAAGGACCCGTATACATGAGCTTCGATTTATCAGGGTGTCTTGCGATAAACGTCGCATAGCTCCTGACCGCATATTCGTTATTAGTAGCATCAAGATCCTTACGCAGAGCAGATGCAATGGTAGACAGAGGAAGCTCGATAAGCTGTTCATGAGTAAAGTAAGTAGGCACCGAATGCACCATTTGACCCATGAACGTCATGGGGACCTTGACAGCTGAGCGTGCGTCGATGGCGCGCGAGAACTTTGAGGATGCTTTGGGGTTCACTATGCCTTGTTTGACGCGTATGCTGGCTAGTGTCTTCCAGTATAAAGCACTCACAGCATCGCCGCTGGAGATGAACTTGACGTCTTTGTCGAAACCTTCGGGGTCGCTGGCGAAGGCTTTGAGAGGGGAAAGAGCGCTCTTTTTGAATCTGACTGCGAGCCATTTTGACACGGGCCCGGATGCTGGTGGTGGAGGAGGAACTTGGATGGCGTGGAGATAGGAGTGGTCTTTGATGGTGACGCCGTCAGGATAGAGCGGTACGACAGTCGCGCGGTCTCTGTTTCCTTGCTCGATTGCTTCTTGTGGCAGAGATTTGCCGCTGAGGAGTAAGGCCATCATGCCAATGACGTTGAACAATCCAGTACCATCCATAACGTTGTGATGGTTCGAAAAAGTTACGATGACACCATCCTTGATGAAGTTCAATTGGATGATGCATGCCGGAGCTGGACCCATTTCCTCTTCATTGTACGAAAGAGGGAAACCTGGAGTGGGACAAATGATCTTGCCATCCAAACTTTGAATAGGCAACTGCGAGTCGTGGAGCTCTTGATAGCCGAGTAGGAGATCTGTGCAATCCTTGAACCGCAGCAACTTGTTCGGCGGCAAGTCGGAAGGCCATGGAGCAGTGTAGAATTTTCCAGTGTTTCCTGGAGAAACGCCGTCATGTACGACACGTTCAATGAGCCATGGAATTTGTGCCGTCAAGGCATCGGCTGCTGCTTCCCATTCGCGGAGAATATTTTCTCTTGGGATGTTGATGGCTCCGTAGAGTGCAGAGCCGTGATTGTATGTCTTTAGCTGGGGCCATTGGCCCAAGACATCAGCGTAGATGGGTTTTTCGTCTATGGGACTCATTCTTCAGCCTTGAATTGAAGTGATGGGCGATGATGTGCGTAGTGGCAGTGGTGTCGGCCGTGGCCCATCGCAGCTTTTGAGATAGAACTTTGTATGGTCGAGTCGGGTACCAACTTTAATCGGAACATCTGAAAGTCCGGCAGTCTCACAGGCTCCATGAGCGAATACAACTAGTCCGATGATCCACAGCAATCGCCCATCTCAATTGTGGCTGCTGTTGTGTGTAGAAGTCCCAGATACCTCATTCGTCGAAGTGTTACAAAAGGTTCATCTGCCTGGTAGAATTTGTAGCCAATCTGAACCATCTTCTCAATCTCACTCTTACAGACCGGCTTCACGCTATTGTGTTATACTCTCGATTGCTCAGAAGAATTCATTGCCATGTTATCGCCCTACGTACCCGAGGATGTGGACACTAGGCAGCTTCCTCGCATACTATGTCTGCATGGAGGAGGCACAAACGCCAAGATCTTCCAGACACAGTGTCGAGTCATCTCAAGACGTCTTGCCTCCGACTTTCGTCTTTGCTTTGCCGAAGCTCCATTTGAATCTCTCCCTGGACCTGATGTTTTGTCTGTCTACCGTGACTGTGGTCCATTCAAAGCTTGGATAAGACCACCAATGACCGCTCAAGAGAGTGATTCTGAAGCAGTCATGCAGACCATCATACGTATGGTCGAAGCAGATGACGCTCAGGGCGGATGCGGCCCTTGGGTCGGTATCCTGGGATTCAGCCAGGGCGCCAAGGTCGCTGCGAGCTTACTATTCCATCAACAACAGAATCCCGGATTTGGTGAGGAGGTGTTTGGTAGGGACTTGAACTTTGGTTCACTCCACGCTGGACGAGGGCCATTCCTCTCTTTCGCTAGTAGTCGATACGGACACAAATTTGAGCCCATGGATCTTCTCAATATACCAACTATCCATGTGCACGGGTTGCAGGATCCTGGACTGGTTTTGCATCGCAATCTGTTGGAGCAATTTTGCGAGCGGTCCGTAACTCGGCTGGTCGAATGGGCCGGCCCGCATCGATTACCGATCAAGACGGCAGATGTGGAGGCTGTGGTACGGGAGATCTTTGCACTCAAGTCGACTTGGGAGAAGATTATCAGACCTTCGGTGCGCGGAACGAGGGTGGACTCGGCGTTCGATATCAGTGTGATCAAGGAATGATCAAATTCATGGTGCAGGTAGCACAGGTCCATGTAGCTCCGGGTCAAAGCTAGCCATGGCGTTCAATAATTCGTAGAAATGGGGGATTTGACTAAGTGTATTGCGCAAAGTATCCACTTAGAACTGTAGGAGAGGCGGTAATAGACTTCTGTCATGGTTCAAAGCCGTTAGGTAACCGGTTCTGACAGCTGTCTTTGTCGAACTTCCACATCTGCCATTTCTTCCTGCACAAACCGGTTAAACTCTTCGAAGTTGTCGAGGTAGAGATGATGACCAGCATTGGGAACGATGAAGGTCTTAGCGCTGCCATTCTCTTTTCTCTTCTCTTCTTCGGTAGCGGTTTTCAATACCTTTTGCTTCGCTGCATTGATTTTTATCTCAGAGTCGAGCCCTCCTTGCTTGTCCATCCAATCGCGATCTCCATACATGAAAACTACAGGAACCCCGGTCTCCCTGGGATTCTGGCGTCCAGTTTTGTCGCTGGAACCATGGGAGATGGTGTCACTGTTGACCACATCCGGGTCGTTTTTCAGGTACTGTCGTCCTACACCTTCAATCCTGCGGATCAACGGCGACCGAGCGTAGGCACCAGGGGCCAAGATGTAGGTCAAGGCGTAGTCGCCACTCCCACGCAGACGGAACAAGGAGTAACAGTAATCATGCAAGGCTTTGGCCTCTATTGCGGCCAGTGCAGAGAAGCGCCGTGATGTCCAGGTCGAAACCAGACTGGGGCCAAAGGGTCCAGCAGCACGAACAAAGCCGAACGGAGAAAAGTTCCCAGCCCACAATGAGGCGACTAGACGAGGCAATGCCCGTATCGGAGGGCGCCCTGGCGCGGCAGATTCAGTCTGACCAGTGGCTTCATGCTGAGTTTGCAGAATTTCGTTTCGGACGGTAGAAGGAGGGGCTGATGTGTATGGGCTCCAAGCATATTTGTCCTCTGGTATGCCAACGGGTGAGGCGAGGATGAGTTTCTCGAGGTGGCCAGGATATTTCAGAGCATAGCAGACTGCCATGTACGCACCAAAACTGTGTCCTAATAGGGTCATCTTCTCAATGCCTCGCTGGATCCTCCACTGTTCGAGAGCATCAATGAACCAGCTTTCGACTTCTGTCACTTTGGCGTTACTAGTCCTGGCCTGTATATCGAAGTCAGGTCTCCCAGAACGACCCATGCCCAGAAGGTCCAGGGCGTAGAGTTTCCAGTTTTTGCTGCGTGAGAACGGCTCGAAGTTTTTGTAGAAGAGCCCCAGACCAGCTCCGTAGCCATGCAGCATGACGAGATTGTGCTTTGTGTCTTGCTCGGCATGCTCTACAGAAAATTCGTTGATGAACTGCTCCATCTGAGCGCCAAGCAGCGGCACGCGCGCCGTCTGCCAGTTCCTGGGCCCAAAAGAGTCGACGACACTGATTTGCTCATTTTTGGTTCGATGAATGGGAGCATCAGTTGATTGTGATGAAGACGAAGCCGTGGGAGGTGCGACAGAAGGTATCAGCTGGAGGAGGCGGTGCTCGGCCTGAGCAGACGAAACATCGTTCCACCATTGACAGAGGCCTTCTTTGCAGCTCAGCGAGAAACCCGTAGGCTTAGCTTCGACCGGCATCGCCATGAGAGCGCACAAGACGCGTCAATCAGTACAGGGCCCCACGCTCATTTATCGGAGCAGACCGGGCCCCAAAGCTCGGAGTTGGATTGGGAAAGTGGTGAACATGTTCAAGATCGAACAAACAAAGCGCAGGTTCGTCGGGATAGCGCGAAGGATTCAACGCAGGTGACCGGTGAACGAGTTGAAGCATGAACAAACAGGCGGAGGAGAGATTAGCCGATGCGGCCGAAGGCGCCTTGGGCACTAGCGGCGGGGCAACCGTTACCAAGGCGCCTTGTCGCGTCGTCCCCTCGCCTTGACTTGTCTTGATGCAATCTAATTCCTGGACCGATCCTTGCTGATCTCGGACTATTATTACCTCCGCCGTTTGCTTGCTGTCGAGCCAAACTCAGATCATCTCGATCCCTGCGTTCGTCGGCCGCATAACATACGCCGTACTCGCGCCCCGCCTCATCGCCCTGTTGCTCTGAGCGGCTTAGATACTGTTGATGCCATTACATCAACACAACTCGACACAATGACAGAGATATCCCTCCAGAACGCTATCGCGCAGAACGACAAGTGGGCCAATTCGCGGTCTCTGACAGCTGTATTTGTCGGCGGCACCAGTGGCATAGGAGAGTACACGCTCCGGTCGCTCGCTGCCCACTACGGCAAAAGCTCCCAGAGTCTTTCGCTATACCTCGTCGGCAGAAACAACGACACAGCTTCAGAAATATTCAATGACTGTCGAAAGCTATGTCCCTCCGGCAAGTTCACATTTGTGAAGGCTTCTGATCTGTCCCTCATTCGCGACGTCGACTCAGCGTCGGAGGAGATCAAAAAGCTTGTCAGCGACGCAAAGGCGGAGAAGGGCACCCCTGGATGTATTGACTTGTTGGTCATGAGCCACGCAGATTTGCACATTGGCGGCAGAAGAGGTGGGTTTCTCTTTCGACCGCACATATGTGAGATTGTACTCACATCTTACAGAGACTAAGGAAGGGCTTGACAAGACAATGTCGATGCTGTACTACTCTCGCATGCGCTTCGCCATCAATCTCATGCCTATGCTGCGTGCCTCTCAAGCTGCCCATGTCATCTCTGTTTTCGGAGCAGGTTTGGTCAGTTTATCCGACGCCATTTTGACAATGTCACAGCACTAACGAATTTTTGCCGAGTACAGGAACAAATCAAAGACTGGGATCCGCAAGACATGTCCTTCCGTGATGCGAAACGGTACAACATGTCCAGAGCTCGTACCCACGTTGTCGTCATGAAGACGCTATTCATGGAGAAGTTGGCCGTCCAGAATGCCGGCAAAGTTGCCTTTGTCCACCTCTTTCCAGGTGTGGTCATCACTCCAGCATTCGGCAATCAGGATCTCCCAGGTTGGTTCCGAGCGATGTGGACTGTCGCGAAGCCAGTTGTGAGATATGCCATGGCCATCTCTCCGGAAGAGATTGGCGAGCGTATCCTCTACCTGGCTTCACCAGCGCTGCCGCCGAGGGACGCTCCATCTGCCACAGAAAAGGAGTCTACCAGGCCGGTAACAAGTACTGATGGTGTGCTTGGCGGTGGAGCGTATGCGTGCAAACATGATGCCAAGACCATTGATCTGATCTCCAAGTACAAAGGCCTCAAGGATGCCAAGGTCGACGAGGAGGTCTGGGATCATACGATGACAGTGTTTCAGCAGATCGAGACCCATGGCATCTTCAAGGACTAGATTTCTATCATAGATAGATAATGTTCACCTTCCTAGCAACTGCCTAAAGCCTGTCCAACAAACTCAGAAAATTATAGAAGGGGCCGCCTCTGATCGTATATCAAGCAAGAATCGCACTGTCAAAAACCATTCAGATCTGTTGTACGTAAGACAGTGCTGCTCAGGCCTCGGATTCGATTTTCATCTATTCTCCTATCTACTCATGATCTAGCGCTTCACCTCGGTCATCTTGACAAGCATTGGAGGCTTGACCCAAACATGCCACACCAACATATCAACCTCATCCCACTTCGCACGCGCCTCCCTAGCAACTTCACTCTCATCAAACGCAAGATCAAACCTCCACAGCAAATTGCCCATCAGCAGTCTAGCCTCAAAGTACGACAAATTCTTACCCACACAAGCCCTAACACCCAGACCAAAAGGCTGCGAGGCATGCGACTTGTCATTCTTGTATCTTTCCGCACCCAGCCATCTCTCCGGCTCGAATTTCTCAGGGTCGGTAAAGTTCTGCGGGTGGCGCTCGGCTACCCAGGGAGCTACTGCGACAGTGACGCCAGGGGGAACAAAGTGGCCGTCAATTACATTGCCCTCACCGCTGGGAGGTACAACGCGGTGTTGGTTGCATGGTGCAGGAGAGACCAAACGAAGCGCTTCATTCACGGTAGCTTCGAGATAAGTGAGTTTGCCCACATTGGCCCAAGTGATGTCTTCGGCTGAGGAGAAAGCATTGCGTACTTCTTTGACAACACGTTTATAGACAGCAGGGTTGGAGAGGAGGAAGTAGATCCAGCCGGTGAGTAGACTTGCAGTTGTCTCGCTGCCCGCACTGATGAACTGAACCATATTGAGCACAAGTTCTGTTTGAGACAGACGGGCTTTCTTGGTCTCGTTGTTGCGGAGGATATGGCCGATCATGTCAGGATGGGTGCGGTTGCTGTCTGCGAGACGTCGTAAGGTCTTGTCCGTCGCACCTGTGAGATGCTTCTGACGCCACAGTTTGGGAGCCGCTGGGATTAGCATTTTGACCATGAGTTTGTGCAAGGGTGTGCCGACGCCGGCGACTTGGCCAAATGCCTGTTCCCAGGCTCCGGACTTGAAGATGTCGTTGATTGCTTGGGCCCATTGGGTGGCTTCACCTTCATCCAGACAGCCGAAGGGTTCGGAGAAGACGACTTCACCGATGATATCAAAAGCCAGGTAGGTAACTATATTGAGGCAGTGATTGTCAGCTCGAGACGTTCTCTCGGTTAGCATATTGTAGGTTCTTACACCAATGAGAGAAATCAATAGCTTCATCGTCTCTCGCACACTGTCCAAGTTTGTCCATGAACTTCAAGACATGGATTCGAAGATGGCCCTCTTGAGTAAGCAATGCTTCGTTGGTGAAGGTTGCTCCTAGAGCATTGCGTTGTCGCGTGTGGGTCTCTGGAGGAGCCATGCTGACGCCTGTTTGACCGTCTTTTGGCGACACGACAGCAAGCCAGGTTGGGTCCTTCTGGAAGTTTGCTCCGACTTTCTGCGGCAGCGAGGACTGTCAGCGAGTGATTCTGATGAACTTCGCGATGGAGGAATTCTTTACCTGGACACCGTAGATGTCTTCCCAAGCGTCTGCTCCAATGAAGCTGAGTTCATTTGGTCCTGTACGAACGACAGAACCTGACAGGTGTACTCTCAGCTATAATTCCCAGAGGCGATCACGACATGTGTCACTTACCATACTTCTCGTGCAGCTTCTTAAACTCTCGAGGTTGAGTTCCCTTGTAGACCAGATAAGCTGCTGGAATTGGACTGATACTATTGATGAAAGGGCCAGGAAAGGTGCTCAATGGATGGAAGAATCTTGTTTGAACCACGCGATACAAGACAAAGATGGCAATCTGTCGAGAAGAAAAAGTTTAGTAAGATCGAGTGTCAAGCTGGTGATTGGAGAGTAGTTACCAGAGTCGTCAGTGCACCCAAAGTCGATGAGATAGACGCAGCACGCAGCACGCCATGGTGAAACGCGACTTCCTGATTCTGAGTCTCCATGTGAGCAAGCGTGTTCAGGACTTATCGCAAATGTAGGGTAAAGAAATTCGTTGACAAGAACACCCTTCCAAAGATTCCTACGGCAGAGCACTTTATAGATAGGTTGCATCAACTTGTCAACATGCGTGAATTAATTACCCGAAGAGCATGCTATCGTTCCTGCAGGCCAACTTGCGTCTTGATTGATCTACATGACTAGATTCGTATTGTTTCATCGCGGCGGAGTATTTCAAAAGTCCGATACAAAGATCGTCGCATTGGAACTAAATTCTCGGGGTTGTGACTCTGTTGCATTTCTATCTTAGCCTTTGCATGAGACTCAACATGACCTGCATGGTCTGTCTGGTATCGACAGTATCTTGTGTCGAACGTGTTTGACCTTGGTTGTTTCTTCACAGTCAAGAATGAGGCATCGAATCACAAGTCAAGATGCATAGCGTGTTGAACTTGATGATTGTCTGTCCATTGCGAAGAGAAATTACGCGCGTACGTTATGTCCCTAATGTGCCTTGAAGAAAATAGGAATGATTATGCAAACTTCTGTAAAAACCTTGATTCATTCATGTTCAGCCTCGGGCCAAAGCGTCGCTTCTAGATGGAGAATGAGCTTAGAGGTCCGTTAGGATGAAGCGATTCCCGAAGCTATTCTATCTAAGTCTTTGTGACCTTGACCAGCAGATTGGACTCGAGAAATGTGCCATAGGTCATAATGTTGCTTGGTGAGTAAGGCTGGAGAAGCTGCAAGTCGAAGTGGCGTATAATCTAGTTGAGAACATGGTCAGCGTCTGGCGAAAATGACTGTGCTCCCATAGAAAATCATTGCTGTGAGGCTACCAGGGGAACCAGAGTAGCAAACACATACCTCAAAGACGCTTTTGTAAATCTCCATGAAGGCAATCGTCTTGCCAACACACATCCACTGTCCATTACCAAATGCCAGCTCAACATCACGTTCCATATGCTTACGACGCCCTTCATCAAGCTCAAGGAACCGCTCAGGACGGAACAAATCTGCGTCGGAGCCGAAGAGTTCTGTGGACCTCAACACAGCAGACATGTTTGTCCCAATGGCGGTACCTGCGGGTAAGTGATGGCCGAGGATCTCTTCTCCACCAGGGGGTACCACTTTTGGGAAGTAGCCGATCAATGGCGGGCGCATGCGGAGGCCCTCGTATACAACAGCCTATTGTCATCAGTATCGTCTACAGTGTTGTGTCATGGAACAAGAGATGGGTTCTTACACGAAGATATGGCAGGTTTCGTGCTTCTGTCATTGAGATCGGCGCAGAAACAGCGCCATTGGCCACTGCTGCGGCAATTTCCTGCTTGAGAGCTTGGTAGACTCGTGGTGTCGTGATGGTATGTACCAAGGCCGAGCGTATAGCAGATGCCGTGCTCTCCGTACCTGCAATGATCATGAAGAGTCCTTCTGTCTCGCATTCGGTCTGATTCAAGCCGTGTTTCATCATAGATCCCTTGATGTGTGTCAGCTACAAAGGACACTATAGAAGGGCTTTGGAACATACTAGCATGTCTTGCTGTGGCTTTGCGTCTGGACGAAATCGTTTAGCTACGTGATGCTCAGCGACTCTACAGATACTGTCAGTCAGATAATACCATAGATTGATCAACGACACACATACCCCATCAGTGCGCCGAACCCGGCTTTGTCCGTGGTCTTCGGTCCCAGAAGCGTGAGGAAAGGTTTGGAGAATATGAATTTTCGGAGCCATGGAACATCTGCACATGTCGACATCTGCGGCCAAAGATCATGCAGGCTCCCAAGGAAGTTGTAGTGATCCTTCTCATGCTCGAGGTAGCCAAACTCTCGGCCAAAGGCGAGTCTGGTGATGACATCCAAGGTGAAATAACAGCTGGTCTTGCCCAGATCAAGGAAAGGCGCAGCATCTGAGTTGGCTGTGGGTGTGCCGTACTTTGATGCAATTTTCGCGATAAGTGTCTCGATCAGATTATTGACACCAACTTCGAGATCTGGTGTTTCGCGACCACTGTAAGCGGCAAGGGTACGCGACTTTGCCCACTTATGCTCCTTAGGACTCAACCGACTGAACAAGTTGTCATGGTAAGGATTGAACTTGCCAGTCAGATAAAAAGGATCGCGGGCCCAGCGCTCGTCAGTGCCCGAGATTTTCTTGATGACTCCAGGATCGTTAGTCACGACCTCATTTGGGCCGATCCGAACCAAGGGACCTAGGTCTTCGTGGAGGTGTTTATGGATCCAGTATTGTCTGCCAGAATAGGTGCTCTTTGCTAGCCAGAGATAGGAGAAGTGGACGGTCCAGGATGGTGCGGGTATGCCGGCAAGACGTCTCCAGGCAAAGATTGCTTGCACGATGTAACAAAGCACGAGAAACACGGCAGCGTAGCAAACTACCTCGGTTGCAGCTCGTGATAACAAGGATCTCTTTAGGTTATCGTAGACCGACATGTTTACCTGGACTTGACCACGCAATGGGTGACTGGTGCTCGAATTGTCGGTTAGGAGATCAAATGCTTTGGTGATGTTGAGGATTGGAAAGTCGCGTCGACACAATGGAGTTGAGTCAATGCTGGTCTAATGTCATGTGTTACTGCCTGCTTCTCAGAAGTCTGCCGCGCGTCGACGCAGCAACGCAAAAAGATACTCCGCATATTGAGAGATCAACAACGCATATATAACAAAACTTTGGATGTGCAGATCCACGGACAAAGATCACGAATGTCTTGAAGGATCAACATCTTCGCGTGCGAAAACGATGACTCCTGGAGTTTCTTCTGCATCTGTTGAGTCGACCTCGGGCCGCCAGGAACTCCTTCAGGATGCGATGACCATGCACAGAAGCACGACCAGATAAAAAGGACTCGATAGTGTGATTCCAGCTGATTCATCATCCCTCGTCAATACTACTTCTCACTTCTCACAAATGGCTTCTAACACAAACACTCTACGCGCACCTCGTGAGCGAGACACGTGGTACTATCCCCCAGACATCGCCAACGACCTCGACGGTATCAATCTACCTGAGAACGTCAAAGGCGAGATTTTCGCGACAGCCTGGGAATACACTCGCACGGTCATACCTCACTATACCAACTGGAAACGCTATGTAGCGTTCATGCGTATCATTGTCATGGGCATCATCGCCGAGTTCAAAGGAGACCTGGTTCGTGATTGATGAAAGTGACAATTCCGATGTACCAAGCTAACAAGTGTTTCCTAGTTGGATGTCACAGATGGTGACAAGGTGCTGAACTACAGTCTTGATGGCATCCTGTCAGACCTCTTCACCGGAACGCCGGGCCATGCAGAAATGGCGCGCGAATACAAGACTTTCCTGCTTGTCTCGGGCGACAAGTCAAGTGGAAGACGTCATGGAGAGTTCTTCAGACGTTATGTCAATGTCCTGGCTGAATCACCTGAGCGCTACTTCCGCATGCGCGACACTGATGCATTGTGTCGCTTCACCATCGCTGTAGCACTTGCATGTAGCAATCAGGATGACGTCTGGTTTACTGAGAATCAGTTCAACATGCTTGCCGAGATTGGCGATACTATGGTGAGTGACAGACAACGACCCCTGACAACAATACGTTACTGACATGAGGAAACAGTACGATGCAGTATCTTTCTTCAAGCACCGCAGCGAAGGCGAAACCAACAGCACATTTGCGTATATGCCCGAGGATCTACGCGTCGCTGCCTATAGACAGTGTCGAGAAGTCCTTTGGGCTCTTGACGCAGCCTGGTGCACACGACCCGAGACAGCGTGCGTCACCAGTTTCCTGCGCTACTTTGGCGGTCCCCTCCACATGATGATGCGCCGCTACAGATTCGTCGAGGAAAATCTGACCATCGGCAGAGAAGAAGACATTGGCGTTGTGCTTCAGACTCGCAATCACTACAAGCTCTGGAACCGCCTGGATGCAAAGAAGTTACGCGAAACAGAGTCCAACTCCACAGACCAGCAGCGATACAAAGACATCATTGCGCAAGAAGAGGTCTTGCTGTTCCCTGGTTTGGGACAGACCATCGAGAGTCACGGCGAAGGACACTGCAACGAATGCTTGTACCGCCCCTCATACGGTGTAGAGACCACCCACTGTTTTGGAGGAGTCGAGTTGTGCGACAACTGCAGGGTACGCTGGCGCCAGTACCTGCTCAGTTTCCCGGAACGCGCCGCTGAAGCCTTTCCGGAACTGGTTGCGACTTATGGAAGGGCGATTATGAATGTCGAGTCTAAGAAAGCAGAAGTCGAGTCCAAGGCCGTACAGGAGAGGAGTAGGCAGAGTGACCAGGCTTTTGAGATGTGCCTGCCTGGGTTTTCCATGTCGGACATTGAGCCGGCAAAGGTAGGGGTTGTTGCTTAATGAATCTAGTCAAGACGTAAGGATGTTAGGGCGTATGTTGGTCGAGGACTTTGAAAAAACTGTTGGAAAATATCTTTGTTGCCAAGAATTCAACTCATGCTCCGCTGGTGATTCATGTGAAAGAGCAGTTGTTCGAGATTCGTAGCGTGAGAAGCCCTGATAACATTCTCAAATTAAACACGACTTTTGGCTCTTGTCAAAGTCAACTTGACCTGACTGTCCGAGAAGAATCGATCACCAAGGCAGAATCGCGCTTATTGTCGTCATGGCATCTCGTTTGTCACCTCTAAACGGAGTCCAAAGATGTGCGTAGAAGACAAGAAAGCGTTGTGAATCTCAGACATGGCTTCTGTTGCATCGGTGTGAAGTGTAGAGATAGCATCTGAGGATGGTTTCGTGGCCTATGGAGAGATGAAGCCTCGCCACAGCACAACATACTTTCCAGCGTGTAATATGAGCGACAATATGTGCAGCTGATAACAAGAAAACGTTGCGAGGAAGAAGGAACCTGCCGAAGGCGAATCATTCGGACAGAGTCCTATGTATACTACAAACTATAAATCTAGTGAGACCATCCCTACCTACGGGAATCCGGAAAAGGCAGCTTCGCAATGCGACGCGGAAGACGTGCCTCTACAGTCATAATGACTGACACATTCAATGCTTGACTTTCTCGGTAGAGACACCAGAGTCGCTCATTTCAGCCGTGACATCAGCAGCGTGAGACTGCTGGTACTTTGGACTGAACACCATGCCGGGGTGGCCCATGTTCAGAATAAAGGTAGCCAAGATGATCATACTAGATACAATTAGCGCAGGAAAACATGCAGGACGAGGAGATACTCACATGCTCTCGAGTCCGATAAAGAGACCTTCGTCGTGGAGGGCGGCGCCATGGTAGCCATTGCTCAACTCGTAGATACGATACACGCAGCGAATGAAGATGAGAAGAGTCGCGAAGGAGACCATGCCGAAGACCCACTTGAAGCGACCATCAAGACTGCTCATACTGGCTCTGCCCAACTTGGCGTCCGCACGATAGCGCAATGTATACTGGCATCCCAAGGCAATGAAGATGAGCAACGTGAGTACCTGGAAAGACAAGCCGGCCAAGCCAATGTTGACGCCTGCTTGCGAGGAGCCACTCGATTGAGAGGACATGGCACCTCCGACTGACTGCAAAACCAAGGCCACAATGTCGCAAGGAACAAAGATCTGGTAGTAAAACGCAGGCTTGAAAGCTGCGCTAGACGGCGACAGCTTCATGATGCTGCGGAAGAAAAAAAGTCAGCAACGATGAATCCTCATCGTGATGGGTGTGTTGACAAGATAGGAAGCCTTCGCTCAATTGCCTTACCTCCTATATAGAGTCACGTAGATTGCTGCAGTCATGAACACTGGCGCAATAGTGATGCAGACTGGCACAGTATGTCAGTATGATGACAGTAAAGACAGACGATGGCTAGACCAACCAATTTGGATGATGAAACCATTGAATCCCCAAGGATCCTTCCACATCAAGATACGACCACCGTATCCAATCATCTCGCAGATGCAACCAAGCGACATGAGCATTGCGAAAGTCTTTTGCTTGTAAAAAACGCCTTCGAAGACATGGATTATGAGACTCAGACCGAACAGTGCAATGAAGACACTGTTGGCTGCCAAAGATGGGCGATATTGGAAGATGCTCTGCTTGATTGAGCAAGTCGTAAAGGTACAAACGTCCCACTGATTCGACGACATTTTGGAAGATCTGAGTAGCTGAATGCTATTGCAAAATTGGAGAAGAATTGGAAAGGTACTTGTATCGTCTGCAGTCGGTCTTGAGCAGACACCGCAGACAACGCGGACGTTCCATCGTTTCTGAAAGCATCGCTGGCGACGACTTAGATCGGGCTAAAGCACACTCCACCTCGCGTCGATGTTATGCTGTTTTGGGCGTGTACTCCGAGCATGCGAGTTTGGAGGATCCTGCCAGATCGTCCGACCAATCAACGTGAGCCAAGCATCTCGAGCGGGCGAATAAATACTCCGAGCACACCTTGATGTCGCACAGTAAGACTGCGATCGCAGCAGTTTCCTGTTCATCTACGACCATGCAGGTTGTCGTCCAGAACAAGCCGCGCGAGACAGCATAAGACAGTCTTACAAGCGAGATCGCCGACACATGGGTGATGTCCAGTCTCTTCTGAACAGGGTAGAGGATGTTGACGTGTTGGCCCCCAGCGGACTTGTCAAAATGAGCTGCCTAGCTTAGCTTCAAACCGTCAAACGCCTTGGCACGCTAAGGCGGCTGCTTTTATTCATGAGTCATGACGCATTCCACCATCCAACTTTTTGCGCGGAATCCTCACTTGACATCAACATCTCCCTGTGCAGCAATCTACTCTTAGAGGAACAATTTGATCATAAGTAACATTGACGGGTTATCTGAATTCTATTGCAATACTTCTTCTACCATCAGTTGACAATCTTGGCCTCCTGCCAACTGTTGTCGACTGCCTTGACAACATCCTCTGGTAACGGACCAGCCTCCACGAAATCTAGAACCTCTGACAACTGCTGTGCGTCTGCTGCACCAAGGATGAGTCGATCTCCGAGCTCGGGCTTGATGGCGCTGTGGAAGTGAGCCCAACGAATGGCACATTCGCGTGCAGTCAGACCGTGCTTGGCAGCTGCTTGCTCAATCATCTCCAGAGCGTCAAAGATGGGCTCATGCCAGTATCTGTGGCGCAGGTGCAAGCCGATGAAGTGGCTAGGATCGAAGCGGCCGCCCTTGGGATGTTCCGAGTCAGGGAAGCCTTTTCTGTATCTACCTCCCAAGATTCCGCTACCGAGTGGCTGGGCAGCTTCGAAAGACATGCCATAGTGACGAATACAAGGAATGACCTCAGTCTCAACGCCACGAACGAAGGGATTGTAGATTCCCTGATACACAGTTGGCTTCACCCAACCGTTCGCGGAACAAAGCTCCTGGATTCTTGCCACCAGCCAAGCAGGGTGTCTGATTAAACCCCATCGAGCAAAGCGGCCTTCTTTGTACAGCTTGTCGAGAGTGACCAGAGTCTCCTCCAGAGGTACATTGCGATCCGGGTCGTAGAGGAAGTAAGTCTCGACCTTTTCAGACTTCAGTGCAGTCAGACTTCTCTCGAGTCCTAGCTTGAGGTCGTGTTCGTTCAGGTTGTAAGGCTCGTAACGAGGATCCAGCGGAGTTGTGCGAGTCGGAAAGATTTTGGTCGACACAACGAGACTAGGGTGCTTCTCCTCGGCAGCAGCCAGAAGCTCTTCCGCAGTACCATAACCGTAGATGCGAGCAGTGTCGATGTGTCTGTGACCACGCGAGTAAAACACGTCGAGAAGAGGCGAAACCTTTTCCAATGTGTCGAACGGGGCCGCGACACCTGGTGCTTCGTACTTGCCCCAGGGACTCGTACCGAGACTGACAATGAGAGGAGAGCTCATTTTGGGTATAAGTGCAGCGCGTTGATTCAATGTATTGTGCTTGTCTGATGAAAAACAGCGGATCGTAATTGATATAACATATTACCATGGTGGTAGTAAAGCTTCGGGATAATCGTTCCGTCCAGGCAGACCGTCGGGTCGGCACTTTGGTGGGAGATGTCGGGCTGGACTTTTTGTTTGTCCGCCGGTTGATCCGCAACGCCCCAGCAGCGATCACTCACATAGACCGCCCATGTGATGCAACTCGAACATCAACTGCTTCCGAATCCCATGGCCAATTTGCCTTCAACAAATGTTTGCACAGCCTGGAAAGCTTGCATAGTAATGCGATGGTCCCGCACGACCGCCACGTCTGCACAACGAGGCAAAAGTCCGATACTTTAGGAGTTGAACAAGTTCATGTGTAAGTCCGGTGTCTGCGCCTTGGATTCGATGTGAAATTGCTGGGATTAGATCACGTATGTTTATAATGATGGGTTCCTCGCCATACACCAGGTAGAAAGAAACATCAGCACCACTGTCAACGATACCTCAACACGGCACCTCGAACAATGCACGGCCTCCTCATCTGCTCAGCTCTGTTGAGCGCTCTCACCGGTATCACCGCTGCACCAGTCCAGGACTCTGCCGGGTCTTCCAACGGTACCGCAGTCGCTTCGGGGCAAGTTGCGTTCAAGTTCCCACTTTCGAATGGCTTTCCCAACATCAAGAACCCCAGTGCTGAACTTCGCGCTATTGAAGAAGCTGCTGTGGGCATTCTGCCAAACGCACCTTTGTCCAAGCATCTCGCGTCCGCTGATGTCACGAACTTCCAGCTCATTGGCTTTGCTCAGCTCTTCCAGGTCGCTTACTACACTTCGCTATACAACAACATCACTCAGAATGTCCCTGGCTATGACGTTCCTGCCCAGATCAAGCCGTTCTTCATCTCTGTTCTGGAAAAGACCATTGCTCAAGAGGAGCTCCATCTCCTGAGCGCAAACGCTATCCTCAGGGCTGCTGGGCAGGAGATCATCCAACCTTGCCGATACGTTTTCCCTTTCGACAACTTCTTTGCTGCTCTTGATTTTGCCACAATCTTCAGCGACGTCATCATTGGTACCTACCAGACCTTCCAAACTACTCTCGCTTTGAACGGTGACAGTAACGACATCGCCTTGTTGGGATCTATCATGGGATCCAGTAAGTACCCCCACCATCTGAATGATTATCTCCGGCGACTCATAACTGACCCCGATCTAGCCGCCGAGCGCAATGGTTATCTCCGCTCTCTCCTGGGAGCTAATCCTGCCGAGCTTCCCTTCCTCTCGATCTCTACTGGTCCGTGGGCATACGCTGCTCTCACTCACCACGTCATCGTCAAGGACTCATGCCCAAACGCCAACATCATCAACGTGCCCAGCTACGGAGACCTCTTTCTGACCAACTCATCGCCCAACGTCTCTCTGACCACCACCGAGCTCGCCTTTGCTTTCATCAACAACGGCAAGAAGCCTGCTGATCTCCGCCTGGTGTACACCAACGCTCAGAACGTGCCAATCGCCAAGAAGCTCGAGAATGTCAAGACGACTGGTAACTTTGTGTCTTTCACTGTTCCTTTCGACTACAGCAGCACGATCATGAGCGGTATGACTATGTGCTGGGTCGCTTCCACGTCTGGTGACTTCTCGTCTGCCAATGGAGTCACTGCGGCCAGCCTGTTCGGTCCTGCTATCTTGAACATCAATTAGCGTGGGAGAGCCGATCATTCTGCAAGGGTCTTTGGGGCTGGATCCGCATTTGCGATGCGCGACTGGTAGTCATATTAGTGAGCCGCTGTGCGAGATGTTTCCAATCACAAACATCAAGTCGTCCTACTACTGGCTTGCACTTCGATAGTAATCACGGATTGTCTCATCTTTGTATTGTACACACAGAAATAAATCTAATTCCATGGTTCGAGATCATGAACGCTGAATCTATTAACTGCGACATGCTCATTATACTATACTAATGGTAGGTATAGGTTGGGACGTTAGAATGAATCTTGTCGACTGGAGATTCAAGACTTGTTGTAGTAGGATTCATTCCTGTTGGTAGAACATGTTCTCTAACCTCTGAATGGACAAAAGGCCTCCCCAAGACCTTGATTGAGTCATAAATGGATAGCGTCCCTACCTTGTCATCCGTCTTGCAGGCCAATTGTCACTCTGTAGTCTAGAAGAAGGAAATTTCAGATCATCGTGATGGCGCATCTTTTGGTGCATCTGGCAGTTGCACACCTCCGGCGGGAAATTGAATGCTGCCATGAATCTTGATGGTGATACTTGGTAGCGCCATCATGATCATAAATACATGACTACAAAAAATACTAAGTCCTTCTCAAACTTTCATGCTCAAAGCCATCTGCTCAAAGACATACAGATTATCTCCCGGTGCCATATCATCCGACTCCAAATCAACATAGCCTTCTGGTGAGAAGGCTCTGGGGATGACAGCAAGCGAGCGACCTGTAGCCGAAGATGTTAGTAAAAATATGCTTACGAGCGAGTCCAGACTAACCATGAATCGTAGGATCGCAGGATATCCTGAGTACAGCTTTGACCGCGTCATCGATGCTTGCAAACTGCATTCCAGCTGCTATGAGTTTGGACTTGAATGGCTCAGGGATGATACCAGTATCCACAAATCTGTGAACATCGATCAGACTGTGACATTGTTGAGAGATTGTTATGACACTTACGCAGGTGCAACAACATTGACTCTGATACCGTCCTTCCACACGGTTCTGCGAAGACACTTCATGATCATTCGCACTGCGGCTTTCGAAGCAGGATACTGCAACGCCTTTGGCCAATCGATGAAGCCAGCCATACTGCTCTTCAGGATGAGACAGCGGTCTTTACGACCATCCCGCTTCTGGAAGCGGCGGAAGTAGTGTGTAGCAAGTTTTGTGGTGTAGAGCAACCCCTTGAGATTCACATCAGTGGTCGCCAGAGCTGGTTCTGAGGGAAGCTCGTCAGGATCTTTTTGAGCGTTAGCAATCGTCCTTGATCAACGGAATTGAACATCTCACCTTGCTCGACCATCATTGGATCTCCTGCGCCTCCGAGCCCTGCATTGGCAATTACAATGTCGATAGACCTGCTGGTAGATGAATGGATAGCATTTTCGAAAAGATCCAGCTGGTCCTTCCATTCTCGGACATCACATCGTACGGCGATGGCTTCACCATCCAGCTTTGCGACGAGATCGTTGGCTGCCTCGATGTCGATATCCCCGATCGTCACGAAAGCACTTGAGCTGTCAGCATTTGCAAAATTAAGCTGGTGCTTGTGCGACATACCCAGCTGCGGCAAACGCTTCGGCATAAGCCCTGCCCAGACCTCTTGCGGCTGGAAGACAGAGTCAGTAGTGGCACAACGTTAGGATTAACGGCCGCATACCTCCAGTAATCACTACTGACTTGCCCCCCAAGGCGCTTAGATCAATCTCGACATCGGTTTTGACAATGCGTCCTGCTTCATATGGCACGGTCTCGACATTCGAATGCATCATAGCAGCTTTCTGTAGGTGGCGATACCAGCCTCTGGCCGTGGTTTCGTCTAAAGGGCTTATATGATCAGTGAGTGGGCTACAATTGCTAATATTGGTTCGGAGTATCTCCTTGAGCCACACGATCGGATCGAGATCTGTGCCAAAAATTCATTCGGAGAAATACTTTCGGACTTACCCACCGTCATACATATCATAGAGTATGGGCCAGCTTAGATTCATGTTGTCAACATTCACGGTTTCTGGTGCGTACCTGACGGAGTAGTCGAGTAAGATCGAGATCAGAGAGAATCAAAGATGGAAATGTGCGGAGATGGATCTGAATTTTTACCGTGATGCGTCTACTCGACTGAATCTCGAGCTACATGGATTTGCTACCTACTATATTGACAAACTCCTTTTCAATCATCGACCATACTTTCTGCAATGTGCCATCCTTTCTGTACTCCGCCAAAACCTGTCTAGCGGGTTGTTTGAGCGCCTGCCCATCCAGAAACAAGGAGTAGACTCCAGGACCACCATCCGAGCCGACAACGTTATCAACATCAGTAGAGATGGAGACACCTTGTGTAACATTCCCTTCCTCCTTGGCAGGATATCTCGCACTTGTAGCAAGAAAGACATGGCGGTCTCCTGCGTCCTGCGGAGGCATCTGCACAAGAGGCAACAGGAATTTGGAAGCAGCTTTGGCCAACCCGAAGCCAAAGCCCTTCGTGCCTCTGAGTATACCACCCTTCACCGGTCCAGGGAAAGTATGGATGAATGTCGTTTTTGGAGCTGCAGCAGCATGATTCTCCAATGCCAAAGTCGTGATGGAAGCTGCATGACCTTTGTTTTCCATCAAACCCAGATTCCAGCCTTGGAAGTCGCTCATGTTGATTTTGCCTTCCATGGATCCGAGGAAAACACTGATCACACGCTTGAGATGTGGTGCTCTCTCGATGGCGGGGAGAAGATTGCTGATGAAGCGGTTGCGACTGTAGATAAGTAGTGCTGCCGCGTAGTGCAGGCCCTCGGCCGTTTCTTTGCATCCATCAGCTGGCAATTCAGGGTGTCGGACAGCAGAATGTACTTACTGAGCCCAGCTTGCAGCGTGCCAATCGTGAGGAGCAACAGATTGATGTGCGTCTCTTGGACCAGAATGTCCTTGCAAACTTCGTCGACGTTCTTCAGCAGACTCAACTCCTTCAAGATGGGAATATAAGTTCCATCGGGATTGATCGCCTTGCACTCGGAGATGATGCGATTGACGGCTTCTTTGGACCTTCCGATGATGTAAACTCGTGGACGAACAGCGTGTTTGGCAAATTGTTTGACTGTCACCTCTCCAACGCCATTGGTACCTCCGACAAAGACGGCTACCAGTCCGGGTGGAAGCGACTTTGCTATCTGAGCGTTTGAGGCTCGTACTTGCTCGATCGTAACCATTGTGGGCGGATTGGTCAAGGTACAAAAATCCACAGGAAAACGGAACCGAAAGTAAAGTCTCAATGGTAGCTACGAAAAATCGAGCAAGTATGCAAATTACAGATTACTGAGACTTTTGACAGATGTTGTAACTAGTTCATGTACAATCAAGAGAATTTGGCATTTTAAGGATAGTCCGACGTCCCATCGCAAGTCAAAGTCAGACTCAATCCAACCAGCCAGGCGTATATATTATGTACCCGAGCGTCTGTCGATTTCAGTGACAATGGAACACTAGGCGAACGTGTGGAATTTCAGAGCTCCGACTAAGACCCCGATTCAAAGCATCTCAGCGTCGGTCCAGGCGGACAATCAATTACTCCGAGAAACATTCCCCCAAGACCGGCATCACTTGATGCGACAAAGTGACGACTGCAAAAATGTCTCGAGCATATAAATATATGTATTATGAAGGAGTGACTGCCTTGAAATTTCTGGCAGGGACATGAGGCTCCAGAAACTTGGCTGTTGGTCAGTCAGCATGACAACGCATCTACAGCGACACTTTGAATGACCTGCAAGGAAGTGTCCTGTAGATACAAAATTGAAAATTTGTGGAGTTGTACAAAGTGTTCAGAAATCCAGGTGGTCATGTGTTCAGACAAAGGAGTGGCTCGAAAGATCAAGGGAGGATACGCAAGATGTAGAAAGCATACCATATGATCGGTCGAAAACCTCGGAGTAATTCCAGTCTCTGATCATAGTCCGAAAGGTAATTTTACTACGTGGGTATAATGTAAGCAAGCTTCGTCGAGTTGTGAAAGACTTGGAATGGAATATCATATTCACCTTGTACCTCCTACCTCGCGATCTTTTTCTCTGCTTACTAAAACTTCATCCTTTGGCCCTTCAAACCATTCGAGACTGTGACAATGCAAAACGCGCCTGAGCTCGCCATAGTCGGTGGTGGTATTGTCGGTCTGATATGCGCACTCGGCCTGATCGATCGCGGTATCAACGTGAGAGTCTACGAGCAAGCTGGCGGACTCCGTGAGAATGGAGCTGGCCTAGCATTCACACGCAACGCAGTCGAGTGTCTCAAACTTGTCAGTCCATTGGCAAGCGAAGCTTTGAAATCTGTGCAAACGCCCACTGGAGACACGACCCAGCCAAACGACCACCTAACATGGGTTGACGGATTCAATCAGCACGATCAAAACGATCCAATGTTTGAGCCAGCGCTGTTCAAGCTTTTTGTCGGAGCGAATGGCTTCGAGGGCTGTCATAGAGCTCATCTGCTCGAGGCATTGTGGAAGAGATTGCCACAAGGCACAGTTGTCTTTGGCAAGAAGTTACAGACCATCCATGATGACCTCCACAGCGACAGGGTACTCTTGCATTTCGTGGACGGATCAATTGCACAGGCAAATGCTGGTAAGCCTCGTTGTTGTTAGTTTTGTTCAGTAACCTCTGACTCACAGATCTAGTCATCGGATGTGACGGTATCAAGTCTCGTACCAGAGCCTTGTTGCTCGGTCCCGATCACCCGGCATCAAAGCCTCAGTATACACACAAACTCTCCTACCGAGCTCTGATCCCAATGGAAAAGGCCATTGCCGCTCTTGGAGCACAAAAAGCACTGGACCAATGCATGCACATAGGTCCGAACAGACATCTCCTCCACTTCCCCGTCGCAGATCAGAAGCTACTCAACGTTGTAGCGTTCAACTCAGACTGCGACCCCTGGGTTGATGAAAACGGCCGACTGATCGCGCCAGCTACGAGACAAGAAGTCGTCGACGCCTTCAAAGACTGGAACAAACCTGTTCGAACCATTACCGAAATGTTCCCCGAGGTCGGAGAGAAATGGGCTGTGTTCGACAGCTACGAGCACCCGGTTCCGTTCTACTCCAAGGGACGCGTATGTCTAGCTGGCGACTCTGCGCATGCCGCAGCGCCTCACCATGGAGCTGGCGCAGGCGCTGGTGTCGAAGACGTGCTTTGCCTCATCACCGCAATTGACAAGGCGCTGATGTTAGCGACACCAAAGACTGCTTTGACCAACGCCTTCTCAATTTATGACGGTATGCGATACGAACGTACTCAGTGGTTAGTCGAGAGCAGCCACGAGGTTTGCGAGATGTACGAGTTGGACCATCCTTTGACAAAAGGTGACATGGGCAAATGCAAGGATGAGATTGAAGCAAGATCACACAAGATCTGGTACTTCGATTATGAGGAAATGCTGAGCCAGACATTGAGTGCAGTAGACAAACTCCTGGGCCAACCGGCACCGCGCGTCATGCTCTGATTGCCGTGCTTTTGCACTTTGTCATTCGCTATTCCTGTTACCATGGGCTAGAGATCTGTTAGACAGATAGCCACGCGGTGCATTCGAACTAGTCACTAGCAAAGTAAACCAATAAACGATATCAGTACAAATGAGGAATTTTTCTTCTGCCCTTTTTGTCTTCCACTGCGTCACAGATTGTACAAAGCCTTGACGGTTGCAAGTACAGTACGACACCCCGAAGTTGTAGCTGCCGTAAGCCTCGGAGTTTCCGTTTTGCGCGACATTTGGGCACATGAGGCAAAAAAACTCCGATGGACATGGTCGAAACATGTGCCACTCATCAACCCTAATAGTCCCTGCTTCCCAATCGTGAATACCCACTAGACGCATCAGCTGATTGCGATGTTGGATTCTCCTCATATTGAATATCGTTTCCCGCACAAGCCGCCACAACGAAGTATATCATTCGGCTGTGACATCCTGTACGCTTCACTCAGAATCATCTCACCATTCTGCTTGCTGTCAAGAAAAAGACAATCATGATTGCCAAACTAGATGCCTCTCGCCAGGAATCTGCCATTCAGGTCATCGATATTTCGGCATGGCTGGATCCGCAAGCTACCAGCGAGGCTCGTGAAGCCGTGATTGAAGCATTGCACTTTTCTTGCAGAACTCATGGCTTCTTCTCGTTGATCGGCCACGGCGTATCGCTTGACCTGCAACGCCAAGTGCTGGTTTGCGCGAAGACGTTTTTCGCCATGCCGATGGAGGACAAGATGGAAGTTTCCATGGCAAAGTCTGTGGGAATGTCAAATCGGGGATATGAGGTGCTCCAAGGTCAGGCATTGCAACCTGACGCGTTGCCTGATTTGAAAGAGGTTCGTCCATGACTTCATGATGAATTCGAGTTGACCAATTTTCCAACGAGAGCTGACAGACTTTTGCGTGAAGGGCTATTTTGTGAGTGACACCCCATGATGCGTGATCAGGATATACTGACATATCTCGAGATTGGAGCAGAAGTAGCAGCTGGTGATCCAAGAGCAGGAAAATTCCTGCATGGTCCGAACATGTGGCCCTCCACACTCAATGAATCAGACTTCCAGACACCACTAATGGAATATCTGTCCCAAATGACAAAAGTGGCAGAGCTCCTACTAGAGATGCTAAGACAAGCGCTGCCAAAGCCACCACCAGAAGACATGTTTGAAGAATTCAAGCAGAAACCGTCGACAAACTTGCGGTTGCTTCACTATCCACCCCAAAGATCGTTTGATGAAAGGCAACTTGGTGCTGGTGCACACACAGACTTTGGAGGTATGCACATTCAATGTTACAACTGTAGTCTTGTTCTAACATTTGCGTAGGAATCACACTGTTGCTGCAGCAGTCAGGCGCGCCCGGTCTGGAGGTCTGGCATCCACAGACCTCAGCGTGGATCCCTGTGCTAGCAGTTGAAGATCATCTTGTCGTGAACATCGGAGATCTTCTTAACCTCTGTAAGTCGTAGCAAATATGTGTCGAGAGAGGAGCGACTGACCTATGCCCAGGGACCAACGGGTACTTTCTTAGTGCTGTCCATCGCGTCATCAATCGCGCGCCTACAGATCGCTACAGTGCACCTTTCTTTTATAATGGCAACACAGCCTGCAACTTCTCACCTCTAGACATGGGATTTAGACCGATGAACACGACTGTGCAGACTGTAGAAGGGCACATTCTGGGCAAGCTTAAGGCGACAAGAGAGAAGACTCAAAATGCAAAGGCGAATCCCTTACCTAAGAATTGCGAGGTGGAAGTGCAGAGTTAAGTGCATAGTAGATATCGGAAAGAGCTAACTTTCTCGGATATATTAGCGACAGCTTAAGGACTTTATTAATCGTTTCTCTCTTTACGCTCCCCGCTTAGACGCTAACTAACCTTAGATTAATTGATTAATTAATTTTTTAGGGGTTTAGGATTAAGGGTTTAGTATTTAGACTACTATAGACATTTAACTATATTTAAAGGGCGAGTCTACCTACTTACTTTTAAAGGTCCGACTTAGCTTAATATAGTATTACGATCTACTATTAGCTAAAGGTCCTTATCTAACCCTTTATAAAGTACCGGGTCCTACTAGGATCTATTTAATTTCTAGTAAGCGGGGGGAGCTAAAGGGGTACGATTTATTTAGAGAAGGGGATACGATCCATTTAAAGGAGGGGAGGTAGGATTCTTCTATAGCGTTACGACTTTAAGGTCTAAGGTAATATATATTATTAATTACGCCGCTATAAAAAAAATAGCTTCTTTAGATTTTTTATATCTCGTATAGTCGCCGTTCGACGTAAGTCTAAAAGTATAGTAGTTTAAGTAGTTTAAGTAGGAAGTCTAGAGACGCGAGCGTATAAGGGTAAAGGCGTAAGAGCGAGTAATCTATCTGTTTATTTTTAGAAATAAGGGGTATAAAGAGCGAAGCCTTAGAGTAGGATATAGGCGGTACTTATATAGTATTCTTAGCGTCCGTATATTCTTAAGCGGAGCCCGCGTAGATAGATCCTCGTTCCTCCTCTTATCGAACTTATTAAATATTAAACTATACTAAGCGCCTATATATACGACGCCTACCTATAATATTAGGTTTACTTAATTTAATAGATACGTCTCTTACTAGCCTTACTTCTAACCCTTTAAGGAACTAACCGGAGAACGGAGATACTAAATAAAAGACGTTACTTAAGGAAATATAATATATTATTAAGACGCTATATACCCGTTAGTACGCGTTAGAAGCCGAATTAGCTAGTACGCGCCTTACTCGTAATAATATAGAAGCCGCTTAGTACTTAAAGACGCTTAAGTCTAATTAGTCGGGAGACGCTTCTTTACTAGTCCTAGTAAAGGCGCTAATAGAGGCTCTCTCTACTATAACTATATTACGATCTACTATTAGCTAGAGGGCCTTACCCGCTAAGGTAGCGAGCAGGATAGCTGTATGCCGATCCTTACGCGCTTAGTAGGTAAGCTAGCTAACCTATAGTGCGGTTAGGGTCACCCTAATAGCTCGCTTACTTAGTAAGTAAGCTACGAAGGAAATTATTACTCCCTTACGCTATAAGCTAGTAAGCTATAAAGCAGATCCTTACTACCTTACCTAGCGAGCAAGTAAGATACTTATATACACTTATTATAGATAAAGTATATAGGAAGGTAGAATAACCTCTAGTAGTTCTACGTTTAACTTAATTAGTTATTCTAATAGTCCCTTTAGTATATACTACTACTATATATACCTGCTTCACTTCGCTTAATACTCCGCTTTACGAGTCTAACCCCGTAACCTATTATCTCCTCCTAGATAGTTAGCTATAACAACTTTAAACGCCCTTAGAATAAGTTACTTAAGTAACACTACCCCGAGAGGTACACCTAGTAAGGCTAGTAGAAACCGCTCTACTAGCACTACTTATAACGACAGTAAAGTTACTAAGCCCGACCTCTACTATAGAGACTACTAAGGGCTTAACGATTAGCTTAACTAGATAGATCTTTACTATATCTTTACTTCTATAAAGGAAGCTAAGAAGACTATCTTTACTAGTACCTATCTCTATAGAAGAGCCTAGCACTAGATAAAACTAATACTTTAGAAGTTCCTTAATAAACGTAAGGACACTAATAGGATTATAATAAGCTTTATTAAGTTTAAGACTAAGATACGCCGTATCTTTAGCATCTCTAACGAAGATAAGGTTGCTATACGCCTTATTTAGTATATCCGTTAGTATACTTTAGTATCCGAATATACCGCTAAGTTCTAGGAGTACGCCTAAGTTACTAATTAGGATAATTCCGCCCTTATAACTATATATCGACGTAGTCTAAAGGAAAATGTTAAAGACGAACTTATACGAGCTAGTATAAAAATCGAAGATCTAGATGATCTTATCTATATAACGATCGAAATCGACGATAATCTTTATAAACGTGCTATAGAACGACGCTACGACGTAGCCCCTTAAGGTAAGTCTAGTTACGTCCTATACTATAATTATAAAGGAAAGAATAACTTCGGTAGACGTAACTAGTACTAGGATCCCTATAGACCCTAACTAATAGAACTAGACATTACCGAAGATCGACGATCGAATAGGAAGAAGCAGTTTAAAGGGAAGAGTTTAATAACTTACTATAGATATAGTAAGAAAGGCTATATAGTAAGGGATTATCATTCGAAAAATAAAGTGCCTTAAAGATAATTTAATATAATGTAGCGCCGCCCTAACGTTAGGCTAGAGCGTAAGGAACTCGAGGAGCTAAAACCGAAGATTAAGAATCTTTAATATAATTACTATAGAAGGCTTAGCTAGACCGTATACTACGACGATAGCTACTTAATCTACTATAGTTCTAAGATAGGATCTAGATAGTTTCCCTCTTAGCTAAAGGGTAGAGGAAAAGGCTACTATAATGTTATTACTAGGAAGGATAACCTTAAGGAAGGAGAAATCGAAGAGGATAGTATCGAAAGTAATCCTAAAGAGGACACTAC